GGGGGGGTTTTACGTTTGCTCGCCGTATGAACTCGCGCACCAGGCCCTTCCCGGATTGCTCCAGCGAATCGAGGATCAAGGTGAAAGGTGAGGCATTTTCACGGCTGTTGAGCAGCTTTGAGATGAGGAGCAGATTGTGCGCGCGGCGGTGCTGGAGCTGCTTTGCGGCCGACATGGCTCTTGAGTCGGGCGCGGATTTTCTCAGGTGGGCGTGCAGATTTGCCGACAGCGATGACGAGTTTGGGCGCCGCCCGGGGGAAGGTCGGTGCAATTTTTTGGTGTTGAGGGACGTCAGGCATCGCCGGGTACGTACGATGATGTCAACCGCTTGGCATTGAGCAATCAGCTGGCGGGAGACAAACCAGCAAAACAGATTTCGCTGGTGCTGGCATGGGATATATCACACTTTGTTTCTAAGAGATGCTAAGCTAGTCCGCCATGGCAACATTCATCAATCTTCTAGTCCGTAAGCTCTCATGAGATCGCCAATGCGCCCCGCCATCTCTGCCATGGACACCCATTTAAACGCCGGTGACAATGCAAGCCGTCTAGAAAACCCCGACATTCAAGCCTCTTAATCAACCTGCTGTCTCGCCCAGTATATTTCGCGAATTTCCCACGGCGAACCGATATCTTGGTTCTTGCGAAAGCATCTTATTTCCTTCCATGCGTTCACCGGGCGCCAGCTGCCAATACGGCCGTCTGTCTTGATCACCTTATCAGCGAACGGCTGCAGTCCATCCAGCGGTTCCGTTTCGACATCTTCCCCGGCCGTTGGTGAGCTGAACTTGCGTTGTCCATCTGGCATCCGGAATACGAGGCGGTTGTCCTCGGTGATGGATGTGATCTGGGACGGGGTGAGCGACAGCCATGTGGCATCGAAAAACACACGACACTTACCGTCGCCTCCTTCTCGATCTTGACCGCATGCTTGCCCCTGCCGAAGCCGCGAGTGTAAACCCAAACATCGCCCACCTCCCAGCAGCCGGCGGCGATCAGCGTCTCGAGCTTGACCTTGCTGCTCTCACCCGCGAGGACATCGTAGCTTAGCTTCTGCTTCTGGCCCCAAAACGCCTCGACTTCCTTCTCTTTCCATCCATCAAACTCTCCACGGGCACGTCTCTCCATAGCCACGAGGCCGTCATGCTGCCACTCGGGCTCGAGGCGGCCTTCGCTCAGGTCAAACTGGAACATTGAAATGTCGGCACGAAAGGCATCATTGCACGAGAGCATCTGCTGGGGTATGTTTGGGAGTGAAGCCGTAGGGTCGGCAGGATCGGGGGCCAAAGTAGGCGCGTCGGGCATGAGGGAGATGATCCGAGACTGCTGTGCCGGGCTGAGTGAGGTCCAGGCGCGAGGATCTTTGAGAATGGCCTGCATTGCATTAGAGAAGGGGACCAGAGGGCGAAGGTGAGAAGGCTTACTGAGATGTCGGCTTGAGCCAGTTTCGATTTCGGGTCCTGCAGAAGGTAATCAGGCTTCCAGATGCGGCTATTTCCGCCGCGAGGGGTGGGAGGCATCTTGCCACTTGACTGAGGCGCAGGTCCCAGCTCGAATTCGGCGTCGCTGCTTTCCTCTTGGTACGTCTTGCGAGTCGAGCGCCGGCCAGATCGACGTCGCGCTTCCGTCATGGCAGCCGCGCTTCCGTCACGCTTGCCCTTTCCCGAGTCAGCAACGGCGGTATCAGGGTCTTGTGCCGAGCTGTCCTCGGGTGCTTGCTCTGCAGCTGACGACCAAGGTGCAGGCTCGTCCTTGTTTTGTGTCGGCACTCCTCGTTTGCGGGTCTGATGCAAGCTGGACGAGCTGAGACCAGACGCAGCTTCTGAATCTGAGGGCAGCGTGACGTCGGCCATGACTGTGTCATTGTCCCCATGCACTTCTGCGGAACCATTGCGGTCGGTGTTGTCCCTCTCAGGGTAGGGCCCGCCTGTTGAAGTCTTGACGCGTTTCTTGGAAATATTCGCGTCTTCCCGGTGGCCCTTTTCGGCGTTTGACGGAGGTTGTTCAGCTGATGAAGATGGTTCGGCGTCTATTCTCGATGCCTCAATCGCGGCCATAGTCTCGGCCTGTGAGAAATCATCCGTGTTCACGCCACCCATTTCTCTTGTCTCGTGCTTCTCGCTTCCAGCTTGGTCCGCTGTTCGGACTTGCGGGTCCTCGCTCGCATCCATTGCAAGCCTAGGGTGGAAATGCTGGAGTGGAATCACGTGCTTTGACAGGCGAGAGGAGAAATGGCCAGAAGTAGCACGCCAGATTTTCGGAGACGTGTATGGGTGGGCTCAGGCAATGTAAAGTCGGGCTGAGTTGGCAAGCTCCAGCCCCAGAGGCAAGAGTTAGGTTCGGCGGTTCAGCCGCCGCCGCGAAGTTTCTTTTGGGTGGTGATTGCCAGACGGTGGCTGCAAATACTGCAGTGTTGGCTGACTCGGAGACTCGAGAAATGGCGGGAACCTTGAAATTCCATGGGTCGGAGTGTTTGGTGGCGCAGAAAGTGGTTCCTGGGGTTCGCTGATGCCGGGTCCGCGACGTGAATCAAAGACGCGCCAAGCTTGCTCGTCGACGCGCCGCACTGCGGCAGCTCTACCTTCGCCGTCGGCGCCTTCCAGTAGCCGTCCCGGCTATGTAGCGTCGTTCATGCTGGCCTTTGCTGGGAGTAGATGCATGCGACTGTGCGCCGTAGTCATCGGACAAACAATGAGGTGCAGGCAGCAGAAGGCGCACCCTGGCAGCTGGTGACGTTGAGCGAGAGCGAACCGAGCGTCACGCTGTCCTCTCCCGACCCTCGACCTCCAACCCGTTGCGCCCCCGTCGTTTCCCAACAACCCGCACTCTTCTGCCTCTCCTCCGCCCGGTTGTTGCTGCGCCCGTCAAGCGCCGCCCAGCTTCACCATGATCCGGTCCACGCAAATAGCGCGCCTAGACGGTACGCCGCTCCCCCAAGGACACATGTCCAACACCAAGCTCCGCCGCCGATCGCCCACCCATGCATCCTTTCTCGACAACGCGCATGCTGACCCGACCCAGGCTTGATTTTGGCCGCCTCCGTCGACGATGAACAGGTACCACCCTGTCTTCCGAGCAACCCTCCGCGCCCCCCGCTGATCCCCTTTCGCCTCCGCAGTCGGAATCCGAGCTCGTCGAGATCAAGGGCAAGGTCAAGCAGATCCTCCGCCGCGTGAATCGCAACTCGGAGCCCCAGGCAAGCATTGAGGGCGGCCAGTACACCATCCAGTACGCACCCACTCCCTCCGGCCTCCCCGCCTCCCGCTGACCCGCCTCTCCCCCGCAGCTACCTCCTCGACGATGCCCTCGTCTTCCTCTGCATCTGCGACCGCTCCTACCCGCGCAAGCTGTCCTTCACCTTCCTCTCCGACATCAAGCAGGAATTCACCACCACGTATCCCTCGCAACAGTACCTCGCCGCCACCTGCCGGCCCTATGCCTTTGTCGAGTTCGATACCTTCATCCAGCGGACCAAGAAAACATATCAGGATAGCAGGGCGACGCAGAACCTGGATAAGCTAAACGATGAGCTGAAGGATGTCACCCAGGTCATGACGAAGAACATTGAAGATCTGCTGTACAGAGGCGACAGCCTCGAACGCATGGGGGATATGAGCAGTCGGCTACGCGAGGATAGCCGGAAGTACCGCAAGGCAGCTGTTAGGATCAATTGGGAGCTGTTGCTACGCCAGGTAAGACTTGCGGAGAGTTGCCAGGTTGTTATTCTCGAGAAATGCTAACGTGGAGACAGTACGGTCCCGTCGGCGGTCTCGCCTTCATCATGATCGTTTTCATTTGGTGGCGCTTCTTCTGAAAGAGTGCATAGCAAAGGCGTCGGTACGGCTTTTTCCTTTCCCTTCGATTACCCTTGTGTTCATAATTTCCGACTCCTTGAACGAAGGAGCACTTTTGCAATTGCCATCAGTTTATCCAAATTGGCCCTTTTTTCGCCTTCCGTTGGACTACTAGTCCGATGAGTCCGCACTCGAGACCCAAAGTCTATCCACGGAGCTGGGCTTCAAAGTTCCGAATCATGATCTGGTTCTTCTGCTTCCAGTAGGGTGACTAACTTTGCTTATTCTACGGCCGTTTCCCTGAGATCGCGGGAACCCTTTCTGTTCAGCATACTCGTCGTACATTGAACCTCTACAGATGCTTCTATCTTCCTGTTGCTCAACGCCCCATGCGATTTACTTAATTTTTCGACCAGCTCTTTCTTCCCATTCCTATCTTCAATTTTCACGGCTCCGGTAATCGATCATTCTGCATGTTCGTCTGAGCTCTCTGACCTCATTCCTTCCACATAGAACTGCTCCCGTCCACTTTTTCTCTCACATCAATCAGCAACAGGTCGCTTAGCTCAGTTGGTTAGAGCGTGGTGCTAATACTGGCAGTCCTCCCAGAGGACTAGACGATAACGCCAAGGTCGCGAGTTCGACCCTCGTAGTGACCATCCTGTTATTTATTTTTTTCGTGTTCGTATTGTTCTGACCATCTCAGCCCTCGTGCACTTTTTTTTTTTTGCAGTTTGAGATTCTTTTTTTTTGAGGGGGGGATGCTTGGCAGAATTCCTTAACGGTACGGGGTTTGCCGTCGGCCGCAGCACCAGGTACGTACTTGAGATTCTTTGGACGAGGGCGTCTACCGGTATTTTGAAGGTTCAGGGAGACAGAGCTCACCAACTATTATTGTAATCATAATGTGTTTTTCGTGCTGATCGAGAACACTCGGTAAGAATTTCCACTTATCGTGCACGCACAGTAAGTCTCGAAAGATCAGCTTACCTGCATCGAATTAACATGGTTAATGGAATCTTATATCTAGATGTACGTGTACAATTTCATAGCTCGCATCTACATCCGGCTATTCGTTTCAGCGTTTCAGCTGCTTATATAAAAAGGACGTTTGAATCTACATTTACGTTAACATGTATTGGTCAACACCATCACGTACAGGTTGAGGATGATCATCGTCGTCGTCAACCCAACAGGGTCTTCTTCAGTAACGTATTGTCATAAACAACACCCTTGCTGGGTACCCCTTTCTTCGTTCATCTATATAAACACCATGTAGTAGCAGCGTTTAATAGATCATCCAGTCAAACAACTTCTTTCTGCACCCGGCTGTGATCACCGACTAACAACATACTTGCTTCAACTGCGTACGCAAAAGGTCGGTACACGTTATCTTCTCCCATCGCCCACTATAAATGCGCCTCGTACGTTCTAGATCTTGCTTACCAACACTTGGCCAAAGTGCCCGTGGGTCTATTCAATTGCATGGGTCGAGTACTCCGCAACCCGGGCCAGGAACAAACACACTCATGTCAAATCGGCTCGTAGCTTTGTTGAATCACTCTAACCGATTTCATTTTCATTTTCGAGCTCTTGCAGTCTCTAATTCATCCATACCATGATTCATTCCTTCCAAAATTATCTACGTACTTCCACCCAGCACTTGTCAAAAGATGCCAAAAATGAAGACAATGCAGTAAGTGGAGTGGAAGAATTCGTCCTGTCCTGAATCCCGTTTCCAATGTCCCTCCATGTGCAAGACGCTTGAGCATCTTTGGTCGGATATCATCCCCGATTGGCTCCGGGCCTCGTGTTCTTGTTGCTCTGCGGTAAGTGGAGCCGAAGAGTTCGTCCTGTCCTGAATCCCGTGTCCAGTGTCCCTCCATGTGCAAGACGCTTGAGCATCTTGGGTCGGATATCATCCACGATTGGCTCTGGGCCTCGTGTTCTTGTTCCTCTGCTGCGACGCGGCCCTCCAGAGCGCACCGGCCCGTCCCAACAAATCGTGCCCTCATCCACCACAAACGACGCTCCTGGCTGGAGAAAAACTCCCAAGGCACCTCCACGACCCCTCATCCACCGGGAACAATGTCCCCGGCTGGAGAGAAACTCCCGAGGGCACTCAGAGCGAGACGGGACCGGTCGAGCAGGCGTGCGCAAATGCTCCTCACCCGAGGCCATGTCCCGCTCGCCATGAGCTCCGCACTTGCGCTTGTCGCTAAAAAAAAAAAAAAAAAAAAAAAAAACTAGCTCGGCGCTGTCTGCTTCGCCAATCTCGTCGCCGCTCTTGAAACCGTCGGCTCCCAGCATGAGTATCGCGCGCTGGATGGCGGAGTGCTGGAGCGTGACTCCATGGGCGTGGTTGGTATCTTGGGGGTATTTTCGCCCTTCTCGTCCTTGTGCTCCTCGTAGATGCTCGACATCAGCGCGGCCGTTGGAGGAAAGGACCCTGGGGATGTATGTTAGCGAAGATCTGAGATTGCGCACTGAGGAAACTTACTAGGCCTTGCGCTTGGTCGATTTGGCACTTATAAGCGTTGCGCGCCATTTTTACCAGCATGAAGTAAACGTGGTGCGGTTAGGTGCCACCATGGGCAAGAATTGAATAGGTTCTGGCGTCGCATGGTTCCGCATGTGGAATATGTATAAAGAAGGGCTCGTAATAGGAAAGAGAAGGTCCGCGCGAGCGTAGAAGAGTTGTAGAAGAATGGTGCGGCGCAGAAGTGGAGGATGATGATGAGATTTAAGTGGGTGGGTGAGTGTGGCGAGCTCCCTGTCCAGGTGACCGGACTTTACAAAATCGGGCAAGCACTCACCCTCAGCGCAACAGCCTACGTCATTATCTAGCATAGGATTAGGTAGCAGCTTCCGTTTACTCGTCTAAGGCTGGTCTGGTGAGTAGAGTCGCATGCACGCGCAGTAAAAAAAGAAAGAGCAAACAGAGTCGCAGAAGTAGAGAAACCAGCCCAGAATCATAAATTCGTAAAAAAACGCGCCTGGGTATGCGCTGCGCAGCCGGAGAACCCACGATTCTAAGAACCCCTCTATCCCTAAAACCAAAGAAAAGATCTCGCCGAATTCCCTCCCCTCCGGGCCCTCCCCTCACCCCGAGCTCACCTCAGCTCCCCCCTCCCCCTCCCCCCCCTTTCCCCTACTTCGGCAGATTCATTCCCGCCTCCACCATCCTCCTCTTCAGCCTGTTCAGCGCCTCCGAGATGGGAATGTAGCTGAAGAGCGCGGCGCGCAGCTCCACGTGCTTCTCGCGCTCCTCCTGCCAGAGGGCGGGGTTGCCCTGCACGCGCACGGCGGCGCGGCGCGCGACCTCCCACTCGTGCTGGGCGTGCTGGACGGCCGGCTTGGACAGCGCGGCGGCGGATGCGGTCTTGTGGAACTCCTTGCGGAGTTCGTACTTTTGGCCCTCGCTGAGGGCGGTGACGGGCGCGGCGGTGGCGGCGGCGACGGCGGCGGGGCTGGTCATTGTGGTGGTGGTGGTGGTGGCGGCGGCGGCTGAGGAGGATGAGGTGGAAGTGATGGTGGTGGTGTTTGTAGGGTTTGGAGCTGGTTTGGGACTGAGCTGTTGGTGGTGGCCGCGATGGAGTGGTGTGGAGGATGGTTGGTGTTGAGCTTGGAGGGTTTGGACAAGTGAGATTTATATGGACGAGAGACTCACTGGCTTCACCTGACGGGTACCAAGATTCATATTAGGTGGCTGGCAGAAAATCTCAACTGACAGTTTCACTGGATTAGTTGTGAAGTGAGAGTCGGGTTTTGTACCCGAGAAATGGCACCGGACTAACAAAGAGTACTTGTGCTTAACAGCACGCGTGTCATTCAAGATCTAGTGTATGACAGGAAAGATCTGCTTAGACAACTGAAGCCCGGTGCTGACAATGGTCCGCTTGCTCCTTGATGTATAAGTTCAACAGCCATACTCTGTCACATGGCGGGCGAGTTCTGGGAGGCCACTAAGTGCCACGGACCTTGTTCGAAGTACGTAGAAGCTGGCTACGAGGCTTCCTGCCATGTGGTCACCTGCCATCTAATAAAGCGTCCTTGGCTTGGCATTAGTTCACCTTTTGAACTCAACTCTTCATTAGCTAACTCGATCTTCTTGTTCTTTTCCCGCAAAAACATTCTCACGGTCTTTTCTTCTAGCAAGAAGCCCACATATGCTTGATTTGTCTCCTCAGGGGACCAAGATTAACTTCGGACGATACTTCGATCAATGTCTTATGCTCTCGTTAGCTTTGGCGTGGATGAAGAAGTCCTACATTAATTTGCCGTTATCCGCCTGACTTTTGGAGTGAAGACCTTGCCTCTGTTTCCTGACCATGAGTCGAGTAGGTCCGGGAAAAGCTGTCAAGCCTTGCCGTTGGGCGCCCTTTGTGTGCTCTACAAGCGTGTGGGCTTCTTCCGCCTTGACTGAGCGCTCACTGACCAGAGAAAGCTGATGGCGCAAGGCATTCACTGTCTGAGGCGGGCCGGAGTGCGCAACTCTAAACGTGTCTAGCGGTCAGGCTCCATCCCGCGCGTCCAAACAGTTAGCAGAGGCAAAAACGCCGACTTTGAAAGCTACAGCAAGTTCAAGGTGACCTGTCCCACACGCTCCGAAGCACCAAGGTGCGCGGGTGTCCTCGATTTCAAGCCAGCGCTGATGCTCTTCTCCTCAGCAGAGGCCGTTATCAACCCGCTGCACATGTACATCCATCGAAGCCAACGTGCTACACGCGTTCGACGCCCGTTTGCCACCCACACTCCTCTCGCGCCATAGCTCACCCACGACATCGCCAAACGAAAACAGCGCCGACCAAGATGCCACTCACAATCAGTCCACTGCATCTTCAGCCGTTGAAGCCGCTCGGAAAGCTATTACCAGCATACTGAAACTCGGAGCACTTGAATCCGCTGCCTCTGTTCATCAGCTCGATCCAAAGCGCAATCCGCCTTCAGCACCGATGTTTCAACCCGGCGCTCGCGCAAATTTCAGTGACCACAATATGATTGGTATGAGCTCCCAGCTACTGCACTAACAGTGCAGGCTCTGACAGTACTTCCACAACAGGAGCAGGAAAGTAGCCCGACTCTGCTGTGCCCCTTGCGGACCATGGTGGCACCAGCTCAACGACTCACCCCAAGTGCGGTCTGTCTCCAGGACCAACACTTTCATCTGAGGTCATAAGCGACCTAATCTGACAGCAGAGTCACAGGTGTGAGTTTCTGGCTAACGTAGCGCCGATGTTGACAGTGTTTACTGGACAGGACTCCAGGAGTACAAATGAAGCCTCGCTATCCGTCGTCCTGCTCGGAGTCTCCCACCTTTCACAAACCAAGCGTGCATTTCAGAGCTACTTCTAGCTTCGATCTCTGTCCAAGAGTTTGAAGGAGCTTGAGATCCTCTCGCCAGGCTTCTACGCTACGCAGGCACACTCCCTCCTCTATAGCGAGATGATGCTTTTTCTCTGCCTGCGTTTCTCTTGGCCCCAGCACATGATGTTGGGTACGTTTCCCGGCAACGGCGCTTTAAGATCTAAGTCTAACATGTTCATGATTTGGGTAGAAAGCATCCTGCTTGCCGAGTGACAACCGGCTGTTCTACACCTCGAATACGCCGATTCACCTCTCGAAGGAGATCCGAGGTATTCCTGGCAGCTTAACTGTGTGGTCTGCTGTTGTAGCCTATTGCAAGCAATTAACCTCTGGATTGGAAAGCTCTACTTGCGCTTCATTTTCTACACTCGGTAATCCGCGTTGGGCGAAGCTGTCTGTCTGGAGCGTACACATGGAAACCTTCCGCGAGATCAGGCATGAACGCTCAGGGCTGCTCTCCAGGTCGTTGAGGGATACTAATGATAATGAGTGTGAAAAGGGAAGTTGGACGTGGGATCTGCCGTCCTTCTGGCTGTCCAAACTTGTTCAAGGAGAGAGCGGATGCTGAGTCGGCGTGGCCTGTATAGAACTCGCCATCTTGGAGCCTGTCAGCGTCCACACGCTCTCTGGGCCGCCACAACCCCTTAAAAATGTCAATTCATCGTCAGAAGTTCCATATCACACAAGCATCCACAACTCGAGATTCGTCAAGACTCATCTTCGAACTCTACCCCATACCATGGGTGCCTGCTCCGCCATTCCGCTCTCTCCTCACGGACGCCCACGACAGCCTCCTTGCGCAGCTCGACCACATCGGAGGCAACGGTGCTAGCAAACCTGGTCCATATGGATCTACTGCACTCGAGAATGTCGTGCTGGGTGCAAATGGGTGTGGAGTTTGCCTGGAAGTCTTCTTGTGATTAACATGGAGGGAAATCATGAATACCGTGGCTTTTTTGAAGCTCTTGATGGCTTCATCTGCCGATGCTCTTTTATCTGCATTTGAACAATGGTAAAATGCTCGCCAATGCGGTAAGCGGCGGCGGTGGTTGTGATGTCGCGATGCAAAGACGCTGCATTTGCAATCGGACATGTTTTTCGTCAGCCTCCATTGCCGGCCTATTCTCTCCCGGACATGTAAAGATCGTTGCCGATCTGTTCTCTGTTGGAAATTAAAAGTTAGGGTACGTATTTCAATGTCCCTGTCGCACACATGAATCCCTGACTCTTTTTCTGTAATGGTAACCCGACATTGGGTGCCACAATCATGTGGGACAGCGAAATCTCAATGAAATGAGAGATTCTAATGGAAATCTTGAGAAGTGTGAGAGGCTACGCGTGGCGGCGGCTCTGGCAATTCACAAAGACCTGAGTGGCTGTTTCCACTACAGTCTGATCACCTACGTGACGGATGACTGCGCCACGAACAAGGTGGAAGATACCAATGACGCTACGTGGGTGAGTGTAGCTCAGCGCAATCACTGAACATGAAAGGCCGAAACGTTGTCTTTCCCCACCCATTTGTTGTTTAGAGTAGTGCCAAGTGGGGACAAGTTCTGCGAAACGTTGGCTATTTCGAATGCTTAACCCATACGTGGGATGGTATAGTAGAGGTCACGTGCCCTCCGCACCCACAGTGAAGAAATTGTCGCACTGGATGAGAGCTTCCTGCGCAGTGTGTCGAGTAGGAGTCTGCAAAGGCGAAGGCGCCGAGGCCGAAGCATATGCGGAAGGACCCAGAATCCGATCCATAGAAGGACGACTCCACCCAGCTTACCGACGCCCTCCCTCCTCACCGTTCCATCTTTTCCTTCACCCTCACCCACAGCACAACCTGAAAGGTCACTGGCACTCTACCGCAGCCGTAAATTCGCCCTACGCTAAAGATCTAAAGCGCGAGCTGACACTGAACCAGTCCAATCAACTTCTTCGACACTGTTCGCTCCAGCGACCTCGCCGCCACCGTCACCACCTGGTACGGCCTCAAGGCATACATGCTGCGCTCGGGAGCCGATGAGCGCCATCAGCCGGCCCAGCGACCGGCGGCCGGCCTCAGTCGCAACAATGAAGGGTAACATGGTCATCTTCCTCGCTCTCATTGGCAGCATCATTGCCGCCGGCATTACCTGGTACGTACTCAAGACGTGCACTCCGCGACCGGCAGCCTCTGACTGACGCCATCTCACACAGCGCGCCTGGGTACGTGCCTGCCGTGGCCGCTGCCGCTACTTCGTCTTCGGCGACCGCCCGCCGCCCCTGCCCAACCCGAGCCGCCGAAAGCGCGCTCTACAGCAGAGAGACGAGAAGACAGCGCTCGAAGACAGCGTCTCCATGAAAGCGAGCGCCGGATCGGGCGGTGTGCGCACCATCCACAGTCCGCATGGTGAAGGTCTGCGCTCCAACGTCGCCCACAGCTGTAACCACCGCCCCTCCCAACAGCGGTGGGACTTGGGGCTTTCAGTACAGGACACGGTGTCTGGAACATTGATAACGGCAACAAAAACACCAACAAGGGTGCTGTTCATGCTGCTAGTGGTTTCTCAAGTAGCTCTGGGTTTTCTTGGGACCTGGGGGGGTCAAAGATGGAGATAGCAACGTCGGATCTTCACCTGGGGTTGGAGAATGAATCTAAATGTCGTGATATTCTTTCTTAACCGTGATCTGAGCGCAAGTGAAAGACGGTTGCCTTGTTCAAGAAGTGAAGGTCTACCAGATCCGTGAGCGGACGCAGCGAGCAAAGTGGTGGGCAAGAGGTTCTGCGGCTGCATTCGTTGGGTCTCAACTTCGGTGTTCCCACCTGACTGACTCAAACAGTTCAAGCGTATCTACAAGCGTTCAAGCGACGTGTTGATTTCCTTATCTTTCCAGTGGTTTAGAACGAGTTGAACTAGACGATCGACCCACGATGCCTGGTATAGTGTTGAGTCTACCGCCGCCGCCGCTGCAGGAGCTGCTGGCGCTTGTTGGCGCTGCGGGCACTGCTGCCACTGTTGGTTAAGCTCACGATGCGTCGCATGGTGTTGTGCCTCATCGCCTACATCCACTCCTAGAACTCAAGAGATCCCAGCCGAGGTAATGCTGGAGAGACACTGAATAACGCAGTATGATTATCCATCAAAGGATGCGTGGTGGGCATGTGAGACATTCGCTGCTGGTTTTTGAGCTGGCTACATACAACCAAATAAATTCATACTGGAAACCTCCGTCTGAAACAAAAGCAAAGTATGTTTGCTGGTTATACCGTTCCAATACCTGATTCTACCATCAACAAGATTCTGTAATCGAGCACTGGAATTCCGAAACAAGAGTCTCCATCCCCCATCAAACAGTTCCATCAAGCCCCAGCTGACCAGTAGGCTCGGGAGCTTTTCCCGAGGGCTGGGCTAGATGCTCGCCTGGCATCTTATGTCCTGCGCTACTCCAAACGGAGAACGGAAAAAATCCATGGAGTCCCCCCTAGCCCTCCTCACCCTCGCGGGGGTCCTTGTAGCGCAGCGCGCCATTCTTCCAGGCCTCGACGCACCTGGATCCGTGCATGAACATTGCACCTCTCCAGAGACGCTTTGGCCTCGATGCTAGCCTGTCCAGGCCCCATGGCCGCTTCAGTAGCAGCGGCCTTCCCCTGAGCGGCAAGGGTGACGACCGAGCGGCCGTCGGCCGCTTGTGAATAACACTGTTGGACTAACAGTTGTTCGGGCTTCCGGGGACCCCGGTCTGTGGAGGAGAGGGCACTCCTTGACCTCGAGGGGCCCGGAGAGTGGCTTCGGCCTCGGCCTTGGCCTTGGCTCCCTGGTGGGACCGGGGATGTAAGATACTGATCTGCTTTCGACGGCGCACCAAACCGCCCACTCGATGCCGAGCTCCGAAGGAGCTTGAAGATGAAGTTGATCGGAGGCAGGAAAATGAAGTTGATCGGAGGCAACAAGCCCTTGTTCCGGTTTCCACCTCCGTGGCCAGCTTTTGTGAATGTGTCTGGTGCGAGCGGCGTAGAGAGAGCTTCGTGGCGCGTTTTGCCGAAATCGTCGTCGTTGCTGGTGATATCCCCCCGGAAAGAATATCTTCGTAAGAGGGATGATGGAGTTATCCCATCGGGGCCCGGGCCAGGTCTCTTTCTTTTCCTTACCCTAGCCCAGGCCCCAACGCCGTTCTGGCGCGGAGTGGTTGGGGGTTCTGGCTGCAGCGAGAGCGTCAGCGTTTCTTCGCAACAAACGACCCGTCATAGGGCGCTCCGACCGAGAGATCTCAATCTGCTATCGGGGTGAGGTGAGCTTACCATGCGCCAGAAGGCGTAACCCATTTCCCGTGGGTTTCGAGATGATGGGGGGACTGCCAGCCCTTGGTGAGCAGAGCAGATGGGCCGGCAGCCCCCACGCCGCGGTCTCTTTCATGCCTGGGCCGAGCCCAGTCTCTGCCCAAGCAAACCCCCAAGGGGGTTGGCTCCGGAGTAGGATCTCGAGACCGGGCCCGGCCAGGCATAGCTTGGTTGGGACGGAGCGATCCCCGCTGCGACGCATGTTAGCATGTCGCTCGTTTGCAATGTCAGCGTTAGGGAGCAGTCAACTCACCCACACAGTTGGCGGGAAGAGGCGCACGGCTGCCGCCCACAGCGCTTGGGGCACTGCGAATGTGATGTTAGTCGTAGATCTTCCACAGCAAGGGGCTCAAGCGGGCCAGGAAGGAGACAGCACGTACCCGCTGTGAGCGGCGGGCGCCTTTTGCCTTTGTGTCCTTGAGACAGCTTGTAGAGTGAGGGGGTTGGTTGAAGTTGAGAGGATGAGGAGGGACGGGCGAGGGCGAGGGCGAGAGATGAAAGCTTGAGTAGGCAGGTATGCGCGCACGGACTCTCATCCTGGCAGCTGCCTGTAGGTCTAAGACTCCTTGCACGTGCCCCGACGTTGCCACCGGTTGAAGAAGCCACTAGAAACGCGGTGAACAAGTGTCTGCGCGCTAGCGGCATCTGCGGCGCGTGCGGTACTGGTAGTTTCCGCTAGCTCATGCGCACTTAGTAGCGCTGTAGAGTTGTAAGTTACTAACATGAGTACCACTGTGTCTCCATGGCGCCGTGTCTATGGCCGTAGGCCCATAGGTAGGTGGCTTTGAAGGCATCGCCAGGAGTTTCTTCCGCCCAGTGGCGCGGCGATGCTGGATTGCGAAGGACGCATCTGAAGCAGCTTGTTTATAGATTTTGCCATAGCCTTCGTCTTGTGTGAGTTTTGCCGGGCCTGCCGCTGGTCTCTTCACTGATGTGTGACTTTTCCAGGGTTGCGATGCGGCCGGTTTCCAGTCAAGTAACGCAAACTTCTCCAAGCATTGACCACAGCTTCGCCTTTCCCTACATGTAGTCGACGATACTCTTCAGGAAATCCCGACATCCGTAACATCGTCTAGCTGGCAGGCAAATCAACTAGACTCCGCTTTGTGCTGAGCTCGACTCATAAGTGACACATGTTCAGACAAACAAGGTGAATCAAGAGACGACAGATCAGACCTGTGGGTAGAAAAGCTCGTAAACAGGCTGAGTAATTGTGAAGGTTCATCCATCATTAACGGGTGAATCCTCTAATAAAACAGGATCTGTTGGAATTCGCACCAGTATTACCTGCCCAGGTTCCAGGGTGGGGGTGGGTATATAAGCCCGCTCCGCAAACCAGACATTGAGGCCAACTGTTGGCCACCACCATCACGTACACCTTGTAGATGATAATCGTCATCAACTCAGCAGGGTCTTCTTCAGTAACGTGTTATCATGTACAACACCCTTGTTGGGCACCCCTTTCTTCATTCCCCTATATAAACACCATGTGGTAGCAGCATTTAATAGATCATCCAGCTATCAGCTTCTCTTCTGCACCCGGCTGTGATCACCCGACCGACACGAACGTTCGCCCTTTTTCTCTGTTCAACACGACAATACAAAAATAAAATGAAGAGCGACCACAAACTGACACCCACCACCCAGTGCTTGTCCGGAATATGCTCCGGTGCCCGGTACCTCCCAGCTCCTCTGCCTTCTGGACTCGATATGTACGAGATCCGACAGACGTGTTCCACCAAGCCGCTGTGTTGGGATGGGCCGTGGTGAGGGTTGGTATAATACCTCGCCTTCGGAGTTGGTGGCTCTGCGGCCTAGGACAGAGCGAAACGGAGTGTCAGCTAAAAGAATAACAAAGGTATGGCAAAACGAAAGAAAAAAGGTCAGACGTACCGGGGCCCAACTCCTAGCTCCGCCGTGTTGGCATGAGCGAATGCGATCTCGTGGCGATTGCAACAGTAGTGGCACGTTCCATGGCCTTGTTGGCGTTGCTCGCCGCATGGAACTGTACAAAGGCGATCGGCATATCTCCGTTGCGCTTGACCTTGAGCGCAAGCCATCGATCAAGGCGGCATGGAGCTCCTTGTCCGTCTTGTCGTTACGAAGGCTACACGGATTATTAGTTAGGTCGCTCAGTCTGATAGCGAGGAATGGGAGTACTCACCTTTCCACAGCCCCACAAGGCTCGCTCCCGGAAAAGAGGCGGCCCAGCCATCGGGCCAACATGCCCCCTTTCGATCAAAGTTAGTTCAATGACTCTCTCCGACGGGAAACAGGAAGGCTGCTTACGGAAAAGTCCCCGGAAAGCTTTCCCTCCCGCACTTGCGGGCATCGGCAAGGGGGGCTTCCCCTGTGGTGAACAATGTCAGCCGGGTGTGTAAAGAGGGAGGGTAGAGAGGTCAGGACGTACGGTGCCGAGGCATCGGCGGACGGGATGGAGTACCACGAATGATAATGGTGGCTGTTTGTTCTGGACGGTGATGAGGTTGGAGAGGTTCGAGTGATCGAGAGGGGTTTTGAAGGATGGGAGCTGCTGTTTGCACTGGTAAGGAAGGCGCCGCTCCAGGAGGCCGCGCCGACCAATCGAGTCTGCGGTAAAGCTTAGCGAGGCTGAGACTGACGACATAGTGGACTGACCGGTCTGAAAGACGAAGGTGCGTGGGCGGCCTGCCTCGATTGCGGGAAGCGCTACTTCATGATATGCATGCTTCATCGACGTATGCCTGCCTTGAGAAGAACTTGGATTACGGGCTACTTGTGATCTACTCAGATGCGAGACTCCATTTTTGTCCTACGTTTGAGTAATGATGGAACTTTCTGTGGCTACTGCAGTTCACCGCATGCGACTATCCCGTCTTGATCATCACTCTTCACAATTGATAAGAGCCCTGCACCATTGTATCAAGCATCCCGTGGTCTTATCTCCACAGCTCCCTATCCATCGTTGCTTGTTAGTTTCTATATAGGCGTCAGCCACTTATTAGCAAGCGTTGTGCCATCAATCAGAAAGCTTCACCCTCGCTATTCCTGGTTTTATCTTCTCGTCAAAACTTTGAGAGCACATGATGTCTTCGCGGAAGGAGGATGCTCTTTTGCTGTCCGTATTTAGGCTGAGTTGGTGGATCTTTGGCTCTTGGAGAGGATTCGCGATCATGCACTTGTACTTTGTGCTGTTGGGTAGAGCATCGCTCATACTCCCCAGCTCCGGATATCTGCATTCACGGTACCGAGCCATACCATGTATAATCCTTCTCATCACCGTCCCAGTCTACGGCTTCTCAGGCGAGTATCTACTGCCCTGTGTGGTCGGTCTCGGAAAGCGGATATCGCGCTGTTAGATTGGGTAGATGAAACCAATAAGCCACGGCTCGACTTGTGGTCTTGCTGAGATTTGGGGGCTGAGGAAGAGATCGGCCAGGCTACATCAATGCACTTGGTAGCACCTTAGTAAAATTGGCAACGAGGACAAATTTTTGGGGGATTATGGATACTTGATCCTGCTTCTGGCACAATCTGCAAGCCTTGCTGCTCCGATCCAACGTTTGCGTGCTGCTTTGTCCTCTAGGCACCCGTGTTTGTATTGACAGGAGCGGCGAAGGGAAGCTTGCAGGTGGAATGTCACAAGATCCTTGACGTTCCGCCCGTAGTATCATCTGAGGCAGCCATGGATACCTGTGGTGACGAGAAGGACCATGCTGCTACAGGTATCCTCTGGCTGTGTAGGGATCTAGCAGAGGAGGCGGGTCTGCGGAGGAGACGTCTGGAAGGCCAAGGAGCAATCGGGTCTAAGATCGAGCGAGCCATGACTCGTATGTACCTGCCCGCAGCGCACGCTGTCAGCGATCGTGATTAAGCTAAATTGCCAAAGTGGCATACTCACCGACGGCGGCACTGAAGCGGAAGGCTCCTGCAACTGCCGAGTCAACTCGATCAGGTCAAGAACGCTCCGCAAGTGGCGGAAAGTGCGCACATGGTACGGGCGAAAGGCGTTTTGAGAAGGCGGTGCTTCGTGCAGTCGTAGGTTAGTAGTGCTGTCTTGGGGAGGGGACGACAGGGTATGGGAGGGACAAAGCACTGGGGTGGGGGGCGGAAGCCTACAGCTTAGCGCGCCCGCCCTTTGCGATAGGCACCACAACGGTGCGGTAGCTGTCAACCAACGGTGATTGCATGGTCCCGGTGTGCCGGCTTGCTGCAGGCTAACTCTTTGACAAGTAGCTTAATGCAGCCGCGTCACAACTACGGTAGACGGAATCCACACCGAGGACTGTTTGAGCAAATTTTTTATGGACTGTGTGGAGCCAGCGCGCTTATGCGGGGCAATGCATGTTTAAGGTAGAAAGGCCAGAGGGAGGCGCTCTGTTTTACATCAAGCCGATGCACCTAGTTGCGGGGGTGCAAAATCGGCATTTCACTGATTCCCGGCGCAAACCTTTCAGTCATTGTAGTCCGCCTTTCAAGCCCTTACCTTGGCTGAGATAGCTGTATCAAACCATAGCTACGAGTGTGAACCTTTCCTCTGGAGCTGCTGGCTGAAAAGCTCTCTCTATCCGCAGCAGCCGCGATTGCCGTGTTCTCTTCCCTTCTCCGGTATAGTGTCCATCATTGCAGCTGTCACTGCCACTCGACTGTAATGGCTGATGGTATCGCTTGACGGAACAGCCTACAAGGGGAGGAGGAAAGGCGAGTAGCTACCACCCCAGCTGGCTTGGGAAACCTAAGGTAACACGTCATCGAGGTATTATACCGGGTTAAAAAGGGACATCCTGCTCCACCTTCCATACTGACCGCACGGTGCAGAGCACAGGACACTGCCTTGAGACCATCAGCCGCTGGAGAGGCTTTTATGGCCTGTGAAATCGAGGAGTCCGCCTGATGTGGCTGTCCCGCGTCTGTAGGTGGTCGATAGTGACAGGCTTGTTGGAGAGTATTCAGATGGGGCACATGGTCGGCCAACGTGTCACCACCTCCCGGGAGAATGACAGTCCATGAGGCTGTGTACAATCCAACCGCCGAGAATGAGGTCGTAAGCCTGGTCGATCTAGTGGCGGCTGAAAAACGGAGGCGGAGAAATCCCTGCCACGCTGGTTTGTATGATTTGCTGGGCGGCGATGGTCGGCGGACAGCGTTCGTTGGGTGGCTGGTATTCAACGGACTTCGGAGGGCCATCGTACGAGAAAACGGATCAGGAAAGGATGGACTAGCGAAAGTGAGGAGTGGGAAGAGACCTGGTGCTCGTCATTTCGTCCGACCAATCAAGCTGGATCGTGCACCTGTGTCGATATACTGGAAGAAAGATGAGACTGACCGGGTTGTTCCATATGTACCAAGCTCTGCTGACCCTTTGTGACCCACCGTTGTGGTGCGTTGAGCGCATGGCCTGTCAAGACGAGAGACAGCCATGCCAGGTTGAGGTCTTGGTAGATGACGGCGGCTTTATCGGCGGGTACCGGCGCTTGTTGCGAGGAGCCCCGAAAGGCGTGATTCAGGGAGCGTCAGGAAAGTTGCTCGAGGCAGAGTTCGGGGCTGAGGTGCCAGGAGTGCTGCAGGCATGGGTATGGAGTGCCGGCGGTAGTCAGGGCTCCAAGCGACTCCCGTAGGTGGTAATTCGCAGCACGCACCCATTTCACACGCGCTCCGAGTCAACACACGGACCGTCCCCAAGAACCACACCGAAGACCAAGCAGACCAGAGCGCGCATCAGCACAGGAAACAGAAGATACTGTCACTCAAGGGCCGAAATCTTTTCGATACCGGCTCGCAGAGACGTATCCCCTATGACTTTCACCTCGTTAAGGGTCAGGATGCCTCTGCTAACTACTACAGATACTTCCAGATGGAAGCATGAACGCCGCCTGTAGCCTCCAAATGCCCAGCCGCCCGCCGCATGCACGAAAGCGCATCGTTCCCCGGCCCCGCCGCCCCGCAATGCAAGCCATCTCCACATTGCCGCCGCAGATAACGACCTCTTTTCATATCTGGACCGCACACACTGGATTTGAAACAAGAGTCCTGCGCCATCCTTCGTCGCACACTGCAGAGCCTCCTGCTGGAGCTTCCAGAGAGCAGCGCCACCCTACGCACGTACACCATGATGCCCGGCCTCGCAACCAGGGACAAACATTTGGAGGATGCGAAGCCGGTCCTGGTGGTGTAGAACACAGGAAAAGTTTGCTGACAAGCACAGCAAACCGGTCGGCCGACGGCGGTGGAGAGGAAGGCTAGGGTCGTGGCGACGCGCTGCTTAGGACAGGGTTTGCTTCACGCGATGGGCTACACAATGGAAGGCAGCTAACCCGCCTGGTGGCAGACGTCGAGAGCACATATGCCATAACAGCTTTCTCTATCGGATCTGAACCGCAGAAGCCCTGCCCGGCAACCCTCCTGTCATGGTTGAGCGCCTGTCCGCTGCGCCGTGGTCGCGCCGCCACCCGTGCCATCACATACTCATAATGCTTGGACTGCACGGATTTTGCGGGTCGCAATCATGTGCAGTGGCTAGGAGGCATCACTTGGAAGCGCGGGCCGTGAGATGGCGCCAATCGAGGGTGAAGTCGGACAGACTACTGCAAGTGAGTTTGCCCCAGGCGGTGCGAGCGGGCCACCAGCAGTCGTAGGAAGAAAGCGCGCCAACACCAATGCCGAATATCGCGCTGGAGATTCACATGTTCTTAGCCAAGTCATTCTGCTGATTTTTAATCAGGAGATATTACCTGCGGCCGTAGGAAGGGAAGAGCGTGCGTAACCCAGCTGTATCACCGCAGCATTGCTGTTAACCAACCTCAGCACCTAGTCAAGGCGGATCACACGAGCAGGAAGAAAAGAAAAGGATACTCGGGCTCACATCAGCCCAAGGAAGTGCACTGTGCAGTACAGGCGACACTGTGTCCAAAAACCTGAGCAGAGCTCAGGTGCTTCCAAGGCAAGTTCCGGAAAAGTCATTGCATCGAAGGAACGAGGATGTAGATTGAGAAATGGGAGAGATGCATACATATGTTCGGGGGAGACGTTTTGAATGCTACTGGGGGCGTGGAATGCGTCTTTACTGGCGTCGGTTAAGTCATGAAATTGGCTCCTAGAGGGAATCCGCTCTCTGGCACATGAGCCGATCTCCAACTCACGTATGAGGCTGTGCTTTCGATAGTACTAGTGTCATTGGTTAGACAGTAAGGTAGTACCTCTCTGATCTCGATTCACAGGTACGAAAAGGAGGTAGGAGTTTCCTTGACTTGTTTCCATCAAAGTATTATATTGATCACTTCCCTTGATTCCCCTTGCTACGATTGCTGCCCCTTCATTCGTTCGTGTATATAAACACCAGATAGCAGCAGCGTACAATGAACCATCCACATCCACCAGCTTCCGCCTGTGACCGTCTGCGATCACCGTCTCACACTCCACCATGAGACCCGAGGGTGGCAGGTAAAAGTGCCGTGTCTGCTGATGCTCAAGGGCCAGGCCACGGGTGTGGTGCAGTTCGACAGACATGTTTGGTTCTCTTCATGGTATTCGCGAGCAAGGCTCGCGAGCCGCGCCAGGCCACGGGCAAGCGGGCTTGAGTGCAAGAGTCCTACATCCTGTTAGCAGCTGGACAGACTCGGAAGCTCGTTGTTGGCACTCACATCACTGGCCAGCTCCGGCAGGCGCTGGAGCACTTCGGCGATCGATGGCAGGCGTTTCTGGGGGATCGGATGGATCCAAAGGTCCAACACTGTGTTGGATACGCTCTGGCCAGCGTTTGGGGGAACGATCAGACGGACATTCACGGCGGGAAGGTCCAGGAGAGGCAGAAAGTGTTGGATACGCTCTGACCAAACTGCGGCGGACGGAGGCCAAACCGGTTGCTGGAGTGCACTCGACCCGAGATTGGCAGTCCGCCATGGTTTATGGCGGCCGGCGGCATCGTTTGGATGCCCGTCATGCGCTCGCTCTCTGGTTCGAGTGTTAGAGCTCCACATAGTTCAGTAATTGAAGCTCACATACCTGGAGTTGTGTACACCCTCCACCCAGAAATGTTTGACCCATGGTGGGGCCGGCTTGGTGGAGAGGATCGCCGTTGACCCCAGCCCCTGAGGTGAAAGGACGGGGCCAGGGTCAGGCGTGGATTGGAGGAGTGGCGTCCGTCTTGGACTGTAAAACGACCAACGGTTAGTAAAAGCTTCAGATGATGGGATTGGAAACAAGGTGAAGGACTGGACTCACGGCGGTGGGCTTGTGGTATTCACTACCATGGGCGCACTCGCCCACCCGATGATTTTCGGGCAGGTGCCCCTGGTCTGTTGCTCTCAGACTGAGGGGGAGGATACTGGTGTTGCACGCTGTTAGCCGCGTGCTTGGAAGGATGGTTGAGACTGAGGCAAGGAACTCACAGTATGTCAAACTAACAATAGCAGTAAGAATACTGAGGGGGAGTATGGCCGTAACAACAGAGAAAATTCTTCTGGAGGCGTGGAGTGGAGTGAAGAAGAAAGGTGGCAGGTTGGGCGGCTGGAAAGGTTTTGAGGAGTGAACGTACCTGCCATCTGCAGCCAGGCAGCAGCGAGTAGCGCGGTCACGCCACCTAGTGTCGTCATATCTATGGCAGGGACTACGGATCCCTCGGCCGAAGATGGAACAGGTACCCCGCGAATGGAGTGCGAGGCAACCGCGGAGCAGTTTTACAAAGAATCCGAGAAGTATACAGCCGTTCAACTTGAGAGCCCGCACTAGCAATCTGGCGATAGCATGCGTTTTGAACATGAGCCGCGTTTGAAGCGTTAGACGTGGCTTTCATGCAGCAAGAAGCCTTGCGTGATCCTGACGTCCAGGTAGGGGGCAACCTCAGCAAGAAGAACTATGCAAAAACGATCACTCATAACACTCGTCTGCCATCCAAGTCCTGAAAGTATCCTCTGAAAGTATCGCACTCTTCTACTCTACATTAATTGAACCCGCTCTCAACGCATCCTCCATGCCATTGTTTTACCCCCGCAGCTATGGGGCGGAATTGATGTCGCGCTCGACCGTAGCCGCCAGGTGTACCGTGGTTGTATTTTCAACTGCACCTTCTTCCACAAATTGCGTAGACCCATTTCCAGTAACCTCGTGTCGGGCGGTCCGTAGCTTTGCTCGTAGCGTATCGTGCCATCATGGGACCGGAACACGCTACTCGGTTGTCAAAGCTGTCGTTCCGACACCCTTGCTCCACACATCAATGACTCCGGAAATGTAACGGTACCTATCCAGCGCTGTTCCATCTTTGCAAGTTGTGTAGCCACGGCTGGAGTGGGTAAGAGCACGGGCGGTATGGTGCGTTCACGCTGAGGGGCGGGCGTCTGGGGAAAACGATCTCGATCGAGCAGTGCGTCGCAGCGGCGGGGGAGCCTAGCGTAGGCGATGATAAGCTTTAAACCTCAGGCTTCTACACCACTGATACCAGCGTCAGCGTGTTATGTAGGGAGGAGGAGTGTTGCGAAAAGCAAGATGGCACAAGTCTCCACTCTCGGGTGGCGACGGTCAATAGGGAAGATCTGATTGGGCTGAGCTCCCCTGAGTACCGTAGAGCATGGGCCTCAGCTGTGCGTAGGATAACGGAGCGTGCTGTCACTTTTAGCGGCCGAAGTCGTGGAGGAAGCGCCATAGAAGGGATGAGTTTTCGCTTTACAGCGGTCTTGCAATGACTTGCGCAACCACCTCTTGCGCGAAGGCACTTTTAGCCTTGACATTACCAATTTCCGAACTGAAACCTACTGTAGGGAATCCCAATACGCTGTACAGCCGTCGCTATTATATATGTTCGAAGAGTTCACACGTGTTGCGGGAAAATCTGAGCGCAGCAAATCCCATTGGGAACGTGGGCAAACGAGAAATGTCTGGATCCTGTCCATACCGAAGGAGTTAGCAATAGCGACGGTGAGCAGGAGGGATAGCAGAGATATTCACCGAAGTTGACATGGTGGAAGCCAGAAGCTCTGGTCATGCGAGAGGCAGCAAGTCGGGAACGATTCCCACCCGAAGCAAATTTCATGGACGGCTCTTGAGCATGTGCGGTGGGAAGGAAACGCTCGAGTTGGATGGGAAGGTCAAGGGAAGAGGCAGCTCGGGCAAGCGTGGGAAGCGCATTTCCAAAGCGAGCCGGCGCACTAAACCCAATGTAGCAACCGGCCAGCTTAAGGGTACAGCAGTTTCGGCTGACACACAGCCAAGCGCAATCAGCCGCAGCTCGGTCTTAATACATCAGGGATCCGACCAGAAATTGAGAAGGCATGTTTGAGAGAGTATGGCCCCATTTCGTTCTTTCTGTCTGCTCTTTGCAGCTGTATATATGCAGGTCCTCATTGCCTGTCTTGAGCCTGAGACGGATCAAGAGCCAACTAGGTGGTTCGTGCCCTCAAACTGGACAACACGAGCTCTCACACCGGCCTCATTTGATCTTGGACGCAGCACTCATAGCAAGGTATTGGCTCCGCACTGCCGCTTCTCAGACCACATCCAGCCAGCCACGAAGCCTCAAGCTCGTACCGTACCAAGCTCTTCTGAGCATCTACAAGTAGCGGTCGGCAAGACACTCCTGGCAATAAGACCAAGGATATACGCTCGATTATTCCAAAGCTTCATGAAGAAAGCTTGCAAACATGCCAAGAAGCGATCAAACCACCCCAAAACGTTGATCGCACGTCGCGCGAGGAACACCTGCTTGACAGTTTCGCGCTCAGGGATGGTCGTATCAGGGTATGCTTGTATAGGCAGCGGAGATGTCCCGATGAACGGCGCGACGGTATGAGCAGCGATTGCCGAGCTACGGTGATGAACGAGGTGTAAGATGCGGATTGCATGCACAGGGTCGCTCTAGAGATGCTCGATCAGCACTTCCACTAGATAGCCGCTAAGAAAACCTATTTCCGAGGCACATACACCGGAAAGGGTGTTGGAGCGAAATACCGAGCAGTGGGAATTGTGTGGCGGCGAACAGCACATGGAATGTCAAGCTGGCGCGGTCGTCATCCTAGGAGCACGATTAAGCCGAGAGAAGAGCGATCAAGCTCACGCGGATGCCTGCGAGACTGTAAGGTTGCGGTCGAAAGGTAAGGATAGCAGTGTAACGACGAGGCGAGGTTCGAAAAGATGACGGGGAAACTGGGCTGTCGGACGCGCAGATAGGAGGAGCAGCGCCCGCCGATGACCACCTAAGGTAAAATGTCAGCAGCTGCAGCAGAGTCACAAGGCGTCTCCGGATCAAGAAATCGGTGCTCTTGGGGGGGAATCTGTCAGATCAGCACCGCCCGCGGTCAGAATTTGCCGTTGCAGGGTCGTTTACAGCCGTGAGTCCGAGGTGACTGCAGCGCTAGGTAGTTTAAGCTTCGGCTTTGAGGAAACTGAATCCACTTGTAGGATGTTGCAAGATGAGGTTGTGGCGCAGACAGTGTTGGCTGATTCGGTTTGCGGATGAGCTAGTTTAGGGCCCGCCGCCCGGCTGCACTGCAATGGCTCGCCACATCGCGCTTGCTGCCCGGCCAGTAGGAAAGGAGCAGTCATCTCAATAATCTTGAAACCTCATTGCGCCAACTTCTAAGGGAGCTGCCTAGATATTGCCCGTATCTTGCGACATCTCTGTGGCTCTGATGCACCGAGGGACTTATGCACCGAGACAGCCACTCCATGACTTCACTATATGCCGTCTACTTCTGTCGCGCGGCCATGATGAGATTTTATCCAGGTTTCGAAGATGTTAGCGGGAAGACGAGCAGAAGACAAGGGCAGCTGCGCGGTATCGACTGGCGACGCAAAGCCTGTTCCGGAACGTGGCAGGCAGATGGAAGCCGCGTTAAGCGATCCGATGATGCCCCTGCGATGGCCACCTCGGGGTTCATGAGATGGCATGCGAACGCGGATCAAACAGAAGAAGAAGGTGAAGAAGTAGGCGTAGATCTGCCTTCACTACTCGGCGCCAACGACAAAATGCGCATCCGCTATGGTAAACGGTAGGCCACGGGCGTGAGATGTTGTTGGAGGCTGCCTGGGTCTTGAGCAGTCGGGCATGGAGGCTGCGCTCTGGTCCCAGCAGGAGCTCACGAGCCGGTGCAAGGCTGCTTGCCTGGGCTGGGCTGCGTCGCGCCTGCCCAGACAGCGTGTTGTGTGCCCCACCGAGTGCCCGGTGACGCAGTTTTGCGCCAGTGATGAAGCTCCCGTGCGATCACTCCGGCCGCTTTGGGCTTAGCGGGAGCGGCTGCCCTGGCAACTACTGCCTCCAGGCGCAGCTGACCCGGATTATTACATCCGCCGGGCGACTCATAAAAAGCTCTTCGTGCCCCGGCCAGGCTCCCTTTCCTCTTTTCTTCTTCAGCTCTCTTTGCCTTTTGGCTTAGATCCCGTGTAGTAAAAGTTCTTTTTAGTTTAATCTCTAGAACGCCCCTACGGGGGTTTACTACTTTGCTTGTCTTTAGAACCGGATCGGTAGCCGCTGAGCTTAGCTTATGTCACTGGTCACAGTGTCGCCCGTATTGCACTGTCTCGGGCTGATGCGAACAACTCTGTCTTTTCGTCATTCAACTGGCCTTGTGCCGGTTTTTGAGGAAGAGCAGCGGACTTGGGATTTTCTTTGGTGTTGGTCCTCACTTTGCATCTTCTCTCTGTTGCAAGCGCAGCGCGGATGAGGCCAAGATTGCGTGGAGAAGGCAGGCCACAGCTGCATGCTTGCGTACAGTGCGCAAGTTCGCAAAGCGCCTTTCACTCATCGGAAATGGAGGCGATGACGGACGAGCAGCGAAACAAAGGTAGCTGAGGGGTCGACCGTCCGAATCCTCGCCGGCCGACGCAGCATGAATGGCGTGGTTTGGACGGGCGCAGGGTCGGTAGCGAGCGGACGGCGAAGGATCGACCTGGAGGACGAGCAACGTGGCCCTTGCAGCAGTGCGATCTGCGGCAGGCAGCAGCCTGCTGGTACGGGGCGCAAACCGGCTCGGAGTATATTCCGTGTTTCACGCAAACTAGGTTCTGGATGCAAACTGCGGGGAGCGCCAGAAGCTCATCAGCTAAAGTGCGGCTGTGGTAGCCGGATTGTAGAGCGATCTAGGCCCCCGGCCTGCAGCCGTTGCCCGGGTCCAGCCCGGCCACTTGGTGCACCGCGCCACGCCCAAGTAGCGTGATAGTGACAGGGCGCCCCATCGCTTGCCACACCAGCGACAGCGCCGCTTCTCTTCTCACCTCGCGACTCTGCATCTTGCCCGGCCGCAATGACAACCACCGACCAGGCCAGGGCCGCTCTCCTCGCCGAGCGCGCGCGGGAACGCCATGTCTTCTCGTGCGACTCTGTCAGACTCTCCTTGCTGCGCCCACCTAACTCGTTCCCAGCTACTATCCGCCCTCTCTGCGCCTCCCAGATCTGCGCCCATCGCTGGACGCCGCCGCCGATCGCCTGCTGGCCCCCGAACTGGACCCTCGCCCGTCCAGCGATGCCGCTCTCTCCGCCTTCGCCCAGCTCGGTGTCCATCGCCTCAACGCAAAGCGCGCCTTCATCTCTCTGATCGACAGCCAGTCGCAGTTTGTGCTTGCCGAGGCCACCAAGACCGTTCCCTTGGGCAACCCGTCTGTCCGCCGTGCGCCCGACCCCCTCTGGCTGGGCTGCGCCATCATCCCTCGTGCTTTCGGTGCTTGCCAGTGCGCTCTGGCAACCGATGCCCTGGTCATCGAGGACACGCAGCTGGATTCCCGCTTTACTGACCTTCCCTTCGCCACTACCGCTCCTGATTTTCGCTTCTATGCGGGCGTGCCGCTGAAGAGCCCCCAAGGCCCCGCCATTGGTGTCTATTGCATCATTGACGACGCCCCGCGACATGGCCTTGGAGACCATGAGCTGCTTTTCATGCAGGACATGGCTGCCACTGTTGTGTCCTACCTCAGTGCTGCTCGCGCTCAGGATACCAATCGCAAGGCAGAGCAGATGATCCGCGGCCTAAATTCCTTTGTGACCGGTGCGGCCGACCTTCAGGCCAGCCAGGACCTCGATGTTCCACAAAGTCCCGTCTCTGGCTCGCCCAACAGTACATCGCACCATTCACCTCACAAGGCCGCCGAATCTCCTGCGGATGCATCGCAGGAAGACGAGGGCCCCGCCGACACGTCCTTCTCGCACGACGACCTCCTCTCACCCGGCACCAAACGCATGTTTGCTCGCGCTGCTCACATCATGCGACAGTCCAGCGACCTCGACGGCGTCATTTTCTTTGATGCTTCAATGGCTAACGCAGAGGCCCCACCCTCGCCCACAACCGATGAGAGCGGCGATGATGCTGCCTCCAACAGCCCGGCCATCATTGTAGAGGAGTCGTCTGGATCTACCGCCTCATCTTACGGACTTTCTCGCCAGTCTACTTGCAGGATACTTGGCTTTGCTGATGCAGCTCGCTCAAGCAGACACGGCTCTATAGCCAGGAAGGATTACCTGCGCTTGACAGAAGATTCTCTCCGCCGACTGCTGAAAAGGCACCCGAACGGCAAGATCTTCAACATGGAGAGGCAAGCAGCCGACAATACGCCAATGAGACACACCAGTAAAGGGCAGATGCGCCGTAGTACCGCCGTCGAGGCCATCATGGACGTTGCCTACAATGCTCGCAGTGCCGCCATCATACCGCTGTGGGATTACGAACGCCAGCGGTGGTTTGCTGGATGCCTTTGCTGGACCTCGGATCCAAACAGGCAGCTGTCTCATGGTTCCGATCTGCTCTACCTACGCGCCTTTGGCAACAGCATCATGACTGAGCTTGGCCGGATCGACACTGTTGCTGTGGATAAAGCCAAGACGTCCTTCATCGAATCAATGTCCCACGAGCTTCGCTCTCCGCTCCACGGTATCCTCGGTGGCGTAGAGTATCTGCTGGACATGCGCCTGGATGTCTTTCAAACCAGCATCGTCAATTCCATCTCCATGTGCGGTCGAACACTTCTCGATACCGTCGAGAACGTGCTCGAGTACTCCAAAATTAACGAGTACGCAGGTGGGCGCTGGAGGCACCCGCGAGCTCCGCTCCCTGCATTCAACTCGAATCCGCCAACCAATATTCGCAACCTTACTGAGGAGACAGTTGAGGCCGTGTTTGCTGGACAGTCGTACAACATTGCATCACGGCAATCCGCTATCGAGGACGACTCCTTCCTTTCAAACACTACCAGCCCCACATCACCAAGAACAGAGCGACCTTTACGAAAGGCTGTGCGTGTCATCTTTGATCTTCCAGCCGGTCCTTGCTGGACCTTTGCAGTACAACCCGGAATCTGGCGGCGCATCCTTATGAACGTATTCGGCAATGCCCTGAGATTTACCGACGCTGGATTTGTGCGAGTATCACTGTCCGCCACCGACCTAAATGAAAGTTTGAGCAGGGTCACCTTGACTGTTGCCGACTCTGGCTCCGGCATGTCATTACAGTATCTCCAAGATGGTCTATTCAAAGCATTCTCGCAGGAAAATTCTTTCTCAAGCGGCACCGGCCTTGGCATGAGCATCGTGCAGCGCCTTGTACGCAGCATTGGTGGAGACATATCAGTACAGAGCAAGGTTGGTGGCGGCACCGTCGTCAAGATCCACATGAACCTTTACAAATGTGAAGAAATGGTTGACGACTTCGCCTCAGCAGTTGCAGCTCAGACAGCCGGTATGCACATTGCGGTCGCGAGGACCATCGTCCCTGAAGACGACGAAACCCACAAGCTCTCGTGCGATACCGAAGTCCAATTTCATGCATCCCTGACCGAGACCCTGCAAACATGGTTCGGCATCAAAATCACAACCCTGGATGACTTGAACACGGACGGCAGTCAGTTGGTAATGTATCCTTCGCCCAGCTTCAACTCAATGTTCAAAATCAGAGCTCGACAAGGCGTTTCCATAGTGGTGGCCATGGACGGTTTGGAGGCTGCGACGTTGAGAGCAGATCCGAGGGTTACAAACGGATTGATCGACGTCGTCACTCAGCCGTAAGCCATACATTCCGAGCTACAATGCTGGCTAATCTTACACTTTACTAGTTGCGGTCCTTCGAAACTCGCCAGAATCCTTCAACGATACCTATCCCTTCTCGACTCGAAGTCAGACGCTCCAATTCGGCCAGACATCATAGCCTCGCCGCGACCTAATCCAGTGCCGTACGCCCCACTTGTTCGTGCGCCGCCTTCCCGTCGACGGTCCCCCAAGATAAGATTGGACACTTCTACAGCCCCCGGAATTGCGCCAGCGGAGATCATACCAGAAATCTATCTTGCACCGGCGTCCGAACTCTGTGATAGCCCTGTAGCAGACTTTCCAAAAGAAACTGCCCCGATCTCCCCACCGCGACACCCACTTCCCTATCGTCCTCTTCCCGATCGACGAGAAGGCCGACCGAAGAAAGAAAAACCTTGTCCCCCCGTTTTGTCCACCTGTCCCTCCAAGGAAATTCTCATCGTCGACGACAATCCGCTCAACATCCGCCTACTCGCTGCTTTTCTGAACAAAGCCGGTTTTGTGCGTCACACGTCGGCAGCGAACGGGCTGGAGGCACTCGACTTGTTCAAACAGGACCCAACCCGCTGGGGAGCTGTGTTGATGGACTTGAGTATGCCCGTCATGGATGGAGTAACAGCGACGAAAGAAATCCGAGCGTGGGAGAGAAAAGTTGCCCTATTGGAAGGTGTGCAAGCCATCGCCAGGACCGCTGGTGGCGACGAGAAGGGGGCCCCGCCGCTTGATAGGAATTCAAAAAGCAGCGATTCGGGAGAGACGGTCAAGGACTTGAGGGAGGGCGATGAGCCCAACCCTTCTCCGGTGGAAACCGAGTCTTCAGCGGAAACTGAGCTTTCGGCCGAGGACAGGGAGTCGGAGTTTGAATGTGACCAGCACACATCCTCTTCACACACTCCTCCTCGTCGCTCCAGCTCCCCTTCCATGCCGAGCGGTCAACTCACGCCCGATACGGTGTTCACCGAAGCAGATGAGCAAAACCCGATCGCCCATGCGTCGGCGCCCTCTCATCTACCATCTCCACCCACTCCGATGAAGGGTGACTCGAAGAAAACAAAGCCTTCTTCTTCACCATCCCCCAGCAGTCCTAGCCATGTCAAAATCATCGTCATCACCGGCCTAGGCAGCGCCACGGCACGCTTCGAAGCCACGAATGCTGGCGCCGACGTGTTCATGACGAAGCCGATACAATTCGGGGGGTTGATGAAGACCCTCAAGAGGCAGCTTGGGAGGCAGGAGGCTAATAGGTCTTGAGTCGATGATGAGCCCGTGATGAGGTTGCTCTGTGGGAAAATGCCTTGAATGGTTAACCGGTGGCTTGTTTGTCGCGTTGTATTAGATTGGCGGCGCTTTGTACACGGGGATGGGTTTAATGGCGTTTGGACCATAGTTAGATTGGTATGTTGGTCGGTTGCGTGGGCGTGGAATGGGAGCGGTCAACAAAACGTGACACTTGGGTTGTAGAAGCCTCTCAATTACCGGCGTTTTGTGGGTGTTGCGTCCATATTAGGGCGGATGTATTTTTCAGAAGGAATGAAGGCCTTACGGCTATCATGTTTGTCCTGACTAAGGATTATTAGTTGAGAGACGGGAATACTCATTTGACGTTATGGTCTCAGTTGCTCTTCCCTTGCATTCCGGAGCCAGGACAGCTAACCCATAGACCGTCACTACGATATATGGCCCCGGAGTGTTGAAGATTGTCATGCGCTTTGAATATACAGTATTTGTTTCGTCGCCACTTGAAGTAAGTCGCTATCGTAAACCCCCTAGGCATCGTTTTTCTTCTTCAACTCACCAAAGGCAATGCTTTGACAGTCTGCAATTATACTACGAGCCATGGGTGAATCCGTCTACAACTTGTTCTAAAATTGAACAAGTCTTTTAAGATGTCCTCCACATTTGATTTTTCTCGACTGAACTTTGTGCTTCGATGTAGTCAGAGTAGGCGAGGGCGGTCAGTATCTGCCGCGTTTTCCTATCATTTAATCAACATTTTTACCTTTCGCGATATGCACTTTGAGGCTAACAGGTTGCTAAATAAAGCAGCAGTTTCTTCGCAGCAGGATAAATCAATGCGAATACTCGACCTACAGCTACACTAGAACAACCCCTCGTCGCAAGCTAGACAGTCATAGAAATCGGAAAACGCCGAGCTACAAATCTACCTGAAACTCTTCTCTGCGCAAACTCCGGAAGCCACCACCTGCTGCTTCTCTTTCTCGCCGGCACGCCACGGTGCGGCTTTGCAACTAACAACACTAAAGCGACTTGCCAGGCTTCTTGGTCATGAAGGCGCCAAGAACGGCGCTCATTGGCGATGAAGCCGGTGAGAGAGCCGTGGCGTCCTCTCCACCATTTCTCACATTCGCCGCCGGGTGGGATCGTATATACTCGTGTCTTGTCTTTCGTTCCACACCGGAAAAATATCCGCAGATGGGAACCTGGCCGGAGTGACGAGAAGTCGGAAAACGTGACGAGAGAGGGGAGATACGATGCAGCGGCATAATCATGCGATGGGCATGGCCTCTCGGGTGAAAAATGCCATGTGGGTGGGTGTTCCGGCGACATCCGCGGATCGACGCTGGGATATGTATCTCGTGGCAGTCTCAGTCGCGTCCATGTATGGTCTGGTCGAGTCAGCGTCGTTGCGCGACTCGCCCGGCGTGGGCTGGGTGAAACATTCCGGCTTTTGCGGCATCTTCCTAGTCGATGCTGCGGACAGCCTTGGATATCAAAGTGTCCATCGTCCACTGTGCTCTGCGACATCGTGGCTCGCCAGCGGCCAGCCCTTGAACCGCCACGGTCCGGCGTCTTCACCGGCGTTTGTCAAGTTGGGATAGCTTGGCAAAACTGTTCCCTAGATAGCTTGACTCGTTCGTATGTGTCATGTCTCCCAATGATGGGAGGTCGATACCAACGGCGAGCCCGTGCCAAGGTGAGAGCCCCCAGATAGCGGCGGCTTAGCATCTTCAGGCCAATCAGCAAACTACCCGTCCTTGGCCCCGCCTTTTTCCAATGGATTCCGAACCGCAGAATACGTGTCGGCACGTGGGTGCTATCTTGCACCACGGAGGGTGGCTAAGTCAGACTTGTTCATCTGCGTCTTGTCCATCAGGCGGGAACGCCGACGACCCCATTCTGAGATGGACACTAAAGTCGTCCATGAAGACCAGCCTTCCTCCTTCGGAGATGACGCCCTTGGAATGCTTGATGAAGATTCTGGGAGGCATTGTGGCTGGCTTGTGTTGAGTTGAGTGGTAGAGAGTAAGGTGTTTGGAGAGTTGGATGAAGATTGGTGGCTGATGTGGCTCGCGAAATGCGGACGAAGAAGCGCGTGTGCGAGCTTGGATGACTGGTTTTCCATCTTAACAGAGGTGTATAATTGCTTCATCACCTCCAGGATAAACACAGTTTTCTTGACGAGAATGCGAACGCGGTCGTCCTTCGCGTTCAGCTACGGTGGCGGGTTTGTTTGATTGCATCAGAGCTGCGTGCTTGGCAAACTTCCCGCTCCTCACTGTCCACTGGCCCCAGCAAGCGAGGATGGACTAGTGTAGGCGTTCTACCGATATCCGGACCTGCAAAAGTTGCTTTCCCTGCTGCGTAAAGTAACTCATTATAGCTTTTTCCGAAGATGACGGACTGCGGTTCGCGTTCATCTCGTGCTTGAACGGGTCTCTCACTTCGTCATGGAAAAGCCTGTGAGCGAGACCCGCAGTCTTGGCGTTGCATTCTGCTCCTGTTTCCGGCTCTGACATCTAGCAGAAGGAAACAGTGGACGCGGGAAGTTTAGATCCCTTGTGTCCTTTCCAGAGCCGGCGGACCGATGGGTGGAAAAGTGAGATAGGCTTGACCTGAGTGTGAGCGTTTTCGATCAACGTTCGCCGGCTGTGAAAGCGGGTAGCTAACAGCTTCTTGACATACGAAAGCAATGAGGTCTTGTACATCATTGCATCTGACATGGGCGTGGCAGCAAGCTCCGTAATGGCTTACATTTCCTCTCGTCTCTTCAGCAGTACCTTCTTACACTGAGAAGAAGGTCTAGTACTTTGTGCACTGAGAGTGCGTACTGGCGAGATGCAGAACTTGGTTGCAGCTAGAAGTACTAGAAGTACAGATGACCATGTACCAGTACTACAGCATAGCGGGTTCGGCATGATCAGGTCGAAATGCTTCTTGTGCCCATGCTTTGTCCGATCTCGCCAAAAGTGATGCCAACAAAAAGGTCGCCGAGATGAGTGGCTGATGTACCTATACCAGAGAGGATCAAGCACTGATTGGTGAGAGATTGATGGTGCGACGCGACGCAGCCTTGACGTTGGGATCCTGGTAAATAGCGTCGGCCAGGTTGGGCTTCTTATTACCCACGGTTATAGGAGCACAAGCCTATATACTCTGGAGGCTCGGTGCAACCAACAAGGAAATACGAATAGCTGCAGTGCTTGGAGAACAGTTGTGGTCCATGCTCAATTCTTTGGGATGCCTAGTGACTTCGACTTTTCTGTGACGGCCCTGAAAGCAAAATGCAATAACGACTCCAGGGAGGCTGGCACTGCCGCACTTGGCATCCTTTGAGGACGTGGTAGATTGCCGAGGGGCTTCAAAGCAGGGAGGGACATGAACACCTCGAGCCAAGCTTCTTCCACAGCCTTCAGTGTAGTGCGAACATGCAATCGCAGTCATCGCAATTCGCAAGGTATGACATGGAAGTGGCTTCGAGCTAGACCATCGATCTAGCATCGAGGACGGTGCTGGTGAGCATGTTCATGGCCGTGAAGATGGTGAGGGGGGCCTCAGTGATCGGTTGAAGGAGGTTCGCCATGTTTCTTATAATGATGGAAGGCCTGCTGTAGTACTCTGTGGCGGTGGTATGGAGCCTGCGAGCAAACTGCTGACTTTCGCCATCGACATGGCTGATAGCCAGCTTGAAGGCCCTATCCAACATCATTATGACCTGATACCAATGTCATCAACAGCCGTCATCCCCAGAACGCGGGGCTGACTGCGGAGCTTAGCTCGGCCAATATCACGAGTATCAAGCCACTTTCAAGGCAAAAGAGCCCCTGAAAGCCAAGAAACCCCCCGGGATCTGGAAAGATGTTGGCGAATTGCATCGACCCATCCAGGGCCAGATGAGACAGCAGGAGGTAATTTGGGCGTATAAAGAGGCGGCCGGAGGATGAGGGCGATGAACAGGGTCAACTCCGACTTCCATGCACGTAACTGTGGGGCTCGCCGGACCTGCCATCCCATGAATGCTCTCGTAGAACTTTCCCTGCTGTAGTTGGAACTCAGGCGATGCTGTTGGCCACACCCTTGTCACTCCAAATGTGCCTTCGTGGAACGTCGCTTGTTGTGGCGTGAATCCAGGAAGAATCATTGGCTTTCCGGGGAAAGGCCTCGAAGCTGGTGTACTAGACGAAAACATGTTAGCGGAGACGAAATAGAGAAAATCGAGGGTGATGTGGGCTTACAAAGACGACAAGCAGATTGAAAAGTCTTGTACACCGACGACTGGTGATATGGGACCGTCGTGCCTGTTCAGACAGATCAGGCTGAAGGTCTGCCTTAAGCACTGACTAGCTTTGCAGTAGCTTCATATCTGAGCCGTCTCGCCAGCGCTTGGGGGGCACGGTTTTTCCACGAATGCTGTCTTGTCATGCACGATGCTCATGGCGTCGGAATCGACCTGTGTCTAAAAAGCCAGCGATCTGACCGCCGACCTCCTGAAGAGATGTTGATGTGGAGGCAGACACAAGCGTTGCCGATTACGCTTGCGCTTCTGCCTGGCGGGGAGCGGATGGAAGATCTAGAACAGAGAGACTGCCAAAATCAGTTACCATGTCCAGAATCGTGTTCGGTCTAACGAGGAGTATGCTCTGTTCATCACTGCATGGAGCGACTTACCGGACAAAGGATGGGCTCAGGAGGCTAGATAAGGCGCATGCAGAGCGATGATTTGTGCGGATGAACCTGGGGGTTGAGAGGTAGGGAAGAGCATAAAGAGCTGCGACGGGCATGGAAGCAGGGCTTAGGTCGGAGGACATGGTGGTCCAGCAGCTTCCAGAAACTGCTACAAGGCTTGCTTAGCGCGGTCCTGCCGAATTTGATGCAAACCCGGCACCGGCGCGCCGTTTGCTTATCCACTCCACCCGCGATTGTCCCACCCTACACAAAACATCACCTTCTTCCTATGCTATCATCCTTGCACTCCTCACTCGCCCACCCTCTTCCAAGCTCGCCGCAACGTTTGACAGCTGTGCTCTCATCTCGGCACGCATCATGAGCCAAGCTACAAGCTTTGCGCTGTTCTAGCTGGCTCTTCAAGCAAGATCTTTGAGCGGTAAGCCGCGCACCGCGAAAAACCTGTGACGTTTGTGATCTGGCCCTCCGTCGCCGCGTGACAGCTCCAACAAATCTCAGCCTAACATCACCCACACAGTGTGACAGAAGACAATCAGCTCAAGCTCCGAGTCGGTCATTCGCTCATTGCAGCTGCCAACCTCAACCTCGAATGCCTGCCTCTGCGCAGCCATTGTCCTCTTGCAAGAGCAGGGCGGATGGTTTCCCATCTCACCACGCCGGGCTATCGTCTCAGTGCCAAGTATCAGGTACACTACCAAAAGACAGCGACCCAAGATCTCAGAGTGAAGAGCCTCTTCACTCGTAAAGGACAAAGCAATGGGCACCGACTGTGAGAGGGCAGCGCTTTTGTCTCCTCCTGGAGACACTATCTGCCAACACTCCCTCAAACTCCGGCACTTTCAAACACCCCCAGCCGGCGGATTACTCCGGTGACTGCCTTGCGACATCCGGCGCTAAGGCCGAAGGGGAGTGACACAGGACGAAAGCTCAAGTGGCGCGCCAGCTCAAACAACGCTCCAGTTGTCTGCATCATCCGCATACCACACACGGTTCGGTCTCGACTGCGCACTCACAATACCGTCGCGCAAAGCTCACATGGCGTACAAACTCAAGCGCCCGACGAAAGCTCAGCAACCAACCCTGTCTTTACAGAGCCCGACAACACACCTCCTCTCCCCGACAAAGCTTGGTGCACACAAGACTCTGCACTGCAAATCCCGAACAGCGAGTGAGATCGTTGCTCCTGCGCTTGAGATATCCAACAAACCACCAGGGAGGTCATGAGCCAACACAAGAAGCTAATGTTGGGCCGGTTGCATGTGCCTCTCCAGTGAGCACCATAGGCTACCTGTACTACACTCTTCGGCACCTTGCACCTCTTCACAGCCGGGTGTGCCCGTATGGCGAGTGACCCGTTCGCAGCGCTTACAACGATGCTGGTCTCGATTAGCACGCGGAGACAGCTGCGCAATGAGCACCGAGCGCGCGCAAAGTGAAGATCAACACGAACACGGCAATGGAAGCAGGGTCACCCGACACGATTGAGGCCCCCTCACTTCAATAGCAGAACTCATTGAGTTCAACCTTTTTCATGTACTTCACCGACAAGAAGCATGAGACCAACGGAGACCCAAAGAACAACTGCGAGATCTGTCTTCTCCAAGAATGGTGCAAGTCGTGCTGCTCGACATGGCTTACAGCGCCCACCAAAACCGCCGTCCGCCCCCGCGCCAGTCTTACGACCAGGGTGGCTATGGCGGCACTCTTGGCAACGACCGCTATGGGCCTTATGTCCGCCGACTGGACTGGCCATGTGGTCAACAAGTGCGGCCCTTGGGAGGTTTACTCCAGCTGGATCGTCTGATCTAGTGGATGAGGGCCGGTCTTCGCCCAGACATCAAATGACCTCGGGAGTTTTTCTCCAGCCACGAACGGCGCTCCTGGTGGATGAGAGGTCACGGCACCTCGGGAGTTTCTCTCCAGCCAGGGACTATGTCCCTGGTGGATGAGGGGTCGTGACACCTCGGGAGTTTCTCTCCAGCCAGGAGCGTCGTTTGTGGTGGATGAGGGCATTTGATGTCTGGGTGAGGACCACGCGCCAGCCGGGCTCCGATGGCTCCGATATCCTCAACTCACCCATGGAGAAGATCTCCGCCAGTGGTGGTGGCACATACGACGCTGCGTTCATCCCAGTCTACGGAAATGGTGAAGGCGCCCGGGTGCTGCCGACGATCGCACCCATGGAGTCACCATCAAGCTCCAGAAAGAGACAAAAGCGGAAGTGAGGATGGCTTGATACACTGGCGTATGCATCGCTGTCAGTCGGTGATCACAGCCGGGTTCAGGAAAAAGCTGTTTGACTGGATGATCTATTAAACGCTGCTACTACCTGGTGTTTATATAGATGAACGAAGAAAGGGGTATCCAACAAGGCTGTTGTTCATGATAACACGTTGCTGAAGAAGACCCTGTTGGGTTGATGATGACGATCATCCTTGACGTGTACGTGATGGTGTTGACCAACAATCGCTAATTCTTTTAAAAAATAGAACGGAGGGTTCTACTGCTTGTCTGTTAGTCCGCGACTTTCTTTTGAAAAGAAGATACTACCGAACTTCCATACAACTGCTTTCGTAACACTATTAAATCCCGGTCCATTATTTTCGTATCGAGGAGCTTAATATGCGCCCCTGAATACATTCACTAGAGAAGGAGAACTATACGACGGGAAAAGGTGGCTTACTGCACTCTGTCTCTTAATGTGCATACCCTTTGTCGGCTAAGCTAGATTAGGGCACGCTTTTCAAAGATAGCATGCTCTTGATGGTACCTTTTGCCTTCTATTCAAGTCTCCAAGCGGCTGTAGCTTTGAATGGCAGCGGCGTTAGTCCGTACATTAGCGCCTTAGCGTTTAGCAGTAGTTATTGCCCGCCTCTCTTCGGAGGGCAGTTAGAGAATACACACACACTTCCCACTTCTCTTTATGCAGTCATCACCGCCAATAGCCGCTCTCACTACGCACTCAATCCGTGATTTCAAAGTCCACCGTTTACATTGTCCTGATGAGATTGATATATTGAAGAAGCTGTGTCAGCAGCGGGGGACATCGGAGAGATGTTGGGCACAATGAAAGTCCGAATCTGAAGTCAAAGTCAGCAATAAAGGCGCTTCTTAACCATTTTCAGTAAACATGCCTCAGCTCAAGACTCTTCGGTTAGCCAAGTAATACATACGTCGCCGTCCAAGCCGGCATCCAAAACAGTTCTCTGCCTCGCTCCGCAAAGCCAACCCATCAGCACAGCATGCAGGAACAAGTACGTACGTAAACCTTCTCCAGCCCCGCGAGTATCACGACGTCTACCACTCCTTAATCATTGCATTGAAAAGACGCTGCAAGCTCATGGCCACTTTGCATAGTACCCACGCACTCTCGCAGGTCACGACGCCATTCACCGACGTCAGTGTTGCGTGCAAATTTCTCCCAGTTGAGCGCCCACACGACCTTGCTTCGATACCGTCGACAAAGCTCATCTAGCACCGCAATTCAGCACGAGCATAAGACTAGAAAAAAAAAAGAACAATATCATGAAAGGCGGGAAGGCAGGGTCAAGGAGGACGGCATGCTGAACTGCGTGTTCCGGGACGAGAAGGACCTCCTTTGATCGAGACTACCCAACCAGCCGGACTCCCCAAAGAGAACCAGCTCGCCCAAGGAAGGCGTCCGTGATCTACCCTCCGGGAGCTGTGCCAAGGTCTGTTCCACTCTCTACGTCCAACAGAGGCACGGAGCAATCAAGTAGCATCTACCGGATACCACCTCATCACATTACCCAAAAAGCGGGTGGGTGTTGCTGAATCGAACCGAAATAAACATAAAAACGACTTTTTTCACCACCGCTACACACGCTATATACAGCCCCAGCCCAAAGCCCAAAAGCCCATCCCCGGCCAACGTGAACGTGCGCCATCTACTAGCTCGCCTCCTCGACCAGCCTCCCAAACACGGGCGTGCCGAAGCCCGTGACGGGATCCCACCCCTCCGTCGCCGGGAACCCCTCGCTCGAGCAGCCGACGGCGCTGCCGCCGGTGACGTCCGTGTACGCCTTGTGGCCCTTCTTGTACAGCCACGGGTTCAGGAAGCCGAGGACGGGCTTGCCCTTGGCGAGGAGGGCGTCGTTGACGAGGGCGAGGATGCCGGCGTGCAGCGGGGTCGAGGCCGAGGTGCCCGAGATGACGCCCTCGGTGCCGTTCCAGAAGTACGCGAAGTACTGGCCCTGGGTGGCGATGTCGGGGTAGGCGCGGCCGGCTGTGTGGGGTGGTGAGTGTGTTAGTTGGGTGTGCTTAGTGGGAGTCAGGGGGGGGGTTAAATACGTACACTTGTTGTACAAGCCGTCGAACTCGCCGTCGAGGTTCTTGATGTACTGCTCCACGACCTCCTCCTGGTATGCGGGGCGGGCGAAGTAGTTGCTGAAGCCGCCGCCGGAGGAGTAGACGCCGTGGACCTTGCCGGCGGAATCCGTGTAGCTGGGGCGGTAGGCCACGACCTCGGGCTCAAACTCGTGGGTCGCGCCGACGGTTGTGACGTAGGGGCAGGAGGCCGGGAAGTCCGGGATGAACTTCGTCGTGTTCTTGCCGTCGTTGCTGACGCATGTTCCGTTGCTACCCACGCCCGAATCACCGCTGGAGAAGAGCACCGAGATGCCGCGCGCGCCCAGCTGGGCGAACAGCGAGCACACCTTCTTGGCGTACGCCTCGGGCACCGTCTGCTCGCTGTCGCCGTACGACGTGCTGATGACCTGGGGCAGGTCGGGCTGGGCGAGGACGTAGTTCAGCCAGTCGAGGTACGGCTCGTTGGTGTTGGTCGGCGTCGATGTGTCCGGGTTGAAGGGCGGGCTGCCGCCCGTCGACCACGAGTCGATCTGGATGCCGGCGCCGGCGATGCCGGCTTCGGCCTGCACGTCCAGGTTGGCCTCCTTGGAGACGCCGTCCTCGGCCTGGGTATAGTTCAGCGGCCCGTCCTGCACGGGGCCGCCGGCGATGGAGGTTTGGGTAAAGCTGCTGGCGTCGGCGAGCGCCTCCGGGCGGTACTTGGCCAGGAATTTTTCCGTGTCTGGCCGGATGGGGATCTCGCCGAGGTAGTTGGCGAAGCCGACCTTACTCTTGCCGGTGGAGGCGACGTAGCCCTTGGTGCCGTAGAGGTTCTGGAAGCACTCGGGCGTCACGGAGCTGACGCTGCATACCTTGGAAATGGTCGAGTTGGTGCGGGGCGAGTAGCTGGAGGAGACCCAGGGAGCGAGTTCCAGGGCGTTGCTGGCACGGGCGCCCGTCCGCATGAATGATGTGGTGGGTTGGATGGCATCAATGTGCTCGTGCAGGTGCTGGGGCAGCGACCACTTGGACGTGCGCACAAGCTGGCTTCCATCCTGGTGCTTGTAGACACTGTATTCGGTATCGAGAAGCTCCTCAATGGCGGCGACTGGCAGCGTGACGTCGATCCAGTCCTGCGCGGGGCTGTACTTCAGTGCCGAAGCGTCAACGCCGCTGTCGGCAAGCCACTCGTGCACAAGCTCGAGAGCTTCGGAGGATGGCTTGATCAGCTCGTTGACGTCTTCGGCGCTCAAGTGCTGTCCATAGCGGTCATGATCCGGGTCGGACACTGTTCACACAATTGTAAATATCGATGCCTGTATGAGACAGAACGTACATACATACCTTCATACAAGTGGCGCTCAAGTTCGTCGAATTGGCCCTGCTTCAGACCAATGTGTAGGTGGAGCACATGGTCGTCAGGAGCACGGCCTGCCCTGGACCATTGGCGGGGCACGTAGTGTGTTTCCTTGACGGCGTACGGAGAGCGCGCACGGATGGGGGTTGCCAGGACGCTCTGGGCGGCAGCGGCCAGAGAGAGCAGAGCGGTAAGGCGGACCATTGTCTTGAATGTCGACGAGAGGAAGGACGGAGCAGGCGGCTGCAGGTCTGAGCGGAGAGGACGACGAGAGGCCTATTTATTCAAGCGGTCAGGGCCATGGACCGGAGGTGGGATGACGGCGCAGGTACGCGGAGCCAGGGCAGAAGGGGAATCTCGCATGGCGACATGCCGTTCCGGGCCTAATGTTGCGCGTCGGCAACGCGGTGGGGCGTTATCGTGGTGGGCTAAGCGGGTTCGGGCAGGTGGCTACGAAGAGTCCCCTGTCACTTCCCTTGTCGGGTTGGTCTATGCGGGTCGCACAATCCGGGTCAACGCTTACATGACTCCAAGCTATTTCTCCCGCATCTTGGCTGCATTGGCATCGTGGCGACGGCCGATGGTGATTGCTCCACGCTCGAGCTAAGCGACATTGACCGATCCAAGCGTAATGTCTTGCCTCGTTTGCTCCGTGTTGATTGGCGAGCGAAATAACGCTAGGTATCGGTTCCGTCCTTGTGCCAAACGAAACGAAAGAGCGTGTATGTCGGGTGTCGCATCTCGAGTGGTAACAACGCCTTCGTTCAAGAGCTGGATGTGGGGTCATGTGCTCAGGGATAGCGCGACCGTCATGCTGGCCGAGGGCCTTGCTCTAGTGCAGTCAGACCGCCGTTGATCAGCAAACCCTCTCTGCTCCATAAGTGCAAGGTTTCTGACCCGACTCGATCTGCAATGAACTTTGTCTTCAGCTTCTTCCATAAAATCGCGTGCATCGCGATTCTAGTCCATCGTCCTTCGAAATCTTCCGAGTTTGTTGTGGAGGAGTGGCCCATCTGAGAGATCAGCGGAATCCCAAAGGAATTAATTCATGGCCGCTGAGCTTACTGCACCTTGTAGAGTCTTCTACCAGCAAACGCCAACGGCTATCGCTGTCTCAAAGGCTGCAGACTCCCTGCAAAGTTTCAACATCTCTCTAGCCGACCGCGTACCCTTCAAGTGTTCTTTCGTCTTCACTGTCTGTCGAAATCGATGGCGCTGGCAGCGTTGGCCTGGTCGGAGGCAGGCCACGGAAACGGTGTTGAAGCCACATGGGGAGTGTCGAGTCTGCGACCGGGCGGCGGGAGGGCCTGTGAACCGTAAATGTTTCGCGGAAGACGTCGGCGGACGGCGGCGGAAAGACGAGGAGGCGATGGTTGGTTTCTACGAGTGATGCAGAACGTCAAGGGCGGGCGTTCGTGGGATCAGTGTCACCGCGGTGGCGATGATGTGTGTGCGTGGAGTGGGTAAGTGCTGAGAGCGAGACGGCAAGCGAGACGCTCCACGTTCGCTGTTCTACCTGCGGCATTGCTGGGCACTCAGACGGTGACAAGTCCATGTCTGCAAGTATGACACGATTGCAGTGCACCCGATGAACTCAACAGGAGCAGCAGCCACTAGATGGCGAGGTGATCGAGGACCTGCTCTTCGGCGCGCGCTCCATCGCTCACAGCAAGCTTCAGCCAGTGATTCCATGCACTTCTTGCAGGGAAAGTCCCTAGTGATGGAAACTGGTTGGCGGACCACCGAGCAGAGTCTGTCCCGGACAACCTGCTCAATCCTTTACCTCAAAAGCAAGACATGGAATACGCAGATCTGGCAGAAGCCTGCAAGGCGCGAGTTGGCGTGTTTCCTCACCAAGTAAAGCACACGGTCCCGCGGCCGGGCAAAGCGTTCAGTACTGCTGGTCTGCCACAGGCGCGCTTTTGCGCAGCTGGCCTCATTGAAATACACCTCTCTGCAAGTCATCCACGGACTAGCGTTTCCACCCCTGCCTGAGTCCGCAGACTCGGGGCAAGCTTTGCGCCACCATCCTTGACGGCCGGCCTATCCGATCGTGATCGGCACGCTCCACTACTCCACCCCGCCCACGATTCGTCTTACCTGCAGCCATCGAATTGGCCCCCGATCAGGATGGTGCATCTGCAGGGATCAGATACAGCCACAGCCACAGCCACATAGGAAAGGCATCCCTGTCACTACATAGCGCCCGTACGTGGTTCCTCCAGAGCCTCCTTCAACCAATGGAGAAAGGAGAGGGGGCAGACTTGCTGGAAAGCCAAGGGAGAAGAAGACTAAAAGAGGATATGCTGGTGCGCATCCGAGCAGAGCAAACATTGCTCAATGGAATACATAAGACACGAATTGCAAGATACATCTAATCCACTAGCTTCCTTTGTTCCTCAACTCAACCTCTTCAGACCCTCAACCATGAAAGTAATGGTATCTCTTCCCTGCTGAAGCACGCCATCCATAGCCAAGAACGGATGGGGCATGCCCTTCATGACATGGAGCTCCGCCTCGACACCCGCCTTCCTCAGCTTCTCGGCAAACTGCACGCCCTCATCCCTGAGCACATCGAGCTCGCCGACCGTCACAATCGCCGGCGGAAGCTTGCTCCAATCGCCCTCCCACAGCAGCGGCGAAGACTCCGGATGCGCCCAGTCCTCCTTATTCGGCAAATAGTGGTAGCGATACCACAGCATCTTCTTGGCGGGCAGCGCGGGTGTGAATTCCAGCTCCTTCCACGACGCGCTGTTGGTCGTATCCGCCGTGTTGTCGGTGACGGGCACGCACAGGAACTGGGCCAGCAGCGGGGGCGCGCCGCCCCGCGCGAGCGCCCGCTGCGCCACGATGGCGGCCAGGTTCCCGCCGGCCGACGAGCCGGCGACGACCTGCTTCCCGAGGTCGAGGTTGAGCAGCGCCTTGCCCTCGCCTTGCAGCCACAGCAGCGTCTCCCAGCTGTCGTGCACGGCGGCCGGGTACGGGTGCTCGGGACCGAGCCTGCGTGGTTACCGCGCGTTAGTTCTTTCTTCTTCCCCCTTCTAGGTTTCTGCATGGTCTGCTTGCTCCCCACCCCCCTCCGCAGAAGCGAGCGAGCGAGTCGGCGACCAGAAAAAAAAAGAGAAAAGAAAACAAAAGAAACCCGCGTACCTATAATCCGGGCTCACGACGACCCAACGCGCCCTGCTGCACAAGTTCGCCGAGACCGTATTCTCGGTATCGATATTCCCAAGCACCCACCCGCCGCCATGGTACCACACGGCGACGGGCCAGCCGGCGGCGGGGGCCTCGCCCTCGGGCGTGAAGGTCCTCACCCTCACGTCCGGGCCGTCCGTCTCCTGGCGCTTGATGCTGTAATCCCGGACGCTGCCGACGGGGGGCGCGGCGCCGCCGCCGGGGATCAGCACGCCCGAGGTGCGGGACGCGGCGACGGGCTGCAGGTGCACCTGCTGCTTGTCGAAGATGTGGGCGTTGTAGAAGTCGCGGTAGACGGGGTCGAGGCGCGGTTCGATGGATGGGTGCAGCGGGTAGGGCGGCTGGGTCCGCGAGGGGTCGAATTGGAGGGGCGTGGCTTGTGGTGGTGACATTTTTTGGTGAGTTGCTGGTTGGTCGGCCTTTGGGGGAGCTGGGTGTGTGGAGGGAGCGATTGGAGGGGGGGTTTTCGGGGAGTGAGGGCTTACTGGCTAGTAGGGGCGCCGGTGTCGCCGAGGCTTTCTATGAGGCCATTGAGCGAGCGGCCGGCCGGCGGGGACGTCGTGTCGCCATGTCGTGTGGTGCTGTTGCAGATACGACGGCGGACCGGCGGTGCTGGCGGGGCTCGAGCTTCCCCGCGGTGCGTGGGGGCTCTCGTGGGGGCGCGCTGTCCGAGGGGCGGCGAGCGCGCGGGATGGAAGTGGTGGCCGGACAGGCGCGTCAGAAGGGGCGGTCTGCCGGCCGGGAAATGTCGTGTGGTGAGAAGCGGGGAGCGGGCGTGTCAGTCGGCAGCCATTGCCAATCGCCCGAGATGGCCCTGGCGGATCGACGTCGCAATCGGCCTAGGCTGCGATAGAGCCAACGGCTCAGATCCAACGTCGCCGATGGTAACAATCCGCCCTGCAGTTGACAGCTTATGCCGCCGCTCGCCGTGTCCGGGCCGGTGCACGGCGCCGGGAGCCCTGCCGAGCCACTGGGGAGGGGTATTTGAGGAGGCTGCTTGCGCTGACTACGCTTCTTCGCTTTTTCCTCCATTTCCCTCGCCGTCCGTCCCGTTTGCGCGCGTCGCCGTCTTCTGATCCCAGAACCACCTCTGTTCCTAGCAGCCATGCCCAAGGTCGCCACCCTTACCGACAAGGCCCCCAAGCCTCTTCCCGGCATCTACTCGCAGGCAATCGTCGCCAATGGCGTCGTCTACTGCTCCGGCGCTGTTCCCATGGACCCCGTGACAATGAAGCTCATTGACGGCGATGTTGCCGCCCACACCGTAAGTTGTCCGGATTGCTCACCTTGCCCCTCTCCTCGGCCACCAGTCTTTCAGTCCAAGTATTTGCGACGAGACAGCGCCTACGCTCGGCATGCGGGGTATCTGGAGCTTTTTGATTGGCAGAGCTCGCGCGCTAACGTACTCGGATAGCACCAATGTATCAAGAACCTCACGGCCATCCTCGAGGCCTCGGGCACCACCATCGAGAACGTCGTCAAGGTCAACGTCTTCCTTGCCAACATGGATGACTTTGCTGCCATGAACGAGGTTTACATGACCTACTGGGGCGACGTAAAGCCCTGCAGGACGTGAGCTTCTAGATCCGCCATATCCGTTGCAGAGCCCGACTGTCTAACTCGATTCCAGATGCGTCGCCGTCAAGACGCTTCCCCTCAACACCGACGTCGAAATCGAGTGCATTGCTGTTCTGCCGTAGGTCAAACGAAAGAAGAAAAAGACACCTTGGCCAACACCTGCACAGTCAGAATCCATCTTCGAAGTTATGATCCTCTGTCAGTGCATTTGCTTGGCACATGGAAAATGAAAAGGGGAATACTTATGCCCGTACTTTATGATCAATCCAATTCAGCGCCTGGAAACGCTTTTCAATTCCACCTGCAAGCTGTATTTCCGTGACCGTCCATCGAATCAAAGACACTAGTGATCCTTCTGCGGGGAGCTGTTAAGATTGACCAGCCGGCTGTCATCTATGGGAAGCTGGAACCCCATGCCTTTGCACAAACCGGCCACTCGATCCACTCATTCTCGAAAGAAGCGGACGGGACACAAGGGTAGTAGACCCGCTCAGTGCAGTCCAGCAGCAGCCAGAGCGGCCTGGTGTGCTTGTCATATCGCGTGCACAGAATCGTGGTCGTCTGTCTGCCGGCCAGATTCTCCTTGGTACCACCACTCGCTCTGTCCGCACCGCTGATATTGTGCAGTGCAATGTCACCACATGCGTCAGTCAACCACATCTTGCTGTTGTCTGTGTCAGCGCCAGCATCTTCGCTGGTGGTGGGCTGAGCGGGTTGCGCGGGGCGCACAACCGAGGCAGAGTCGGGCGGAGGGTTGTGACGAGACGTAGCTTGCCGTCGGGCGTAGGAAGGTCCAGGATAGGCTTCTCGATTGTGGGTAGTGTTTGCTCAGGACATAGATAGACTGCCCGTGGGCAACTGCGGGCTGTGTCGTCATCACTACAGGCCTGTGACCTGTCGTCTGCATCAGTGTTGTAATAGTTACTCTGGAAAGATGGGACGGAAGACTTCTTGTGGGAGGCTGTTTGCGGTAGACCAGATCACTTTCGGTCCTTGCACGGGGCATCATGCGTTGGTGCGAACTCTACGATATCTTGGGTAGCGTAGTTGCGGGCGCACTGAACCAGAGTAGCTTGCGAAGAATCGGATCGAGGTACCATGTGAGGAGAGGCTCATACAGATCACCTGTGGCTGCTCATGCAGGCAGCAGATCACGACTGGTGTGGGCCGGAGCAGAAAGGGTTTAGCGTGGATGGTTGCTTGGTCAATCGGCGGGGGGGCAGCAGGTGATGGCTGTCGGAAGTTTCTTCTCCCGCGTCCATATAAACCCTCGATCTTTTCTCAAACCCTTCTTCTTCTTCTGTCCTCATGTGAGTCCCCACTCCGCCACAAGGGTTTTTGCTAACATGTGTTTATCATGCAAGGACCAAGCTCCATCACGATCTTGCCTTCAATGGCTTGATCGCAAGGCTGTCCGAGATCAAAGCGTGTGCTCTTCTATTCAGCTTGAGCTGAGGCTGAGCGCACCCACATCAACTCTGCTTTTTTTCGTTGAATCTCCCATCAGGCATGGGAGTTCGAGGAAGAGAACTGTGACCAGATTGTCGTCGCCATTGAGCCGCTCACTTTCTCATGCTAACTTTGGCCTGGGGACAGGGTCCTTGGACGACCAGCGCGCGCCGAGAGCCGACCTGCGCTATGTTGCGACATCAGCAGCTCGGCGCGCCCTCCGCCCTTCTGCTTGCTCACTTGAGCTCCGCTCCCGCATTCTTGTTTTGATCCGAGCCATAGAGCTGGCTTTGCTTGTGCGATGGCCTCACGCGCCGAGGTGATCTACGCGTGTCATGGCATCAACAGCCTGGTACGCGCCCTCTATCCTTGTGCTCACCCACCTGAACTGCGCGTCTGCAGAATCGAGATCGCGGCTGCCTTGGCCCGCACGGGTGTGTGGGTTACATCATGGTACAGATGACTCACGCGGTCGCAATGTGATAGGTAGTGCCTTCCTGTCCGGGTAGGACCAGTGGCGCGCAGTTGATGAACGCGTGAGCAACGCGCCCCAGGCCAGCACGTGCAGCCCACAGCCATCACTAGCGCCGTTGAAACACTTAAAAGGCCTCGTTCTTCGCTCCTGCACCTCTTCTTCTTCTTCTTCTCTTCATCCAACAAAAAACTTCACTGAGTATCTTCCTTTCCACGCCACAGGAAAGCACTTACGACTTGCAGGTCCTCAATTCTCTCATTCCCAACTTCATGCGACGCATCTTCGCGCGTTCGCTTCCATGTTTGCATCTGCCTCACCTCCAGCGCAACCGCGCTGATTGCACATGAGCCAAGTGAGTCACTTGTTTCGATGCACCTCGTTCGCTTGTGTTTCTAACAGCTTAGCAGACAAGACATACCCTTGTTGCCATTCAACATGATTACAGGTAACTTCCAGCTCTCTTTCCCACTCAATTCTCGCAAGGACGCGAGACTAAGCGCACGCCCCTCCCCATGACGTGTCGCTGTCTTCGCTGTCCAAGATCAACATGCGAGCCAGATTTGCAGACTCGACCTCTGTCAGACAGAAATGTCGGGAGATTCCCAGGAGTATCTGCAGCTGGGCCGTGCTTGCTGGGTAAATGTAGTACCTGCCAATTGGCTGAAAAGCTCTGAGCTCGAAGCTCAAAATCCTCGCCTAGAGGTCCCGCTCAGCCGACCCATCTCGCAGACATTCTTTGCCGGACCATGCACAGCGCATGTTTGGGAGCTCTCTTGTGAACCACGCTCACTGCAACATGTACGCGGTTCCAAGTGTAGCTTCAAGAGGTGTAAACCCAGTTCCGAGATCAACAAATGCACGCTCAGCGTGCTTTTGTGCTATCAGTCCATCAGTCAGGAGGCCGACAGTACCCAGGGTCTTCTGCAGATGGAGAAGGTAAGTTTCTCCCTACATGCAACGACTATGATTGCACGCCTGGATGGGCGGGGAGCTAGCACACAAATACATATTCTCTTCCTTTAAGCTTTCAATCAAATACAAACTCTATGTCTTCTACTCATCGTCTGATTCTTATGCCTTTACTCCAATTGATCTTGTAACGTGACTCTCTTGACTCATGACTGTGTAAGCGCCGTGCAAGCACTACATCACCCGTCAAGCAGCGTACCAAACGTGTTGACTCAGGTTTTGTACCAGTGTTCCCGCGCTCAAGTGTGAGACACTCTTTGGATACAAGAGGCCGACGTAACCTGCTATGCGGAAGCACACTCGAAGAGCAAGCTGTCAGTTCGATTCGTATTTGTTGGCATCACGAACTATGCAGACCAGACTCCTGGGAGTGAATCCGCCAGGTTCAAAATTGAACGCTCCGGTCCCAGGCAGTACTCTCCATGCTATCACCTGTGACATACCATCGAGTCCTAGTCGTTCTCAATTCCTTGGCCAGTGGCCGAGTATATAGCAGACGAGCAGGCGTGAAGTTTCCGTAGCCGAAATTGAATTTACAAGACTCAAAAATACCAATTGCAGCGAACAAATGGATACGGGCTATTCCGCATTATAGTAGTTTCTACAACCTCAGTCTAAATGCGTTTGTTTAACACCTCATGTTCTCATTCAACTTCACGATTATCACTGCGTGACTGAGTCTGAACCATGCCATTGCCTCTATTATTATAGTAATTTCCCCTCGCAGGCTCGCTAGTCATCTTACGCGAGCTGGCCATCTCAGAGCAGAAGCAGCAAACCCAGTAGAACCAGCAGAAGCGTCAAAAGACCCTCCGGGTACCAGCTGACCAACCAATCAACCAAATATTATGCCTACCGCAAAAACCCACAGTCTCCCATGCCCATCTACCCTTTTGAAATGAAAAGAAAGAGGAAAAAAACCCCGAAACCCATCTATCCATTCATCCATCCATTCATCCGTCCATCCGTCCATCCGCTCCTCCCCCCTATCCCTCCTAGTCCACCTCCGCCTCCGCCTCCACCTCCGCCTCCGCCTCCGCCTCCTCCTCCTCCTCACACCCCTCCACCAACCACTTCGCCACCTTTACCGCCCTAACATACGCCCTCTGATACCTCGCCGACCAAGAATCCACATCCACACCCACATCCACACCCACATCCACACCCACACCCACACCCCCAGGGCCACCCGCGCCATCCCCAAGGCCGAGACCGAGCACAGGACCAGATCCACCATAGTGCCTATGCCGCATAGCCTGCGCAGCAATAGCGTGGATGATGATGATGTTGTTGTTGTTGTCATTGTTGTTGTCATTGTTGTTGTCCGACAGCGACGGCAGCGACGACGAGGTGTTGTAAGCAGCGCCGGCGCTGCTAGACGTGAAATGGCCGTGTTCGACGGCGGCGAGGATGATGGCGCGCGAGCGGGCGGACGCGAGGTCGAGGCCGTTGCGCGTGATGAGGCCGAAGCTGGCGCGGGCGCTGGGAGGCGGGGCCGAGGCGGTGGTGGGAGTGGTGGAGGACATTTTGGAGCGCTCGGTCGCGTGCGCGTTGGGCTGGGGTCGGTGGTGGTGCTCGTGCTGGAGTGAGCGGGGCGGCGCGGTGCGGTGCGCTGGGGCTGAGGCTGAGGCTGAGGGTGGGAGAGGCGTGAGGGGTGGAGCGCGCTGGGTTTGTTGGATGCTATAGCTGCGGATGAGGATGCGGCTGCGGCTGCGGCTGCGGCTGCGGCTGCGTGTGCGCTCGGAGGGGGTTGGAGCGCGCTGAGGTGCGGATCGGAGGAGCGCTGGCTGGCTGGCTGGCTGGCTGAGGTAGGAGGAGTAGAGGTCGGATAAGGTGCGTGCGGGTGATGCGCGGTGCGGCGCGGAGGAATGCGCGGAGGAGTAGTAGCGTTGGATTTATTGTGCTTGTCACGGCTGTCGCTGTTGTTGAGGAGTTGGAATACCTGCGCGATGGTGGTGGTTGATGTGACGGAGGAAGAGAGAGAGAGAGCGCGCGCAAGCGAGCGGGCGGGCGGCGCAAGCACTTAACGGCTGCGCAGCCTATGTGCGCTCGTGCAGCTTATGATAGGACCCTGAAGTAATTTGGCAGGTACACTGCAGGTTCACCATGTTTTCTTGGTGAAAGTGATTGGTGTGTTGCCTAGATCTTTGAACTTTTGCGCGCCAAATGATGGGATTGGAGATACCGCTTCAGCTACCCTTCGAGTAACTGGCCTCTATAGCATGCTGCCCTCTTTCGTCTATGGACTCGAAATTCCCCGAAGGAGCAGCCCTAGAGATATCTAGCTGGGTCTATCTGTTCCGCCCCTCCATCATCCCATTTTCCAGTATCCACCAACCGCACACGGCCAGCCCAGCCTATCTCAGAAACCCATGAGTCACTTTCCAACCCTACTCCTTGCCGAACACAATGAAACTCTCAATCTCGTTGCAGACGAAATGATCAGCCCGCGCAACGGCAGTCATGGCATCGTGCGCCTCCTCGCGCCACTGAACAAGCTGCTCCGCCTGCTTCCGCGTCGTGAATACACTCTCCACTTCGAGCTCTGTTCCGGTAACATTGCTCTGCTCGACTTCGTACATGGCCTGTTTGGCAGCAAACAAAGCGCGCCTGGCGGAAACAAGCCTGGCGCACGGCAGGCACATGTGGGCATCGGGTGAGTAAGCCGTGACGAACTCGTTGATGTGAGCACAGGGTATGCTAGGGTCCTTGGGCAGATTGTGTAAGCACTGGTAGACGTCGAGGTATCCTTGGAGTCCGCTGTCGTCTTTGATATCTAGGGGACCCGGGGTGCTGAAGGTCAAGGCCGCGATCAAGAGGGCGGCGGCGATGGGTGCTGCGGGTTGAGGGGGCAGAGGGGTGAGCTCGTCGGTAACGGCATCCAGGCCTAGGGCATCTTTGTGCTCTTTGCAGTCGCATTGTTCGTCCTTCTCCCCGGTCTCCTGGTCCCTGTGGTAAAAGTCGCAGAAAGCAATGCCGTAGCCGCTCGTGTCGAGGGGATGGGAAGGTGTGTGGCCACAGGGCGCTGAAGGCAAGGGCACATGTGTCTTGCTACTGCAACCAATGGAGCCTTTCATATGCTCATGATGATACTGCTTCCGTTCATCGTTCTGCAAGGAATGAGGAAGGTGGTCTCCAGTTCCGCATGTAACCTCGTTCCATCTCACACCCTGTCTCTGAGAAGTGTCGTTCTCGTTGCCACTACCCGAGGAATTCTTTTCCTGGAGGGTGAGATTCCTGTAGAATACAGCCTGCTTCATCCTGACATCTGCCGTGACTACGTCCAGAGTATGTTTGGCCTGTTGCAGCGTCTGATTCAGCCGGTCATATTCAAAGGTGTACTTTTGCATTGCAGCCTCGCAATCAGTGCGGTAGCGTCGGCGGGCGTAATAGAATACCACCTGCGCAGCAATGAGTGGAGCACAGACTGGACAGACACAGTGACGGATGTTGCTCGTCGACGCAATGGCATACGCCTCGTCGGTGGTGGAAGGGCTGTGGCGGAACTCGGCGGAGCAGAGTTGAACGTCTTTGTACGACAAAAGGAAAGGCACAGGGTTGATCTTGGTGCCATCAGGGGCTATAGCCTTGGTCGAATTCTCTACGATGGACTTGAGCGTCCGGACAGGTGGACCAAGATTGAGTGGAACGGGTGGCTGTGCGGTCCTCTTGAGCCTCGAAGGCCCGGGCGCTTTGTCTGGGTCCCAAGGCATTGTATGTCTTCGATGTCAGCGGTGGTCTTTGAAATTTCAGATTTGGCGCAGGTAAGAGTGAACGGAGGCCAGTGGATGAAAAGTCAAGGTGGCGCCAGGACTGGTGGTCAAAGGAAAACTGTACTCGCTGTAAGTGAGTTCATTTCAAGCATGGTGAATCATTCGTCAACATCCGTCCGCCGATTTTCATGTGACGGCCCCCTACCGCCTAGAACTATCACCGCTCCTGGATGACGTGAAGTCGAGTATCAGCAGCCTCACCATTAGTCAAATAGCTTGTAGAAGCAGTATGAGCCAACTGCACGGCAGGTTAAGCGTCAGCGATGTAAAACCAGGCGTAAAGCAAAATGCAGACGTACCACTTTCGATATATTTGAGTGTCGCTACGAATCAAGATATAGGGGAGTCACACATCTCGGCATCAATTCTGTTGCTGACTGTTCAGAAAGGTTGCTAGAAGCGTCCTCGCGCCAATCCGTATTTCCTCCTCCCTTGTGTATTCAAATGTACCTCCTCCATTCATTGTGATTCTTGTCGAGATCAGACCGGTTTTTCCAATGGCACATTAAGCTTGAAGAGGGGAGTTACTTCCGTGTCCTTCTTCGAGTACGCCTTTTATTCATCCAGTGCAAACTTTTTCGTCATCGTGGTTGACACTGACGTATTACCGCTTGCAATCTTCGAGTTCGAAAAATGAGTCGGAAGAATACGTGGTGGAGAACCTGCCCGGGCGATGAAAGTCATTGTGCTTCTTGTTTCCGTTGTAGTCTGTGCCCCAAGCCCTGAAAGCCTCGCCCAGCTTCTTGCCAGTCTTCAAGTCGACGTGTTGGGCGAGCCGAGGAGAATCAAACAGCACTCCATTATCATCTAGACCAAAGCTGTAGTTGACCATCCCCTGGCGGCTGGCGTAGTGGGCGATCGTTAAGCGTTCGATTGGAAGCTGTTGCCGGTCGTTGCCGACCGTACCGCCAGCCAATGTAGCGGACACTGTCCTCTTTCGTAGCATATCTGTTTGCGTGTGGCATGGTGTAGCACATCAACTCGCCTGCGATGAGTTTGTCAGCAGCCTTGGTCCTCTTTGTATTAACCTCTCCCCGTTTGTACTAGTTGCGATAGGGTTGGGCATGCAGGCCCACCACGAACAAAGACTATGCTCGCAGGATGGCCAGTGGGTGCATTCAACTTGCTGGCGTCGTCTGCGCTGCTGGTGCCGGGGCCCATGTGCAAGGGATGGTCGAAACTGATGTATCCAGGTGCGAACCAAGCCGTGTCTGAAGCTAGTCCTTTTGGTTTGCCTAAAGTGTGGGAACGGTAATCAGCATGGCCGCTGCTAGAGGAGAAGATCGGCGAGCGGGAGGACGAGGGGAGGTAGGGGGGGTTGGCTTCGAGCGAGTAGGTGATGGTGTGGTAGGCACTCGATGCTTATCAGAGCTTTAAGGATATAGAGAGGAGATTGTATGCGCGCGCGGAGGGAACGGTGTGGGTGTACAAGAAAGGAGCCGTTGGGTAGACAGTCGTCACTGAAGCACTACGCGACCAGCGTCGCCCGATAACTCAGCACATCTCCGGCACTCAGACTGGTAGCGGCTTTCGAGACAGCTTGACCTTTGCAAGCGCCTCTACCCGCTTATACGTGCAGGGGCCGTGCAGCTACTCACGTCCGCCACGTTTGGCTGAGAAATGCGGCGTTCACCCTACATGTCCAGTAGCAGCCTTGCAGCGGTTGCCACGGTGAAAGTCCACAGACCTGAATTGCCTCTCGCAAGCCGCGTGACGCGTGCGAGCGCGTCTCTAACGTGCTATACCCAGTCACGCGATGCATGGGGCTGATGAGGATCCGGTAGGTCCTCCCTGGGTGATATTCATCACTCACGTGAAAGTGATTGGAGGAAAGCCCAGCCAGTTAGACGCGTCGCGTAGCTGGGCGCAGATCATCAGATCACTCGGGAGTCGTTTGATGGAGCGGTGCGCGTTGCAACAGATCAACCAAGCGCGTCGCTCCTTCCTTTCCGGTTTAGCGCCACAAATCATGCAGCTGACCGCGCCGGTTCCGCGCTATCTCTAACCTATATAAACCCCTCCATCCTCTTCCCTCAATCTTTTTCTTTTTTTCTTCAGAACTGCTACTGCGCCCGGGATCCGAGCTGCCCGGGAATTTTTGGAACCTTTCTTTCTTTTCGTTGATTGATTCGCCTTGCGCGGATCTTCGAGGAAGAGCTTTGAACACTTGGCTGCGCTGCTCTTCTGCCTGCTCTTCTGCCTGCTCTTCTGCCTGCTCTTCTGCAGGAGCTCAATTTCAACGCCGTGGATTAAATTAAGAACGCGCTCTGCAGCCGCTGTGCTCTTCCTCGACCCGCTCGCTCCTACACCAGCAATAAGTGACCCCACTGTCCGCCATCAACACCTCCTCGTGCGCACCCAATCTCTGCGCGCAAGCGCTAAGGTCGTCGTAGCTTTAAGGGTCACAACATCTCAGCGGCAACCATGGTAGCGGCCGCCGAGCGGATGATCAGCCTCGAATCCTGCCCGTGCGGAGTTGCTCAGCACGCCTACCGTTCGACAGTCACGTCGCTCGACGGCAGCACCGCACTGGCAACATTCCCGCCCGCCCGGCCGAAGACGGACGCTGCGCTTCCTCTACGACTCGACATCCCAACACTTACTCTGCTGAACCGGTTTGTGCCCCCTCCCCCCCCGGCTTTTAGCCAGTGGCATCCTCCTCTTACTGAGAAGTTCCAGTGTGCGCTCATACGTCACATGGCTACTGCGCTCCGTTACGTCGGGGCACATGCGACAGCAGCTGTTCTTGGGTGATTCGCCTGTCGCCGTAGACTGGGAGGCAGACAATCCTGGCCGACCTCACTACGCCGAACAACGCATGGTCACTTAGCTGCAGGAGCCTTGGATCCACCTACGTCAGCCACGCCTCTCACTTTTTTCTCGACGTAGCTGACTTCCGTTGCCAGGGGTAGGTGCACGAGCTGGCACATGCGAAGGAAGGACACTGGACAACTGCGCGTACATGGGGCTTGGAGTGACGGGTAGTGGATGGCGGTGCAGTACACACTCCGCGACCAAGGCCAGTGACTTCAAGTCACATGCAGTGATGCACCAGCAGCTCCATGTTTGGGAGGCCGAAGCGCACATCACGGTAGAGTCTTTGCCCCTGAACTGCCTCTGCCGCTCATAAGTGACACAGGTCTCGATGTTCGCTCTTCTCCTCAAGTTACGGTTAGGGCTTGGTCTGGACACGGTCTCTGTGCTTGGTTTGCTTCGAGAGCTTGAGGAGAGATAGGCTGACCTCACGCCATCAGGGACCCGCCATTATGGAAGTCTACTCGCTACGACCGACCTCGCATACATCAGTACTGAAATGCTCTTTCAGCCCTAGACATATCCTAAGGACATAACCAGAAGGAATTGCAGAGAAGGAACGGCGCTTGCGGCGACATCTTGGAGGCGGTCACATACTGGAAAACAATTTCGGTCGGGTCATGAAGGAAAGCGTCACATGCAACCTCTAAACAAGGTCTTGGCTTCGCGCGGACAGAACCCTCGGAATGAGAATGCATGTATGTAGTCAGATGGACAAGGTTCAGAAGACGCATTCCATGCGTAAGCCCATCGTGTAAACAGGAGGTAAGTGGTGAGTTCCTTTATTCTGGCTCTCGAACAGGCTAAAGTGAAAGCAGGCCGCATGCCCTTCGAGCTGCTTCACTTGGACAGCTACGGATTTCACTGGCAACGAAAACTCACCTCATGAGGGACACGCTCGCCTGCTCCAACAAGTCGGACGGTTACATCCACAACTGATATTTTTGCGTCAAGCCACGTCACCGTCTATGTAGCTCTTGCTCATACCTGGTTTGGCGCAAACACCTCACACCGTCAACAGCAACTGGCACACTAATGAGGGTGACAACTGACAAGTTCGAGGTCGAGGAGTCGCGCAGGTACTCATTGAGAGCAAAGTCTTCAAGGAATGGGTGGCGACTTTGACCAAGACCGTCCTCGTCGTGTCCGGCCATGGCCCCTTCACCGTCTTTGATAGCAGTGCCGCCGTCTGGCGCTCCGTCGTCCTCGGTCGTGATTTCTTCGTATTTACCGGTTAAGTGACTCCAATGGCTTCTGGTTCCTCGTCAACATCACGGCGGCAGCGGACACTCCATCTGAGACGTCAGTGAGAGAGCTAGTAGCTGAGTTAGAAGCGCTTTCATATTTGAATCCATGCAAGCCACTATACACCCGTGATACAATCGTCTGAGGACATTTATGAGTTGGCATTCGATCGCCCTGAGTGACTTCGGGGCAGTGATGCAGCGGCTATCTATCTAGACCAAAACAACGTCGGCAGCCATCAGTAGGCTGTCTTCGTATCCAAGCGTCCACCTGATAATCTTCGCCGAACGTTCCCAGCCAAAGAGATTGAAGGACACCCTTCAAATTGACTTAGCCACCTCAAGAGTCCAGGACGTTGTTCTGAGGGGCCGGGTCACTGCAATCGGTGCAGACATCTTCAAGGGCGCCATGGCCAGTGATGGTCAGGAAGCCCAAGCCTGTACATGCTTTCCGTATCTGGTCCTTGACGACGAGGCGGATAGCCAGGTCACCGGAAAAATGTTGACCTAGATCAACTGTCAGCACAGTGAAAGGCGAGGCTTTGGCCTATCTTCCTTCACCCCTATGGCTGAAAGCTGCGGAACCACTGCGACGAAGTGAGAACGCTGCCGGTGCATGTGTAAGCCGCGACTCGGTGATTGGTATCTGAGCCTGCATGAGCCAGCCCCTGCTGCAGGGCTCTTCTTCCAAATCGGAGCTGACAGTGCGCGCACACTGAGTGCCCCGCCCTGCCGGGAGATGACCTTGTGGCTTGCCCCAGTGTACAGCTGCTTTTCCCCTCATCGAGAGGCGGTTGTAGGGAACCACGTTTGCGATGTCAGTGCGCCGGTGACGACGGTCGGACAGGCACAACCGAACAAGTCGCCTTTGGCCTCATATACGCGTATCCGCCATATCCTGTGTTGCTGTCCGCGTCCCTAACTGGTGTCCGTGTGCGTGCGTTCGTTCACGCAGCTTGTCTCAAACACCATCTAACCGGCCCGGCTGTCGCTATCGCGAAGGCCATCGGTGTCCCCATTATTACCGCCGTGCTTTCGAGGCGGACATGCTGTGAGCCGAATCTGCTGAAGTAACTGGAGTAGGAGCACGCGAGGTTCTTCGTAGGTCACTGGGGGAGTTCCAGCCACGCCGCTGGGCCCTCGGACAGGTCCTCGTTGGTAGCGGCGCTGAGGATATAGAGGAGGTCGAGGCTGTATACAGACGGAATAGTCGAGATTGTGGTAGATGATGTTGGGCTGGGGCTCTTACTAACCCATCGTCGCTGTCGACACTAGCGAAGTGAGGGCAGGGCGGATGGTACTAAGTAAAGTTCTGCGGAGGCGTTGACGCGCATGAACGCGCAAAAGAGCTCCAGATAAACGCTGGGTGAGGTGATAACTCAAAGCGGTCCAGCCCATTGCGACAGGAGAGCGAAGAAGCAAGGCGCTGTCGGATGCTCACTTTCGGCTGGTGGCTCAAGTCTCATGAGACAGCGATCGGCATGCGCGATGAGCGAAATAGTTCACTAACCATGTTGATTTTGGGAGCATGTCGAGTTGCAGCCTGTTTGCCTGGGTCAGCAATGGTGCTGCGACGAGCGGCTCGGTCGGCGGCGGCGGCGGCGGCGGCGGCGGCGGCGGGTGCTCTGCAATACCAGGCCAAGTCTTCGGTACGCTATTGCCAGCCATGCTTGATTTTTGCGGTATGACTCTGCTCTGGATGGCGTAAGGTAGACACCGCGGACAGCAGCTGGTGAATAGCGTGCGGAGCCACTCTGCGAGCAGAGACTTCACAGCTACAGCGGCGATAGCACGTCGCGCATCAAAGGCGCGCACTCAATGGCGGAGCGAGAGATCAGAATAGTGAGGCCGAACGTGCGACAGGCGCTGCGGAGCGTGCGCCTGCAGGAATGTGTGTGCGCTCCTCAACACCAACTGGCAGGACATCGCGACGGTCATGGCAGCGAACAAAAGGCGAGTCAGCACGACAAAAGCCCGCAGAGCAGCTCCAAAGCAGGCAAGGCGGCAGAGCAAACCCAGATTAAATCAAAAAGCTCTTCCTCGTCCTCCAGCGCAAGGCCAGAGAAGAACAACGAAAAGAAAGGTTCGCATCAGCCCGAGACAGTGCAATACAGGCGACACTGTGGTCGGTGACATTAGGCAGAGCCCAGCGGCCACCAGACCTGGTTCCAAAAACAAGTAATCAAAGAAAATGTCCCCGTAAGGACGTATCAGAGATTAAACTGACAGCAGATGTGCTACACTTGATCTAAGCCAAAGGCGAAGAGAGCTGAAGAAGAAAAGAGGAGCTGGGGGCGAAGGGGAGTGGGGTTTATATAAGTTTTCCGAGAGCGCCCATCATCGGAGGCCACGGGGCCGGCGGGTGGGTCGCTGCCAGGGCAACCCCAGATACGGCAGTCACGCCTGTAATCCAATCCCGAGTAGGTAGCGACGTGGAAGGCCATCGAACCACTGGGTTACTGGGTGGCCCATCAGATAGCCACAGAGGTACCTGCCGGCTGTGAGTAAACATTCAACGCCACTGGCACCGACTACGTATGCCAGGCAACATGGCCGGACGCGAGTTGGCTCTAATCACCCATGGGATACGCCATGGTGACTTCCCATTTCCAACGCGATGGCGCGCTCGGGAGTGCGCTGTGCGCGCACCATGTTGCTCATGGGCTTCGCTTCACCGTTTTGATGCGCGTCAGCCGCTCTCAATCACTTACTTCTCTGAGCACAGTACGTTCTTGCCAAGTCCTAGCACCACTGGCTTTCTGAAGCCCGGAAAAGCTGCATTCAGTAGCGAACCTCCACAGACACACAGCAGAACGCCAGTTGGAGCTGGCATCGCAACTGCGGAAATGAAGCATCGGCCGCGAGCATCCAACGTCTTCATGCAAACTGCCAAAGCCCTCTCCATCAGATATGCGGTCAGGCATCCCTTACTCTACCCACTGGTCTGCTCCACCGCCCTGTACACCCCAGCGCGAAAGGGGCATATGGGTGACCCCTCATTGTCCGCGCCGCAAGCTCTTGCCCATGCGCAGCTACATCGTAAGTCTTCACTCCCTCCCACATGTAAAGCAGAGAGTTACGGCCGACATATCCGAGCAGACACGCATGGTTTTAAGCGCGGACGCGCTGCTCCTGAGCGCCGTCCTGATCCAGACATCCCCCATCGGTAGCTGATGAGGAATCCAAGTGTGAGCAATTGCACTTAGCACCTCCTAGATACTGACACGATATAACATTCGGACCAATTACAGAGACGTTGTCTCCCCACAGAAGCTGCTCACTCGTACACGCAATCTGATTTCAGCGCCTCGAAACAGTGCGAACTTGCCCCCTCGACTTCCAGCTTCGCTTGTCTGCTTCACCAGCACAATATGACACAGAAAGTGACACAAGCCCTCACCACTTCGGTTAAGGCCTCTCTTGTAGTCTTCAAGAGACCGACACATCGACCGGGCTGCGTTCGGCGGTCGGCCTCGACCGGACCTGCAGAATTGCTACAACGGCAGACATAATGGACAGACAGGAGGAAACAGGATAGCATACTGGCCAGCGGATCTGCCGCTCTCACGTACCTGTCTCACCGGAGTGAGCCAGCGCTTTGCAGACCCGGCGGTTATGGAATACTGAAGTCTCTTTACAGGCCGACACCAATTAGAGCTACGCTCAAGCTCGAAGCCATTCGCTCACAAGGATTACCTCCAGTGGCGGCTGCTCAGGGGGCGGAACCTCTGCTACTCAGTGTACCACAAACGGGCTCTGCTTGCTGAGCGCAAAGCTCTGAACCGGCTAGGCATATGTCAACAGCTGCGTGTATTCCCCCAACTCCTCCTGGTGGACACCAAACTGCCATGAATAGTGGTCCAGACCAGCTGATCGCCGACCAGGAATATTTTCAAGCCTCCCTTGGCCGTATGAAGCGGGCGATGGGGCGAACGCTTGCAATTTCGAGGAATTCCGACCACAAGTAGCCGACTTTGAAGCTGAGGATGAAGCAAAAACAACAGAACTGGATCTCATACGACATGAAGACTGACCGTGGTGAGTACACTTGTCGTAACCGAGCGCTGAATGGTGACATCCTGCAGAAATCGCACGGCACATCTTTGCCCCTCCCGGCCCACCCATCAGTATCCGATCAGCTATTACCATAGACGATCGAGTGGCTACGCCATCATCCATAAGTGGCAGCGGCGGCAGAGCCAAGGGCTTGAGCGTACCAGAGCGTGAATCAGATGCCAGAATACGTTGTTCGACTATCTGGGATACCACGATAAGTATGGAAGGCCGATCTCCGAAGGAAATATCCCCCGCGTGCCAAACCTCAAACCAAGGGTGCCACAGCAATCGAAAGGCGCACAAGCACGTACACTGAACTGATCTGTCATACCTACTCTCACAAGAGTCTCCTCCAAACTCACAAGACCCTGCCCAACAACCACCCGATGATCCAAACAGCTACGACCCATCAATCCCCCCCCCACAATCATCCCGTTGGCGAATCGCACGAGAAGGGCTTGATGTTCGCATGCGCATACTGCCGATGCATCGAATAGACGCTCGCGTAGATACCCAGCACCGCCGTCGTGGCCGCACCAAGGAAGTATACGACATTAAACGAGTTGACCAAGAACCGCTTCCTGTACCCGCGCACCCACCTCCTCAGCCCCTCATCACGGCGCACCACACGGCCCGTCGCCGGGTCGAAGCCCTCCCCGGGGCCGACAGCGTCTCTCAAGCAATTGAACCCGACAGCCAGCACGGGCGGGAACGTGTACGAGAACTGCAAGATCATGGCGGCGCCGACGAAGGCGGAGAGGTTCGAGATCTGCGGCACGGCGGCGGCGATGATGAAAGCCGCGCCCCAGTAGACGGGCACGGTGGCGACGAAGACGCACTTGCCGACGCGGGACTCGAGGGCGGGGAGGCGCAGGACGGAGCGGCCGACGTTGGCGTACAGGACCTTGATGCCGATGTTGCCGTAGAGGCAGGCGGCGATGAGCCCCGTGATGAGGCCGAAGACGTTGCCGACCGTCTGCCAGGCGTAGGGGTTGATGCCCTGGTAGGCCGGGTTGAAGGCGAATTGGCCCTGCTCGCTGTAGACGACGAGGCCGAAGACGATGTAGCAGAGGAAGATGAAGGTGTCGGCCACGATCAGGCCCTTCCAGAAGTCCCACCTGGATGCGTCTGTTAGATGGTGGACGGGGATTGGGACTGTGGTGCGTGGCTTACGGCCTGCGCATCTCGGCCATCAACTCGCAGAACATTGTCGCTCCGCCATAGGAGTACACGGCTTGCATCAGGCCGTTGATGTTGTCGATGAAGGTGAGGTCTGACGGAGCGCCTGCGCTGGTCTTGATGGGGCCCTTTGGGATCTGGTAGCTTGCGTACACGGCTTCGTAGTTCGGGTCGCTGTTGGCAACGATGCCCATGGTCATGAGGATGACAAAGACGTTCAGCCAGACAGAGATGTTGGCGATGTAACCGAACTTCTGCATCGTCCGGATCTGACCCACGATGAAGCCAGCCACGGTAAAGATGATCAAGCATGCCGTGACTGCGCCGCAATTGTCAGCGCGCCGGGCTTTGGTTCTTCTCTCCGTGCGGTCGACTTACAGCAGAAAGCTTTTGAGCCCTTTGGCCCCTGGGACAACTGAGACAAGCTCTGCCCATTTGCGACGATCAGAAGCGTGACTCCCAAGAAGAATTGGCCGCTCTGCAAGATGTTGATGATGTAGCGGAACCAGTTGCCATAGATGCGGAAACCCAGGTCGCCGTAGCCCTTGACGGGATACTTGTCTGAATCAAGACCGAGAAATTGCCACCAGAGGAGGACCCCGGAGCTTGGTACATCAGCAAACGAAGCTGGAGATATCGAGAGGGCCTCTTACAATCCCGCCATGGCAGCGAAGACAAAATAAAGGGAGATTCCCGGGCCGTAACCGAGCTGGGTAAAGGCCCATGGGACGGAGAACGGTCCCAATATGTCGGTAGTGATGAGGTAGAACACAGCACCTAACGCAGGTCAGTCGATGTATGACAGGGACTGATGAGGGTGCGGTGCGGTACCCCAGGTTGCAGTGCGAGCCGCGCGGGAGGCATGATGCCACTCGTAGTCGGAAATGATGCCGAACGTGTCTGTTGGGGCGTCATCGGGTTTCTTGCTAGTATCGTTGGCCCGCGCCTCGATAGAAGGGGCCGTGACGGGCTCTGGGACGCCCGAGACCACGGCCTGCTGCTTCTTGCCGCTGAGCACGGACAGCAGCGAGCTCATGCCACGGCCTTTTGTGGAGAGAGTCTTTTCGTAGTCGCGGGTCCAGTTGGCATAGTACAGATACTCTTCGAAGGAGACATTCGGGTCGTGGCCATAGTCGGCATGCAAGATGGACTGCTCGATCTGCACGTCTGTAGGCTGTTGTGTCGCATGGGCCTCCTTGCTAAGGCGTGGATCCCGAGCATCTGCAGCGGTTGCCATGCTTGTCGCCATGGCGAAAATCAAGATCGCCAAGAAAGCTTAGCTACGCAGGGCTGGCGAGCGCGAAAGGGCTTGTTGTGGAGCTGGACAGCAGCGGGGAAGGCGCTGAATATGAAGAGAAGTAGCAGGTCGTACATGGCGGGGCGACTTTCAGCTGGCACCTGCCGAGTCTGGACATGATGTCTTATCATTCGTCAGTGATGATTCGCGGGCGACTGTCTTAGACATTGGTCGAGTCAACGGGCGGAATCGCGGGCGCGGGAACGGGCCAACCGGATGCATTGGGACCGGGGCAAGACAAACGGGGCTTCTATTTTATCTGCGATCATTGCTGTGTAAAGATAACGGGGGTGTGGGTGCAAGGATCACCAGCCCCTGGACGGCATGATTGGGCATTCAGCCCACCCTCTTCGCGCATCGCATATGCGCAGGTCGGCCACAATACGAGAAGGTAACAGGGAAAGCTGATGTGTATCGACATGTGGAGCGCTTAGCAATGCTTAACATCCCTTTTGTCTGATTCTGGCCGATGTCGTGCATTCGCTTCAGTCTTGCAGCGTGACAGGCTCCCTTCGAGTCCTATCTACCTTCAGGTCAAAGACATCGAGCCGCTGATAGCCGCCGACCACGTCGTGATACTGTTTGCCCTCGACGCACTTGGCGAGATCCAGATCCGCATACAGTATTCCTTCTTCGGCCTGCAGATAGTCCTTCTCCTTCTCCTTCTCGCCGTCCTGGCTCGTGAATCCGGTAATGAGGGCTCCGGTAGGATCCAAAAACATGGACGCGCCGCGAGGCGAATGACGGATGATGTTGCGCACCAAGTCCTGGTCGCTGCTTAGCGACACGATGGCCTCGACGGCAGCATCATCGAGAAAGCCGGCGCACAGCACGCCAAAGCACTTGGCCTCGAAACAATGGGCAGCCGCGCGCGTCCTGTTAGCCGTGACGTTGTCGTAGTTCCTCTCCCCCGTCGACGCGGAACTGGTCGGATCCCTGGTGGGCCACATGGGCGGCCAGGAGGAAACATGCAGCTGCTCGCCCTGGGCCATGAGGGTGTAGCGCGCAAGAGGATTCGTGTTCTCGCCGCAAATCAGAGCGCCCAGCTTGCAACCTCGGGCGACGTCGACGACGCGCAGGCCGTGGCCGTCGCCGGGGCTCCAAGTGAGTTTCTCGAAGAAGGTGGGCATCAGCTTGCGGTGGTGGACGAGCAGGCGGCCATCTTCAGCGATGATGAGGTTTGTGTTGAACAGGGTCGCACTGCTGTACCGCACCTTCTCTGAGATGCCGATGCTGACGGAGATGGCTTTCTCACGGGCGGCGTTGCGGATGGCCTGGACTTCGTCGCCGTCGACGTAAATGGACTCCTGGGCCATGCGGGCGAAGAAGCCGTGGTTCTCGGTGGGTGGCAGCATGGAGCTCCATACCGGGAATGCGGGAATGTATGTTTCCGGGAAGACGACGAGGTTGGCCCCGTTGTTGGCGGCTTCATGGATGAGCCGGATGCATTTATCCGTCGTATCTGCTGCTGACAGAACGACGGGCGATGCGTGGCAGGCGGCCACCCTGATTGTCTGGTTCATTTATGGCCGGGAAAAGGTCCTTTGTTTTCTGTGGTCGAGGTTAGATTGGCGTAGGATTTAGAGTAGTACAGTGAGACTTGGATCAATAATGCGGGGAAGCTCGGCAGTAGGCAGATGGAAATGCTCACCGACAGCTGGCTATCATCTATTTCGCCTGATGACGCAATACAGCGATCAATGCCATAAAAGTCCACCTTATCAGACAGGATTGTGTCGCTATAACCCAGACCTTGTGTGCGGAAGCTGGAGGATTTTGCGACGCACGCGCAGTAGTGGATGGTCGCAATGGGCAATCTGAGCCTCGACTGGGCGACCGGGGCGCATCGGAGCAGCAGTGCCACCAACAGGCGGGCCGACGTGGTGCGCAGCCAGACGGCGGCTCCGGCGTTTTTGGATCGAACCACCAGCGGGCCGAGCCCGAAGCGCCGCAGTGGCTGCCGGACAAGGGCCCAAGTACCGACATTTTGTGAAATGAAGTGGGCTGACCTCACGTTGAAGCAGCCGTCCAAAGGTGTGACATTCGGGCGCGCCGCCGCCTAGCCCCCCACTCGGTGGGATGAGCTGGCTAGGGACTGGCTGATTCGTGCGCGCGCGCGTCATGGCCTCTTGCATTTCAACCACAACTGACGCACATCTCCCGCCGCTCTCTCTTCCGATCCATCGCCAAGCCAGAGAGCTTGTCTTTTTTCCTAACCATCAATCAGCATCTACACTGTTTGCGCGGGTTGCTCATTGGGCGTTTCAACAGCTCATATCCGACAGCCGGCATACTTACTTATCAGACCACCTCGGGAAAGAAAAGAAGAAAGAAGGAGAGAAAAAAAAAACCACCACCACCAACTGCAACCCCAACAGCCACGACAGTCACAATCAAGAGCGCGGGAAAACACCAACAACATGTCCGTAGGCGGCACCCTCTACAGCCTCGAGCCGCCGCGCCGGGCCCACGTCAACACCATGACCGACACCATCATCGCCAACCTCCCGGAAGCCGGCCTGCGCTCCGTCATGCGCGCCCTCATGTCCTTCCACCCCGAACTGACGTCGGGCCTGGAGCTCGAAACGGAAAAGTACCTCCTCCGCACCAACGACTCCTTCACCGGCCCGACCGCCGAGCTGCAGAAGCGCGTGCGCTGCATGCTCGGCTGCGGCATGGCCTTCGAGTCCATCGCCGCCCTCTCCGCCCTCGTCGACCACTTCAAGACGCGCGTCGAGCGCGGCGAGCCCGCCGAAGCCGACGGCAACGACAACGGCGACGCCACCGCCGCGTCGGTCGAGGGCGACCTCATCCAGGCCACGACCGCCATGGAGAGGGAGCTGATGACGGCCGACGGCTCGCGCACCCTGTCCGACTACGAGAAGCACTTCGTGCAAGGCCTGATCAGCTCCCTGCAGGCGTGTCGCAGCGTCTTCGCCCGCGCCGGCCGCGCGTTCCCGTTCGCGAGGGGCCTCGCCGCGCTGAAGGCCATGGATGCCGAGGACGAGGCGCACCACGCCAATGCGGACGAGCTGGGCATGATCGAGTTGACCCCGTTCGCCGCGTGTGGGGATGCGTGTGCGCGGTTGGAGACTTTTAGGGTTGGGGAGCGCGCGGTGCCGCGGCTGTTTGGCGGGTTGTGGCAGCTGTCCGGTCCGGCGTGGGGCACCGCGCCCCAGGCGAAGATTGTGGAGCATTTCACCAACTACGTCAATTGGGGGTTTACGGCCTATGATATGGCGGACCACTATGGCGATGCGGAGATTGTATTTGTATGCCTTTGCTGGGTTTTGGCTTGCAGGGAAGCACTGACGATGGCTGGGTAGGGCAAATTCCGGGCGGCGTGCTCGCATCCCGAGATCCTGTTCGCCTCGACAAAGTACTGCGTCTTCAATCCGGTTGTGATCACCCCGGCTGTGGTACATGCGAACGTCTCCGAGAGATGTCGTAGGTTGAAGGCGGACAAGTTGGACCTGCTTCAATTCCACTGGCAAAACGTAAGCGAAGCAGAGACTCTGTGGACTTGAGCATAAGCAGGCCTTCTGACCCTCCGTTAGTATCACGATCCCCAATATATCGAGGCCCTGAAGCTGCTCGAGATAGACCCTCGCGTCTCGAATCTCGGTCTCTGCAACTTCGACACCGAGCACATGGAGATTGTCCTCCGCGAAGGCGTCAGAATACAGACGAACCAAGTTCAGGTACTAGCTTCTCCCTCCCGGTCAGCAAACGTTATACTGATCAGATCTTCAGTTCTCCATCATCGATTCCCGGCCTACCGTCAAGATGGCTGCAGTCTGCGAGTCTTATGGGGTCAAACTCCTGACTTACGGCACTCTGGTATGTCCCCTCTCGTTCAAGTGCTCTCCGGCTGAACTGACAAGGAACGAATTAGTGCGGCGGTTTCCTTGCCGACCAGTGGCTGGACCAGCCAGAACCTGAACCGTTTTCGTGCGAAATGACACCGAGCCAGCGGAAATACTGCGAGGCCATCCTCACTTGGGGCAGCTGGTCGTTGTTCCAGACCTTGTTACGCACGCTTTCCGAAATCGGTGCCAAGCACGGGGTGAGCATCTCCAATGTTGCCACGCGATGGGTGCTTGACTTCCCGTATGTGGGTGCTGTCATTGTCGGGTCGAGGATGGGAATCAGCGAGAGGGCGGATGACAACTTTGCTGCGTACGGTTGGACTTTGGATGAAGAGGACAGGGATGCCATTGAGCAAGTCTTGACACAGAGCAACAGGGATAAAATGATTGAGGCAATGGGTGACTGCGGAGGGGAGTACAGGTAGTGGGTTGGTTCGGTTCACTTTCTGTATAGAGGTTTACCATGGCATAGAAACGGGAAAAAGAACGGCTGGGATAGAGTAGAAATAGAGGCTCGCGTAATTTCATTCAAATCTCTGTCCAAAGTCTAATGAAAGTCTCCCCAACCATCTACATCTACTTACAGCTTGTGCTTCTTCTCTCCACTCGCCAGCTTCCTGAACTCCTCTTGCGGTATTCCTGCCGCGAATCTCTCCAGTCCGCCGAACACCTCCTCTACGTTCTGCTTGTCGAAGACGTCCCTCTCCGGCTTCCGGATCAAGGCCTTGATCCCCAGCAGGCTGTCCTGATTCAAGTGACTGCCCAGCCGATCATCGATCTCCGCCAGCACCGCGTCCCTGAACTTGTCGCTGTCGCCCTTCGTATCGATGAGCTTGTTTACGAAACCGGTCCGTTCCAGTTCCTCGGCGGAGATCTTCTTGCTCATGATGAGCGCCTCGTTGGCCTTGGAAACGCCCAGACGCTGGACGAAGGCCCGGGAGGCGCCGCCCTCGGTGACAAGGCCGAGCGAAGAGAACGGAGTGAGGATGTAGGCAGAAGGCGCGGCGTAGATGAAGTCGGAGAAGGCAATGAGGGCGGCGGAGAGGCCGACGGCGGGGCCGTTGAGGCCGGTGATGAGGATTTTAGGATGTGTGTAGAAGGCGCGCGTAACGAAGAGGTTGTTGGCGACAAAGTTCTTCAGCCAGTGACGAACAACATCGTTCTCGGCTTCCGGAGTGGAGCGTGAAATGGAGACATCGGCGCCGCTAAACGGAGCAGGGTCAGCAAGGGCTGTGCTGCGGAAAGGAGGGAAAAGACGTACGCGGAGAAGAAACGGCCTTTGGCGGTGAGGAGGGTGATGTAGATGTCATCGCGCTTGGCGATCTGGTTGAGTAGCTGGGCGATGCGATAGTATAGGTCCTGGGACAGAGCATTAAGCTTCTTCTCCTGGTTGAGGGTGATGATGGCGATCTTTCCGCGGATCTCAAGGGTCACGGCCTGGGCGGGATCGACGGACATGGTGAAAGAGGCGTTGAACAGTCGGCTTCTTTCGGGAGGCGAGATTATAGCAGGGGCAAATCTTGGGAATCCGGGGGTTAAGTAAAGGCCTGTGGGGAAAGGAGCATTCGGCTACATGGCTGGTGGAGGTGATGCGCCAGGGCAGCCGTCAACCGAGCGCGATTAGTGAATCGTGGAGAACCGAGGCAAATCCCTAGATTAGGCTTATCAGCACGCATCATTGTTTTCCCGGCGTTTATCGGCCGGCCCGCGCTGCTCAGCGGTGCGGTGCGGCATGTGCGACTGCTGATGCCCGCCATCGTTCGAGGTCCGGCGCATCACCGACGCTGTCATTCGCCGCCGCTCTCCACGTCCAACAACCCACCCGACACCGCTGTCATCAACTCCGCCCTCCAGTCCGCAACAATGGCTGGCCCTAATCTCGAGATCTTCAAGGTACTGCCGCGCTTCATTGCATGCCATCCGCCATCTCAGGGCTCACGAGTGCTTGCAGTTCGGCCTCTACATCCTCTTCCCCATCGGCTACATGTACTACTTCGGCACAAACCTTGAGGAACGCTTCACCGTCCCCGACTTCTGGCCCAAGGAGGGGCAGACGCACAAGATCCCATATGAGAAAGACGAAATCCAGTCGGAGCTTGCGAGGCTGAGGGCCAGGCGGCTGGCTCTGCGCGACCAGAGACTGGCACACGAGAGCGAGAACGCGTCGCAGGAGCCTTGAGATACCCGTTCGGACTGCGCCGCACGTGGCCCGGGCCAATTGAGCGTATGCCGGCGTGCCCGGCAGGGAGCGCGGTGGCTGGAGAAAAATTGCATTCATGGCGTTCACAGGGAATTTCTGGCTAGCGGCATGGAAGGGAGTAATGGTGGATATCTAGCATGTCTACACTATTGTACAGTATTCTACACTCATCCGTCTATTCGAAGTCGTCGATCTTGGCGAGCAGTTGCTCCCAGGCGCTGTCCTCCACACTGCCCTGGGTCGCATTCCAGTACACTGCTTGCACACCCGACACTTCCTTCAGATCGTCAAAGAACCTGGAGATCTTCTCGGTGCTGTCGCGGCCATCCAGCGGCACCTTTGTGTCTTCATTGGGTACCCATACAATGTCCATCGAGGCAATGTCCAGTCCAGTCGCAGACGCGATGCTTTCCGCAGCCTTCTTGGTGTCAGCCGGGTCCGTGTACACAATAACGGCGCCCTGCTCGGCGTCCTCGACGTCCAGCGCGCCGGCCTCCAATGCCGGCTCGAGCACCTCGTCGGGACCCCAGCCTTCCTTGCCCTCAAACACCACCATGCCCTTCTTCTCGAACATGTATGCTACAGTGGTGGCGTTGCCGCCGTTTTTCTTGATCCACATGCGCGTGTCTGCGAGGGAGCGGAGCTTGCTTTCGGTCTCGATTTCAATGACCATGGCTACCGACGGCGGGAAAATGGCTTCGACGGTGACGATTTCGAGGGCGGCGCCGGTCGAGGAGATGCCCTGGCCGCGCTTGATCGCATTGTCGATTCCTTGCTTGGGGAACGACGCCTTTTTCGCGCGTTCGACAGCGAGAGCAAGGCGAGGGTTCAAGCTTGGATCGGGGCCGCCCACTGCGAGACGGTGAGTCGATTGGCAAGGTAGACGGAACGAGTCAGCCCCATCAGGACTCACGCTTGGTAGCCAGGATGATTTCGTGGGAGAAAACCGAGCGCTGCCTGTTCTTGGCGGCGTCGTTTTTTGCCTTGTCGTGTTTGATGGTTGCCCATTTGCTGTGGCCAGAGCGGAGGCGCGTCGAAGTGGTCAATCCGCGCCGGCACGCGCCGCAGACATGGCTCGGAGGGCGCAAAGCGCGAAAAGCGGCGCGGGGAGCTAGCGGCAAGGACATGGCGGGCGTGGAGTTGCGGAAGGGCGAAGCGGTCAAGACTTTGGCCGGGGTTAGGCGCGTCGTCCGCCGTAGCGCGGTAGGGTTGCACCTGCGGCCAGCAGCTCGGAGGTCTTCCACCTCTGTCCAACACCACAGTGTCCCCAACATCCTTACATTTACCGGCCACCTACCTGCCCAAGACATGATCGCCACCTCCGGATGATAGAACGCTTTTGAAACACCCGCCCCGCAAGCTTCTCTTCCCACGAGCCCGCAATGGCTTCCCCCGACGCGCTCCCCCCTCCCTCGTCCAGCGACAGCCAGACCGTCGCGGCCCCTCCGCCCCTCCCGAACTCGGGCCACGAGACCAACCCCGACCTGGATGTGACGAAGCTGCATGCGCTTCCCTCGGAGCAGCAGGAGCTCTACCTGCTCACCTTCACCGCCGATCTGGCCCGCCATGCCGCCAGCCTCGACGCCGACGGCGCCTCCGCCCACCAAATCTACATCAAAAAGGAGGCCTTCAAGGTCATAAACCTTTCCTCGCCTGCGCCCACCCGCGTCATTCGCAGCAATGTCGGCCGCGCCCTCGCCGATGTCTTCGCCAAGGGCGACCGCAAGCTGCTGTTCGAGAGCATCAATGAGTTGGTCTCTATTCTGGCCAGCTCGAGCAAGGGTGACAAGGAGCTCAAGGCCAAGCATGCCGCCGCTCACTGCCTGGGCGCCATAATGGAAGCTGCCGGCGACAGTGCCATTGGCCCCTCGAGTCTTGCAACCTTGACCCTGCTGCGACAGCTCAAGGCCAATGCCCAGAACCACACCGGCTTCCGTGCTGCAGTCTTCCGCGCCCTCGGTCGCATTGCAAAGGGTGTTACGAGATTGCTGGACGAGCAGGTTGCCCGCGACACCTGGAAGCAGGCGCGAACCGCCGCCGCCGGTGACAAGAGCCTGGCTGTCCAGAGTGCTGCGTGCTGGTGCCTGGAGCAGTTGATCCGGTCCACCTCGTACTTCGACAACTCGAACGACTTCGACAAGCTGCAGACTGTCATTTGGAAGGCCTTTGACAACCCTTCCCCGAGCGTCAGGCATGCTGCCGCCTCGGCCCTGGCGACTCCCTTGGTGAAGAGCTACTCCGAATCCCCAATAGTTGACGCAGTCCCCCGGATCAAGAAGCCAAAAAAGTCCAAGAGGCAGTCGACCATACAAGACGCTGATGAGGAAATGGCCGAGAGACCTGGTTCTCCCGCACCCACCAAGCCCATTACTCAATTGGCCTTTGCGCTTCCGGGCTTGTTGAAGCAGCTGTCCACACATTATGCCCGAACTGCCACAAGCAATCGCGCGAGGACGGCTATCGCGGTTTGTTACATGAAAATCGTGAGGGGTCTACCCAAGAGCGTGATTGAGACCAAGTACGCCGACATTGCGAACAACCTTTTCAACGACGTGCTGAGCGCTCCACCCATCGTCAACAACCGGTACCGCCAGCTGATGACGCGCCGATTTGTACGCCTTATTCTGGAAGATGTGGTCGGGCGCCAGATCTTAGGTGAAACCGCCCAGCTCAACGCCGCAAAATTCCTACTCAACGAGATCCTGAAGGACTATCCTCCAGCCCTGAAGGAGCGTCCAGAGCCGAGCAAGCAGACATTGACTGGCGCCTTGACAGCGTTGACGTCCCTGATCCAGAGCCTCGGCTCTGCCACGAACTCGGTTGCAGAGCTCTGCAGAGATGCGCTGATTGGCGTGCTGCAACATCCAAGCTACACAGTACAGGTGCACGCCTCCTCATGCCTTCGCGCATTCGTGCTTGCATGCCCTCAGCAGCTGATTCCAGCCGTCACGATTTGCATGAACAGCGTGAACCGCGAGTTGGGTCAGCTCACTGGCCCCCGACCGTCGCCGAGGAAATGCGTTGGCTTTGCAAATGGTCTTTCTGCTGTTCTCAGCACGAGCTCCGCTCAGCCCCTGTACGGTTCCGTCGACGTCAACTCGAGAGTCCTTCAGCAGGCTACGACCCTGCTCAAGAGCAGTAGCAGTTCAGACATCAGGATCTCCAGCACTCAGATCCAGGTTGCATGGATTCTAATCGGAGGTCTGATGACCCTAGGGCCAAACTTTGTCAAGATTCATCTCTCGCAACTGCTTCTTCTGTGGAAGAATGCCTTGCCAAAGCCATTGAACAAGGACAGCATGACATCGCGCAACCTTCTCGACCTCAGCTTTCTGGCTCACGTCCGTGAGTGCGCTCTCGGCTCCGTCCTGACCTTCCTCGAATTCAACGGTCGCCTCCTTACTACCGATGTTACGAAACGCCTGGCCGCCATGCTACAAAACACAACCATGTTCTTGAACAGCCTCCCGGCCAAAAAGACCACCGACGATATGTCCCAGCGCTTGTCCTCGGCTCTTCAGCTGCATGACTTCGATCTCATGGTGCGTCGCCGGGTGTTGCAATGCTATACGAAGCTCGTCAATCTCAGCCCGGCGGGAAACAACGAAATGCTGTTGCAGTCCAACTTGTTGCCTTTTGCTGTCTCTTCCTTTGCTGACCCCGATAACTATGCCCCGAGTTCATTGAGCGTGTCGATTGCCAGCTCAGCGAGCACGTTCGAAAGCATTTGGGACGTCAGTGACAACTATGGCTTTGGAGTTACGGGTCTTGTACAGGGATTTGACCTCAAACCGCTAATGGGCGAACTTGGAGAGTCGGGTAGGAAACACTGGACCTCAAAGCCGGGTTCCGAGCATGCCGCGGATGCTGCTGTAAGTGCAGGCTATCTCTTTTAGACTGTTGCTGATTGTACCAGCTTTTATCACCTATTTGCAACGCCAGAGAGCACGACTCAATATCACTCTATATTGGCAAGGATACCGATAATTCCGAGCTTCCTGACCCGCCTGCCACTGAGGTTGTTAACGCAGCTCTCAACCTGTTCGCCATCTTGCTTCCTTTGCAGACTCCGAAGGTTCAGGAGAGTATATTAGAGCAAATCACGTCCTTCATGTCGGCGAACAGCCTGACGAGGGATCCTGCTAGGAAGGCTGCCATGACTGTCAATGTTGCTACAGCCCTTCTTGGCGCGCTCAAGGTTGCAAACAAGGAGACACTTTCTGCCCCGGGCGATCTCAAGGGACAGGCCGTGGAGAAGGTCATGCAGGACATGCTACACGTGGGTATCTCAAGGCTTGTGGAAAACGTTCATCAACTGATCAGCTACAGACGCTCATTGTCGACACGGACCAATATGTACGAAATGTAGCCTGCGAAGCCCTGGGTCGTCTCTGCGCAAGCTCTGGAAACACTTTCACCACCGCAGAAGTCAACTATCTCGTGGAACAGATCGTCGCCAACCGTGAGCCTAACGTACGTGCTGGCTGTGCGGTGGCACTTGGTTGTATCCATTCCCAGCTCGGTGGCATGGCGGCTGGCTTTCATCTGAAGAACATCCTCAGCATCCTCATGTCTCTGGCCAGCGATCCGCATCCTTCAGTTCACTTCTGGGCTCTGGACAGCCTCTCACGGGTTGCAGACTCGGCCGGTTTGAGCTTCTCCGGATTCGTCACCAGTTCCCTCGGTATGCTGGCTCAGCTGTACATGGCGGAAACGCACAGCGAGGAAATTGCGGCTCTTGCGTCATCTAACATGGAAGTTGATCTTTCGACTCCAGCCGTCATTACTCGTTGCGTCGACAGCATCATCAACGTGCTCGGCCCGGATCTTCAAGACATGTCCAAGGCTCGCGATCTGATCATGACTCTCATTTCCCAGTTTCTTAACGAATCCGACCTGTTGGTTCTCGTCGAGAGTTTGAGATGCCAGGAGCATCTCTCCCTCTACGCACCTGGTCATATGGAATTTGCTGTCTATGTCAAGGGTCTGCAAAGGGACCTTGATTCCACGTCCTCGTTGATCCGTGACATGGCCATTGACGGCCTCCACAACCTCATGAGACGCAATGCCGATGAAGTAATCCGTACCGCCAACCCCGGCCTCGAAGATCAGCTATGGCTGGTCCTCAACCAGAATCCGCGTCACGAGGTCATTCGCAGCATCCTGCGTAACTGGCTGCACCAGACTGCGCTCTCCAACACTCTAGAATGGGTGCAACGCTGCAACACTGCCCTCACCAAGATCATGAAGCAACCCGAAAACAAGGAGAGTGCGGCCCCTGCGAAGCCCAAAACTGCGCACACAGGCGGCGTGCCCGAACTACAGGATGAGGAGGTGGCTGGATTTGCCGCCGCTGCCGGAGCGCAGGGTGAGGAGTCTGGCGCCACTTCCCAGACGCAGGAGCTCCTGAACTGGCAGGTTCGCACGTTCGCCATGGATCTCTTGTCGGAACTCCTCACCATCGTCGGTCGCGACTATGCTCTTAAGGGCGAGGATTGCAAGCCCCAGGAAGCTCTCCAAGCTCACATTGCTGATGTTGTCCGTATTTCTTTCTCAGCGTCGACCGCTGGTGTGGTGGGTCTGCGGCTCCGCGGCCTTCGGATCGTCGACCAAGTTCTCAAGACTTTCGGCAAGACACCCGATCCCGACTTCCCAGAAGCCACGCTTCTAGAGCAGTACCAGGCGCAGATTGGCTCAGCCCTGACGCCGGCGTTCGCGGTCGACTCCAGCCCTGAGCTTGCAGCTGAGGCTGTCAACGTCTGTGCAACATTCATCGCCACTGGAATCGTGACCGACGTCGACCGAATGGGTCGCATCCTCAAGCTCCTCGTGCAGGCGCTCGAAAACTTCTCTGCTGACTCGGAGACCGCGAGTATCGGCGATCTCAAAGGCCTCAGCTCCAACGCACAGGTCATGGTTAAGATGGCCGTGTTCAGCGCGTGGGCGGAGCTGCAGATTGCAAGCAAGGAACAGAAATACTTGGTCGACGTCCTGCGCCCGTACATCGCAAAGCTGACGCCTCTTTGGTTGAGTTCGCTGCGAGAGTTTGCACGACTGAGATTTGAGCCTGATATCTCGACAACTGCTGCCGCAGGCAGCTTGAGCGGCAGCTTGGACACCATCTACGCCGCACTGAACCGGGAGACGCTGCTCAAGGTGAGTTTTGTCGAGGTGTAGCATGGACCCCGTGACTGACATTTTTGTAGTTCTACCAAGACTCCTGGCTCAACCTTGTCGACGCCATCGCATCTCTTATTGACGAGGACGCCGAATTTGTGTTCGATGCATTGGATGGCAAGGAATTTGAAGAAGACGACTCTGGCGATGACCCCAAGGAGAAGAAGCCTGCTGCAGACATCAACTACCGCGACGAGCCTGTAGCTTTCTTCTTCGTGCTGTTCGGCCTCGCTTTCGAGGCGCTCGTCACCACTGGCCGTCCCTCTTCGGGCGATGCACAGTCGAACAAGGAACACACGCTGGAAATCCTGAGAGCGCTCAAGAACATCCTCAAGCCTAGCGTCAGCGGTCATGCAATCTACCAGGAAGTCGTTTTCTCGGAGACTATGGATATGCTGGACAGGCTGGTGTTGACCGAGGGGCTGGACGTGCAGGAAGTGATTGTGGAAATCGCCAGGAATTTGTGTCTCGCCCATCCCAGCGCCCAGCGCTCTCAAAGGTCGGTACTTGACAATGCGGCTTCCAAACTGTTGCTAACTAAATACATTAGCGTGCCATGTGGCGAAGAAACATTGTCGGACGACATCGAGCAGCTTTTCGAACTTACGCGTATCATGGTTCTGGTGCTGGCTGGCCTCGTGCCGGGCTTGGGCGACAACAACGCACAAGGTTTGTCCTGTTTTCTCCCTACACAAACTTTTTGCTGACGCTTCTGTAGCGCGCCACGCTTTGACAGACGAGTCCGTCCAGCTCATCAGGCTCGCCCTGTCGGCACTTGTGGATGCCGCAGATGTCTTCCCAACCATCATCCGCACCGACCTTCACGCTTGTCTGCTCCAGATCTTCATCCAGGTCCTCGGCACTCCATCTACCCAGGCGCTGGTCGTCCCCCAGGTCCTCCCCATCTTCCGCCGCTTCGTGTCCAGCCTCGCCACCACGTCGTTGCCCGAGACGCAATCACAGCTCCGCAGCACGCTCGAACGCTTCCTCCTCATCATATCCCACGCCCAAAAGCGCGAATTCGACGCCGCGCCTCAATGCGAAAAGAACACGCTCCTCGCCACGACCATCCTCCTCACCAACGCGGCCGGCATCTTCGACCCGTCGGACCCGCTCCTCACGCGCTACACGGACCTCCTCGCCGACTGCCTGCACAACCGCGTCACCAGCAAAGTCGCGTCCAACTGCTGCCGCTCGCTGCTCGTCCTCCCCAAACGCGACGACAGCGCCCCGTCGGCGACGGCCGGCGCCCTCGCCCGCGCCCTCCTGCCCACCTCGATCGGCTTCCTGTCGTCGCCGCCGCCCGACGACCTCGAAGGGCTCGACGAGTCCCGCGCCGTCGTCTCCCTCGCCCTCGTCAACCTCGTCGGCACCCTCCAGCCCGCCCGGGTCCCCGCCGCCACGGCGCTCGTCCTGCCCACGCTGCTCGCGCGCGCCAGCCGCGAGGGCGAGGCCTGCTACCGCGAGACGGCCGCGCGGCTGATCGAGCTCGCCGGGCAGGGCCAGGACAGCTTCAGGGCCGTCGTCGGGACCGGGCTGAGCGCCGAGCAGAGGGCGTTTATGGAGGGCGTCGTCAGGAGCGGCGGTGCGGCGGCGGCGGCGGAGCGGAAGACGCCCGTCCGTCAGGATAGTTCGGGCGAGCCGAGCATCGCGCTGAAGATGGACTTTGGGGTGTAGGTGGGATGGGTGTGTGTGTGTGTGTGCGTGGGATTATTGGGTTGGATTGGATGAGGAATAGTAGGGATTTGTTTTTGTTTTTTTTTGCGTGTGAGGGGCAGGCAGGGTGGCTGATCGGTGATGACTTATGGCGTGTGTTACGATTAATGGTGGGAGTGGTAGCTGAAGCCATGATGATGATGACGATGATGGTAATGTGTAGGTCTGAGTAATATTCCAATAGACGTTTCGCTATCTATCTGGGTTTTTGTGCGGCTGTGGCTCATTTAAAGCTTTTCTCCTTTGGCAAAGAGAGAGGGAGATATCGATTTCGAGTGAGTGGGGATGTGGGAGGAGAGAGATGTAGCTTTTTTTTTAGACAGTGACATGGTGTTAAATAATTGGATCACCTATACTGTACTAATGCAGTAAGCGCATTCAGTCTGCTTTAGTATGTAGTAGTAATGCGTGCGGAGGGCGTACTAGACTATTGGTCCATTGGTTTCTTTTTTTTTTTTGTGTAGTCAGGCCGCATCTAGAGGGAAGCTTAGTGCAGTACCGCATTGGTGAATTACTTCGCGATCCCATTAGCACGATTTTCCGGGCTCAAGCTATGGAAAGGCTTCGCTAAATATATCTTGGGTAAGGTGGTTGGAGAAACCGGATGAAAATAAAACTAATAAATTGATTTGAAGACGGTGAGCTCACTCCAATAGATTACTTCCTCGCAGTGTATTTCTTTCTTGTAATAGCTCGCTCACCGTTTGGCAGAAAGGAGTATGCTTGGGCTATAAAAAATAGTTGAGTAGTAGTAGTAGTAGTAGTAGTAGTAGTAGTAGTAGTAGTAGTAGTAGTAGTAAATGTCTCGAATCGAGTTTTGTGAAAGAGTCTATACCAAAGATACTTTCGATTCTCTTACCATTGAAGTTCACCTGGTTTTTTTTAGATCTTCTACAAGTAGAGATCATACTCGGCGGTTATTTTATTTATATGAAATCAAAAATCAGAAACCTCGACGTGATGAGAAAGAACACAGCATTTCAATGGATAAAAAGAGGTTTAAAACCATTCTACTGTAGAGAAAGTAATTCGGATGTTTAGGGATGGCGGAGCGCTGCGAGAACAAGACCTGAGTCATACTGTGATAAGATCGCCATCTTTTCCAACGCTCAGCTCAAGTCAGGCTCTGAGTTGTCAGCGTGATCCGTTTAGGAGCATGGTTGTGAATAAGCGAAGCTCAATGCATACAAGTATTGAATTTGTACCAGCTACAGGGAACCGAACAGACGCAATATGGGGGCGAAGCACATTCCTGGGCAAGGAGCAAATCACGTTGATCGGAGGGGCCGTTCGGCGAAAGCGGAAGAAACGTCGCCAATTTTGTACAGTCGAACCAACGAGCCGGCACGACAATATAGTCTGTGCATCGCGGCATTGTCCCTGCGAGAAATTCTGGCATGTGTCATGCTCCACACTGTGGGGCAGCGATAGGCGTACCGCTACTGAGGGGGTGGCACAGCAGTGAATAAAAACGGCTCCGGTCCTCCGCAGCCGTTCCATCAGAGCAACCTTCGTTCATTTCTCAGTAGGCCACTTGATCCCTCTAATCCTGCCGAGAAAAGCGCCGAATATGTGCGGTGATAGACCGGAGCTTGAGGTCGACTCCTTGGAGAGCGACTCGGCCTACGGTGGTGATATGTCAGCCCACACGGTTCTGTACGGCGTCAAAAGCCATTCACTGACAGCTAGTAGGCTGAGCTATGCCACATCAATTAGCAGCAGCGTCAAGCACTATCGCAGCGAGTATGGCCGCCGTTTTCATGCGTACAAGGATGGGTGTAAGTGTTTTGGCGGCGTCCACAGGCGACGACAAGGATTAATTCGCACAGCATATAACTTTCCGAACGACGAAAAAGAGCAGGACCGGTTGGACATGGTTCACCACCTGAACACGCTCGCGCTAGGCGGAAAGCTCCATCTCTGCCCGTTGCCAAAGGCGCCGCAGCGTGTGCTCGACATCGGAACAGGTAAACAACTGTCGCCTCTCGGCACAAAGCAGCAGTCGAGTGACTGAGCAACGAACAGGCACCGGGATCTGGGCGATTGAAGCGGGAGACACGTGGCCGTCGGCGGCGGTTTTCGGCAACGACCTCTCCCCGATCCAGCCGCAATGGCTGCCTCCGAATGTGACGTTCGAGGTCGACGACGTCGAGGCGGAATGGCCGGACCGGCCCAAGTTTGACTTTATCCACTCGCGATACATGGCGGGCTCGTTGGGGGACTGGCCGCGATTGATGGGGCGCTGCTTCGAGAACCTGGAGCCGGGTGGATGGGTCGAGTTTCAAGACTACGAATACCGGTACTACTCGGACGACGGAAGCCTTCCCGAGGACAGCCGGCTGAAGAAGATGAGCGAACTGATGGTGGAGGGCTGCTCCAAGATTGGCCGCGATGTGTCGCCCGGCCCGTCGTTGCTGAAGTGGGTCAAGGACGCTGGGTTTGTAAATATTGGGCACCAGGTGGTCAAGTTGCCAATGGGAGCGTGGCCAAAGGACCCGGTGTTGAAGCAGATGGGCTCGTTCAATCTGGTACAGACGGTGGAGGGCTTGGAGGCGTACGATCTTGCCATCTTCACCCGCATCCTCGGTTGGACCAAGGAGGAGGTGGATGTCTTCAACGCAGAGGTCAGGAAGGAGCTTGGGAAGAAGGGAATACACGCGCTGATCGATTTCTGGATCGTGTGGGGGCAGAAGCCGGGGGCGTAGTGAGAAATGTAAACAGTCTAGCAGATAGCCGAAGAAGGCCATATGCAGAGAATGGCAGGAGCACAGTCGTGACTGCCAAATTCAAACGGCCGGAGGCAAGACCCTCCACTCCCTCCCTCTCACCTGATTGCTCAACCTCACCCCCCCATCCTCAACACCGGCGACTCAGCGTCAGGCTTGCGAACCACCTGACGCACTCTCGCTCACGCCATGCCCTCTGTCCGTGTTCCTTCCACCCGTGAGCGCATCATCATCGCCGCAAATCTCCTGTTCGCTCCGGGCGCCCCGACCTTCGCCACGTCCTCCAGCCGCTTCGACATCGTGGCCTGCACTGCACGCGACCGCCGCGGCATTCAGATAAAGCTGCAGCAGTGGCACCGCGTGGGCAACACCAGTCTGCGCTGCGTCGTTGCCCTGCACGGACCCGTGAGGAATAGCTACTGGGACGCACTGAATGCTCTGGCCGAGGAATTGGATCGCATGGTCGCCGAGTCGGCTGCCCACCACCAGCAGACCTTCACACCCGGTAAGTCCTCCGCTTCGCAGTCTCCGAAAGATCTGAAGATAACCATGACCTCAGTCCCTTAGTCCGCGACGAAACTCCAAGGCCCGTGCGCATAACGAGGATGACCGGCACCAACAAGAACAGCAGCCGCAGCAGCAGCCCGCGAACGCCCACGAGGACCCGCCGTCCGGAATCTCAAACATCCTCGACCCGGGCAGCGCCTTCAAACCTGACTCCGCGCGCCACTTCAGCCAGCACGGCCACTCACTCGCCGCGCTCGCGTTCTTCATCCACTTCCAGCACGAGCACCATCCGACCCTCCACTGCTCCACCGGGCCCCATCCACCCTCACTCCGAACTGGAAACTCTTTCTCGCATGCCGACCGCGCTGCTGCCACCCATTCCCACAAGCTTGACCCCAAAGCGCTCGTTGACTACCCGGCTGACGCCCTTTCTCCGGCGCCAGCGCGACTCGCGCCAGCAGCAGCAACAACCGCAAATGCAAAACGCTCAAGAGCAGCATCATCACCAACTCCACCCAGCGATGGAGCAACAGCAGCACCGCAAGCCGTCGACACTGCACAGACTGGGCAGCCTGATCAAACCGTCGAACAAGGAGCACCAGCAGAGTTCCGAGACACCGTCCACGCCGCCATGCTACACGCTCGCTCCGGACCAGGGACCATCGCCGTCGCCGTCACCGTCTCCGCCGAAGTACCGGCTTCGTGTGGGGGAAGGAGGAGAACAACTGACGACGATGATGACGGGCATGGGAGTTTCGTCGCCGGCACCGCCGCAGCTGCCCACAACGGGCAGGCCGAGAGGCCCGCGCGAGCTGCCTCAGCTTTCCACCGGCGACCGTCGGACGAGTCAACAGCGGCAGCTCGAGCGTCTATTCTTGGACCGCCAGGGCGGCCCGGCGATGAGGCTTGTCCAGGAAGAATCCAGCGAATGGCGCAGGGCGCCGTCTTTGTCATCGACGCTGCCGTGGCGTGACAACAGTCGCCGCGGACAACAGCAACAGAGGCAGGCAGCTGTCGTGCGCCCTTGGACAGGCATGGCGCCCAGAGATGCTGAGGTAGGAACGGCAAAGAATCCCGCACGCACCACTAACACCACCACCGCAGAGTCGGCCTTGAGCAACGGCAACAACAACACAATCCGCCTGCAGCGTAAGCCCGTTGCCGCCGGCAACAGCGGTGTGTTCGCTCCGGCGTCCTCGCCGCCGAAGGAGACGACGTCGACGGTCTGGGACGAGATCACCCAGCTGGAGGAGCAGCTCAAAATGGATCAGCAGCAAGACCTGCTGCGCCACGAGGCCGAAGGACGCCGACGACGGCGTGCGACGTACCTGATGTCGGACGAGGGCGACGAGGATTCCAAGGGCGACGAGTGGGAGGACGAGGGCGACGGCGAGGCGTGGCAGCACCACTTGTCGCCGCAGCTGCAGCTGCAGCACCAGCCTGCAAGGCGTTCCGACAAGCAGCACCACCCATAGCCGCCCTTTGCAAAGCCCCGACGGATCGAGAAGGGGCCAGTAGGGGTGTTACACACACACCGATTGATTTGGATGATTGGATGATTGAACGATGGTTTGGTTTTGGCATACACACACGGCACAAGGTGATTGGGGAGAATTTCGGGGGCCCAGCTGACTGGTTCTAACGGAAAATAGCAAGGCTGTGCGGCAAGGCGGACTTCGCGCGAGAGTTGGGTTGGTCCGTTGATATCGGAGTGAGGTGTCACTTTCTTTGGCTGGCTGATGGAATGGAATGATCGATCGAGCCATGACTCAGCCTTGATCATCGGCTTGGTAGTTGCCTGGCAAGGCTCAGCTGTAGGCGGACTACAGAAGACTTTGGCGTTAGCGGCGGTAAAGGCAAAAATCACTACCGATACGGCTGCAATGATTAGGGATTGGGTATTCTGGCTTTGGCTTTTGATGGGTGGACAAGGAAAATGGCTTGATTCGACCGGTCAAACACAATTGGCAAAAAAACAAAAGGGGACACGGAAGAGAGATGTATCATGTAGGCCAAGCAGGAAAATCGGTTTTACACAGAAACAAATGAAGTTGGTATCTGGCTGACGAAAAAAAGAAAAAAAAAACTCGAACCGCAATGATCCTTTTATTAAGAAAGCAGAGCGAGCAAAAGGTAGCTCTTCCGCCAATAATCGCCTGCGTTCTTCTTCAGACGCTCCAATACCGCATTGTCCGCCCCAGACGCCTCTTGCAACTGCTTCTCAAGCGCCACGAAAGGTGATGGTCCTCCTTCTGCGACCCTCTGAGCCAATACGCGCTGCAGGTAGCAAACGTCGAAAAGCAGGTGGATGAGCTTGTCCTTTTGAACCTCGGCGCTGGGAGAAGGAGTGCGGTGTTCTTTCTCTTCCTCCACCGCCTTCTCCTCATCATTCGTGGCCGTCGCGTCTCCCCCACCGGCGGCATCTTCTTCCCCAGTGCCGTTTGCTTCCCGCCGTGACCCGTCCTCGCCTCCTTCATCCTTTTCGTCTTCCCTATCGGCGGCGTCTCCGTCCTCGGCACCGGGCACGACCGTGATCGCTTCGACGCATCCGCGCAGGATGGCGGCCGTCGCGTCCGAAATCTCATTCTTGAGCACGTCCACGGCTCCGGGCGACCACAGGTCCCCGCCGCACGTCCACATCTCGCGGTGCAAGGCGCAGAGGTATTTGAAGGCGCTGACGGACGGCTGCACCGGCAGCTGCGGGTTGCCTTCCCACAGCGCCCTCGCCCTCGCGCGGCGGGAGCGGGCCAGCTTCTTCGTCGCGGCGCCGTAGACGGCGAGGGGCGACTGGGAGACGAGCTTCGCGATTGAGAGGTGGAGGGGGCGCGTGACGGAGGGAGGGAAGACGGTGGATGAGGCGACGATGCGCCTGTTGGCTGCGGAGAGGGCGCCCAGGCGCTGGCTGACCTCCCGGAGGGCGCGGGTGAGCAGGATCGTCTTGGGGGCGGCGAGGTCTGGGTCTGCGACGGTGTTTGAAACGAGGGTGTCTACGTCCTTTTGTAGTTCTGCAAAGGCGGCGGAGAGAGCGTCCTTCAAGGAATCCTCGAGCGAGCGGGGGTCGTCCTCGCTCAGGAGGGCTTGCTTGGATTCTAGTTCGAAGTCATCATCCCCATCGTCTGCATCGAGGTCATCGTCCCATCTCGTGTCCTTCATCTCTTTGATTACAGCATAAGCGCCTTCGAGCGAGCTAGCCCACAAGTCGTATGAAGCGATTAGCTGCAGAAGGGAAGTATCGAGGCCATGGCTTCGCTCAATGATTGCTCGCTTGAAGGCAGGAGCTCCGTTCGAGGTATCAATGTAGGGCGTAGATGGATCCCACAAAGACACTGCTCGGTGTTCATCATCACCTGTACAGGCATCAAGTATACGGGAAAGATCAGAGGTAACCAGGTTAAGTCGCAGCGCGCGTTCGGTCAGCAGAGTGCGGAGGCGGTCGTTCAGAACAGTTCTGAGATCATCCAATACAGAAGACGGATCGACACCGAGGCCACGATTGGTGGATGAGAGCCAAGTTTCCAACATCTCTCTCCTCACATGGAGTACAGTCTTGGGGTCGTCGTGTTCAGCCAAGACGCCACGGGTGCTGTCAAGGAAAGCTTGCACCGCCTGCCTTGCCCAAGTTTTTAAGAGCTTCTCTGCGTCGGGCTTGGAGAGTTCATCATGTCGTGGCCATGGGGTAAAGTTCCTCACCTCGCCCGCAATCCAGCGCTCGTGGACTTCGAGATTGAGTTCAACAATGGCCTGAATCTCGGGATCCTGAAGAAGCGGACGGGCCTTCAAACGGACTAGAGCATCGGCGAGACGCTGGGGAAAGATGGCCTGGGTGTCGACCAAAGTGCGAACGTACAATCTCAGGGCGCGAGGAAGGTGGTCCTGAGAAGTGCGGCCTTCGTCAACCAGTCTCGTGATTGATTCCAGACGAACATGGTGGAAGTGGCGCAAAACATCGCTCGGAGCAGAGCTCGTGGCCAATGAGAAAGCACACATACTCTCGAGCACATCATGGGTATCCGAATTGAAGCGTGAGAACTGCTTGTCGATTGCATGCAACAATTTCCGGCGCAACGAAGCGAGCTGATTCTTGAGAGCGTCGACGAACGGAGGAGCATCGGGAGTATCGGAGAGATTCTTGTGCAAGAGACGAGAAATGACAAGGATTTTGGCGGCAAGCAGGGTCGAGCCCTTCTTCAGCGTGCGGCGGATAACGGTGGGACAGGTCTGGAGCAGGGCGAGCTGGGCGGCGAACGAGAAGCGCTCGGCGTCTGTGGCAGGGGGGCAAATCAGCCTGGGAGTAGGGCAAACAGCGTCGCGAAGCGCTCACCGAGCTTACGCGAATGGGCAGCGAGGCCCCGATAGTTCTTGGTTATGCTCTCCATCCTCCGCGAATTGCACCTTTGGCCAATCACACCCAGGGTGGATTCGACGCGCTGCATTTGGGAGTCCATCTCGATGATGCGCTCGGCGGTGCCCAGCAGGTCGCGATAGCTCGCGCTGCAATGGGGGCGGGTCAGCGATGGTTATGGACTAGAGCAGCAGCAGAGCTCAGGGATGCACTCACCCGACCAGCGAGCGCAGCTTCTCGCGGTTTTCGTCGGCATTGTGGCGGAGCTGCTGCTCGAGCTTGCGGACGACGGGCACCGGGTACTGGAAGGCATCGTCGGCGGAGGTGAAGGAGCGCGGATCGGCGGCTGCGGCGGTCGCCATGTCGTGGCAGGCGTACTAGAAAGCGGCGATGGATGGCGTCAGACACGTTGCCCGACGCGCCGCGGAGCTCCACCGAGCTTGGCATCGTCTCGTCACGTGTCGGGCTTACCTAGTCCAAACACCCTGCCCTGCCCCGCTCCGCCCGCAGACATCAGCCTTGCACTACCTGCTTTCATCACACCGAGCCAGCCACCCTTGTGCTCTGTCACGCCGTCACGCCGGCGCACCAAGCACAATGCGCGCTCTGAGGTTGGCGGGCTGTGAACGGTGGCCTGTGAATTCGGCCTTGGGGCAGCCTGCAGGAGGGCGCAAGGGATATGCGAGGTTGATGCTATTCATGGCCGGCCCTCTGCCCCGCGGCTGTGTTGGTTGACCTACGGCAGCACCCGGCGCAGACTGACTCTGTACTCCCTTTCTTGCCTGCAACTTCTACCCCCAATCCACTGCAATAATAATGCAAGCGGCACGCAGCCTTTTAAACTGCGGGCTCGCCTCTGGCGTGGCTCTGCTATCTCGCACTCATTCCGACCGCTTCACCAACTCGTTCTTTGCTCCAACCGACCATCTAGGGCCGAAGCAGGTCGCACAGCCCAGCCCCGCATCCCCAGCTGATGCAGACACCCTCACTGCCGAAGCCCCATCGCCCGGCCATCTCAAACGAGTTCTATCGGCCTGGCTGAATACGCTGAAGTCTTTGTCAACCCGTCGCAGCACAAGGCCGCATGTCCATCACTCTCGACTTCGCTCCTCCCAGCCCACACTAGATCATTCGCCAAAGAAGAATGATCCTTCCATCATGTCTTCTGCCGTCGTCCACCGAAAACCCCTCCAGAGGTCGTGTAGCTATGAGCAAGGTGATGACAGAACTACGACAGTCTACTTTCCAAAAGGATCGTTGCAGGAATCCTTCAAAGAGACGGAGCTGTGTGGCATTTCCACTCGCGCATCTTCATCTGATTCTTCCCGAGTATCCTTCGCCAGCGGTAAATCCTCCGAGACTACCAGCCGGCTGGACCTCCCTTCAATCAAAATCCCTGTCCCAGAACAGAACGAGGCCAAACAGTCGCTTCAGTCCGAAGGCACACACCATCGCGCATCCAATTCATATCAGACTGACGATCGAAATCAACTCAGCTTCGACAAGAACGATGTATTACTCATCTCTATGAAGAGCGAAGATGGTGAGTTCCAAGTTCGAAGCCCATCTACCAAGCCAGGCATCATGGTTGGCTAACTTCAACAGGATGGTGGTACGCTAAGACGCTATCATCCCATGAAGCCGGCTGGGTACCCTCAAATTTCTTCGATACCAATCCCATCACCGAACATATCACCGATGTTTCTGTTGGGGGGCTGCCGCGGCGATCGCGCGCCGTGCGCCGGAAGAAACCCATGAACCGGCCTGCCATAGTGCACGGCAGACCGGAGCTCGCTGGCGCCGAAGACTTTCAACTTCAACTCTACCGGCACTTCTCCCAGCAGCTCCTATCGACACGCCAATGCGCCGTATGCGGCGATTCCAAAGCCTTCGCCGAGTTTCCCGACGAGACGCGGCTGCATTGTAAGCATGCATGGAGCACATGCCGTGAATGTGCTCAGGCCTGGGTCGCCGCTGAGCTCGAAACCAACGGGTGGGATCACATCAAGTGCACCGAGACCGGATGCAAGGCCTTCCTCAACCATACGGACATCTTACAGCTGGCCGACAGTGCGACGTTTCAAAGGTCGGAACGGCTTCGATCACCGCGAATACGGCCCGTAATGCTGACCGAGACCAACAGATACGACTCTCTCGCCACACGCGCCCACCTCAGCGCGCTGCCCGACTTTGTTTGGTGCCTTTCCGCGTCATGCACGAGCGGGCAGATCCACGAAGATGGGTCCGGCCCTATCTTCAAGTGTATAGGATGCAAGAAGCGCTTCTGCACGCAGCACAAGATGCCGTGGCACCGTGGCGAAACATGCGCGCAGTACGACCAGCGAGTGAGCCGCGAGAAGCAAGAAGATGAGGAGCGGGCGACGAAGAAGATGCTCAAGAAGACGACGAAGCAGTGTCCTGGCAAGTCCTGCGGCTGGATGATCGAGAAAAACCATGGCTGTGACCACATGACATGTCGAAAATGCAGACACCAGTTTTGCTGGGTCTGCCTGGCTCCATATGAACCCATCAAAAAGCATGGAAACAAGAGACACGCGGTAACTTGTAAGTACCATTCGGACAATTTGAAGTAAGTTGAGATGATGGAGGAGTCAAAATCAAATAAATTACAAGTGTCCACATCAATCGTTTAAATGTACGCTCAACACCACTTTTCAAGAAGTCGTCGAACTATGCAACCGTGACTGCGATTGCCGATGTCAACGGGCTGGCATGCTTTGACCACATAGGGGCACTTTTCGGCATGCGTTGAGCCTAGGCCGCAACCTGGCAGCCAAGCAAGGACCTGCATTTGAGTCAGGTTCATTCGTCGATAAGAGATAGATTAACCCCCGGACTCCTTCCTTAAACTGCAAATTAGTCTGGTGGAGACACCGGAGGCCAAGCATTCAAGGGTTGAGCTTGGCCACTGCTTATTCTAATGGTCGACTGTGACGCGTCGCAGATTGATGACTAGCTACTTAGGTTCCGCTTAGAAGAGTGACAAACAGGGTGACAACCTCGACCTTGGTGTTTTTTTTCTTTCCTATCGGTTACCGAATTTCTTCTTTTGTCTCCCACCCCTCTCCCTGTCTAAATGAGCGATGCAGCTGCCCATTTGCGGCACTAGTTGCGTTGCTGAGCAGTCTCTCAGGATAGCGCGGTATGGCCAGCCGCATTCATCGATATCCTCACCATGTCCATTGTCAGGCAGGCGTTGTCGTAAATTTCGACGAGCAAAATGCCACAATGGACGTCAGCACGGACGGACCGGGCAAACGAGAAGTAATGACGTCATATATTTACGAAATTAGCTCCGGTTCTGGTGCTGGGCGCGCACGCGAACAATGACCACCAACCAACAAGGCAAGTCGAGCTCACCCCCGTTCTCACCCCAAACGCCCCATGTTTTTTGCAACCAGGATAGCACGTCGACGCACGTGGTGCATCACGTCCGTTTCCACCGTCTTCCGCGCATGCGCAGCCACTGCGGCCCCGACGGCAAAACGGCAAAAGTCCCCACCAGCCACGTCCGCAGCCGACAGCAAGGCGTCTCAAATGAAGCGTTCAGCCTCGGCAAGCGGCAGCAAAGCTGCCCCTAGAACCAAGAAGGCTCGTCCCGAGGTACCCGACTATCATCTCACACCATCGCGGAAAGACGATGCCGGAGAGATTGTCTGGCCAGCTCCAAAGGATCAGATCGAAGAGGCAAAAGACTTCATACGGGAATGGTAAGAAACCAAAATGCCTCGACGTGGACTATCAGTAATCAGGGTATCTGCCTCACAATTGCCAGTAGTACGCCAGACTGACGTGCAATGTCCCCCTCAGCGCCGGTGCCGGCAAACGGACATTGATTGTCCCCGACAAGGACGCCGACGGCCTCTCGTCCGGCGCCATTCTCCAGCGGACGTTGATTCTCCTCGGACTCAAACCTGACCTCATCTCCGTCCATCTGTTGCAGAAGGGCAACAACATCCACACCGAAAGCGAGCGCCAGGCAATGGCCGACCTTGCTCCCGAGTACATCTTCATCTTGGACCAGGGGTCGCGAAAGGCCCCGCCGGTCATCGACAAGCCGCACAAGGCTTTGGTGATTGACCACCACTTTGCAGAAGAGGACGACTTTCCCGAGGGCTCGAAGCATGTCACAGCATGCAACTCGCCGCCGGTGGCAACAAGCTCGCTGCTTACTTACCACCTCTGTTGCGCAGTCCACGAAGACGTGGCGCAGGCCTGTGCCTGGCTGTGCGTCGTGGGCACCCATGGCGATCTGGGCACGTCGTTGAAGTGGGAGCCGCCTTTTCCCGACATGCGCGCCACGTTCAAGACGTACACCAAGAAAGCGTTGAACGAGGCCGTGTCCCTGATAAACGCGCCACGCAGGGCAGCCTCTTTCGCGGTGCCGGTGGCGTGGGCGGCGTTGAGTGAGGCGAACGCACCGGCTGACCTGGCGAATAATAAGGACCTCCTCGCAGCACGCGAAGAAGTCAGGGATGAAGTTGAGCGATGCACGCATACTGCTCCCAAGTTTAGCGCGGACGCAAAGATTGCCGTTTTCCGTATTAGCTCGGAGGCTCAGGTACATCCACTCATTGCCACGCGGTGGGCTAGCCATCTTTCATCTTCCAAGCTTGAGGTCGTGCTCGTTGCCAATGAGGGGTACCTACCGGGGCTTGTGAACTTTTCGTGTCGTATACCGCGGAGTGCGCGTGCACGGGATCCGCCAGTCAACATCATTGAAGTTTTGAAGGAAGTGGCAAATCGAGCGGCCGACCCGACCCTGCGCGCAAGATTGGGAGAGTCTTTTGCACGTGGACACAAGGAGGCAAGCGGAGGGATTGTCGGGGTTCAAGAGTTTGAGGAGTTGATGGCGTGTCTAGGGGTGGGTGGGAGTGGGAGCCCTGAAGCCGAATCTCCGAGGAAGAAGAAGAAAGAAGACAAACCGGCTCAATCAAATACGCTGATGAATTACTTTGGGAAGGAAAATGGCTCAAACCCGGCCTCATAGAGTTGAAGCACAGGGTAGAGCTCCATACTGGTGGGATACTTCTTTCAGGAGTAGCACAGAAATCTCCACAGTACTTTGGTCTCAGGCAGCGCCGTGTGTGTGAACCCGTCAGGCGGGTTTTCGCCGGATGAAAGAAGCCGGTCGATGGACCAGCATCCAACACAGTGCTCAGCTTGAAGGGAACAATCATGGAAGAGAGTGGAAGCAAGTACCGGAGATGATACCGACAATGACGTACTTGTGCGGTCTCGCATGTCGATGAAAACCGCCCAGCCATCGGGCTGCAGGGTCCAGAGATGGGATAGAATCTGTCAGCCTATAGATCGACACCTTGGTTTGCGGCGCGCATCATTGTGATCTCGATGTCCTTCAAGATCCCAGTGCTGCCGGCGGCTTCCCGAAGATTGACCGTGTCCGGCGCTGCAGTCATTATGCAATGCTTATCGGATTCCCAGACGAACAGGGCAGTGCATGACCGGGTTTAAGTAACGGAGATAAGTGTGCGGTGTTTTCCATGGTCCAGAGCATGGCAGGGGTGTCGGTCCAGAGGTCCTGGCCCTGGCTGGGCGACACATGGCATTCCTGGGATTTGAAATGGTATTCCAGAGCTTGACACCCTGGCATGGAAGGACATTTTGGATCGACAGGGTGAATCACATGGAGAGAGACTTGGTTTGGGAGGCACCGGTCGCCATGGTGTTTGTTGGCAGCATCGCAAGGCGGGGCGTCTGCACGCGCGGTACAGGCACGGGAGCGATCCCGCGCGTGGTGGGGCCGTCAAGGAGTGACGTCGGGAGGGACGCCAGCAGCTTCGAAGCACAGGCGACGAGCAAGAGGCAGCCAATATTGTTGCGACTTTTTGTCAAGCACCGTCAACATCGCGACCCCTGGTGAAGTGGTTTGGGTTGCCAGTGGACCACAGGGTTGCAGATCGAACAGGCCAGATTGCCGGCAGATGCGGTTGGATCTCTTGCCGGGGCTGGAAGGCGAAGCGCGGGCAAGCTCCAGGCGAAAGCGGGCGGGCGGGCGACTGGCAGCGTTCTTCGGGTGCCTGAGCCGAGGGCCCAGGGACTTCTTGCCATCCTCGGCCGGGCAATGCGAAAGATAACATGTTCTCCGCGGGGGCATTGGTGATGAGGAACAGCGCGTGCGGCGATGTCGGGTGGTTTGTGGACCCCGCCTGGCGCGGCAGTAGCAGGGCGACGGCCGTCCCCAAATTTCACGCAGGGTGCCCGTCTAGCACTCGGGGACGGTTCGGATTCGGGCGAGGCTAGGTGCACACGACGTGGACGGCAGTTTTGGTCGGCGGGTTCTTTGCCCAGAACGAGGGCGGGCTTGCGCAGCTCCAAGGCAATTCCCTCCGCGTCTGGGGTAGGAGGCGCGCGCGACTCAGCCTTTGCGGGTTGCCAAGAGCAGCGCGAAAGCTTAGCTGGCGCACCGTCGAGAGTTCGCCAACTGCAGGAAAGAAGTTCCATTGCCGTCACTTCACTCCCCCCCGTTCTGGACGGTGGCGGCGAGCAGCCCCCTCACGCGATAGCAGCCCGCCAGCGAGGCGCGGCAGCCAGGCCTCAGGCCCGCCGCGTGGCCGTGCCGCCGGCAGGTCGCGCAGGGCCTGCTCCGATCGAGCCTCATCAGCAAGGTGAGGGGCACGTCCAGCACACCCGGCCAACCGTGAAACAAGGCGGCCCCTGCACGGGTCCAGCACGCCGTGGCAGCTGGTTCCCCGCCTTTCCCTCCAGTCTCGGCGCCACCTGATGCCTGAGCTCTAGCTCGAGAAGGAGCTATGACCCTGTCGCGCGCGCGCTCAGCCGGCAGCACCGCAGCAAGCCAAGCGCCTGCTTGCGGGGGAAGACAGCGCGTCCGGCCGGCCATGGGACGACAATGACTTACTGCATTGGTCGCGGGGCACGTTGCCATTCGCCAATGCGCCCTGGACCCCGCATCCCGCGCCGTTCGTGTAGCGCGCAATCGAGCAGCCATCGTCCTGGCCCATGCCTGGCTGCCCCTCCGCACCGCCAACGTCAGAAGCTTGAGCGCGCATGGACGAGTGGGGTCACGGCTGGAAATGGCACGCTTCGCCCGGTGGCCGCCTCCCTCCTCTCCGCCAGCGCCGTCTGGAGGGAGATGACCAACCTTTCTGCCTACGCGCCCAAGCCCTGTGGGCCTGCGTGGCATATATATAATGGGCCCTGCGTCGGACATGTTTGCCCTCCATCATTCCACCCTTTGCCTTCTTCTTGACGCCGCATCCCCACCCCGCTCGTACCTGGGCAATCATCTGCGACGTCATTGCCGCTTTGCCGACCGACTCGGTAAGCCATCCCATGCGAAACCAGGCTCCCGGTCACTCCGTGATTGGAGGTGCATCGGATCATGACCAAGACGGCTGACCTGGGCCGCTACAGTCCGGACTGCGTACATATAATTCCCGCGCCTCCCTCCGAAGAGAGTCTTTGTCCACACCCCTCCATTCTCTTCACCAATTGTCACCATGGTATTTATCCGCTCTGCTGCCCGCCTCGCGCGCCCCGCCTCGTCGGTCCTGTCCGCCGGCAGGAGCTCGCTGCTGCGCTCAAAAGCACCCTTCGGCGTCAGAACGCTAACGGCAACCTCGCGGCAACAGGGCAAGGTTCTTCTGTGTCTCTACGACGTGAGTATTCTCTCCACGAGTTCCAATGCCTCAATCGCGTGGTGTTTGTTTACCATGATGCGGTGCTGACGTCAATTGCTGTCAGGGAGGCGTCCACGCCGAGCAACAGCCCGAGCTCCTCGGAACCACTGAGAACGAGCTCGGTATCCGCAAGTGGATCGAGGAACAAGGCCACACTCTGGTCACCACCTCCGACAAGGAGGGTGAGGACTCGGTCTTCGAGAAGGAGCTCGTCGATGCCGAGGTCATCATCACCACGCCGTGCGTCGCGCCGCCAATTGCTCCTGCTAGCGCCGTCTGCTAACCCTGCTCAAGCTTCCACCCTGGCTACCTTACCAAGGAGCGTCTGGCCAAGGCGAAGAACCTCAAGCTCTGCGTGACTGCCGGTATCGGTTCCGACCACGTCGACCTCGATGCCGCGAACAAGACCAACGGCGGTCTGACCGTTGCTGAGGTCACGGGCTCCAACGTCGTCTCGGTTGCTGAGCACGTCGTCATGACCATCCTGACCCTCGTCCGCAACTTCGTCCCGGCTCACGAGCAGATCGAGTCTGGTGACTGGAACGTCGCCGCTGTTGCGAAGAACGAGTACGATCTCGAGAACAAGGTCGTCGGCACCGTCGCTGTTGGCCGCATTGGCGAGCGTGTTCTGCGCCGCCTCAAGCCCTTCGACTGCAAGGAGCTGCTCTACTTCGACTACCAGCCCCTCTCTCCCGAGAAGGAGAAGGAGATTGGCTGCCGTCGCGTTGAGAACCTCGAGGAGATGCTCGCGCAGTGCGATGTTGTTACCATCAACTGCCCGCTGCACGAGAAGACCCGCGGCCTCTTCAACAAGGACCTGATCTCCAAGATGAAGAAGGGTGAGTGGAGGAAAATCTCTGGCAACCCCGCACTGCGCCCCTCACCCCACCCCGCCCTTCCTACACCCATTGTATGAATAATAATGGGGCGTTCGCTAACAACGGTTCCGTCTGCAGGCGCGTGGCTCATCAACACCGCTCGCGGCGCCATTGTCGTCAAGGAGGATGTCGCCGATGCGCTCAAGAACGGCCACCTCCGCGGCTACGGTGGTGACGTCTGGTTCCCCCAGCCTGCTCCCAAGGATCACCCTCTGCGCTACGCCAAGAACCCCTGGGGCGGCGGCAACGCCATGGTTCCCCATATGTCTGGTACATCCATCGACGCCCAGAAGCGCTACGCCGCTGGCACCAAGGCTATCCTGGACAGCTACTTCTCCAAGCGCCACGACTACAAGCCTGAGGATCTGATCGTCCACGGTGGTGACTACGCCACCAAGGCTTACGGCCAGCGCAAATAGATAATGATTGTGTGAATGGTTGGTTAGGGTGTTGGACCTGCACGCCGAAGAACGGTAGCGGGGAAATTCATATTACCGGCCTGGATATCATTTTTAGCGAGGATGGGTGGTGGCCTTACGCGGTTTAGTAGTGACTGCTTGATGAATGAGACCCCAAAACGATTTTTTTTCAAATCTTCTTGTTTCCATCTTGCATTGATGTGCACCATTTCATCAGCGATACTTACACAAGTCCTTCCGTTCCTTGGTTCCTCTACAATGGGTTGCTGGTTTTGACCGTTTCAGAGGTCTCGACCCTGCATACGTTGAGACGTTACTGTGTAACCTTCATGCGCGTAGCCGACTCCCCTCCAACTGTGCGGAGATTTCGAGTGATGTGGAAAATAAGTATGCCTCGATTTGGTGTCTTTACACACCAATAAACTCGTGCAAAAGAAATCCATATAGAGCAAACATGAAGAAATCCGACAAGAAGCTACGCTTTCTATGTCAAAACGAAAGGTAAAAGAAGGTAAAAGAAGAAACGAACAATTGTACGAATGAACCATGCTCTCTGTACATGATCACCGGTGTATCATAGCTCCCAAACCTCGCCCATCAGCACCATCGTCGTCGCTCTCGCTACTACTGCTGTCTCTGAAGCCCTCCTCCAGCTCCCTGCTCAACCTGCGCTCACTCCTGCCCGCATGGTCGATGCCCCTCTGCCTCTCCAGCGCCTCGCGCCGCCGCTCGCGTTCCATCGGCTCAAACCCGACCATTCCCTCGCCCTCATCATCTTCGATGTCAAAGTCGTCCTCGTCATCGTCATACGCCCCCAGCCCGGCGGCCGAGGCGGTGCGCGGGGCGGCCGCGAACGGCAGGGCGAAGGGCAGGCGGGCGGAAAGCGCAGAGTAGAGGCCGGAGAAGCGAGCGCGGATCCAGCTCGGCGAGGCGTGGGCGGAGAGGCTGGAGAGGGCGGTGTCGGCCGAGGCGCCGTGCAGAGGGAGGTAGTGCTGGTATTTGCGGACGTAGCGGCGGTGCAGGGGGATGAGCACGAAGGAGACGAAGAGGTAGAGGAGGGCGGCGACGACGAGGGGGAGCAGGAAGGTCTAGGGAATGCGCGCGCGCAGGTTAGCGGAGCTTGTTTGTTGGGTCTACACGGGGGTTGGTGCATTGGCTTGGGTTGAGGAATCCGTGGTCCCTCCAGCATCCCCCCGTGGGTCGCAATGTGCCAGGAGAGATGGCACGAGGGGATTCGGCGGCGCCGCGCGACGCAGGGAATGAGGCAGGTTCCCGCGGCGCCTCGGGAGCGATGGGGTGGCGGCATACCTTCACGAAGGAGGAGAGGCCGGACATGGCGGCTGCGACTCGGGGGCGGGACGACGCGAGAGTCCGGGGAAACGAGCGATTTGGGCTCGGGGCGACCAGCAGGAGGGAGGACGTTCAGCAGCTGGACTGCTATGAATAGCTGGAGGGCCCCGGCGGTCGAGCAGCCCGTGTCCGTGTAAATTGGAGCTGACGCGCAACCACCCGCGCACCGAAGGAGAGCTCAGCCTGCGGTAGGCTGAGGTCGGACAGGCCGGCTGCGGCGGCCGCGAGCGTCAGACAGGGCGCGGCTCTCTGTATGGCTGGGCGCGCGTGCAGGGTTGTTTCCTTTCCCGTGCTGCTAACGCCCCTTTGACTTTGAAACAAGCAGCAACCACTCCTGCACTGACCCTCCTTCTTCCTCGCGCATCCCTATACGACAAGGCGAGAGAGCTGGGCCTTGCGACTGTGCGCCCATGCGTCGTGATTCTCCTCCACCGACACATCCCTCAGCCTGCTGACCGCGCGCGCACATCCGCCCAACCTCCCTCGACAGAGGCGCCCTTTTCGAGCACGCCGCCCTCAACGCCCGCACCACAGCGCAGAGCACCGCGCTCGAGCCCTGCACTTACGCGTAGAGCCTCTGCCGATTGGCGAGCGCTGCCGACTCCATCCAGGCACAACACACACAAGGGACGAGGCTCTGACGCGCTGTTCTTCGTCGCCCCAGTCCGCCGCAGCGCCTGCTGCCGAACCCCCCTGGGGTCGCTGGATTCTCGCGCCATCCGAAGACGCTGCTGCCCGCCATGTCCGACCACAAGTCGCGTCAGTCGTCCGGCGGCAAGTCGTTCTTTTCGAGGCGCAAGAACAAGGACGAGGTGCCCGAGACGCCCGGCCTGCCGTCCAACCTCAGCGCTGGCTCCTCGCGCCACCAGCACCGCTCCTCCGTCAACTCGCTGAACGGTTCGCCGAACAACCGGCCCATCTCCTACTTACCCGAGCATCTCCAAACCGCTGGCGTGTTGACCAGCATACCGTATGACAGCGTCCCTCCAGACGGCCGTTCTCCCATCTCCGTCGACTTCCTGCCCAAAGACCAAAGTGCTGCCCAAGCCGCCGCCCGCCGTGAACCGCTCCCGCACCATTTGAACAAGGGCGGCGCCGACTTCCACCAGTATCCCATCTTTAATCCCTCGGCCCCACCACCGCCTGGGGTGGCGGTTGCCCCCCCGCGGCCTCCTCCGCATGCTCAAGGTACCGCCATGGCGTCCAGCCAACCCGGTGATAGAGGCGTGTCTATACAGCAGTGGGGGTCGGGTCGCCCGAGCACGAGTTCCGGGCGACCTTATTCTCCCATCACTCACGGATCATCGTACGCCGCCACCGAGGCTTCCTACAACACCCGCGCCTCGTCCGACCAAGCCAGCGTATACTCGAACCACTCCGGCCACCGGGACACAAAGATGAGCATGGGGGGAGACCGCGGGTTTGCCTCCCTTGATGCAGGCCAACACACCCTGTTCCCTGCCCCCAGGATGCCGGCTCCCGGGAATGCCGCCTCGTTTGACCCTGCTGGATTCCATTTACAAAGACCCAACGACGACCGGGAAATCGAGTTCGAGTTCATGGCTCTCATGCAAAAACGTGGTTGGAACAGCTTGCCCGAGCAGGCAAGGCGGCAGATGGAGGCGTATCCGATTTCCAAGAAGTGGACATTGGTGCATCAAGACCGGCTGGCAGAATGGCAGGGCGAGCAAAGAAGAAGACAAAATGCCAGGCAAACACAATTCAGCGTTGATGGGTCGGGGATCCTTGGCCGCGCTGATGAGGAGGGCAGTCCGGAATGGTACGTGCGGAAGGTGTTGGACAACTCGATCACTGCCAAGCAGCTGCAATCTCTGAGCGTCAGTTTGAGAACACAGCCAATTGGATGGGTCAAGGCATTCGTCGAGGCGCAGGGTCAAATTGCGCTCACAAATGTTTTGAACAAGATCAACCGGAGACAAGGAGGCCCAACACCACCGTCAGGATCGTCAAGCACACAGGACAAGGATCTCGACCGCGAGTACGACATCGTAAAGTGTTTGAAGGCTTTGATGAACAACAAATACGGCGCCGACAACGCCTTGTCCTACCCTCAGATCGTCACTTCTCTCGCCAGCTCGCTCGTTTCTCCCAGGTTGAACACCCGGAAGCTCGTCAGCGAAGTCCTTACATTCTTGTGCCACTGGGCGAACGGCCAGGGTCATGAGAAGGTCTTGCAAGCGTTGGATCAGCTGAAGGCGGCGCAAGGCGAAAATGGACGGTTCGACGCTTGGATGCGTATAGTGGAGGTTACTGTCGATGGCCGCGGAAAGATGGGTAGTTTGGTCGGAGCCAGCGACGAGGTCAGAAGTGGAGGTATTGGCTTCGAGAACCTGCTCATGGAATATGCCGTGGCCTCGCTGTTCCTCGTCAACATGATTGTGGACGCCCCAGAGAGGGACCTGCAGCTGCGTGTGCATCTGCGTGCGCAGTTCACAGCATGCGGCATCAAGCGTATCTTGAACAAGATGGAGGGTTTCCAGTACGATGTCATTGACAAGCAGATCGAGCGGTACCGGACGAACGAAGCTATCGACTATGAAGATCTGCTGGAGAGGGAGAATAGTAGTATGGTGGACAGTATCGAGGGAGAGGTCAAGGACATGAACGACCCAAGCCAGATCGTGGACGCCATCCAAAACAAGATTCACGGCACGAGAGCACAAGACTACTTCGTCTCTGCTATGCAGCATTTTCTGCTCATCCGGGACAATGAGGGAGAGGATAGGCTCCGGTTATTCCAGCTTGTCGACTCCATGCTCAGCTACGTTGCCATGGATCGCCGCTTGCCCGACATGGATCTCAAGCAAAGCTTAAACTTTACGGTGCAGAGTCTGCTGGACAAGCTTTACACGGATTCCGAGGCACGCCAGGTTCGAGATGAGGCAATCGAGGCAAGGCAGATTGCCGATGCTGCAGTTGCGGAACGTGATGAGCTGCGTGCACAACTCGAGCTGGGCGCAGACGGCCTGGTAGGCAAGCTGCAAAAGCAACTGGAGGAGCAGAGTGCTCTATTAGAGCTCCGGGGAAGACAGATCAAGCAGCTCAAGGCTGAACTGTCGGATCTGCAGACCGTGCGTGCCAAGGAACTTCAGCGGAACGAGCTCGAGACGAGAGAGCTGTACCTCATGCTACGCGATGCTCAGGATGTTGCGGCTTCTGCCGCTGCAAAGAAGGGTAAGGATGGCCAGCTTGGTCAGACTGATCCCGCTCTCATGCAAGGCATCCTTGATCGCGAGAAGCTCCTGGACAAGTTGGAGATGCAACTCGAGCGCTCCAAGACTCAGGCGAAACTCGAGGGTAAGGTCTGGCAGGCGGTCGAGCCCGAAGACAAGCTGCGTGAGCTTCGCGAGAAGATGGACGGCATGGACGAGGAACGCAACCAGCAAGATTTCGCTCGCGCCGATTACACCAACAGTTTCCTCGGATCCGTCAACCGGAAGCCCGTACCCAAGAGGGCTGGAGACGATGATACGGATGCGGATGATGAGGACATGATTGTCGAGAAGCCGCGCCTGGTTGAGCTCAGGCGTCCAAAGATGTCCTCGGTCCAGAAGGGCGCTCTTCTTGGAGAGATCGCCTCAAAGGTCAAGCGACAGGATAGCAGCGGCGACGAGGCAGATGTCGAAGAGCCTGGTGCGGAATCCGAGACGACCGAGAAGCCTGAAGACGGCGAAGGAAACTTCAATGGCCCTCCGCCGCCCCCTCCGCCACCAATGCCCGGCATGGATGGCGCCCCGGGTATGCCTGGATTTGCAGGTGGTCCGCCTCCGCCTCCGCCGCCGATGCCCGGATTCGCAGGTGGCCCGCCGCCGCCTCCGCCGCCAATGCCTGGGTTTGCAGGTGGCGCCCCTCCCCCTCCGCCGCCGATGCCCGGATTCGCAGGTGGTGCACCTCCACCCCCGCCGATGCCTGGATTTGCTGGTGGTGCCCCTCCCCCGCCGCCGATGCCAGGAATGGGCGGTCCTCCCCCGCCGCCTCCCCCGCCGGGAGCGCCGCCGCTTCCCGGCGGTCGCCGCGGACCTGGATTCTTGCCTCAGCCTGGCTACGCTCCGCAAAAGGTCGGTCTTGCCGTTGCTAGGCCCAAGAAGAAGCTCAAGGCGCTGCATTGGGAGAAGGTCGACACTCCCCAGGTTACCATGTGGGCGTCACACACTCCCACCCACGAAGCCAAGGAAGAGAAGTACCGCGAACTCTCCAAGAGGGGTGTGCTTGATGAAGTCGAGAAGCTGTTCTTGGCCAAGGAGATCAAGCAGATCGCGAAGAAGCAGTCCGCCAAGAATGACAAGAAGCAGCTGATCTCGAACGACCTGGTGAAGGGCTTCCACGTGGCATTCGCCAAGTTCAATCAACTCTCCGCCGACGAGCTTGTTCGCATGATTATTCACTGCGACAAGCCCATCCTCGAGAACGACGTCGTCATAGAATTCTTGCAGAGGAATGAGCTTTGCGTAATTCCTGAGCAAGTTGCGAAGTCAATGGCTGCGTATGCTAAGGATTGGACTGGACCCGATGCTGCCAACGCCACGCGTGAATTGGATCCGAACGACCTTACCAGGGAAGATCAGATCTATCTGTACACTGCCTACGAACTGCACCACTACTGGAAGGCGCGTATGCGGGCCCTTGAGCTTACGAGGACGTACGAGAGCGAATACACCGACATTTTCAACAAGCTTCAAGAGGTTGTCAAGGTCTCCGACTCCCTGCGCGATTCCGTCTCATTGATGAACGTTCTCGGCCTGATTCTGGATATTGGCAACTACATGAACGACGCAAACAAGCAAGCCACCGGTTTCAAGCTGTCCTCGCTCGCTCGTCTTGGCATGGTCAAGGATGACAAGAATGAGTCTACTTTTGCCGATCTCGTGGAGCGTATCGTGCGCACCCAGTACCCCGAGTGGGAAGGTTTCGTAGATGAAATCACTGGCGTCATTCCTGCGCAGAAGATCAATGTCGAGCAACTCAGCACCGATGCGAAGAAGTACATCGACAACATCAAGAACGTACAAGCCAGCATTGATAATGGTAACTTGAGTGACCCCAAGAAGTTCCATCCTGAGGATCGTGTCAGCATCATTGTTCAGCGCATCATGAAGGACGCCCGCCGCAAGGCTGAAGCGATGGCAGACTACTTGGAGGACATGAAGAAGACGTATAACGACATTTTGACGTTTTATGGTGAAGACCCGACGGATGAGAACGCACGGAGAGACTTCTTCGCCAAGCTGGCCGTCTTTGTTAATGAGTGGAAGGTAAGATTTGCGGTGTTTGATTTTCCCTTGACGAGTTTGCTGACGCCTGTACGTAGAAATCCAAGGAGAAGAACGTCAGATGGGAGGAGAACCGCCGCCGGAACGAGGAGTCGATGCGCCGCAAGGCTGCGCAAGCCGCGCCGCGCTCGCCAACGATGGACGGCCCGCTACTCAGTCCTGCATCGACGGGCGCCATGGACACGCTGCTGGAGAAGTTGCGTGCTGCCGCACCGCAGGCTCGCGATCAGCGCGATCGTCGCCGCCGCGCCCGTCTCAAGGATCGTCATCAGGTCCGCGTGGCCAGTGGCCAGAAGGCCCCCGATGTATCGGGATTGTCAGCCGACGAAGATGGCGGCAATGTGGGCAACGGTCTTCTCAGTCCAAACAGCATTGCTTCGGGCGAAACCAGTGGCGATCCCAGCGCCGAGGGCGAAGAGAAGGGAAAGAAGGATGGCGGCAACAGCGAAGGCGAGGACATTGCTGACCGCGCGGCCGTCATGTTGCAAGGTCTTCGGGGTGACGAAGTTTCCGAAACACCTGGTAGGGAAGACAGCATCCGGGTCCGGCGGAGGAGAGAAAATGCCGGTACCGAGCGGGATGCAAGGAGAAGAAGACGCGCCCGTCAAGGTGGTAGCACCGTTGACGAATCCATCAAAGAGGAACCGAGCACCGGTACCGGCGACGGTGAGAACGGGACGGATTCGCGCCCGGGCACCGGACACTCAAGACCAGGGACTGCACACACGGAGGCAACAACGACGGATTCGGTGGCCGACTCGGAGCAAACGAAGCCGGAGACAGAGCCTGATACAGACGGGGACAGGACTTTGCTACCTAGCCCACCGCCAGAGAAAGACGACGATGAGCCAATGCCGGATGCCGATGCGGACGATGAGACGGACGCGCCGAAGGCGGACGAAGTAGTTGAAGCTGAGGACGAGGCGGAAAAGGACAACGACCGGCCGGAGTCGCCGCTCCCGACGCCAGTGACCATTGTCAGCCCGCCCAGCCCGGGCAAGGAGAAGGATGAGACAATGGCGGTATCGAAGGACGAGGAATAAGCTTGGAGATGCTCGCGACGTTGTAATTACCACGATACCCTTTTCCTGTCCATTCGGCGCATCTCCGCCTTCTGGTTTTCTTCGGTCAATGGAATCTCAGATACCCAGACTTACCTCCCCAGCTTGGCAAGCATTCCCCCAATGTCACCCGCACAACGAACATATTGGGGTGCACTTCAATCCTTTTGTTCATTTCCCCTGGGTTTGTTGTTTGTTTTGGCCTTGGGCTAATGTCTTTCTTGTCTCCTTCCTTTTTGCCTCTGTGGTGCTTCTGCACATGCAGGCTCAGGCTAGATAGAGATAAACTTAGAATTGGCAGTTGCTTATGCGCGCTTCTACCAACGACTACAAGTTTTGCAAGGGTATTTGCCCGTGTTTGTGCTTACGCATCTTCCCGCATCCTTCTTTTTCTTTTCTTTTTCTTGGCTGCCCTTTATCATTTGTTTGTCATACTTTTCTTCAGCATTCTGTCCCCAGGCTTCTTTGGCACCGCACAAACATCATTTGGCATAGCGAGGGTGCGTTCATGGTGCTTCAGATTTGGCTGACTTACTGTAAACTCTACCTGCATGTCATTTCTCGCATTACCTTCATCATACTTAACTCCGCGATGGCTTCTCTTAAAAATTTCCCCCCCTTTTTTTTTGTAATATAATAGCGACTTTGACACCTCTCTTCTTGATGAACGTTATGGAGAGTCGGATGGCATGGTGGCGAAAGAACGAACAGAAACGGACGATGAGACAACGTTCCTTAGTGACGTCGGCCACGAAGTCTTCACGACTACTCTCTACTTGAGCGCACAAGATTTCTTTTCTTCTTTTCAATTCCACGTCTTGTTGGGGCTCACTACTTTTTTGATTATGTTGATGATGTTGCGCGTTGGAAATGTGCATCTTGGAAAAGTGATGAAGAGGATTGCGGATGTTTGATGGGAAGACGCGTGGTGACAGAGTCATTGATTATTGGTGGTGTTTTACCGAACGTTCGAACAGTCTGGACTGTTTGACGAAGTTTGCTGCTTCAACTGTTCTTTTCTCTGTCGGTGGGTGGTGATGTTGATATGGCCCTATTCATGGAGACTCCAGTGAAATTGCAACAACTTTCTTCCTCACCAATGTGACACCGGACGTGCAGTCCTTTTTTGAATTATCTGCATTGCAGCTAACGATTCGAGCACGCATGAGTAGAGTGAACCAAATGGTGGAAAATGAAAAGTACCTGGCTTGCTTGCTAATAGAACGCATGTTTGATCGAGCTAACAGTTGGGTTGTGGACCAGTGAGGACAGCCTTTCAGATTGCATAAGGCGTACCCAATGCCTACTGGAGATCTATGTATCATCTGAGACTGCATGTTCTCCTCCAACGTCAAGGGTTATGTGCGGGTACGGGGCGATGTGTTCGGAAACTCCCCAGCAGCCTTCCGCTATGTCAGCCTTGATTCTACCCGGATGTGAGTGGCGGAATGATGCGATCTCACACCTCGCGCCTTCCCCGTGGCCTCACAGTCACCATCTTCGGTTAGCGGCTGCCCGGTCGATTGCGTCCCGGTCGATTGCCGCCCGTACAAAGATGCGTCCTGCGCTGTCGGTCGCCACTACCTTCCCTCCTCCACTACTTTTCCCTCCGCCACAAACTCAACCCACCCTCCTCCCACTAATACACAACTTCATCTCACCCACCGGCACCCCTTCTCTGAGCGAAACCAGGCAGCAACACAGCCTACAGCATGCTCAACGATAACATCGAAGTGTTCGCCCGGCGCGTAGGCCCGCGCGCGACGCGGTTCCTGGAATACGTTCGCCCCGGGCACGCGCAGAAGTTCCACTCGCAGCACATGCTAAGCTACATCGAGGCGACGTCTGAGGAGTGCTTCCAGATCCACGTGCGCCTTCACCACGGCTTCAAGTTCTATACCGCCACTTGCCTCGAGATCCGCCTTTGGCTCGATGCCCACGGCGAGCCCGACGTCCACCTCTGTGAGAAGGTCCACATACCCGCCGACGGCCGCAACTACTTTGACTTTATCCTGAGAGACTTTGCCGTCCAGGTTGGAGAGCACTGGGAGAACGGCCGACTATGTTTTGGAGAAGTGCAAGTCGGTAAGGAAACCCTCACGCTGCCCGGCTTCTCATGCCCACCGAGCTTACACTTCACGTGACAGACGAGGACAAGGAGAGGCTCTACAAGAAATCGGAGCTCAAGAACCGCGCCAAGAAGCTCGGTTCCATCCGCATCTCCGTTCAGCGTGGCCGTCAGGACTCTGACCCTGTCCGAGATGAAGAGCCGGAGTCCGTTGATCTGGATGGGAAAGTCACGTCGACTGATCGCTCTAATGGAATAAGACATTACGTGAAGTGAGTTCCGAGTTATCTACATCCGGGAAGAAGCAATGGCCTCTTACATTCATCGCGCAGGACAGTCAATAATCGTGTCATCAATCCTCCCGCCAGCGACAAATCAACGCTATTCAAGCGTATTGCCGGGCCCCATGGAGAGCGCTTCACTTTCGAGCTCCGCTACCGTCACCGTGGTACGTACCTTGCTTCGCGAGTATATAGCACACGAGCTAATCCATCTACAGCCGAGCTCCAACGTCTAGGCATGATGGACGACGACGGCCGTCGTATCGAGCTCACCACCGGAAACGAGGAGGAGGACGAGCCACCCACACCACCCAGCCGGAGACCAGCCCCGTCCGCGAGTACCGGCACCTTGCCATCATCTCTGCCGGCCTCCTCCTCCCCTCACGTCCCCGCAGATCTTCTGCCATACATGTCTTCCCCGCCTGGTCTCGCTTCCAGCTCGCTCTCCAGGCACACGACGAAGCGCGCCCGCATCCCCAGCGCTCCATCCTCTTACCATCCTCCCCGCACCGCACCCGCCTCCTCGGACAGATCGCTCCCCCCGGCCGGCCCTGCCTCCTCCCCTCCGCACAAGAAGCGCCATCTCCTCCCCGGCATCTCCCGGCAGGAGAACAGCAGCGCATCTCCGCTGCCGACGTCTCCTCCGACCGCGCGTCGCAATGCCGCGCCGCCCATCGATCTCACGCGCGACGTCTCTCCGACGCCCTCGCCTCCACGAACGACGACGAGGCCAATGCTGCCGGCGCCGCTGTCCACGCTGAGACACGCGCCATCAGCCAACACCGGCGCCCTCTCCTCCTCCTCCCCTCCTCCTCCTCCCTCCCGCTCCTCCCCCCGCGCCCCTTCGTCTCCATTGCCCGCGCAGCCGCATCCGCATCCGCTGCAGCATCACCGCCGCCCGTCGTCCACCAAGCCCTCGATCCGGCGTCCTCTCCTTCTCCCCCCTCCTCTTCCGGCCTCGGTCTCGGCGAACAAGCCTCTCTCCTCTTCCACGTCCGTCCCGCGCAGCTGCGGCGGCGGTGGTGGTGGTAACTTGCCTCTGCCACCGACCGCCCTTCCTGCCGCGTCGACGAACAGGTTGCCTTCTTCTTCTTTCCCGCTGACGGCGCAGCCCCCGGCACCGAGGAGCCACGACGTTAACATGACGTTTGCAGGCTTCCCGGTCGAACTCCAAGCGGCGGGCGGCCGCATGACGTCCAACGGCAGCGGCGGCGGTCGTGACGACAACGACAACGGCATTGCTACCATTGCTGCCGCCGCGTCGGCGTCGTCGTCGTCATCCTTCTCTTCCTCCTCCCTCTTCGGCGACGAACACCGCAGCGGACGCGGCCGTAGTGGCGCTGGCGGTCGTGGTCATCATGATGATGATGATAACGATGATGGCGGCAATAGCGACGACGAGGACGACGACCATTACCAAGATGACGACAACGCTGACGACATGAGCCAGGCGGAGCTGGAGCTGGAGCTGCGGCGCATGCGGGTGCAGCAGCGCGCGTTCGAGGTGGAGAAGAGGCGGTTGGAGGTGAGGCAGCGGCAGATGGAGTATGAGATCAGGCTCGAGAGGGTGAAGAGGAGGTCGGCGGCGGCGGCGCAGGAGCAGGAGCAGTGGCAGCAGCAAGGGCAGCAAGGGCGGGGGAGTGGTGGTGGTGGTGGTGGTGCTGGTCCGTCGGCTGGGGACGGCGACGGCGAATTCTGAGGAGAGTTAGCGAGGCGGATATTGCAGGATGAAGGGCTCGGGGGAGCTGGCGGGGTTGTGGAAGGATGGGGGGTCTTGCGATGGTTTCACCGGGCGTTTGGATTTGAAGTTTTTTTGAACTTAAGGGAGACCTTGGATACCTTGGATACCTTGGTGGCGTATCCGTTGAGATCCTGATAAATGGATGATGAGGGGATATACTTGGTGAAAGTCTAATCAATTGGATAGTTACTGCTTGCGGTTAGGGAATGTGATGCGTGGTGTTTGGTAAGCTACAGTGATGATGATTCTATATGTCGGTCATCCCTTCGAAAAAGGGCATGGTGGATGATGAAGAATCTTTGAAAACTGAGCCATGAAAGTGTCCTGCCAAACAAAATGCACCACAATCCATCGCGAAGCATACAGATGCCTGGAACGGGGGCAAATTCAACTGGGTATCAACCACTATCATTTTCCCCTGCCACTCGAACGCCATCGCTATGCACATTTTAAGACAATCATATGCTGGAAAAAGAAAAAAAGAAAGAAAGAAAAACAACAACCAAAACCCAAGTCTAGGTAGGAGGAAACTTCACGCTGCTTTCCCGGGTGTTGCGCCAGCCGTCGGAGTGGCCGGGCTGGTGGGTGCGGTGCCAGCTCTACTTTTGCTCCTTTTGATCTTTGCTGGCTTCTTGCTCGGGCCCGGCACGGTGACTGATATATCGGGGCTGGCAGCGAGAGCAGGGGTGCCGGGTTTGCTGTCTGTTTTGGTTCCGTCCGCAGCGCCGGCGTTTGACAGTTTCGCAGCGGCAGCGGCCGCGGCCTCGGCCTGCTTGGTCTGCGTCTGTTGGATATGACGTGCAGTGGCGCTGAAGTGGAACGAGCCCGGTTCGCCGATGATGGGATTGGTGTCCATGAACTCGTCTTTGTATTGGTTGAAGAGGTGGAAGGATTGCGTCAGGGCGTGCATCGATGTCGCAGCTGCCGCGGCGTTTGTGTTCTTGGCCTTCTGCGATTGCTGGATATCACCAGGCTGGTTCTGTGATGATGCGGGTCCATCGTTCATGTCAATGGCGGAGGATGATTCTCCTGTAGGACTGCCGGCACGACTCGAGCGGCGGGAGGCATTCGCAGAGGCATTGGTCTGCTTGACAGAAGTTGACGAAGGGTAATAGGTATATCCACGTCCAGATGTGTAGATGGGGAGAGACGACGCAATGGCGAAGAACTTGGACAAGGAGGTCGTAGCAGCGAGCTGGAGTGCGAGGTCAGCAACCGCGGAGCGAGAGGGACACGGTACGGTGCATGCAGACAATCTTGTTCCCAATGATATCCTCCAGAGACGCAGCTTGGTATATATTCTCTCCAATCAAATAGTAAGTGCCCAACACAATCAGGTCATCGTCATGGCCAGGGCGCTTGCGGCGCTGCTGCTTGCGAAAAACATATATGCCCGTGTCGCTACCATCGGGACGGCGTTCAGGCTCGGCAGCAACCATGAACTCCAGGCCCTGCATGGCGCGCAGGCGCAGTTCGAACTGGTCGCGATCGGTGAGCCACGGCTCGCCCTTGTGCTGCATGAAGAGGGCCCAGTTGTTGGAGGTGCGATCGAAGAAATCCGACTCCATGAAGTACAAGTGCACCGTCTTGCTGTGCAGGCCGCCGAAGTACTGCAGGTTGTTGAGAGCGACGGGGCTGCGCCACTGGCGCTCGTCGAGCGGCGTCTCCTGGATCTGGGCCATGGCGGGGGAGCTGGGCGGATGGTAGGTGGGTTGGCCAGCGGGCGGCGAAGCGGCGAGGTTGGCGCTATCGCGGCTCGTAGGGCTGCGCCGCGCTAGGCCGGGTCGGGATTAGCTTTCCCCGCGCTGTCGCCTGCGCTCATGAGGCCCTGGGCGCGTCGCCATCCAGATCTTCGACCACTCATCTTCGTCGATCGCACCGCCAAGTCACCAGTGACTCGCTGCTCAACCACCACGCGTCGTTCACCCTCCCGATGGACTTGGTTCAGTCCGTGCGCAAAGATGGCTCGAGGTACGTTCACTGACAGTCTCAACCCGCGCCCCGCGCTGCCCCGTCTTTGTCGATGGTAGCTACTATCCGTGGTGCAAGATCCTACGCCGGAGCCTGCACGCATTTTGCGGTTCAAAAATCAACTGGAGAAGGGCTGGGCCAAGGAGGCCCAGCTTACGAAACAGCGCGAAGATGCTAAGTATTCGCGGTCCAGGGGTTCTCGAGCCATCGGCCAGAATGTCGACGTTGAGAACATCCGCAACTCCACTCACCGCGAGAATTTCCTCGGCCACTCCGTCCTTGCTCGTAAGTCTGACTGAAATTACCCTAACCAATCATTCCATGCCCTCGCCTTTTATGTTCTCTTTGCACGTGTCACTGACTGGTACAAGCCGTCGGTCGCGCCGAGCGCCGTCGTGACCCGCTGTTCTGGATGCGCAACAGGCAGAATGCCGAAGATCGCGAAGCGCTCGCAAAGGAGATCAAGGAAGTTCAGGTTCGCGACAAGATGGCCATGAACGACCGGCTCGGACGCCCGACGATGGAAGGCGTCGACGAGATCCTCAACCCGAAGCCGCCCGCTCCGCCCGCTCCTGTCGCTGCTCCCGTGGAGAAGCCCGAACGCAAGCACAAGCATCACCACCGCTCTCACCGTTCTCGCCGCGATCGCAGCCGCTCTCCCGGCCACCGTCACCACCACCGTTCCCACCGCGAGCGCAGCCGCCCTCGTGACCGCCGTCACCGCCACGACGAGCGTGACCGCAGCCGTTCGCCGGACCGTCGCCACCGTCACCGCAGCCGCTCCCGTGAGCACCGTCGTCGCACTCGTGATGGCGAGCGCGACCGCGAACGCGACCGCGACCGCGAACGCGACCGTTCTCCCGACAGGTCCCACCGTCACCGCGATCACGAGCGTGACCGCCACGACAGCCGCGCGCACGAGCAGCAGCACCATCACCACCACCGTCGCCATGAGGACGACCGCAGCTTCTCCCGCCGCGGCAGCAGCTCGTCTTTCTACAGCAACCGCGATGGTGACCGCGAGCGCTCGTTCGCCCGCCGTGGCAGCAACGCCTCCTTCTAATCAATCCAGCTTCAACTGCAAGCATTCGGGGCTTTCTTTTTCCGATCTGGGAAAGGCGTCTAAGGGTTTAGGTTCAATTCGATTCATGGTACATGATACCCATATTGGCAGGTGGAATCCTTCCTAGCTAGGTACACAGATCAATCCTAGCATGCATATCTCATTGAATTCGTCTATCTCCTTGTGTGCGTGGGCAGTTGAAGCAAATGTGTGCACACGCAACTTGTTGAAATCGACATCCCCACGTAATTGCATTCCTTTGATTTCTCATATGGGCAGAGGCGAAGCTCATATCCCTACGCAAATTCAGCTTTGCCCTGTCCTGTTTGTGGGTAGTCGAAGCATCCGAATACAGATATGTTTCCTATATTTTCCGTTATATAGGCAGTTGACGCAAGGACCTGGACACAGATATTCCTCCCCAGTCTTATTTTACATGGGCAGTCAAACGCAACTGTCTGAATCTATATTCATCAGGCAAGCAGGTGAAATTGCTTGACGCGGACACAGCAATACTACTCGAGGTGGAGAGTTTTCTCATCCATTTGTATAATACTTATCCTACAAATACATACAGCACCTGACGACAAGCTTTTCCTTTCCTTGTACACATATACAGACGCGAAGCACGCGTGCCAAAGCAGCCACCGAAAACAACCAAACCTCCCCTAGCATCGGCTCCACCATCTCTATCCTTTTCCTTTTCTTTTCCCCCTCTCCGCATCCAAACAAGTGCTGCCGCCGCTACCATCATCACAACCACCCAAAGACCTCAGCATTGCACAAGAAACTCCACCAAGTACCCGCAACGCCAACAAACACCGCAACGACATCCACAACCACCAGCACCAACGCCGCCATCATGAACCTCGGGCTGAATATGCGATACAGCATCAGATGCCTCCTCAGATGGCCAGCCCAGCACGTCGTGGCGAGGGCGACACCAGCATAAAAGACCAGATGCGTAGCCACCGCCTGCGCGACGTTGCCGAGCAAGCCCTTCTTCTTGGGGGGCTGCTTCCACAGGACGGTGGCGGGGACGGCGACGGCGGTGAGGATCTGGGGGCCGAAGGTGTTGAGGACGACGAGCAGCGGCGACCACGGGTAGTGGATGCTCTTGAACGGCAAAAAGGCCGACTCCCACTGGATGCTGGCGAGGGCGGCCTGGTGGCCCGTCTTGAAGAAGTGGAAGGAGCCGAGCAGGGCGAGGGCCGTGGGGCCGACGGCCGTGGTCGCGAGCTTGTTGGTGTCGACGATTTCGAGGAGCGCGAAGATTTGCCACAGCAGGACGCCGACGGCGCCGCCGCCCATGGGCTTCTGGACGTGGATGACGGCGAGGGCCCAGGCGGTGATTAGCAGGGCGTAGCGCGAGCCGTGGATGTTGGCGTAGCCGAGGATGGTGATTGAGCTGCGGCCGCCCTGCGAGACGACGGCTGGGTCGTTTGCGTCGGAGGGCTTCGCTTCGTGCGTCTTGATCCTGAGGAGCGGCGGGCACCACGCGTACACGGCGTAGCCAACGCCCAAGGCCATGCCGAATGTCACGCGCGAAAAGACGACGCGGATGGCTTTCTGCGTACGTTTGGAGAAATCAAAGTAGTCCATGTCGTCGGCAGCGTCGAAGGCCCAGAAACTGGCGCTGAGTAGGAGACAGACACGGAAGCTGAAGCCGAACCAGAACTGAGATATGCTCTGGAGGGATCGTGTACGAGTGTAGAACGACTTCACGACCTCAGGCAGAGCAGCAGAGAGGATGAAGGGGATCGCAAGCTGCCAGGACGCAGAGGTGGAAGAGGTGGAAGACGCGTAGTAAGTAGACTTGCAGTACGGCATTTGTTCCTCACGGCAGAGTCTGGAAAAGGAGGCTAGACGGGTCAGCACGATGAAGATGACAGACTGCGTGCATCCGAGGACACGGTCTTCAGGCGTCTCTTGTCTCATCGAGGATGCAAAGAAGAAGACACCCAGGGTACAGAGGAAGAACATCAGAATCTCATCCTCCCAAATCGTAAAAGAGTTGGAGGCGAACCCGATCGATAGGAGCAGAGGTAGCACCACACTGATCCCACCCCAGAAAGTATTTGGGAAAGGAACATTGCACCTGAACTTGACAATGATCAAGGCAGATGTTAGGCCAACGAGCGCAAAAACAGCAGCACCGAAGATGGCAGAGTGCAACAGTTCGAAAAATGGGATGAAATGTCCCACGGCAGCTCCGGCAGCTCCGCCGAAAACGAATCCACTGACTCCCCGGAAAAGAAGGAGAGGAGTCACGTCCGTGTGGTCGCCTTCAATGCCGCGGGCGTAGATGACGAGGATGGCCAGAGAGCATGCGAGGATGCCGATGCCTTGGAACATGCTGACAACATGGAATTCGGCCCATAGGCTGCGGCATCTGCTCAGGGTAAGTTTTTGGTAGTTTGCAAACTTCTCGTAAGCCTGTTGCCAGTGGGCTTGCGTGGGCTTTTTGGTCTGCCTGACATTCTCCCAGACCTTGTTGGCGGCATTCCAAAGCGTGAGACGAGGCAGTTCATCAGCCTCGTCGATGCCCTTTGCCAGAGCATACTCGTGTTGGTAGCGGTGGATTTGGGCAGCTGCTAGTCTGTTGACAACAGCAAGATTATGGAAGTCGTCGCCACGGCTACCAATGAAGGCTTCCTCGATGGGTTTACCCAAGTTATTGAATGGTATGGGCAATCCAAGGAGTAGAGACAACGTGGGAACGAGATCGATCTGAGCGAGCGGTCTTTGCTTCGCAGTTGCAGGGGGCGTAACAAAATCCGGGGAGCTGCGACCAAAGATGCCCTTCTTCGAGTACATCCACAGCGCCGCCTCAACCTCGTCTTCGGACTCGCCGCCATGGTCACCCTTGGCATCCATGCCGTGATCTCCCATAACGACCAAAAGGGTCTCATCGTCAAGGAGCTTGATCAACCTGCGGAAGACATCGTTCATCTCCTGAAGCTTGGCAGTCATAGCGGGATGATCAGGTCCATAACGGTGGCCAGCATGATCGACACCGAGATAGTGGCCGATCAGAACGTCCCATTTCGCGGCATGTCCCGGCTGAAGATAGGGGAACAGGTGCTCGGTAACTCCATTGTCGACTGTATGCAGATCCCACACGTTGAACGAGTCGTATGGCCGAGTAAGCTCCGGATCAAAGTAGCCGGGAAACAACGAATGCCAAGTGTCATCACCCAGATGCACAATGTTCTTGCTTGCGTTTCGGAGCTGTGCAATCAGGTTGTCCTCTTCAATGGCCGTCCCAGCAAAATTCGAGCCCGCGTCAATGAAGGTTGGGAGAGTGCCGGTTGTCAAGCCCTTCAGCCTCTGCAGAGTAGTTGTTGGCGGGTCCGAGATGAAGGGCAGGAGGAAAGCATTGTTTGGCTCCTTGAGGGCAGTCTCGTAGAAGATGGGGATGGCATTGTGGAAATGGTGTGGCTCCGAGTCGTCTTCCCTGGGCTGGAAGGGGACGGTGAAGTCGTAGCGGAGCGCATCGACGACGATAACAACGGCCTTTTTGAACGTGGTCGGATGCCAGCAGCCCTTCTCGGCGGAGCCTGCGGCGAATCCGTCAGGCAATTGGATGGGAGGAACGGCGCATTCGGACTTGTGGTCAAGGACAAGGCGGGTGAGGAGGAAGCCGGTGGTGAAGAGGTAGAGGCCTAAGACATGCAACAGGCTGTGGTACGTCAGCTTCGCTGGAGCTGCGGCGGACCAGCAGGACTCACCCGATGAGGAAGAGAAACGCAACAAGCAGGCTGTGCGAGGACTTGAACTGCAGCTCGCGGCGCTTGTTGGCTATCTTGGCCTCGGTGGAATTGGGGCGCAGGCCTTGGGCCTCGTCGCGCTCCTGCTGCGCCCTGGCCGCGGCGAGTTGAGCGGCCATGCCTTCGAGCTTCCCGTCCTCCATTGGCGCTGAGAGCGTTGGCTACCGTGAGGGCATTGGGCGGTGAGGTGGGGATGACGGAGAACGGTGCGGCGTGGGCGGAACGATGGTCGGAAAACGATCGGCCCCAGGGAGCTCCCCCTGGCCCATGCATCATCACACACGCGCGGCTGTCTGATTCGCCCGCCGGCTGGTGCTGCCGCGCCCCATAATTGGTAGGTAAAGCGCCTCACGCGTACGACGACTATACGAGCGGGCGGCACAGGAAGAAATCGCATACCCATCCCCAACCGCCCCAAGCAAGCGACTGGGTATGATAGTGGTTATCATACATTACAGAATAGAAACTATAAACGGCGGCCGCAACTGCGGCCAGGACTATCCAGGCATTACGCTTTGACTAAGCATGCTAGGCGCCTCGAATGTATTCGCAGGTCGAGCTCCAGAGCTTCTCCTCCCCGAACGACGCCAACGCTGAAGTTGTCGCGTGCGTGATGGATTGGCAGTGGGGATAAGACAATAAAAAATAAACCGGCGTTTGGAAACACAGACTGCCAGGGAATCTGTACAGAAATCATCATGAAGAGAAACAATCAGTCGTAGCCAGAGGCGTAAGGGTTGGTTGCTGAGTTTTGGGGATGGGACGCTCAATTCCAGGGTACGGGGGGTTTGGCTGGTGCTACATCTGGGAACGGGCGGCGGGGCTGGCGGCGCGTGCGCCCTAGATCGAGTACTCGTTCTTCTCGTTGGTTTTCTCCTTCAGGCCGCCAATGCGCTCGAGATCAAGAGACTGGAAGCGGTCATTTTCGTCCTTCTGGTACGGCGGGAGCTGCTCTTCGTGCAGCGGCTCAAGACCAACACTATGGTCGCCAACGCGGACCACAACAACCTTCCCTCCCTGCTTGTTGCCCATGTCGTCGACCTCCTCTGGAAACGTGATGCGGATCTCGGGCACCGGGCTGTCGGGCGTGCGTTGCTCGTTCATAAACGTCTCCTTCTCGTTGTAGACGTACACAGCCGAGCCGCGGGTATTGGTGTACGGAGGCGCGGTGGTGATGGTCAGACTGCGGTGATGCGACGACAGGCGCGACGTGGGACGTTCCTCGTTGTACATGGGCAGCTCCGACTTCTTCTTGGCGTTGCGCGCGCGGCGCAGCAGGAACAGCGCGACGACGGACACGAGCGCGACTACGACCAGGACCAGCAGCGCAATCAGAAGGTCGACCATGGTAGGCGTGAGCGTGGAGTCATCGTCATCATTGTCGCGGCGGCGCACCAGCAAGTGGGTGGGGTTCATGGTGGAAGAGAGCGACGAGGGTGGGCTTGGGCGCGGGATATGCACGGGATCCGGGAGCTGGGCGGAAAACAGGCGGCGTTCTCTGCACCATGGTTAGCAGCGCGACACGCATCCAGTGGTGCTGGTGCGGAATGTTGCCGGAGCGTGTTTCGGCAGATAGTACGTACCGGCGCAAGGGGATCGTACGGCGGTGTGCAAGGACCGGGTCGCCTAAGGCGCGTCTTCGGGTGGGAAAGAATGTATGCAGCGCCTGCTGAAAGAGCGGAGCGGGCTGCTGCTGGCGTAAAGAACGACTGGTGTGTGTGGTGACCTCGAAGATGGTGGTGAAAAGGAAGAGAAGGAGAGATGGGACACGGCGACTCGGGGGAGCACGTCAAGGCACTGCCTTGGGTAGTTAGCGCCGACAAAGTTATGAGTGGACAAAGCGCCAGCGGAAATGAAGACCTCAGATCGGCACGAGACCCTCACCAATGATACGCCACGCAGGATCAGACGTCGGCGCTTGCACGCCTGCTGTAGAAGGGCTTGCCCCAAAATGCACGGCGGCCGCGGCCAGAACGCGCGTGGGGATCATGGCCGGTTGTGTTGGTGTTCTAAATTCGGCGGTGCGCCTTGCTCAGGAGGTCACGGTGCGCCAGAGCAATGAGGAGAAGGGAGCGCGACCCGGACGTCATTGTTCGTGTTCCCGCAGCGTCCGGGTGCTCTCAATAATTAATACTCTTCCACGCCAGATAGCCCCGACTTAAGCTTTTATCTGCTGAGGCACCCGCAGTTTCGACGCCGCGCTGAAATCTGGGGTTGCGGCAAGGGAACCTGCTGAGCGAGTCGCGCCTTCGCCCGGAGCTTGGCCTCAAAACATCAACAGGTCCCTGCCAGCCAAGCCGTCCCTTCACGGCACCGGCTCTGGCACCCGCCCGCGACCCGAAACTGCCTGCCACCGCCGTGCTGATCATCCTGCTCTTTCGCCGAATCAGCGTGTCGCACCATCCCGATTCCTGCGTCCATCGGAACGAGGTCAGTAGGGTGACATGGTGGAAGCAAGTCATACACCTCGCCAGTCAGGTGCCTGAGGCCAATCGACCAGCTCAACAACACCTGCAGCCAGGAAAGGACGGCTCGTCTCAACGACTCACCACGCCGCCCCTCCGCACCGCACATGCACCCACTATTGGGTCGATCCTATGAGTCCGGGTGGGGGCAACGGACACCGGTGTCTCTGCAGCCTCTGGGCCCGACTGCTGGTGTACGCCCGCCTCCGCTCGCGTCTGGTGGATGGGCGGATGGGCGGATGGCCATCAGGCTCCCGTGGGTGGTTGCAGCGCGCCGCTGCGTTGCTCGACTACTGGCCGTCGGTCATGACCGTCCGTCAGCACTGGTCTGCGCGGTCCCTGCGATGCGGGGATTGATGGAGAGAGCGCGGGCAGGCGGGCAGGCGGGCAGGCAGGCAAGCGCTAGGCGTAGGCCGGTGAAGGCAGCATTGCCACCATAAGAGCCGGCTGCGAGAAGGATGGCCCCGCTGCAGCTGCTGATGGCCTGCTGCTGCGGTGACACAGCGCGCTCCCTAGGGCAGATGACGAGGGCTCGCGACGGCAGAGGGCAATTTGGAATCGAAACCGACGTCTACGACTGGATGACCTATATCAGCGCAGGCTATGGGCGGGTGGCTCAGGTCGATGTGGATTGCCCGCGGCGTTTGTACGCGGGAAGCTACCTGGACGGAGGGACGGTGCAGCGCGAGGTGGTGCAAAGTGTGGAGCCCTGGGCGGGCTGGAATGGAGCGGGCAGCGTGCGCGATGACGGCGGCTGCGCATGTGGCTGCCCATGGATTTGAGAGGGCCGCTGGCGGCGAGAGGGCGCGCGTGATGATTGAATAAATCTCCGAGCGGTGATCCAGCGGTGCTGCAGACCGTTTCAGGCACAGTAGTCTGGGGCTGGCGGGAGCGGGCGGACGGTGCGGGTGTCGTGCGTCTGCCGGCCTCACAGCACTCGACGCGATCGCGCGCAGCTGGACAGACAGGCGCGGTGTAGGCGAGCGCCGTGAAACAGCGTGCGGTCTGGCACTGGCGCAGCGCAGGTCAGAGCTGCTGAGATGTAACGGGCACGGTCAGCGAGCGGTGGACCCGCGTCGATCCCGTCCGCCGTGGCTGGCGACGCGCTCTGGGCCCAGCAGCACGCAGCCAGCAGCCAGCAGCCAGGCTCCAGCGGCCGCCCCGCCCGACTGTGGGCGAGCGTTGGGATGGGCGCCGCCGCTGGCCGGCGGGTGATGCGACAGAGCCGCAGGCAAGGCGCCAGCTAGGCGTTAGCGAGCCGTCCGATCGTATTTTTAGTCCCTCCGCGAACTCCAGACCTAGTGCCAGCAGATCCGCCCAAGCGTGTGTGAAATCTCCAGCTCAACACCACGCCCGCATCGCCAGCTGCGCCTCGCCTCGCTGCCCGCCCGCCGACGCCCCCGCTCTCGCCCGCCCCCGACGCCGCCCTGTGCCCAGCCCGCGGCCCTGCCCGCAGGTCCCTTCGCCACGACGCGCCAGATTCCTCGCATCGCGGCCCGCACATCCCTTGCTTCTCCACTCACTCGCGACACCTGCTGCGCTCTCTTGGTCCCCGTCGCGCTCACTGATGCGTCCCTTGCCAGGCGCGCGAGGATTCCGCTTCGAGCCTAGCATGCGCAGCGGTTGACACACGCACAAAGCCCTCTCTAATTACGCTCTACCCAAGGGGTGCTCCAGTGCTGCAACAGGTCATATCACGCACCCACGTTCCGTCGCCTGCACACCAAGCTTCGACCTTTCTTCTTCACCTCCTGCCAAGCGCACTGTACATGCTCTGTCCATTTCACGATAACAATCCTACAAAGGTCTGTCCTCCGCCGCTCCGCCGCGCCCAAATGCGCAAGTACGCCTTGTGCTGACGCCTGCTTTGCCTCACTTCAGCTCCTGCACAATACATAATCACCGCCACCAGTACATTCTCACCCCGCACATCCCGCTTGTTTCCACCACCTCCGCAAAATCCGATCCCAATTCGCCTGCCGGACAGCACATAATGGTCTCTGGCATGGTGAGCAGACAGACGACGTTCCCCATGCAAAGCAAGGTCAGTCTCGCCCGTGCACGCCACCCTCTCGCACTCAACACGTCGACTCACCACCACCGCAGGCCATGCCTTCTCGTCTCACCGACTTCGGCGCAGTGCGGTCGCCTGAAGACGAGCGCACGCCCGCCGCCGCTTTGCCTCAGAACAACTATACCAACGGCTCCAACGGCTGGAGAGGCGGCAACATTTGGGGCAACGGCGCCCTCGGCACGTTTGCCTCGCGGGAGCGTACGGAATTTCCTACGTATTCGCCCGCCTCGCGTACTAATGTGGGATCAGAGAACGGTTCGTTCAGGGCTTCGCTACCGGAAGAGATCGAGGGTAAGACTGGTTCCGGATCCCTCGTAGCCTCGTCCGAGTCGGATCACTGGGGTCCCCGTCGCACTACACCATGGAACACGGCAGATACCAGCGCCCAACCAATCTCTGCGCAACGAAGAGCATCCAGCGTCTCTCCAGTCAGCCAGGTTCAGGCTTCCCAAGCGTACGCGGATCCTTCGCAGCCAAGGGCGTACCCAGTCTCTCGCGCTTCAATCGCAGGGCAGGGGCTTGGCAGCAAGGCTGTGAACATGCCCGCGAACTTTGTTGGCCGCCGTGCGACAGAGGATGGCTACGGTGTTGACCTTGCAAGGCTGGTTGAGTTGGATCAACGTCAGCGGTCCACAGACTCGATGAGGTGGACGGATGCGCCGCACCTTCACTCTCCTGCCGATGACCGCCGCAGTATCGCCAACTCTGATTACATCTCAAGCTCTAGCGCTGCACAATCACGCAGTGGGAGTCTGCCACCTTCTCGCCATGGCTCCGACCCCGTTCAATACCCTCAGCCTACTGATGCGTTCGCCCGCTTCCCCGGTGCTCGTGGGCACAATGCATCTCTGTCACAAACAAACGGCCGTTACAACGAACGGACCGACTCCATGGCAAGCGACGTCATGTCCTCGTTCGCGCGGATGAGCATGGATAGCAAGGCTCCCGATCAGCCCATGGCATTTCACAAGCCATCTTTCAGCACTCCCGGCGGTGTTGGCCAATTTGGACATTCATCTCACGCATCGACGTACTCCCGCGCAACTCTTGGTGACATTACCCAAAACGTTCTTGGATCTGATGAGGTTGGTGCCGGAACCTTTACGCCTGACGGCTTCCCTTCTCAATACGACCAGTCCTTCTCATACAGAAACCATCAGCTCGCGACTCGAGGATCGATGACTCCCAATGGCGATTTTCGCACGAATTACTACTCGACCGGCGGCACTCCTCCGGTCTATGATCACCTGTACCCCTCCCGAAATGCGCAGAACGGTCGACCGGCTCACGACGGTCACTCCGCCATGCTTGACAGGAAGCTCCGCAACGTGCAGCAAGAGCAGCAGGCATTCATCCACCCGGGATACCAGCAGATGCTTGCTGCCCAGTACGGACGCCCGTTTGACCCATACGGCTTCCACATGTCCATGGGAATGGCCCCTGGCATTCCCATGCATATTCCTACGATGCCTGGGATGATTCAACAGCTTGAGCCGCCGAAAGGCCCAAGGCAAGAAGAGAGTGGCACTGGTCTCAGGAGTGCTATGCTGGAAGAGTTCAGGCACAACATGAGGACCAAGCGCTATGACCTCAAGGTAAGCCAGACAGATCCCCCTGCGTAAATGTTACAGACTTTGATTTTGTCAGGACATCTACGAGTACATCTGCGAGTTCAGCGGTGATCAACATGGCTCGCGCTTCATCCAGCTGAGGCTGGAATCCGCCAACAGCGATGAAAAGGAACGAGTTTTCAAGGAGATCCAACCCAACGCCATACAGCTGATGACGGACGTATTCGGCAACTATGTGATTCAGAAGTTTTTCGAGCACGGGGATCAGAACCAGAAGAGGATTTTGGCCGGCAAGATGAAGGGTCATGTTCTTAACCTTTCGGTGCAGATGTATGGCTGCCGCGTGGTGCAGAAGGTGAGTGACGGTAGTTTGAATTTTGTTGGGATGTTGATTGACACTGTGCAGGCGTTGGAACACGTACTCGTCGACCAGCAAGCGGAGATGGTGAAAGAGCTCGAGAACAGCGTCGTTAAGTGCGTGAAGGACCAAAACGGCAATCACGTCATCCAGAAGGCTATCGAGCGCGTGCCGGCACAGCACATCCAGTTCATCATCGATTCCTTCATAGGACAAGTCTCGGCGTTGTCTGTTCATGGATACGGATGTCGCGTTATCCAGCGCATGCTCGAGCACTGCGAAGAACCGGCTCGCCGCACCATCCTCCGGGAGCTTCACGCCTGTGCGGCGATACTCATCCCCGACCAGTATGGCAACTACGTCACTCAGCACATCATCGAGCATGGAGCCCCAGAAGACCGAGCGGCCATTATCGAAATTGTCAAAGACAACCTGTTTCATTTCGCCAAGCATAAGTTTGCCAGTAATGTCGTCGAGAAATGCCTGGTGTTTGGCAGCGACGATGAACGCCGGGAGATTATGATGAAAATCTGCGAAAAGCCCGCCCATGGCGAGAGCACGATTATGATGCTCATCAAGGATGGTTTCGGCAACTATGTCCTTCGTAAGTTCCCCGGATGGTCGTATCCGCGCATATGTTCTAACGTTTCCCAGAAAAACTGCTTGACACGTTGAACGCCACGGATTACCTGGCATTCCTCGAACACTTGCAGCCTGAGATGAACAAGGCCAAGAAGACGCTCGCGGGGAAACAAGTCCAAGCTGTAGGCATTTCTGCTGACGACCAGCGTAAACTTGCTAACCAGATCGAAAAGGTCGAGAAGAAGATGCGCCGGCTTGACAAGTACGAGCTGGTGCCGGACTCGGTGCAGCGCAACAGCATGAGCCCGACTTCTGTGCCGGAGACGCCCAAGTCGTCGACGACGGATGAGAAGAGCACGCAGCCGAGCTCACCCAACACTGCCGGGACGAATTCGCCCGGGGCAGAGCGTGCGACCAAGGCATGAAGGGCGGTGCCTGCACACTCGTTACATAACCCGAGAGAAAGCTTAATGACCCGGCGTCGGCGTTTGAAGATACACCCTCTGTTCATATGCTACCGTTACGATCCCTCGCTGCGGCGTTTGATGGATGGAGTTTTGTGGCAAAAGAAAAGGCGCAGGCTCGCACACGCAACGCCTTTACGCACACCCATGTCTTTCACTAAGGATACCCGCTACCCAGGGGCTCAGTGATTTCGGTCTGATTCACCCTCGCGACCCTGTTATTCATTTCAAGCATCTGTACTATTTTTGAACTTTGTCCAACTGTTTGCTGTTTCTCTACCCGCCACGGCCGAGTCTGGAAGTGGCGAAAAAAGACGAAGGGGCGCGCACAAAAGGCTTGGAGTGGAAACGAGACCACAAGCTGCTAATCATATTCTTTCTGATGGCGTTCGTTTCGTGTTACGGAGTATTTGGGCACCATGGGCAGGCAGACGGGTTTCGGAACATGACGGTACCCCGGTAGAAATGCTGCTTTATTTACAAACCATACAGACGCGGCAGTTGAGTAACAAGGCATGGGACGACTGGCATGTGTTTGTGTGGCTCTCGTTATCTGTTTCACCTCGAGCGGCGCCTCTGTCTGGCATAGGGGCGGCGCATCAGTAGGATGGTTGCCAGGATAGAAACACCGAATTTGTGCCTTTGGCCTCGAATCCCCCTTGACGAATGATGCGGTGCATGATGAAGGGAAAAGAGCTGATTGATGCGGGGTGTCGGTTCCCAATGCGTGAGGCCGGGCCTGAGCGTCGATAGCGACTTGGGCCCTGGCAATAGCGGTAGCGGCAGCAGTAATCCCACTGCGATGGTGGTGTGCTGGCTGGATGCCTACTATTGACGAAGAGGGAGCTGACAGGTGGTGGCCCGCCCCGCCCATCTCCGAAACCGGACCGAAGCGCGGACCAGGCTTCCCCTACCGCGGCCGGCCCTGCCCTGCTGCATGCCACTTCGCTCCCGCCCGCCGCCAGCTCTCGCGCATTTCTTTTTTGGTCGACGAGATCATCAATCGCACCACAACCTCCCACCTTCCGTCTCTTCCGCGCCGGAGCCCCGACTGAGCCTACGTCCAATCGTCCGGGGGCGGTTTCCGGCGCGCGTGCCCGGCAATTGACTCGAGCGCGACGCCGCCTGCCCGACTATCCACACCAAGGGCGCACACGCCGGATGTCCGAGTTATGTCGACGCCGCGCTTGACCTTTCTCTACCCGCGCTTCATTCGCCCCTTTCTCATCTCCGAGGCAGGCGCAACCTACCCCTCATCCTCCTCCCAAGCACCTCGCGCCGGGGTGAAACGCAGATCGGCGAGACAGGGGCAGCCAGCATGTCGGAAGGCGACAGATGGAGGAGCAGGAGCGAGGGCCTTCGGCACCAGTGCGCACACTCGCCTGCCGCCCGGCCCGATGCAGAGGTACGGCACTGCAAACGAGCCATTGCCATCACCACCTCCGGGAGCTTCCTCTGACGGTGCTAGTGGGGATAAAGCGAAGGGCGTGGACAAGGCGGCGGGTGACAAGGACGGAAAGGCTGCTGCTGCTGCTGCTGCGGATGGGAAGCAGGATGCCGGAGCTGTCGCCGGCGGCGCGTCGAAGAAGAGTGCGTCTCCTCCGTCGCCGCCGCCGTCGCAAGAGCAGGACAAGCCGCAACATCAGGGCGCCGCCCAGGATGTCAATGCCCCGCCCAAGGCCGCCTCCCCCACCATCTTCGAAACGACTTCCCAAGGCGAGGCGCCCAACGGCCCTCCCAAGCCGTCACGATCCGCTGCCAACAATGGCAACGAGGTCGAGTCCAACCCGCTTGAGGCGGTCCTGCGCATGCCGCCGCCGACGTCGCGCCCGGTCCACCTGACGACGCCGCGCTACGTGCACTTCTTCGATACATGGTCGCTGGTCAAGCAGCTGACGGGCTCGGGGTTCAGTGAAGCGCAGAGCGTATCGCTGATGAAGGCGATCCGGGCGCAGCTCAACGATAACGTAGAGCTCGCGCACGCGGGGCTTGTTGGCAAGTCGGACGTGGAGAATGAGACGTATCTCTTCCGCGCTGCGTGCTCAGAGCTACGGACTGAGGTGGGCAACAACAGGAAGGCGGAGAACGAGAGGATGAGCACCCAACGGAACCAATTGCAACACGAGGTTGACATATTGGGGCAGAGGCTGGGGCAGGACACTAGTCATCTGAAAGAAGAAGTCAAGGGCATGTTTGACGACAGAAAGATGGCTGTGAGGATGGAGCAGAAGACCATGGAGAGCAAGGTATGGGCCTCCTCTTCCGATTTCTGGCTTCTATGGTTTGACTGACATGAACTAGATCCAAGAGCTGAATTACAAGATCACGGTGGCTCTCAACTCCGATGCACGCTCTGAGGTTGAAGGTCTCCGTTGGATCATCACTCGCCGCGCTGTCACCGCTCTGGTCGTGGTTGCCGTCGCAATTCTTGCAACGCTGCGCTTCTCGTCTTACATGACCCACACACAGGCTATGGAGAGGATGAATTTAACAAAGCCCGCTGCGTCGGAAAAGAAGAAGGAAGAGGCACAGGATAACAAGGCGACTACGAGCAGTGGAGGCTCTTCCAAGGCGCACGGAAGCGATGCAGCCATGGGGGCCTGGGCGGAGAGCCCAGCGGTCAAGGCTTTCGGGGTAGAGGGAGCTGGGGATGGTGTGATGATCAGCGAGGGAGGCGTGAGCCTAGGCTAAACGACAAAAAATACTGGGAGATATGGGACTTGTCGCGGGAGAGGCGCCCTCCCGACCATGGGGGTGTCCAGCCATGACGTTCAGACGCAACCGTTGCCGCAGAGCTCTGCCTTGCCCCATTGCGGACCAGCAAGTAGAGCCTGGAATCCGTCATGCAGGGGACAGCGGGACATGCAGAATGCCCAAAGAGGCAGGCAGCAGCGGCAAAAATCACGTAACTCACGAATGAACAGCAACCCAAATATCAAGATAACCTTAGTTTTCTGCGGTTACACGGCGTGGCAACACGATCGCGTTGTACTCGTCTTGCAGGCAGATCTGTCCTTGCTTCGTTCGCCCGTCTTTTGCCCCTGAAGAAACGTCCGAATGGGGCTTTGTGCATGCTAGTGGTGCGCGATGCTGGGCCCAGCATTGCTGCCCAGAACCAGCGTTTTCTTGGGCCCTATTTCCCGTTGTACCGAGAACCGTCACCGTGACACAACATTATTCACCGCATCCAGTCTTCTCGACCTTCGACTCCTCCACGGCTTTCCCCGTCTGCCTCTCTCATTTCACCACCCCTGTCTGTCAAATCCAAAAAGCCATCCGCCACCGGTCCACCACCAGTGCCACAAAGTCTAAATGAGGTGTTGTTGTCGTTGCTACGACGGGAAATTCCTTTCCTCCTCATCTCCACCCCTCCCTCCCTCAATCTCGACGCCGCCCTTTTTCCCCGCCACCCCTTACTCCGCTCCGCTCCCACATTAGCACCCGCTAGTTATTCCCGCCGTCCGCATTCCCTCTGGCTTTCCACCGAACCATCCGGCCCGCACCCTCCCGCATTCCTTATTTCTACTATAACGGCAACGCTCGATCCCTTGCCTTGATTTGCCTGTGGCGAAAAGGCATTGAAAGTCAAAGTGGCCGGGTGCGAGTAGATGGTAGGCGGGAGGAGCTTCTTGAAATAGCCGTGAATTTGCCCTATTTGCTAGGTGTTTGCAAGGGAGTGGAAGCGGCGGTGGAGCGGCTTTTTAAATTTTCTCTCTTCTTCGACGGCCATGTATGATTGTTGAAAAGACGAAGAATGGCGTGACATTGTCTCTCTTTTTTTTTGCTTTTTTTTTTCTAAAAAAAAAAAGCAATTTGTGATGCAAGAAGTCGTGAGCTAGACTGGGTCTTAATGTCAAATCTGAGACCAACGGGACAGTTTTTGATTTGTGATACATTTGACTGAGATGGAAGAGGGTCGAGGCATTCATGGCAGATTTGAAGCCTTGATTTGAGTCAAGATAGCTCTGGACCGTTGATATGGCTTTGGAAGCACGCCGGAAGGAATTTCAGGTGGTTTTGCGCCCCGCATTGGGGCAAAATGATAGTGCGAACGCTGATGAAGTGCAGGAGATTCACAGAAACTCAATTCCACCAAACACCACGGTATCAGAAAAAAAATTACGTCAAATCACACATCCAACGCCTTATATCACCATCACAGCCGCACCCACGGTCGTCCGACGGACAAAACGAAGCAAACACCATGGGAAGCCTCCTGAGCGAATTCCATACAATCTTGACCATTAGTTCTCCAGCTTTTAGTTCTTTCTTTTGACAATCACAACTTGATCTCCTTCTTCCCGCTGCTCCCAAGGCCAAAGAGGTGCATAGCCACCTTCCTCATCTGGATCTCCTCGCTGCCCTCGGTGATCCTGTAGCGGCGGTGATGGCGCCAGATGTGCTCAAAGGGCAGATGGCGGCTGTAGCCCATGCCGCCGTGGATCTGGATGGCGCGGTCGGCGGCGTCGGTGCACAGGCGGTTGGCGAAGTAGTTGCACATGGCGACCTTGTGGCTCAGCTTCGACTCGACGTAGTCGTCGTCGTCGTCGTCGTCCGAAGCCGGCCGATCGGCGGCCTCGTCCATCTCGGCGGCGGTGGCGCGCACGAGCAGGCGCAGCATCTCGGCCTGGGTGGCCAGCTCGACGAGCGGGAACTGCACGGCCTGGTTGGACGACAGCGGCTTGCCGAAGGGGCGGCGCGCGTTGGCGTGGGCGACGGACTGGGCGATGCAGTAGGTGGCGGCGCCGAGGGAGGAGGCGGCTTGTCGGATGCGGTTCTCGTGCACGAAGGCTTGGGCGACGGAGAGGCCGGCGTGGTCGGGGCCGAGGACGGCGGATTGCGGGACCCAGACGTTGGTGAAGGAGACGGTGGCGTGGTCGGTGGGCATGTTGAGGGTCCTGCGGGTGGGGTGGTGGGTGTTCGTCAGTGATGACCTAAGGGTGCTTCGGAGAGCAGAGGTGACTTTATATGGATGTGCATGCTTACCACTCGTAGCTCTCGACCTTGATGCCCTCCGTCTCCCTCGGCACGACGAAGCAGGTGATGCCCTTTGCGTCGCCGTCGCGGCCGCTCGTGCGGGCAAAAAGGAAGCAGTGAGTGGCGCGATGCATGCCCGTCTGCCACATCTTGCGGCCGTCGATGCGCCAGCCCTCCTTCCCGCTGCGGCGCTCCCTCACGGCGCGCGTCTCCATCCACGTCGCGTCGCTGCCGTGGCCGGGCTCGGTCAGGCCAAAGGTGACGCGCACGTCGCCGCGCAGCCTCGCCTCGATCAGCTCCTCCTTCTGGGCGTCGGACCCGAAGCGATGCACCATGAGGACGTCCGGGAAGTTGCCGACGACGCTGTGCTCGTTCTGCAGGTCGTTGAACAGGCCCAGCCCCTTGGACGCCAGGTGCTCGCGCACGACGGCCATGCACAGGTTGCCGGCGTCGGCGCCGCCGTACTGCTTGGGGAGGGCGAGGCGCCAGAAACCGGCTTCGTCGGCGAGGCGGGCGGCGGTGGCGAGCAGGGCCTCCCATTCCGGGCGCGGCAGGCCATGGCCGTCCCAGTCGGTGCGGGCGTGCTCGCGGCGGTGGTCGAAGAAGCGGTTGTTGTCGTCGCGGGCCTGGAGGGGCGTGATGGTGCGGGCGATGAAGTCATCGAGGCGGGCGAGGTAGGTGGTGAGGTGGGCGGGGAGGGCAGTTGTCAGGGTGGTGGTGGGATTATTGGAGGAGGTCATGGTGCAGGGTATAGTTTCACTTGGAATTGGAGCGTGGATGAAGCTGGGGAGGAGGAATTGATCATGCAGCCTTCGCGGGCACAGAGCCGTCAGCCCGTCGCGCGGAAGGCTGCGGGGACAGTTCAGGTCATGGCTGTGGTGGTGCTGAGCCCGAGGTAACGCATTCATGGACCATTTTGGGGAAGCTTAAGCACGGGCGGCTGCGGGGTCTGGTAGGGCTGATGGAGGGGCGAGCAAACGGTCGACGGCGCCCGCTCGGGTTGTTTTGCTCAATCCAGTGCGCCCACTCGGCATCCGATCCGAGATGCCATCCGACTCACGCTTCTGCCTTTGCTCGATAAAGCCATGGCCCCAGCTTCCAGACAGCCCGAATTCTTGAACAGAAGGGCCGAACGAGTCGTGCTGTCCCGGCTAAATGGACCGTGAGGAGCCCGGGATGATGTGCTGATCCCCGCGCCTTCTCCGCCCGCCAATGCGGGGAGAACGTCACCACCAAGCTGTTGCTCCAGACTACCCACCATTCGGCCCACAAAGTACCGAAGTCCACCGTGTTAACCTATGCTGCTTCTCCGTCAGACATCTAGAATGCATTCCCGTCTCGCTCGTCACTCGATTTCTCTGAATTCCCACCTGGCAGTTCCTGGTTGCCAGAGTTTGACCAACCATGCGCTCCTTCACGGCCCTTTTTATGGTGGCGGCCAGCGTGGCACTTGCACGCTATGACTTGTCAATATCAAATACCAGCCCATACACCCTCGCCATCACTCAAAACAATCAGACCGTCGTGAACGCCATCGAGATCCTTACCGGCGCCTTCAACTACACTGCAACCGCCGTCACTGCCTCAGAAGCGGGCGACATTTCCGACGGCCGCGGCCACATAGCTACCGAATTCGTGACCGACACGGTTGCAAAGATTCAGATCAATGCCACCAGCCCCTATGTCGGTGCCGACATTTCTGGGGACTCGGATGCCCTGAGCTACGGCGTCTGGGAGTATCCGTGGCATGGCAAGCTTTCCAATGAGCATGTCACGTACGAGATCAAGGGCATAGGAGAGATGGAGGGCATCAACTGGTCCAATGCTCGTGCGCCACACTTTGCTCTGCTCCAAGCCCTGTTTGCATCCTGCTGATATCCACAGGCGCCCCCTTCTTCCTGACCAGCGCCGGCTACGGCGTCTACATAGACACGCTTGCAATGGGCCTCTTTGACTTCAGCGCCCCAACCAACACGCGCTTCGTCTTCAACGCCAGCAGCTTGACAGTCTACCTGATCTTGCCCACCGCTCCCCATGACATCAAGTCCATCCTCACGCAGTTCGCCTCCCTCTCGTCCCACATCTTCATGCCCCCCGACAGCGCCTACGGCCCCATCATCTACTCGGACAACTGGGAAATCGACTTCCACGGCTCCGTCTCCAACGCCCAAGAAAACTACTACGACGTCATCAACCACCTGCACGCCCACCAGATCCGCGCCACCGCCATGTTCGCCGACCGCCCCTACGGCACCGGCAACGGCTCCTGGGGCAACTTCGACTTCAACCTCACCGCCTACCCGACCCCCGCCGCCTTCATCGCCAACCTCACCGCCCAAGGCTTCGCCTTCCAAGTCTGGGTCGCCAACCGCGCCACTCCGCAAACCCTCCTCTGGAACGCCTCGGCACCCAACTCGTGGCTCTTCGCCCTCGACGACGAATCCACCGCCCCCCTGCTCGGCGGCCTCGCGGGGCCCGCCCTCAACCTCTCCATCCCAGCCGCCTACTCCTTCTTCTCCGCGCAGCTCGCGCGCGCCTTCCCCGACGCCCTCGGCGTGCGCGGCTACAAGATCGACCGCGGCGAGGAAAACGAGATGCCCGTGTGGGAGCAGAACCGGCAGATGTCGCTCTTCACGCGCCTCTGCCACGACACGTTCACAAACTCCAGCTCGTCCTCCGACTCATCCTCCTTCTCCTTCGCGCGCTCCGCCGTCGACCGCTCGCGCAGCCACGCCGCCGTGTGGAACGGCGACTCGCACGCCAACTTCACCGGCCTGGCCTTCAGCGTCGCGAGCGGCATCCGCGCGGGGCTGCTGGGCTTCGCCGTGTGGGGGTCCGACACGGGGGGTTACGTCCGCGATCAACTCGTCGGCGAGGGCGGGACGCCGGTGCCGGTGCCGAGCGAGGAGGTGTGGGCGCGGTGGATGGGCTTCGCGGCGTGGAGCCCCATGTACGAGATCATGGTCGGCACGGGCGCGACGCCGTGGTACGCGCCGTATAATGACACGCGCGGGGGGTTGGTCGAGGTGTTTGCCGAGACGGCGGCGCTGCATCACGCGTTGCTGCCGTATGTGCGGAGTTATGCGTGGCAGGCGCATAACGTCACTGGGTTGCCGATCATGCGCGCGCTGTTTCTCGAGGAGCCGCGGGATGGGGCGGCGTGGCGGGGCGGAGGTGGAACTGGAGGCGGAGGCGGCAGCGGCGGGGAGTGGGTGGACAGCGAGTACTTCTTCGGCGCGGAGCTGTTGGTCGCGCCCATCGTGGCGGCGGGTGGCGCGCGCGAGGTGTATTTTCCGGGGGCGGCGTCGGCCATGTATGTCGAGTATTTCAATAAGAGCGCCGTGTTCCGCGGCGGCGAGACGGCTTCGGTCGCGCTGGGCTTGCACGACGTCCCGGTGTACGTGCGGGCTGGCGCCATCGTGCCGCGGGGCGATGTCTTCAGGGCGAATGACAGGTGGACGGAGGACTGGGCGCCGTACCTCGATGTCGAGGTGTTCCCGGCGTGGGAGGTGCCGCGGTCGGTGTTCAAGTACTTCAACAAGGAGAAGGGTGAGGTGGTGGATGTGGTGATGACGGTAAACGCGGAGAAGAGGCGGGTGGCGGTTGAGTACGGTGAGGTGGGCTTCGGTGGCAGTGTGATATTCTATCTCAAAGGCGAAGTGAAGAAGGCGGACCTGGCGGCGGGGGGAGGAGAGGCGATTGTGGAAGGCGTTGTCTCACTGTTTGAAGTGTAGATGGACCCGCAGGCGGGCATGGGCAGAGAGCTATCGGGAAGCAAAAAGAAAACTCGACGCCACGGCAACGCTGGGCAAAAAAGCAAAAAAACTGAAGCCGCTACAGCCCGGGATTGAACCCCGGACTGCAGGACCGCACGGCAGGACCAACCACGCCACGAGGACGGGTTGGCACAACGCTACATGGGCAAGGCCCCGGAGGACTCCCTAAGCGGGCCGTGCGGCACCGCCCTACGACACTTGCAAATGTCGTGGTCGGACCGCTGCAGAGAAGGCGACACGAGGGGCCACCGCCTTCTTTTCGGTATCCGTACGCTTTGTCCCTCAAGCGTTGCCTAGGAGTCGTGGTGGGCCACGTAGCCGTCATAAGCTGGATGTAAGAAAAAGTGGCGGATTTAACTTATATACCCCCCAAAATATTCTAGTGAGGGACGGAGAGGGGACCGGAGGTGGACTGAAGAATCATCCGTGCCCATATATATTTCCATAAATCAACACCACCGATGCCGGTGCCCCATTGAAGTCTACAAGTGGATCTACGAACCCGTTCTACATAGCTTCCTCTTCAACTAGGACACTTATCACTATTGAAATCTACAGTGTTCGTATTTGCCCTGCTACTCATCCACCGTCCCGTCCTCGTCACTTCTCTCTATTTCATGACACTGAAGCTCTAGAGCTTTCTCCTTCTCCGGTAAACATTCACATAGCTTCCCAAGCACAAAAACAGCAGCAACACCAGACTTACCCTTTCCATACTTGCCACTTAGCGTCATCCTCACACGCTCTCCCTTCCTGATCCAATACACTATGGGCTCGTTGTACACGCCCCTCGTCTCTCTTGCATCAAAGTTGAAGCCACTGGCCTGCTCTCCCTCCCCAATTGCAACTCGCACGTCAACCCCCTCCTCCACAAAAGTCGGCGCAAGCAACACATTCGTCTCGAACACCTTCTCCCAGGCCGCGGCGGCCGTCTCCACCATACCATCACAGCCTCCATCTTTCTTCGGATACTCCACCGCAAATACTTCTTCCGTCGGGGGATGCATGTGTCCCACCATCTCGCCATACATTCCTTTTCCCGGTGATGTTGCTGCGGCTACCGTCACCTCCTCTCCCTCCTCCTCCTCCTCACACGGCTGAGACAGTATCAGCAAAAATCGCGTAACGTCCCAGAAGACGTGGTTCCAGTTGTAATACACAGCGTCGCGGAGCGGCGTGTGCAGCGTATCCTTGTCCGCATTGCGCAGCGCGCGGAGGGCATCGTCGGTTTGGGTACTCCCGCCCGTCCGGTCTGTGATATCTTTTCCATCGTTGTCGCCGTCTTTCCCGCCGCCGCAGTCGCCGCCGCAGCCATTGTTGGTGTTGTTGTTGTTGTCGTCGTCGTCGTCATTGCTGTTTGCGGTGTTGATGCTTAAGGACTGGATGGCGCGGATGACGGTGCCGATGTCAGGCACCAGCTTGGAGCTATCGCAAGGGCTGGGTATCTCGGCGGCGGCGAGAATGAGGGCAGGGTCTGTGACCCAAGTTTCGCGAAGACGAGTGCTGACGGTATATACGGCGGGGTCGTCGCGGTAGTCGACGGCGCGGAAGGTGGCAGGGCTGTGGACGGTGTGGATTATGCGCATTTTGCCGAGAGCGAGAACAGAGGTTTGTCGAATGCTTGAACGTCCGGTGCTATAGCGGGTGTAATGACGTTTTGCTAGAGGGGAATTGAGTGGCTGCTGCGTATCTATCGATGAATTGATGGAACTAGGTTGCTGCTTTATCTGATAGAGGTGAGCTCGATGGTGCTGGTAAAAGTACCGACCGATTTATAGCAGTATGACAACTCTCCGCGAGGTTACGGCCCCCAAAGTATGCGTTTGCTTTATGACTAGACTTTGATTTTACGCCTCAGATCTGGCCCAACAGGCAGAGCCCAACATAGGCTGTGCTGCCTGATGTTCCATGTGATTGGATGACTGATCTCAGCCCGATTCATGACTGGGACTACAGTGCATACCGGGCATCATGTTGGCCATGGCGAGGCATCATTGTGATTCCTTCGAGTTCTTTGTCATTCCCTTGGTGTCAGCCTTGTAGCCAACAGGCTGCACGGCAAGGCTGCCAGCGGAGACTTTTCGTAAGCGAAGCATTCCAGAAGCTTGACTCTGCAAGGGAAAGGCAGAAGCGAGTAAGTCCTTCCAGGCTGCAGTTAGTTGGGCTTGATTAGCAAATTTCCCATCTTTAGAGTCGAGCAATGCCTGATGGTGACGACATGACCAATCAGCACTCGTAGTCTCTTTCGAATGGCAAACACGACGCTAGCCAGCAACACAAGCCTTTTGAATGATCAGACACGGTACAATTCGAGATTATGAGTATTGAAGAACGTAGTAGGATGATGCATAGAATGGGTGGTGATCGTAGAATATATACACGGCTGCTGCCTAGCTGACTGAATACAAGCAAACAACATCATGCAGGAAACCATGACCCGAGACAGGGCACACTTAGCAACATATCTCACCCAGGACTAAAGTACTAGAGGTAAATACCTCGGCCGCGACAATGGGTTTTGGACGACACTGCCAAATGCCCGCTTCCGGTTAGTCGACGACGAATCAGCCGTGCAGCTGAGCAAAGACATGATCACCTTCTGTCCGGCATTTCCATTTCCTTTCCCTGCTGTACTTGGTTAATCGGCCTGGAAATCTCAATACCCCACTGTGACATCCCACACTAATTCATCGACCGTCCATCTAGCCCAAAACAGAATCCAACACGACCAAGGGTCCACCCCTGCTACTTCCTGCGCCGATCGGCAACATCCCCCACGCGCATCTCGCCGATCCCCTCTGCTATCCTTCGCAAAGCCCACGCTCTCCACTCCGGAACCGACCGGGAGTCCGCCCATTCCCGCAAACCCACGATAAAACCTACCTGCCCCATCTCTGACCAGAAAACCGGTCCCAATAATGTTCCTACCACGAACGGTTTCATCAAGTGCCACGTGGCCGCATACGTAGTAATATGCTGCATCGCCCAACGATTTCCCGTGCGGCATTTTATCTTATCAACGAACCTCACCAGAATCCCCACAAGCCAGCCTCAGCGGCCTAAATGCGATACGTATGTCGAAAATTCCGCACGTCTGGGTGACACTATTGAGACTTTTTTTTTTCTCTTTCCTCTTCTTGCATGGTGGATTTCGCCCCACCCAAACCATGTCATTGCCCTCCTCCCTCCCTAATCTCCAACCCTAGTTCCGGGCCAGCCGGCACGCGCACACAAACACACACACACACACACACACACAAGCTCCAATTCGCGCGGAGGGAGCGGGGCGCCGTGGCATTGGGCTACCCGCAGCCACGGTGTAACGCTTGTATATGCGGAACGACTATTGAAAACAAGCGAGTAATGAACCACGGGAAGCGGTTATTGTCTCTCTATCTCTCTCCCATGGGTGACACACCGCAGCAGGGAGGAGAAGCGGTATGGATGTTCCCAGTGTGTGTGTATGTGTGTGAGCAATCCTCACGAGGGTGGGAGGGCACTGAGAAAGGGTAGTGCAGGGTTGTGTACCGTAGCAAACGGAACACGGAAGGCAGGGATTCTTGGTGTCTGGGTATGTATGTACAACGAACGGAGGTAGGGGGGTAAACGGCACGGAAACGGACTACAAGCTGCGTGGGGAACACATCCCACGATTCTGGTAACGTGGGACAAATGTTAAACCTGACAGAAGCATTTTCTTGTGGGGGGGCAACACTGGAGGAGAGAAAAGAAAAAAAGCAACGGACAAGAAGTAGATCCGCCCAGAAGAAGCAAGAACCGCGGCGAAAATCATTACCACAACTATCAACGCTTGCTTCACCCACGTTCTTCATGTCTTTTAGTCCAAGCGGGCTTGTCAGCGGGTGCGGCGCCAGCAGGATTGTCTGGTGGCATACGTCTCAGGGAAAAGAAAAGCGCATGACCACTTGTCGCACCCTCAACCATTGCTTTGCTAAGCTGTGCTCGATTCTGTTGAGCGGCCACATCAAGACTTGGACTGGCACAACGAGTAGCAAACATATTGGTCCTCCCGAGCCCTTGAGGATTTGCGCTTCAAGGCCTGCCAGTACTTGTATCCAACGAAAGTAGAATATTTAACGGGATGAAGAGGCAAAATCCAAAACAGCATATCGGATTTGTCCCCATCCAAAAGTTTCATGCGCCTACCATCAGGAATTAAATTCTCCTCCGCTGATAACGCCCTTGCCACGAATGGGCAAGATGTCGACCTGAACCCAATCGCCAAATCTCATGTGCTCTGGCTAGTCTTTTTTCCAGTGCTGAATGCGGGATATCCAGGACGCCCATTTCAAGGTAGAAAGAACGCTTAACAGAGCAAAGGTGCAAAGGAACCACAAATAAACATAAAATGAAGAGGACGTCAATAACGACAGTTCATGACGTGATCTAACGGCCACAAGGCCTAGGCCACGATTTTCGTCTCATGGTGTGTTTGCTGGCCGGTTCATGTCCTGATCCTTGTTGTACAGACACATCTGACCTCCGGGACGGGCAAGGGAAAAGGGCACGCCGACTACCCCAGAGACAGGCAAAATCACAGTGCTCAATTCTGAGACATCAGTCCTTTGAAGCCTCTGAAGCCGCCGGTGCCGGATTTAGTCGTGTGATCCTTTTTCTTGCCAACGTTTTGGGCACCGCCTGCATGAGAGCAAGGATTAGCTTGTGTGTCAATGACGTTTCGCCTCACTTTCCCCGGCTTGTATCTTTTCTCTCCCACGAGCCTTCTTCTAACGTCGAAGCGATAACACCCTGCCTCCAATACAATGATTTGGGTGGCACTCACCTCTTCCATAAACCCGTATTTCCGATTTGGGTGTGATTTTCGCCTTGTCTTTGTCGCTACTGTTCCCGCTGAATGTACTACGGCCGTCAGACGAGCCGAGGGGCTCCGTGGCATTGAATGCGTGGAACCGAGGCGCATGTATGGTATCGGTGGGAGACTGCGGCTCATGTTCCGAGCCTGTTGCGTCCATGGGCTGGAACGTCCTGGTTGGAAGCGACTCGCTGCGTTCGGGACGTCCTGTGAAAGGGCGATTTCCATGTCCCGAGAACGAGGATGCCTGGTAATTAAATTCGCTGTAGTCATCTTCGAATTCATCATCGCTTCGCACATCCGGCCGCATTGGCTCGGTGAAGGATCTGGGACCGTAGCGATTCGCAAAGCTTGCGCCTCTGCTGCTGGCAATGCTTCCACTCCCTGCTGTGCTAGGCTTTCTCATGAAAGCACTGGGAGGGCGCCCTTCAATGGGGCTGTGTGCATCGTGGCTGCCATGGCCATTTCCCCTTGTGCGACCTCGTGCATACGATAGCTCAGCCTCAAGAGCCTGGGACTTCATCTCCAGCTCGGTAAATCGGTGAAGGAGGAGGTTGTGCGTCTTTCTTAGCTGGTTAAACTTGGAGTGGCTTGCAGCGAGAGCCGAATCGATCATCTGCTGCACCGATGCAGGGAGCTGTGCGGGATCGTGTTTGCTGTCAATGTCGATTGGCTGGCGTGATTCGAGCAGGGCAAACTTGCGATCATACGCCCTGGCAAGTCTACTCCGCTCAGCATCTTGGCTGTCAAGCTTCAAGTTGGCTAGCTTGAGCTCATTGCGCAGCATATCCTGCTCTTCCCTAGCCTGCTCAAAGTCAAGCTCCTGGAGCTCAAAGTCACGCAGCCTCGCCTGCAGCCTTTCGATCTCTTGTCTCAGGATGCCCATCTCTTCCAGTTCCACTTCGGTGGACTTGAGATTTTGCTTCGAATTGAGTTCCCTCGCTTCAGCCTCGACAAGCAGTCTCCGGAGACGCTCGCAATCGTCCTCTGCCTTGACAAGTTTTGTCTTGAGCGACTCTTCCTCAGAGTGCCATTGCTTTTGTTCGTCGCGAATGGTCTTGAGCTTGGAGCCCAGCTCACCCTCCCACTTCTTCGACTGGTTCCTGCCCGTTATCGTCTCCTTCTTTAGCTGCGCGTAGAGCTCATTCGCCTTTTGCAGCTTGGCCTTTAGCGTCCGGTTGGTGTTGATCAGGTTTTGTGTTTCCGCTTCGACTGTGGCTTCCTTGATGTGTCTCCGCTGGAGTTGGCCGATGTGAGACAAATGCTGAGCTTTCAGATAACGTTCAAAGTTCAAGTCATTACGTAGTAGCATAACCTCTCGTTGCAGAGTAGCAAGATTCTGCGCGAGACGTGCGTGCGTGGGTGTGAGCGGATACTGGTTCGAGAGCGTTTGCGTAAATGCTTCAAGCCGAGGCGAAGCAAGAAGGGCCGAGGACGCATCCAGGTTTTGTTGCTGTTCCTTTTCCGAAATCTGCGGGATGAATGACCCTGGTAGAGTGGGGCTATCGGGACTGGTGTCCTGGGGCCGAGGGGAAGGCCTCCTAAACTGCACCGAATCCTTTGGCGAGAGGCTCGTCGGAGCGGTAGATTGAGTGTTTTGCCAACTGCTACCCGCCCTTCCATCAGCTGGAGAAGTTGTGCCATCATCATCTAATGGGTCGCCGGGAATATCTTCAGTTGGGACTAAAGAAACGTGGGCGGGCCGTGTGGCTGCCTGCGGGAGATCGGGCAACTTGGCGGTTGGCGGCGGTCCAGGGTCTTCCAAGGATGCAGAGACGGCCATGCACAGGCTCATGCACTCAGTGACGACATCGGCCGGATCACTCTTCAGCCAGCGGGTCTCACTCAGCTCCTCTTCAGCAGTCATGTTGAAGAAGTTGGGATGTAAGAGGTGGACCTGCCGGAAGGGCTCGGTGCGGCGTCGAATAGCGTCAGGATCTAGCACCAAGTCATCCGCACCAAGGTAATTGATGTTCTTCAAGAATCTTCTGGGCTTGCGAACATAGTTCATCAGATTTACCGGGAAAAGTCCGTAGATGAAGGTGAAGTAATACAGCGCGCCAGGTGCCGACGTTTCCGAGTGGTCAAAGGCGTGCTCCAGTCTCTCCCAGGTTGGATCGCTACGATCATCGTCGGAAAAATCATCATCAGAGTCAGCGTCGATGGCTTCCTCTTCTGCCTTCCGGCCTCCACTCGTCAGTGGCGCAGTGATCTGATCCCAGCACAAAACTCTGCTGTAAATCAAGAAGAGCTTCGGCATGTGCGACACAAGCACGCGGGTGATATGAGGCATGAACATGATGAGCACTGTGAGAGCCATCTCGACGACCGTGGCAGACTTGTCAGTCATCAGACATTTCTCCAGGTTCTCCACGAGCGGCGTTTCGGAGACCAGATAGAGATGCGGCGGCTGGACGCGGACAAAGGTGCAGAGTAGACCCAGGGCTTGGACTCGATGCTTGGCTTGGACAAAGAGACTATTCAGCGATAGAAGCAGTTCCTAGTGGGAATTAGGCCAAAGCTGCCGGATGACGGACAGGCGGCTTACCTTGGGTTTCCGGCGGCCGTACATGACCAGGAGCGACTCTATTTCGCGCGCAGCATACTCGTCTTCGGGTGTGATGACATCGCTCTCGGCTGTTGGCATGCGCGTGTGTCTCAAGTAGCAGTCCAAGAGCTTCTGCATGTACGAAGCGGCGGCTTGGGCCTGCTCGACTTCATGGTCGCCGCCAGCTTCATAGGCCAAGGTATCCAGCACGAACTCGCGCGCATCCTCACTCTCGTCCCTCTTGTGACCTACGCCGTCTATCACGGGCTTTATGACCACATTCCACCACTGCGACAGTCGGGCGTCCCCGCGAATGGCAGGGCGCATTTGGCGGAGGACGCTAAGGAATGCGCTGCGCTTGACGGGCTCGTCCTGGACGTGGTTGTTGTACATCTGCAGCAGCTCGTCGTGCAGACGTTGCGAGTCCTGGTCGTCGATGTCATGGTGCCTGTCGAGGAAGGCCTCGATGGTCCGTTGGAGGTCGTCGGGGAGCGGGTATGCGACGGTTGGGCCGGCGAAGGCGGACTCGAGCGCCTTGACGGCGTCCTTCAGAGAGCTGCAATTCCACATTAGCGCGGGCGAGAGAGCAGGGAGCAGGAGAATGGCGCACCCGGCGGCCATTTGCGCGCGCGCCGCAGTGGCAGCGGAATCCTATGATGAGAGCGAGGGATCAGAGCTGGTCGCAAAAAATGGCGGCATAGTCGCGCGCGCGGGCGAGACGGAGACGGCGGGGCGAGCTTGCTGATGTACTCGCTCGAGTCGTGGTCGCCGGCTGCTCCCGCCAACCACAACGGCGAGCAGGGCGTAGTAGACACAGTAGACGAAGCCGATAAGCAATGTGACGACGGAGTCTGGCAATAGCAATCTAATGGTTATTAGCGGCGGCGGCTCACGTCGTTTGGTGCAGTGCAGTGTGGATTGGGCCAAGCCGACCCGGTGCGCCGGCACCTGGCGCGCCCTTGGCCGCGAGCAGAGGGCCGGCTAGGCAGGCCAGGCAGGCGTGGGTGCATGGGTGCATGGGTGCATGGGTGCATGGGTGCAGGGGCGTGCGAGGGCACCTATCTCGGCCATAACGAATACTTTCGCATAACGTCACCAAGCCAGACACCAAGCCAGACACCAAGCCACGCCCGCCGCGGCTGTCCATGTCGCACGGCTGCTTGCTGGTTGCGTGCGGCAGGGGCTTTTCAGTGCAGTCGCGCAGCCGCGGGTGCAGATGCAGCCTCAGCTGGGATGTGGCGCGCCCTCTCGAATGCTACCTTCTCGCCGCGCGCCGTGATAGGCCGCAGACGGCGTGATGCCCCAGCCGACGGACGTTGGAGACAACGGCCAGGCGCAGGAAGGCGCCGCCTAGCGCCAGGCGAGAACCCGGCACATCCCCCAGGACCTGCCAAAAAGACGACCGCGACTGCTGGCCCCTTCATCTTCCTCAGAGCGCTGCCGGATATTGAACCCTCCGCGTGGCCCAAGCCTCGTGGCATTGAGAGGTACCAAGGAGAGCCGAGCAGCCGTCAGCGCCATCGCGGCCCGCCATTTGCTCTGCTGCCATCCTGGCCCCCAGCACCAGTACTCTGTAGCCGATGCAACGCGTGGCATGCACCTTCGCCCTCTCAGGGTGCACACGGGCCATTGATGTTGAAATAACGAGAGTCCATCCTCGTTCAAGAGCCCGTTGTCGCGCCCATCACGATAAGGTTGGCGCGGGCTGGCCAGCGGACATTGGGCCTTCAAGGGGTCTTTGGCCCCGATGATCGCCTCCAGGTGAGAATGCCGACTCCCACGAGCACAGCAACCGTGAGATCGCAGCCGATCCACGCAAGGGGCTCGCCCAGCACGTCGTCTACTACGGACCTCGCGGCCTGAGGTGTCACTGGACCGCGTTTGCACAAAGCACCTGCAGCTACACTCAACTGCAGTCTGCCTGCATCATTGCCTGCTGCCGTTCGTTTCCACCGCCACGCCGTTAACAAGCTTGGTTGTTCACACGCGCTAGCTTCTGGTGCAGCATCGGGGAGGACTTTAAGCTTCTCGGGCCCGGACGCCCGCCGCCAGCCCTCGGGGTACACAACATGGCGACCCTCTCTTCAGCGTCTGACGGTGTGCAAAGCTGCAAACACTGTACATGCGTCCTACTGTCGCGCGCATGATGCGTCAACCCGGTCCACTGCGGCCACTGCCATCCACGCAAGCTGGACGGGGAAAACTTTGCACATACAGGACGGCACGGCACCGCTGCATTCTGAGCGCCTTCGCGCCCAGATTTAGCCCTCTCGGAGCTTGGTCACTTTGGGCCGCTCCGTATCCGCGCCTCAGCCAGCCTACCGTTGCAAGCGTCGCTCCCTAACGCGCGGATGGCGAGCCGATGGCAATGGCGTGGTCAAGATAAGCAAACGACCCCACGCAACTGTTATTGCGTTGCGCGAACAGCCGGGCGATCAGGGATTCTCTGCCCCCAGAAGCCATCAGCGAGCTCGGCGAAACAGCGCCCAGGTTTAATGGAGAGGGCTGACGGGATATTCCACGACGCTGTCGTCGTCAAACATTCAAGCCTCGGCTAAATTTATCTTCATCGCGGCCGACTTCTCTTCTAAGCCATTCCCACCTAGCGTGCCGACATGGGGAAGATACACATGAAATCCTCAAATTTGCTCTGGTTGCATATTTATTAAAGTCTCATTCGAGAAGACACATGCTCCCGCTGCCTGGGTGCCACTGATCCACACATCCGTCCCGGCCCATCATGAGCAGTCCTGTCTCAAGAAAGTACTCGTAACCCCTTCGCCCGAGATCTGGCCAAGGCGGTAATCGGTGTCGGCACGTTCCCGTTTCCCCCCGCCGGCTGGAGCAACTGGAGCAACGCAGCTTGATCTTCCGGTCCGTCGGGTGTGGCCAGGTCGTGTGAGGCATGGGCTTCCAAATTATCTGCCTCCCAGTGCATCACAAGGTAGACAGTGCAACAGACCCGCTCGTCAGCCTCTGTTCATCGTGTTTCCAGCACCCTTGGGATTGTCGTCCTTGTAGTCATCCCATGCGCGCGCTTTCAGCGTCTCAGCATCGGCCTTTTCCCAGTTGTCCTCGTCCGGTTCCGGTTGCATCCCCGACTGCTCGCCGCCTCCTTCGATGATGCCTCCCCGCTTCCTCTCTTCGTCCAGGTATTCGTCGATGGTCATGGTGGGTAAGCTGTGATCTGGCCGGAAGACACCTTGCTGTACCCTTTGTCTGCTGTCGAGAAGCGTAAAAGGCCGCATTGGCTTTCCATCTGCGCTCAGAATAGGCCCAGTTCGGCTTGCCAGGCCCGCAAGCGGTGAATCCAGGCGCTCCGAATAACCGTCACCTCGGCGGTCACGCTGCCGCGAATCCTCTGCGGTGGGAGCCGCATTTGGCGAACGCGCCGGCGGCGCCATGGCAAGAATTTGTAGCTCCTGCGCCAGTGACTCGAGAGATGCAAAGGTCTGGTGCACGCAAAGAGCGATATTTGTAAGGTACAGCTGACGCAGGGCATCCTCGTCGTTTTGGAAAGCGGCTGGGTTTTGGTTGAGATGCTGGATGCCGGAGTTACTAAGGGACGCACGTGATGTTGCCAACGAACATACCTCAAGCTTCGCCTTCAGCTCTTTTTCGGCTCTGAAGCGGGAGATCTTTGTGTCGCGTCTGGCGGCAGCATCTGTAGTGGATGCAGTGGAGAAGGAGTTGGGGGACTCTTGGTACTTCTCATAGAGCTTGGCATCAGGCTTCGACAGGACGTCATAGCTGTCGAGCAACTTCATGAATTTCTCGTAGCTTTCACGGGCGTTGATGAGGATGGACTTGCGGTCTGTGCCCACTATGCGTTGGAACAGCTCAGCGAGATGGTAGTTAATGACCATGTATCTGCAGCGAATATGAGAAAGATGAAAGGAAAAATCAAGACGATGCACCGTACTGTAAGTCTCCGGACGCCACGTCTTCCAGGGTCTCGTTGGGGCTGAATAGCGAAACGCGGTCGGCAACTTTCAGGCACTCTTCATAGGTGGCGATGGCTGAGCTGAGCTTCTGCTGGTAGGCATCGCCGTTCGAGTCATAACTAGACTCAAGCTCCTTTCTTTTCGCCTCTGCACCGTGGAAAAGAGCCCGGAGGCTCTGCGGCTGCTGCTCGGCTTCGTTGCTCATTTTCGAGGTCTGGGGTGGTGAGGTGCGCCGTAGGGTTGGAGGTTGTCGTTGCTGAGAAGGAACCTGAACCGTATGGAAAATCATCATCACGTGCGCCGTGTCTTAGCGCGTTGGCCATGCTTCGCCCGCACGCACGGACACCACGACACCAGCGGCACCACACCAGCGGCACGACACGGCCAGTTCGACCTATCGCTGCAATGCCACCTGTGAAAATCAGGGCATGGTGTCGATGCTGGAAGCTGCTCCATGGCGCGCATCCGGTGGTAGCGCAGGTGCTGGCAGCTGCCCAAGCCTGCACCCCGCCGCTTGCGCGCTGCTTGCACCTGCCACATACAGCAAACGGCTGACCATGTCATAAATCCATCTCTCTGCCCATCGCCCCACTATCTACTCGACCATCCACTCAACCTCGCCGCTTCCGCCTGGTCTGTCGCAAACACTCTCCACCAATGCCGATGCCGTGCGCTGGTGCCCAGTAACATCACGTTCGTCCTGTGTCCACCTTACTCGTCGCACACCCGCACTCTGCATCTCCCACTGAGCGCGCGGTGGGAGCAATGGCTGACAAAGTATATGGACATGGCGTTCCAAACGCCGTGTCACGTCCTGAAACAGCTGCCCTCCGGCATGTTGCGAAAGACTATGACGACTCAGAGAGTGATGACGGCGAGTCGACCTCTGGGATTGCCCGAACCATCTCGGAAAAGAAACGCCAACAGCATGCCATCTTCAGTTCATGGGTCACACAAAAGGCAGAGCATGTGACAGAGCAAGAGGTGAAGGAGACTTTGAAGACGGCTGACGACGACTCTCTCTCCGTTCGGACCTTGCTGGCCAAACAAGATTCCAACATCATAGCCGATCCGCGCGAATATCAGTTGGAGCTCTTCGAGAGAGCCAAAGAAGAGAACGTCATTGCCGTTCTTGACACCGGTTCCGGAAAGACCCTGATCGCGGTGCTTCTGCTCAAGCATACCATCGACAAGGAACTTGAAGATCGTGCAGCGGGCAAAGCCCCTCGTATTTCTTTCTTTCTCGTCGACTCGGTCACATTGGTTTTCCAGCAATTCGCCGTGCTCGAGACTAACCTCGATCAGAAGGTCGAACGTTTCTGTGGAGCCATGGGCTGCGATCTCTGGTCGAAGCAGACCTGGACGAAGCACTTCGAGCAGAACATGGTTCTTGTTTGCACCGCTGAGGTTCTTGCTCAGTGCCTGATGCACTCCTTCATCAACATGGAGCAGATCAATCTACTGATCTTCGACGAGGCGCACCATGCCAAAAAGGGCCACAGTTATGCCAAAATCATCAAGGACTACTACCTGCCTACCGATCAAAGCAAACGGCCCAAAGTATTCGGCATGACGGCCTCGCCAGTAGATGCAAAGGTGGACGTTCTTCAAGCTGCCAGTGACCTTGAAGCACTCCTGCACTGTCGCATCGCAACCACTGCGAACCTGGACCTATTGCGCAAGACCATCAGCCGGCCAGACGAGAATGTGGTGACCTACGCCCCCCTTCGGGATATGTTTGAAACGCCATTGTACACAAAGATGAAAGAAAGGCTTGGCGACATGGAAACGTTCAGAGCTCTCTTTGAGTCATCCAAACATGCAAGTTCTCAGCTCGGAGCATGGTGCTCTGACATGTTTTGGTTCTACGCCCTGCAAGAGGAAGAAGCCAAAAAGCTCGAAAGCCGTCAGGAACAAGCCTTTCATAAGGACAAGAAGAGAAAGTCAATCTCTCGCCTCGACAAGGAGGTGGAAAGGTTGAGAGAAGCCGCGGGCATTGTCAAAAACAGCTTCATCGGCGAACCTCAGCCCAGCCTCACGCACCTGAGTTCAAAAGTCTTGGAACTTCGCATTCAGCTCCTCAAAACCTTCGAGCGGACGCCCAACTCAAGATGTATCGTTTTCGTCGAACGCAGATACACTGCCCGTCTGTTAAATCAAGTCTTCAGCCAGATCGGAGGCCCGCACCTCAAATCCGGCATGATCGTTGGTAGCACGGGGAAATGGGGCGATCTCAATATCTCGTTCCGTCAGCAGGTTGTGACCCTCTTGAAGTTCAAAAAGGGAGAACTGAACTGCCTGTTTGCAACCTCTGTTGCTGAGGAAGGTCTCGATATCCCCGATTGCAATCTGGTCGTCAGGTTCGATCTTTACAGGACCATGATTCAATACGTGCAGTCCAGAGGTCGGGCGCGGCATAGGAACTCCCGGTATTTGCATATGATTGAGCAAGGCAACATGCATCACAGGGCAACTGTGATGGAAGCCCGTCAGGCAGAAAGAGTAATGCGGCAGTTTTGTGAGGCTTTGCCGGAAGACCGCCTTTTGAAAGGAAACGACGCGGATCTGGATGAGCTCATGCAGGATCGCAAGGACTTCAGACGCTACACAGAACCTAGTACTGGAGCAAACCTCACTTATGATTCCAGTCTCAGTGTCATTGCTCATTTCACAGCATCCCTGCCTAGGCAAGGAGAAACAGTTTCTGAGCCTTTGTACATTGTATCCTCTCAGTCAAGTAAATTCCTCTGTGAGATCATCCTCCCAGAAAACTCGCCTATCCCCTCAGCGACGGGCCGTCCATGTGCGCGAAAGGCCATCGCAAAACGATCAGCAGCATTTGAAATCTGCCTTCAGCTCCGTGCAGCAGCGTATCTGGACGAGAATCTCCTGCCAATCTATACGAAGCAACTTCCTGCGATGAGGAACGCCCGGCTGGCGTTGAATTGTAAGAAAACAAATGCATACGATATGATGACGAAGCCGAAACTGTGGGAAAACACTCGAGGGACCATTCCTGAAGAACTCCACATCACTGTCATTGAACTACCGGATGGCCTTGACAGGCCCAACCAGCCACTAGCGATACTCACTAGAACGTCTCTTCCAAACCTGCCGGAATTTCCACTATTCCTCGATTCTGGGTCTCCCAGCAGAGTCCAGCTGGTTCCTTTAACATCCGTCTTCAAGTGCAGCATCGATGACGTTCAACACCTGACCACGTTCACGCTCAGAGCGTTCAAAGATGTCTTCAACAAGACATACGAGGAGGATCATGCCAAGATGTCCTATTGGCTTGCCCCTGTAAGGAGCTTTTACCGAGTCCTTGATGATGGATTCTATGGTTTACGAGACATTCTCGACTGGGAGGCCCTGGAAGAGGTTCAAACGCACATTGAATACCGTTGGACGCCTGAGATGCCCGACGATTCCCTTCTGGACAAGTATCTCGTCGACAGGTGGGACGGTGGCCGGCGCTTCTTTACGGAAAGCCTCAATCGAACCCTGAAGCCGACAGACCCTGTTCCAGCGGACGCTGTCACTGGGAAAAAGGCGGAGCACAAGAAGGACATCTTAAACTACTCCATAAGCCTGTATAAAGCATCAAGAGCGAAGGCCGATCCGAGCTGGGACCGCAAGCAACCAGTGATTGAAGGAAGGCAGGTCCTACACCGCCGCAACATGCTAGCGGAACCTGAGAAGCGTGAAGGCGAACTCCGCTCGAAGGTATACCTGTGTCCGGAGCCTCTGAGAATATCGGCACTCCGGGCAGCAGTCGTAGCAACCATCTACGTCTTCCCTGCAATCATTCATCGCATAGACCAGTGTCTCATCGCGTTAGAGGCTTGTCAGCTCCTGGACCTCAACATTAGTCCTGAATTGGCGTTGGAGGCAGTGACGAAAGATTCGGACAACACCGACGAACACGGAGAAGAGGCTCGGAATTTTCGCCGCGGCATGGGCAACAATTACGAGCGCCTGGAGTTCATGGGAGATTGTTTTCTCAAGATGGCCACCTCGATCGCGCTGTTTGGTCAGAATCCGGACGACAACGAGTTCGACTTCCACGTCAAACGAATGTGCCTCGTGTGCAACCAAAACCTATTTGAGACTGCCAAGGAGCTTCATCTTACTAAGTACGTACGAAGCATGGCATTCTCAAGAAGAACTTGGTACCCGGACGGTCTCAAGATGCTGGAGGGCAAGGGTCACAACAAGACCGGAGAAGAAGTGGTGAAGCATGCGCTTGGAGACAAGACTGTAGCGGACGTTTGCGAGGCTCTCATCGGAGCAGCTTATCTGACGCATAACACTTTAGGTGATTGGAAGCCAGAGAACTGGGATGAAGCTGTCAAGGCAGTCACCAACCTTGTGGCCAGTCCAGACCACACTCAGAAGAAGTGGTCCGAGTACCTTGACACGTACGAGAAACCGTCTTATCTCGATGCCGAGTGCACGGCTGCACAGATGGACTTGGTGAATCAGGTAGAGAGGGAGCACCCTTACCGCTTCCGCTCAGCAAAGCTCCTGAGATCGGCTTTTGTGCACCCGTCGTATCCTTACAACTATGAGAAGGTCCCGTCGTACCAGCGCCTGGAGTTCCTGGGAGACTCGTTGATCGACAACGCATGCATCACCTGGCTGGTCTACAGCTTCCCAGACAAAGACCCCCAATGGCTAACGGAACACAAGATGGCCATGGTGTCCAACAAGTTCCTCGGCGCCGTCTGCGTGAAGCTCGGGTTCCACAAGCACCTCAAGTACAGCCACTCGCAAGTCGAGTACCAGATCCGCGACTACGTCGTCGAGATCCGCGAGGCCGAGCGCGAGGCCCACGGCGCGCGCGACTACTGGACGACGGTCAAGTCCCCGCCCAAGTGCCTCCCGGACGTCGTCGAGGCCTACGTCGGCGCCCTCTTCGTCGACAGCGGCCACGACTTCGGCGCGGTGCACGCCTTCTTCGACGCGCACATCAAGTGGTACTTCGAGGACATTTCCATCTACGACGCCTTCGCCGCCTCGCACCCCGTCACCCGCCTGCACGCCTTCCTGCACGACGAGTTCGGCTGCGCCGACCACAAGGTCCTCGCCTCGGAGCTGCCCGTCGTCGTCCCCGCCGCCCCGCCCAGGTGCATCGCCGGCGTCATGCTGCACGACCGCGTCGTCGCCGAGGGCGTCGCCTCCGCGGGCAAGAACGCAAAGGTCAAGGCTGCCCTGGCTGCGCTCGACTTGCTCGCCGGCCTGCCGCCGTTCGAGTTCAGAGACCGCTTTGGCTGCGATTGCGGACTGCAGCAGGATGGGTCGGGAGCTGGGATTGATGACGGCGATGGCCGCCGCGAGGGCGGTGATTATGACGCGAGCGATGTGGTGGTCGTGGGTGTGGCCGACGATGCGGATGTTGGGGTCGTGAAAAGGGGAAGTTTGATTTGAACAAACCTAACGGACTGACAGACTGGGTGTGGAAAGTGGGAGAGAGGTGAATGCTCGGGGTGGAATTAGATGCGGCTGCTGAGGAATAGTCGGTCATCTACATTATGTGGTGCAGGAGAAGTATGTCGGTGTGGGTTCTTCTTTCTCTCCTCTCGAAGGCTAGATACATTCGTCGGGGTGTCGTCTCTTTCTGCATCAGGTCGACTTTTGCTACAAACGGATTCATAATGGGCAGAGCACCGGCGGCCCGGGCCAATAGATTACAATGGATGGTGCATTCTTTCGTGTGCCTTCTTTTCGTGCATCGCCATCGTTCTGCTCGGAGCCACACTTCGTCTGGAGAGCATATACATGGCGGCGGATAAGGTCACGAAGGAAACGCGGTGATTTTCTTTTAATAGGGAGTGAATTCTTCATGGATCGGTAAGTATCGACATCACCCGCCGTTCTAAAATACAGAAGCGCAAGTATACTAGAGCTAAGGCACAAAAAGAGACATACATCGTAAGGAGCCGTACAGGAAACACTTCGCTTCATTTCCCTCCACACACCCGCCAGTTTAACATTGAGCATAAAGAACCGGCGCCGTATCCCACACCTCTGCAACGCTGCGGGAGAGTCTCCGAGCGCGCGAGTGTTCCACCCCTTGATGATAGTACATGGCACATCGTGTGCGAAAAACAAAAAGCGTTGACAGGCCAAAGAAAAAATGAAAGACGTTCCATCTTTTTGTAATCCCTAACCCGGGCTCGGAAAGCAAGCACCAGGCAAATTGAAGCGAAGAAGGAACCTATAGACCAGGTGTCTGGACATCATGTACAGCAGTCAGGCATGACAACCGCCACACGACAGGTCGATCATCTGATCCAATAGTTTCCGCTGGAGTCGAGTCTGGCGGATCGATAGAACAGGTACGTTCTCCAAAAGGTGACGCAAAGACCAATGAACGCGAGCATTGATACGACGCGGATGGTGATTTTGATGCGTTGAGACTTGTTCCATGGAGCTCTTTACGAGGCAAAGGGAGAGAAGAGAAACAATCAGTTTGATGGGTCCTTCAAGAAGAACAGAAAAATCAAAGCGGTCGTAGTTTTTTTTTTGAAATATGGGTTTACTACTAGAAAGATGTGAAAGGGTTTATTGCTGCTTTTCGTACCCCTCTGGTTTCTCCATGTTGTTGACTTCAAAGAAGCGTGCAGTGCCTGTTGCGAGGAGATTTCACGGTCAGTATCTGGCATCTGCAAGAGTGGTAGACGCTCTGGTAATGCGGAACTTACAGGAATAGCCGTTCCAATCAAAGTTGTCGCTCGGGTTGCAGTGGCACTTGTTGTCCGTGCGCGTCTTCTGGCTGGTCGGGCAGTGGGTGAAAGGCACGTGGTAGTAGGCAATGTCCTCGAAGAAATGAAGCTCGTCCTTGTTGAGCATGAGACCAGCGGCAATCGAATGGACAGGAGCATCACCCCAACGCTCGTAAAAGAAACCACCATCGTGGTCGAGGTGCTCGAAGAAGTCGATGTAGGCATCGCTGCGGAGCCAGTTGAGGTTACCGATCTCGAAGTTGGACCAGAAGTGGCAGTGGTTGTACGTCTTGCCGTCGTCGTCGCTGAGGAAAGCCATGGAGTTGTCCTTGGCGATGTGCTGAGGGAACTTCTGCATGAAGCCCTTGACGCTGTCCCAAAGAGTGGGGATGGTCTCGACGTATTCGTACAAGCTGAGCACGAACGAGTACTTCTTGCCGTTGTCGGCCATGAACTTGAAGGTATCGTAGTTGATGTCGCAGAACAGCTCGATGCTGGGCTCGACACGCCAGTACCACTCGTAGTCGAGCATCAGCGGGTGGCGGAAGAAGAAGCCAGACTCGTAGCGGCACATGTGGCGGTAGCTGATGGAGTCGCCGTAGATGATCTGCTTCTGCTTCATCTCGTCACGGACCTTTGCCGCCTTGTTGGTATCAATCCAGGGCGGGAAAGACCACTGGTCGGACTCGATCTTGCCATACTTGGTGGTGCCGGAGACGAGGGAGGTGGTGACACGCTTGAAGTTCTCGTCGAACTCGTCGTCGTTGAGGAAGACCCAGTCGTAGTTGAACTTGCGGTTGAAGCGGTCCTCGACCTGGCGGATGGAGCGGGCAATCTCCCAGACGTCCGAGTTGCGGGCCAGAGTGACAAAGGTGGCGTTCATGCGCTCACCGGGCATGGTTCCCGTCAATTGAGGAGTGGTATTCGGGGTGGATCCCTGGGACGAGCTGCCCGAGTGCGAGGGAGAGTTCACGACGGGGAGCTCATTGGAGCCAGGCTCGGTGGCGGCGCCCGAACCCTTCCACTTGGAGCCCTGCTCCTTGATGATTTCGCTGGCGCTCTGCAGGCGGCTGGTGGGGACATCGGAAGACGAGAAGAAGAATATGAGCAGGAGGGCCTGGGCGGAGGGTCAGCGGGGATGCGCTCGGGGCTGAAACGGGCGCGGGAGAACTCACGACAAAGGCAAAGACGATGTAGCGCATGTAGCGCTGGGTGCCGGCCATGGTTGCGGTCGGGGCGGCGTGCGCAGGAGGTGCGGACAGAGGCGGAGGAGCGAGCTGGCAGCTGGGCTCTTCGCAGGCGGAGGCCCGACGTGGCTCGAAAGGGGGCTGCTCGGTGGTCAACGACGGCCGAGTCTTGGTGCAGGCGGACGGGTGCGCGCAGGAAGTTTATGTGCGGCGGCGGGACGGCTAAGGTTGAGGCATTGAGCGGCAAGGAGAGACAGGCGGGAAGGGAGTGAGCGAGCGAGCGGGCGGAAGAGATACGTGTTAGGGCGACTACCTAGGTTACGAAGGGGAGGCAGAATTCCAGTACAACACGCGGCCACCGCGCACCGCGCGCTCGTATGGCGCTGAGTGTGCAATCAGCAGCAAGGAAGGGGCCTGAGCCCGGGCCCGTGCTGCCTTCCAGCCCGGCCACCGGCACGCGGCGCTGATTGCTGCGGACGCCTGCGGACGCCTGCGATTCTGCTCTGCATGGCTCCCTCTGCACCGCGCCCGCCGAGTGCTCTGCTGCTTGCTCGCGCTGTCTGTGTGCTTGCGCGGTGCCTCTAGCCGTTTCGCCATCTGCTGCTAGCGGCGGCCCCGGACACGCCAACCAGCGGGCACTGGCGCCCAGGATCGCCGAAAAGTGTCGTAAACACCACCACCGCCGCCGAGCCCGCATCTCACCCACCCCAGCACGTCACCTCCCCCACCACCAACCCTGCCATTGTCGCCCGCAAGAGCTCAATGTCCTTTTTCGGCTTCGACACGTCGTTGCCGCGGGACCGTCCCGCCCACCACCCGTCGGCGCCTGGCTTCGGCCAGACGCCTGACCCGTGGGCCGGCCTGTCCGGCCAGGGCGCTCCCCAAGCCGACGATGCGTGAGTCCTCTCGTCTCTGCCGCCGCCAGCGCCCCTGCTCTAACCTTGCTCTGCTGCAGCCTCGACTTCGACGAAACCTACGATGGCCTCGGCGACCAGCTTGATGAAACCGATGACGCCTTCAACGATGACACCTTCGGCGGCGAGCCCGCGCACAACGTCGGGAAGGACTTCGATTTCTCCGGCCAGACCGCCCAGATTGCGGGCACCATGCACGAGGAGCAGATGCTGTACAGCGCCCGCCAGCCCCCGTCCCAGGTGAAAAGGGAGGAACGGCAGCCCGTCAAGACTGGATACGAGAACTACGCTCAGCCTGGCTACATTGGCAACCTCGAGGCGAGCGCTGATATCTGGGGTATCTCGAAGAAGGCCACTCCCGGCCAGGAGAACCAGCGCCAGCAGCTCCCGCCCCAGCATGCCCAGCAGTATGCGGCCCAGCCTGCCAGCAGGAAGATGATGAGTCTGGAGGAGGTCGAGGCTGCTATGCTTGCCCAGAGCAAGCAGCGCCTCTCCCAGCAGCCTGTCCAGCTCCCCGCCACTCAGCCCTCGCCCCAGCCCTCGATGCCCGGTTTTCCCCCGCAACCTCCTCCAAACTGGGCCCAGCAACCGTTCGGAGCTCCGCCGCAGATCCTCCAGCGCCACCAGCAGTTCCCCCCTCAGTTTGCTCAGCAGCGCCCTCCGTCGATTCCTCAGCAGCAGATGCCGACTGAACTGCCTGCCCAGAGCATCCCGCAACCGCAGGTTCTCCAACGCCAGAGGCAAGAACAGCAGGGCTCGCGGGGTACCCCGCCCCAGATGCATCAGCTTCCGCACCAGCCCCGCCAGATCCTCCAGAACCCGAACCGTCTCTCTGGCCAAGGCCAGCCCGTAACTCAGCCCTTCAACCGCATGCCGCCGACTGGACCGGCTCATGCACGTGGCCCTTCGTACCAGGGTCCTGTCATCACTCATCCCGAGCAGCTGCTACGCCTCTCCGATGCTGAGCGCGCTGCTTTCCTGGAGGAAGATGCCAAGCGTGCAAAGAGGATTCACAAGATCCACATGCTTTCCAAGGACAACGGGCTTATGACCCCACAAGACAAGAACTTCATCACCCGCATTCAGCTTCAACAACTTGTCACGGCTACCGGCAGCATCGACGACCAAGGCCCCGAGGCTGCCCTCGCCGAAGACTTCTACTACCAGGTCTTCTCGCAGATTCGTGGAGCTCCTCGCCAGAACCCTCACCAACCCGCCAACCAGTTCGCTCAGACCTATCTTTTCCAGACTGGCGGTCGCTATGGAGGCCGTCGGCAGCACCGCGGCGGTGACAACCACGCTCAGCGCATGGAGCAGCAGGTGCAGCGCGCGGTGGAGGCGGCCAAGGCAAAGCCCAAGAACAAGCAACTCGTTATCGAGGGCAGCCTCGGCAAGATCTCGTTTAGCAACGCAAAGACGCCCAAACCCCTTCTGAACATCAAGAAGCCCGAAGGAGAAGGCCGGCCTAACGGTGCTGGCCGTCGACCCAGCCGGGCACATCACGATGTCGCTGATCGCAAGGCGACCCTGCGCAACATCGAAAACGTCTACAATGTCCTCATGAGGATGGAAGACCATGAGCGCAACATGCCACCTCCGTTGAACGATGGTAGCACACCTGCCCAGATCCAGGAGCACATGGAGTGGCAGCACCAGGTCCAGGAGCTGAACCAAAAGCTTTGGCAAGGCTTGAAGGTCATGGAGCCCATCATGGGCGGCTCCAATGTTCCGCACCCTTTCATCGCTGTTTTGTCTCACCCGAAGGGCAAGAAGGCCATCCCGCGCATCTTCCGCCATATCGACGAACAGCAGCGCGTGACAATCTTGACCATGATTGTTGTGCACCTGGACACTCTGGATGTGGTTCAACATGGCATCCCTGCCGATCCTCTCACTCCGCTTCCCCGGGCGGCAAAGGAGGAAATCGAGCTGTTCGCTCAAGCTGTCATGCCTCCTCTGTTCGCGTACGTGAATGAAGCGCCCCTGAACATCGTCATTGGTCTCTTGGGCCTGGTCCTTGACCGCACCAATATCCCCATACTAGTCCGCACCAAGATTGGTTTGTCCATCCTTACCATCTTCGTCTCGCGCGCAGAACTGGTTAAGGAAAGCACGTCGCCATCGGCTGCCACCTCGCAGGATCTCCAGCAGATCGAGCAGCTATACAACCGCCTCTTCGATACCGTTGAGCCGGTCTTGCCGTACATTTTCCCCGGCACCGTCAAAGATGATGAGGACGTCTACGTGTGGCAGTTCCTCGCATCCATGGGTGCGAGCGCATCGGCCGAGCAACAACAACGACTCGTCATCGGTGTCAAGGATCGCGTCATGGACACCGTCAATGTGTGCAAGGCGCTTCCGAAGGAGTTGTCTGCGTCACGACTTGGCCATGTCAACCTGTTCATGAGGGCGATTGGCTTGGATGTTGAGCTGCTTGGCTAAACAACTTCAGAGTTGAAGGATATGAAAGCCAGCGAAGTACTCATGGTTCGGCGCAAGAGCATTCGGAAGTAGAACATTACGACGAACGTTTCTCAGACGAAGATGATGACAAAGAAAACCAAGAGTTTTCCTTGGTCCTCCAGCAAGAGGAACCAAACGGCAAAATTCCTTGCTGTACACCCTACATCGGAACATATGAAGGCGCTTGCCTGCATGTTTCCGGAGCTCAGCCCTTTCCATCTTTCCCCTTTCTCTTGATTGAGGGTTGAGCTCTTCCCGCATACCTATCAGGTTTGGTCTGGTCTGGTCTGGAAAAATTGTCGAATATGGCGACGTCAGGATACCCCGATGATGGTCATGATTGTTTGGCTGGATGGGCTTTCACTTTGATTGCTTCCCCTTTGCACCTACTTCTGGCGAAGGTTGGGGGGGAGCTTCAAACCACTATAGCGTTTATTCAACATGAAAATAGTCTTATCTCATTCTTTGTACTCCATCCTGCTCCTATGACTGACGTGTGTGCTGAGCGAATGCGGCTCCGTGGTGATTGGCTCAAGCCACATGATCGCTCTAGGGGCGGTGCTCTTCCCCTCTTATGCCCTGGCCTGTTTGTAGATGCCCAGTCGGCAGCACCCGTGCGGCGACATTCCTCGTCCGCGAGTTCATACCGGATTTTTCTACCCTGAGGCATGTTACAAACAGCATATCCATCCCCGCCGGCAATAGTTGCCACCTTGTCTCAGGAAAGGAACCACGTACGCACACACCCGGAACGCGGAGCCAACCCTTGAAAAGTGTTTTTTTCTTCTGTTTGAGTAAGAAGACGCCGCTCTTTGAAAATAAGACCTATACCTTCAACGGAAAGCAATCCCCTTGCTTTACCCCTCCCTTCTTGCCTCCTCAGCAATCTTGCACTCGAGATGAGGCTCGCTCTCACATCCGCATGGTAGACTGTTGGGCAGAGAAGGGACATCGGAATCGATTGCTCCATCAATGTCATTGCATACGTAGTTTGTGAGATGCAAGGTGAACGTATAATTGCGTCTCCATTCCCCGCTACCCACTTTGTATCTCTCTTCTTCTTCTTCCTCTCTTCTTACATTTCCGCGATCAACATTTTGGGACAGATACAGAACGATCTGTGGAAACGTGATTGAAATGCCCTTACTCCAATCGTTCCGATTAAGCTGGTTGCTAACTTTTCTTTGGTACCTCTCTTCAAATCCAATCCACCAGTGCATTATCATCGCCGGCCCTCCTTCTGGCACCGTGAGATGAGCCGTCCGAGCAAGATCTTTGCAAATACGCATGCATGGTAGAGCAAAGACTCGCCATCACCCCGGCCATTTCCCGTCCCACACCAAGCTTTTGTTTGTGATCTTCATTTCCCACACACCGGGCATTCCCATTCCAGCCATCTCTTCCCCCCACCCTCCACACTTCTTCCCCCTCTCACTGTCCCGGGATCTTGCCCTCATTCAGAAGCTTCTCCAAGCGGGTGATCTCATCCAGCGTGTTGGCGTTTTTGATGAGCTCCTGGATGTTGAGGCGCTCGACGTCCGTCAGCTTGACGCGGGCCATGCCGCCGGCGACGTCGTCGGCGCCGGGGCCGGCGGACACGTCGGGAACGGTGTTGCGCTGGCTCATGACCTTCTGGGCCAGCTCGGTCGGGGCGTCGGGGGTGCCGAACAGCTCCTTGGCCTTCTGGCGCTCGGCGTCGCGGACGCGCTGGAAGTCGAAGAAGCGGAGGGACGGGATGCGGAAGATGAGGTAGTAGCGGTAGTTCTGCGAGATGAGCGACGGACGTGGCTGGCGCTGAAGTGGGTGTAACGTTCTTTCTCACGCCCACTGGGGAGGGGGAGGGGGGAGGAAGTGGGAAAGAAGAGAAAGAAAGACACACAAAACGTACCTCCTTGCTGCAGACAGGGTTGCCGATCAGGTTCAGCTGTGTGAGCCTGGAAAAGCCGCCGAGCGGGTCGAGGTCGGCGAGCTCGCGGACGCTGTTCTCGGCCAGGCTGAGCGACGTCAGCGCGGGGATGGCGCGCGCGATGCCCGTCTGAATCTGCGAGAGGCGGTTGCGCGCCAGCAGCAGCGTCGTCACGCGCGGGCGGTGCGGCAGGTTGCCGAGCATCTGGATGTTGTTGTCCGTGAAGTCGATGCACTCGATGTCGGCCGACGCGGCGCCCATGTTCTCGATGTGGGTGAATTGACGACCTGTATGTCACGGCAACAGACCGGAGGTCATGATGGTATCAACGCAGCTCTTTTCTTCTTTCTTCAAAGTGTAGTATCTGCTCTTTTCAGCTTAAACGCACCTCTGAGATCCAGCTCGCGCTCGCCGAGCGGGTTGATGTAGGAGAGGGAGTGCTGGATGATCTCTGCCGTCAATCTCATCTTGGGCGACGCGTATGTCTGTCGTGGGGTGAGTAGCGGCGGGTTTGCGGTGGACGGGGTTGCTGTCGCGAAGCTTGTTTGTCGCGTGAGAGAGGCTGCGTCGAGAAAGGGTCGGCGGAAGGTGGGGCGGATGCGCTATGCGTTGCTGAGCACAGTGAGAAGGCGGGGCAGAAGTGAGGGTGTTGATTCGAGCGTTAGAAAGAGGTGGATGAGGTGGTGGATGAGGTTCTTCGGAGTTGGAAGCTACCAGCTGCGGCGGCGGATTTTCTCGAAATCTGGGGTCGCGGCCAGCCTTGCATCATCACGCGCCGTTCCGGCAACCACTTTTGCCGTTTGCTGCCTGCCTGCCGCCTGTCGAAAGTCCAACCTCACTCCTGCCTTAACCACTGTGGAACTCCCTGCTTTCAAGCAGAGTTTGATACTGTTCCTTCGGAATACTGTGTAACCTGTCTCCATATTCTCAAGCTCGGCTTTAGCTCAACGTTAACTAATTCTCGCGCGACCTTGACATGCTTCGCGCATTCCGCTTCCTTCATTGCTCTGCACGCGTGTCGTTGTAGCCATAGCTATTTCGATAGACATCTCCATGGATTCTTGATGACCATTCGAGTCGCAGAAGTCCACACTGATCTGAAATTGAGATCAATGGCTTATTAACCAGCATTTCCTGAAAGCATTCTCCAGTTTCTATTGTCTTTGTGAACTGGCATACATGCCGTATATGGCATTCAACTCTTCACCGTCCTCACCAAAGCCAGAGCGCCCTTTGGTCTAGTCAAGTTGAGGGATCGTCCCAACGTGTCGTGCTTCGCTAGCTACTATGTGCAGCTATTGCTTGGTAATTCTTCTTGGCTCGACAGCCAAGCGTAGAGAATGGCATGTCAGGCGAGAAGATAGTAACAAGGCACTTCTCTAATATGCAATAGTCCTCAACTGCTTCCTAACGTATGGTCAGTGGTAAGCTTTCCTATTTCCTGATATGTACTCTCACAGCGACCGTCAGCGCTATAAATGGCAGATCGATCTACATGTAAGATGTCGGAAGCCCATTTGGATACAACCCACTGTGTTCAGGAGCATGAATCTGCGATGTACTCTGTCCCGAATCGGCAATGGTCGAATGCGATTCACTCTCAAGCCAAAGAGGATGAAATATCAGATGGATTGCGCTTGCTGTTCCGCTCAAATTCCCTAGAGCTCGGGCTGGGTATCTTAACAAAATCATTCCCACCTCTCCCCTCCCCCTTCCCCCCAAACCAAACGCCGCGCTTAAAAAACATCCAAAAAAACAAAAAAACAAAAACACAGAAAAAGCAAAAACAAAAACAAAACAGCGACAGGAAGGCCGGCTGAAGGAGTAGGGTCTCCCCCTTAAGGGTCCGGCATCGGTAGGTCAGCACCCCCCATCGAACGGCGGGTGACAGAGAGGACTCCTTATTCCCAGTCCAAACCACCAGACAGCAGCTGGGCTGCCATCTGGTGGCGGACACGGAGTATCCCCTCCGTCGAGGTGACGTACAGGTTGGGCTCGACATCCAGCCCGTACGCCACCGCCCGCGCGTTCTGAAGCGTGAACACTCCGCAGTCATCGGAGTTGCTCTGCCTCGGGGAGCGCTGGTCCCCACCGTCGACGATGCGCCACTCCGCATCGTCGTAAGCCGAACCCAACGTCGCCTTGACCCAGTCTTGGGTCTTGGCGACGAAAGGGGCGGGCCTGCCGGCGAGACTATCGAAGTACGTGATAGTCCGCTCGGTGCCCGAGACGACCACCAATCGCCAGTGTGAGTTGTGGCAGATTGGTATGAAAAGGTCCTTCACGAGGAGCAGACGCCCCTCGTGAAGCCTACTCCTTCTGTTCCAACTGAGGACCTTGCTGATCCCCTTATTGGACACCTCAACCCACCAGTTTGAGAGGAGGAACTGGTAGGGTGGGGCCTTGCCGGCCTTCCTGTCGGCCTCTGTGTAGCCTGCCTTCTCGCAGGCTTTCTTCGTCAGCTCCTCCAGGTATTTGTTGACGAGCGAGTCGTTGAGCCAGCTCGTCCTGGGGACGAGAGTCCCCAGGTCCCGGATTGTGAGGTTTCTCGAGATTTCTGCCATCGGGTCGCGCCCATTGAGGGCGGATTGAATCTCCGCCATTTCCGTGGCTGAGGGCCCTTGGCTGAGGAGCTTGCGCCTCCTCTCTGACTTTGCTGCTTCCGCCGCCCTCTTCTCTTCTTCGGCCCTTTGCCTGGCCTCAGCCTCCTCCTGCTCGGCCTTGCGTCTGGCTTCAGCCGCCGCTTCTTCGGCCTTGCGCATTGCTTCGGCTTTTGCAAGGCGCTGCTTTTCGAGCTCCTCCTCACGCAAATCCGTGCGGCTGTTGGAAATCTGTAGATCTTCGGCCTCGCCGACCGTGGCGCGCTTCATGAGCTCCTCCAACGATTTGACCTTGGCGTTGCGTGTCTTGACGGGCTTCGTGTTCTTCATGTTACATTTTGTGATCGCAACGTGCTCCTCAAGGCCTTCTTCAGATGATTCGGAAACCTTGAGTGGTGTGTCCCAGCCGTTGTTGGTAGTGAGAAGAGCAGGCTGCTTGCCTGTCTCGCGGGAGGTCTTGCGTTGCTCGCTGCTGCCAGAGGACGAAGTACTGGGGCGCTCTTCCGACTCGCGGTATGTCTGGAAATCCGATTGGCTGTGATGGTCCTTTCCGGAGACATTGCCCAGTTGGACCTGCGTGATGTTCTGTGCCGCGTCAGGGTGGGTGAGGTCCATGATCTCTTGGATCTTGCGGTTCGGGGCGTTCAAAGATTCATCCTTCTCGTTGGTGCTCGAGATTGTGGTGACAGCGATGCGCTTGCGCTGAGGCTGCGACTTGTCAAAGCGAGACTTGATGGCTAGTATTTCGGAGGTCAGCTTGATTTTGATGGGTGACTTCTTGGAGTCATCGGCCTTCTTCGGCTTGTGCATGGGAAGATCGTCCTGTTCCTTGTCTGCGGCGGTCATGGCTGCCTTGGCTTCGCGCTTCTTGTTCTTCAGGAGAGGATTGCCATTGATCTTGATCTTGATGGATGACTTCTTGGAGTCCGTAGCCTTCTTTCGCGGGTGCAAAACAAGATCTTCTTCTTCCGAATCTGCACTGAATGCACGCTTCCTCTTCAGACTAAGAGGTGTCTGGTTGATGCTCTGCAAGCTGGGCGTGGAACAAGATCCTGACAACTGAGCCGTCTGGCCGTTGGAAGAAATGTTGGTGTTTGAGGAAGTGGCATCGCTGCGGTTGTTGGATGAAAGGGAAGATGTGATGAGATTGCCGACATTGTTGAAGGCTTTGCCAAAGGCGGTGCTGGATTCTGAACCGACGGTGGTGGTCTGGTTCGTCGAGGCTGCAGCGTCAGCCGGGTCGATGTCGTGCTCGGTGGCGGGAACATGATCATCAAATGAGATATCATCAAGAGGGTAGGCACCAGGCAGAGGCTTGGCGATGGCTCGACGCTTGTTGGATTCGGATCCAGTGGGAAGCCAGACGATCTCCTCAATTTCTTCATCTGCGCGCACGATTGCGCGGATGATGGCACGGAAGCGGTCTTGAACCTTGGTAAGGAAGAGGCCAGCGCCACTCTGACTCTGCGAGAAAGAGGAGACTTCTGACTCAGGCATGTCGGGCAGGTCTTCAAAGCTCCTAGCCGGGACCTTAGCATCTTTATCGCGGCGACCCTCGTCATTGTCGGTGCTGGAGCGCTTGCGCGGCAAGACGGACGCGAGGTTTTCGCGAGCATTCTTGTCTGCTATCTTTGCGCGCCGAGCGCTCTCTTCGAGCTTCTTCTTGAACCGGGATTGCTGATATTGGTCTACCGTCATGCGCTGCTTCGCTGTGGACTTGATGGCCAGAGACTGTCCCGCAGGAGCTCCGCCGCTTTCTTGCTTGAGAACAAAGGTCTTGTAGCTCGTCCTGAGTGCGCGAGGAGGTGGAACATTGTGGTAGCCGGAAGAGATATGGGGGTTGGAGCGGGACGAGTTGTTGAAGCGGGATGAGTGTTTGGAGCGGGACGAGTTGTTGATGCGGGATGAGTTGTTGATGCGGGATGAGTTGTTGATGCGGGACGAGTTGTTGATGCGGGCCGAATGGTTAAGGCGGGCAGTGTTGTTGAACCGCGAAGAATTGTAGGTGGAGTGGGTGTGCGAGTTGTTGTTGTGAAGAGTCGAGCGGAAGATCTGATTGATGCTGGGCTGTGATGCCGGAGGCTGTTCGCCTTGACCGCGGATGGAAGTTTGGGTAGGGAGAGTAGGAGTCCAATTCTGCAATGGTAAGGTCAGCGAATCACTCTTGAGAGGTTGCGTGTCGTAATCGCAGTGAGGACTTACCATGGGAGAGCCATCTTCAGCAGTGCTGGTGGTCTGGTTGGTGTTGTCGTGGGCGGGCGTCGAGTGGTCGTACGCCCTGTCCAGATCCTGCGCACAGCGTCAGCGCAAGATACTCGAGCAAGGCGCAGGCGTTTCGTGCGCGCGCGTGAGCTTACCATCTCGGAGGTGTCCTCCATGGCTATGACGTCGCTGAGACGGTGAAGTCAGTCGCGATGGGTTGTCGGTGTGTGAGAAGGTGCAGGTGTGAGGTTGTGAGGTGTCTGACGACGGTAGGAGCTGTGCAGAGCAAGGGAAGCTGGGTTGCAAGTGGGGCGCGTCGCGATGTGCTAGCTATCATGCAATCGAAGCTGGTTGCTCTGGAGGGTGAAGAGGAAGGAAGACGGTTGGAGCGCGGCTGGCAGCTCCAGAAAAGCTGCACAGACCCTGGCGCGCAGCCCTAATCGCCAAGGCGGCAGGCTTGGCGCGACCGCTGTGACGGCCCCGCGCGACGCAGACATGTCAAGACTCCAGCCATACTGGCGACCGGGAATATCTAGATTGGGGCTTCCAGCGGGCAATCGCAATGGCTATCTGCAGCATGCGAACGGGGCGGCGAAGAGCGCCACCGCTGTCCCCACGGCCCTCGCACTGCGGGCACTGCGGGCACTGCGGGCGCCCGCCGACCGGCCGCGCGCTAGAACACCCGACAGCCCCGGTCGCGTGCACTGTGGCTGGTGCCAGTCCCGTCATGCGTCATGCCGGTTCACCCCCCGCGCATGCGCTCAGCGCCGCGGATACCTTACAGGTGCCGCACGCTGCAGAGATCTCAAGGCCAGATCTGGCGCGCGCTCTATTTTCAACACTCCCTTCTCTCCGTCTTCCTCTGCATGCCGGCGCAAGCCGGCGCTGTTGCGCAATTGGCGATTGTCGAGTCGGCCCTGGCATCTCGTTTCACAGCGCAAATTTTGGGCGCCCGACCCCAGATGCCGCGCTGCCAAACACAAGCCACACAAACGCATCCCCGCCGGAAGCTTGTGAGATCTGCGCGAGGGGCAGCTCTCCCCGCGTTCCTGTTCCTGCCGATCGGTCCCTGACCGATGTCGGCCGACAGCTCAGTCGCTTTTTTCTGGCACCATCGCACCCTCGCACCCTTATCGGCCCCGACGCCTTCATTCACTTGCTGACATGCAATTTTCCAGCGCAGATTTGCAATTTTCGCTACTGTCTTCTGTACCATATCTTCAAGGTCTTTCGCAACAGTTGGCTTATTGTATATTTGCTACTGGCATTACCACCAATTAAAGGCGCGAGGTTTGCGCCAGCGTTGTCGCCCTGTTGGAACCTTCATCATTCAATTCGTAAACCTGTCGCCACTTTGTAGTCTCTCCGAATAGTCTGTCGCATGGCAACGCCATCCCAAGATCCCTACTGAAACACCATGATTACGCCAGCCCGATCTACGCTCACCACCATGCCGTAAGGCTGTTCCAGAACCGCCACGTCCGAGACGTTGTCCAGATGTCCCTTCAACAACTGCTGCTGCTGCAGGCTCCGCAGAGTGTCCCTACCGCCCCTGGCAGCCGTCGCTTCTCTGCCCCTCTTCGCCGGGCTTCCCGCCTTTGTGCCGGCAGCACTCTTGCCCTTGCCCGAGTCGCCATTACTCTCTGGGCCCGTTCCCTGCGATGGACGGAAGATTCGTTCCTGCACGATGGTTGTCTCCGGGTTAGGCGCAGCTGGTGGCAGCACCGTGTAGACCGGCTTGCTCTCCTCCATCTCGAGTCCTGATACTACGTTGGACGCCTCCGGTCTTGCAAGATCCCAAAACCGCACTTTCCAATCCGATCCAGCCGAAACAAGGAAATCGTTCCCGTCGTCGGAGCCGAGAGCGAGCGAGCGCACGCTGCGATCAGTGCCGCCACCATGTCCAACACTACTAGATTCGATGGAAGCAGCGAATCGCCCGAGCAGCATGCCACCAGGTCCGTGTGTGTTGCTTCCACCGGCCCCGCCGCGCTGATGCAAGTCATCATCAAGATCAATTAAAGTGTAATGGCGATTCGTTGATGTTTCCTTGAACACTGAGGTGCGGAGAGCCGAAGTGCAGATAAGCTTCTCAAGATCCCAGACTGTGATGTCGGCAGCTGCAGTGCCACCTGCGATGATGAACTTGGGTTTGCGGGACATTTTGACGGTCTGAATAGTGATGCGATGGATTGGGGCACCACCAGGGAAGCACCAGGCGCGTAGGCGCATCTTGAATCGCAGGTCCCAGAGGTCAAGCACGCCATGAGTGGTGCCCAGTAGGAGCCAGTGATGCTTGCGGTCGGTGACGAAGCAAGTAGGGGCACCGTGGTGGAGAGGGTTAGAAAGGGTGAACATTGTGTTCATCGAGCGAAGATCGAGGGCGTGAACCTGCGAGGTATTGGTTGCAAGGAGAAGGACGGATTGGTTCTCCAGCTTATAGTGGTGGGACCATACGGCAAATTGGCCTTGCGGCAAATTGTGCTCGCGAAGTACTTTGAGTTTGCCGTAACGAATGCCCATGTTACCTCCACTGGCGTTTTGAACCTCGTTGTAGTCGACCTTCACTACGTGTACACTGCCATCATTACCGGTACTGACAAAGCAATGTGTGTTTTCGATGAAGCAGAGGCTAGTGATCTTGATTCCATCGCCTTGCTTGTATGTTCCTCTGGATTTGTGTGAGACGTTGCGTTCCAATCTTGAGGAGTCCCAAACTTTCACAGTGCCATCATCCGAACCAGTGATGAAGAATGCGTGGTCAGGGGACACGAGAACGCGTGATATAGCACCGGTGTGCTCGCCCAGCATTGCTACCAGGGTACCCTCGGGTCGCCAATTGGATGGCGATGTCTGGCCATTTCCTCTTTTGATTGGTTGTCTTTTGCTGATAGGCGTCACCATGGGGCCAAATTCGACAAAGTCCACTGGGAAGTTCTCTAGATAAACCGCGTCCAGGAGTTTGAGAATGGTCGGGTCGGTGCCCGTATACGAGTGCGCTGCTTGGAACTTGATTTTGTCGGGATCTTGACGATGTTGTTCTTGAGCTAGGGCAAATGGTGACTTTGCCCTGGTGGGTACCTCATCTTTAGGAGTACTGATGCTGTCCACGCGCCCAAATGCATTGGCCGAAGTGGTGCTAATCTCAGGAAGTGCCTTGTTGCTACCCTCCCGCTTGTGCATCAAACTCATAGCGCTCGATTTGTGGCGCATGGAGTGCTCGTGGATACCAAATCGCGACTCTGCTCTTGACGTAATCGAAGCCGGTGAGTCTAATGCGTCCGGATCCATCGTGCGAGTCTTGGGTATTTGAATAGTTCGCGGTGCTTGTCCGTCGGTGGGACTTTGAGAGAGAAAAGAGGGTCCGGGCATACGCGCATCACTCCGCGGGATTGGTCTTTCAGCACTCCCGTGGCGCTCCAGGTGGTTCATGTGAGACAGCCGGCGTCTGGGGATGTTGTCATCTGTCGATGCATCACGAAGAGCGTCTGCTATTGTGTGCGGAGCATTGTCAATCGCTGCCCGTTCGGCGACTACCTCATCGAACAAGCTCTGCTTGTGGTCGAAGAATATAGTCTGAGGTGTAATTCCAAGGTCCTTGAGCGGCAGTATTGTGTTGAATCTAGCCTGAGGTGTATCCGTAGGATCCTGCTTCTTGCGATGAGAGACCCGCCAAATGTATTCACGGAGAGCGAGTAGCTTGAACTCGTCGTCCGTCCCCATTCCCCCGTTTTTAAGCTTCTTCAGCCACTGCTCATCCTCATCGTTCTTTGGAATCCTGCTCAGCGCCTTGGGTCCAAGTTCTCGACCGGACATACTTGGTATAGCGTCATCAGACAATCCGAACGAAAAGGTCCGTTGCTGCTGGGCAGACTTCCAGAACACGCCCTTGCCTGTGTTGGTAGCCCAAGTGTAGGCCATGTCTAGCACAAGTCGCGACAAAGGCTTCTTAAGGGAGTCAAGCAGTTTGAGCTCCGAGAGATCCGAAGGTAAGACTTTGAGATAGGGCCTGATAAGAGGGAGTATGATGCTGTGGGTATCGGCCACCGAGAGATACGTCGTCGCCGAGGAAATGAATTGAGCGGCTGCTTCTCGGATCCAAATGTTCGGGTGCATGGTGAGACGTGCAACTATGTCAACCAGCTCCCATATCCGTGCGCGTTGGAACAGTCCCAGCTGAGCCATAGACGAAAGTGACCTCAAAACCCTGTCGACCACGAACTCTTCCGGGTCTGTTAGTGCCTGCACCATCAACGGAAGGATAAACTCTTCCAAACTGGCCCCACCAACGTAGGTACCGACTCCGACAATCGTCTCAAAAAATGCACACTTCAGCATCCAATCCCTGTCGTTCAGATAGGTGTTTAGATGACTGAGGATGACGTCGTTCGCTTTTGCGCTGCCAAAGAAGACGCAAAGGCTAGACACGGATCCCAGAAAAGCCCTGCGAACAGAAGGGTCGTTATCCGTGAGCAAAGCCTTGGTTTGTGCCTCGAATTTGGCCACCAGATCCTCTCGCGAAATGTCATAGAGTGTTTGATAGGCGGATCGACTCATGCTGTCTTCCTCTGCCTCTGGGTCATTCGTTGGGAGCGAGCCATCAGCTCTGAGAGCCTGCATCATGTCAAGGAATCTCGATGCGGTGGTGGCCAGAGTTGCAAGAGAAGATGCATATGTTGCGCGAAGAAGCGGGCTTGGGCTCGATTTGTGGCCCGGGAGGAAAGGCTCTAGCCTCGGGAGGATGTACTCCGGGAAGACATAGGCATTGATTGGCGAGACAACGGAGACGAGCGCGAGCTACTCAGGGTTAGTCTGGCCGGTGAAGCCGATGAGGAGGATACTCACAACTTGGGTCACGGCCCTGAGGGCAGAGACCCTAACAAGGTCGGTCTTGTCCGTAAGCAGAGCTGTCAGATAAGGAAGGATGCGATCCAACTTCGCCTCATCTGTGACACGTTCTGCAAAAGCCAGAAGAAGCTCGCACGCTCTTATACGAGCGGTAGCCCTGGCCGTGCTTCTTACTGAAGCCGCAACCAACGTCAGGAAGATCAGCGTGCCATCGTCAACAGTGAGATGTCCACTGTTTGCCTGGTGTCTGTAGTTTGGTATGTCGATGTGAAGGGGAAACAGGTTGCCTCTGAGGGTGAATTTGCTGCTGGGAGGCTTCTGGTTTCCCGAGTCGTCTGGGTAGCCCAAGAAGTAGGTGATCTTATCAAAGTCGTTGTAGACTTTATCAATCCTATCATCCGCCTCCCCCAGATTCTCAGCCCCTGCTGTGACGGGTCCGCGACCAGCCGAGGGATCTGTGATGGAGTACATGTATTGGTGTAGAAAGCTGAAGAAATAGTCTGGGAACGCCCTGTTCCGCCAGAAGCTCAAGCATTCGTCGGCGGAATATCTCTGGTTTGGGTCCAGCTTGATCATGTGGGAGACCATCTCTCTGATATCAATATCTTCAATTTTCTGGAGGTGTGTCATGAAAGGATCGTACTCCTCTGAGCGGTACTTGAATAGCTGGCTGAGCGAGAAGATGGGGGTTTCAAGGAAGAGCTCGGCGATCACACATCCAACGCTGAACATGTCCATCGCCCAGTTCACCTTGGTCGAGGTGTCGACTTGGCTACCGGTACTGAGGAAGCGTTCCGGCGCCAGGTAGCAGGTGCGGCGGCCCGACGTGTCGAAAAAGAAGGAGAAGTCGGCGGGGTTGTCTTCGGGTAGATAAGTGGGCTTGAAAGAGGACGAAAAGTCGGATAGGTACAGCCAGTTCCACGACGTTACAAGGATGTTCTCCGTCTTGATGTCGCCGTGATAGATGTTCCGGGCATGGCAGTCTCTCACGGCACAGAGCAGCTGGAAGGCCAACCACTTTTTCTCTATGTTCTCCAGAAACGGCCTCGTACTGCAATAATTAGCTCATTCCAAACGCCTGGTGCGGTCGAAGCATACCTCATGCGGTCGTAGAGCGAGCTGTGCATGTACTGCCTGATTAGGAAACCGTTCGTGCTGGTCTCCAAGATGCGATGGTACGGCAGCGCATTTGGCACGTCGGCAAGCAGCTTCCTCTCATCTGTTCAGAACAACTCCTGTCAGCTCCACGTTGGTAACTACGGTCAGAAGGGCGCGTACGCAGCAAGTCAGACACGTATTCATCCAGCTGCATGTTGAAGGGCTTCATGACGACCTTCACAACGACCAAGCCATCCTTGTGGCGGGCGCGTATTGTCTTCATGAAGCGTGCATTTCCGAGCGACTTCTCATAGGTCAAGTCGGCCAGCTCTGGGACGTCGATGCCAGCAGCGCCGGCCGACAAGGTTGTGAGAGAGTAACCTTGACCCATGTTGGATCATGTGCCGGAGAACGATAACGACGCAGGCGGAGCCAGTTGCATGGTTTTGCAGAGCGAGGATGGTGCAGTCGTGGGGGAGGGCTCGGCGCCGACGCAGCAAGTTGAGAGTTGCGGGGCGGTGATGCCTCTGACGTTGCCCGGTGGTGGGCGTGGGTGCGCGTGCATCACAAGCCCGCGGGCGCGCGTGTAGGTGCCTGAGTTGGTCGCCCTGCGTCGGTCGGCTAACCTGCCCAACCACCCAATCAGCGCGCGAGGCCACGTACGAGCCCTCATTACGCAGGCCCAGCTCTCCAGCGCTCCCCGTCCCCTCCTCCCAGAAAAAAAAAATGTCCGACGAGCGCCGGAGTGTCGTCTTCTTCCACCCGGACCTGGGCATTGGCGGTGCCGAGCGCCTGGTCGTGGACGCCGCCGTTGGCCTGCAGGATCTCGGCTACAAAGTGACCATCTTCACCTCTCACTGCGACCCGAAGCATTGCTTCGACGAAGCCCGCGATGGTAAGCTTGTACATGCCGGCCGTCCTGCGTGCAGGCCCACTCATGTCACACAAGTCAAGTATAGCTGAGCAAGCCCGCGCCATGCAAAAGGAACCCTCGACGTGCGCGTGCGCGGAAACTCCATCGTCCCGCCCTCCGTCGCCGGCCGCTTCTCCATCCTCTGCGCCATTCTGCGCCAGGTGCATTTGGTCCTACAGATTGGCTTCCTGACCCCCGAGCTCCGCCAGCTCAGCCCCGATGTCTTCTTTGTCGATCAGTTGAGCGCCGGCGTGCCTCTGCTCCGCCTGCTCTCGCCCGTCTCCAGAGTGCTGTTCTACTGCCATTTCCCCGACAAACTGCTGGTGCAGAAGGGTGGAGCTATAAAGAGGCTATACAGAGTGCCATTTGACTGGGTTGAGAGCTGGAGTACTGGCTGCAGCGACGTCATCGTCGTCAACAGCAACTTCACAAAGAGCGTCTTCAAGCAAGCCTTCCCAGGCCTCAAGCACCGGAACCCGGGCGTTGTATACCCTTGCGTGGACACGGCGGTGTCTGAGAAGGCCGAGCAGATCAAATCTGAAGAGAAGCCGCTATGGGACAACAAGAAGATCTTCCTCAGCATCAATCGCTTCGAGCGCAAGAAAGACGTCGGCCTGGCGATTCGCGCCTACGCCGGCCTCTCCGCAGAGGAGCGCAACGGCACAAGGCTCGTCATCGCCGGTATGCCATCACCAAACCACCCCTCCAATCCAATCCATATAAACTTCCTCTCCTCTCTAACGCCATCTGACAGGCGGCTACGATCCCCGCATCCACGAAAACACGTCCACCTACAACGAGCTCTGCACCCTAGCCGACTCCTTCCACCTCAAGCACGCCACAGCCAAAAACGTCATCACCGCCCTCGACATCCCAGACGACATCTCGGTCCTCTTCCTCCTCTCCATCCCCAGCACGCTCAAGACCACCCTCCTCACCTCCGCCCGCCTCCTCATCTACACCCCGCGCCACGAGCACTTCGGCATCGTCCCGCTCGAAGCCATGCTCGCCGGCACGCCCGTCCTCGCCGCCAACGAGGGCGGCCCCACCGAGACCGTCGTCGAGGATGAGACGGGCTGGCTGCGCGACGTGGCCGCCGTCGACGAATGGACCGCCGTCATGCGCAAGGTCCTAGACGGCGGCGACGGTGGCGTCGGCGAGGCGCGCCTGCGGCAGATGGGCGCCAACGGCCAGGCGCGCGTGCACGGCGAGTTCTCCAAGGCGAAGATGGCGGAGCGCCTGCAGGGCTACATCGACGGCATCGACGCGGTCGAGCGGCCGCCGGTGCTGACCCCCGCCGTGGTGGGCGTGCTCGCCGGCGCCCTCGGAGCGGCCGTCGGCGTCGGCGCGTGGTATTATTTCATGTAGAAAAAATTTACATCTTCTCCTTTTATTTTGGTTTTTTTTTACGGTAGATAAGGCGGGGGGGAAGAACGAGGACGACCGTCTGCGTCCCTGACTGTAATACTATGGCGTAGAAATTGTATGTACATCCATTCCCATGCCTGCCCCTAGCTAGTAAGCAAGTGACAGGCGACCCGTACCGCCCGCTTTCTGGAAATAGCGCCGCGCCATGACATCAGCTCACCGGATTTTTTATCTCCCAAGGTACCAACAGTTTTTTGTCAATCGGCTAGCCAGTGTTTAGTGCCGAATGGTGACATCTGATGGAAAAAAATTTGTTTCACACCACCGATGATATGAGCGATCTAACGCGATCTATAAGGATGGATGGACTGGATCCGCGTTTACCGGTTCGAATAGCCAAAAGCATAGCATTCTGCCGAAAAATCATGTGAAATATTCAGAACTGGTGTCACGGTGAGGAATGCAAAAGAAGCAAAATATCACTTCAAATCATTCTCATTCGTCCTTCCTGTCGCAATCTACAAGCCAGCTTTTTACAGCAGGTCTGAGACCGGTGGACGACGGGGCTATCGACGGTGAAACTACCTGAGAATGGCAGTTGCAGATGTTCTGGGAGGAGGGACCTCGAGATCACTTCATCTGGCTCGGCGTCTGTTGATGAGGTGCTCTCCAACCCAAAAGGTGTCTGCAGAGAAGAGGAAGTAAAATAAGGCGACCTTAGTGAAGAAAGAATGCAGAATGGGCGTCCCTACCCATGCACCAATCCCAAACCTCCCCCATCTTTTCCCAGGGACTTTTGTGTATGCATCCCATCCACACCGTCCATAACAAAAAGTGGTCGTAATCTTTGAATGCCCAACCAAAACCTGATCCGTTGCACTCGACCTTGAACGCCATGTCCTGGGAAAGTAAAACGGGTGTAGTCTGCCCAATGAATGAAAGAGATGTGATATCGGACTTCTAGCGCATGCAGTCGCTTCTCCAAGAGGGAAAGACAAGGAAACAATAGAATCTGCCCGCCCAGATTTCATGAAGAAACGTGACCCCCAATGCTGCCGATGTGCTATGCCGCCGTAATGGGAACGGTACCGCCGTAGCTGGCCCGTATGCAACTGTGTGTCAATCGCAATGTTTATTGCGTCAAATCAAAAGAGAACGCCGCCGCCATGCATCGCTATAAACACCAATGCGTGATGAGAAGGAAAAAAAAAGAAAGAAGAGTCGGGCCCCTTTGGTCATAACTGAGGCTGACATCGTGAAGTTGGCTGATGGAAGAGAGTAGGTACTATGATCGTCGCTTGCGAGATTATGGGGCTGGGGAGTGGGTATCTCAGGATGTCCGTGCGAGCGTGCTGTGCCGTACGCCTTGCCCTGTAGTGGGACGGGTGATGAATGTTGAAAAAAGGGCTCTATACGTAGAGGACCTTGATGCCGGCATCAAGTGAAGGCGACGTCGGGTTGGACTTTGTCATTATGGGAAGCGTCCTGGTTGCTGAGGTGTTGCTAGCAGCTTGTTGCTGTTGACGTTCTCTGCGCGCAGCTTTCTGGGCTTGCTTCTTCATGTCCTTTTTGTCCCGAGCGGAGATCTTGCGGCTTTGGGGGCCAATCTGCTTCTGCGCGGTCTTGCCGGCGTGCATATTGGCTGCCGCTTCTTCCATTTCTGGTGGGGGCTTCGGCATCGTGAGCCTAATACGCACAGGACCCTGCCTGGGTGCGGAAGTTGGCTTAGGCGACGGAGGTGCCACAATGGGGTCAGCATCTGACTCTTGACTGGACTCGGCATCCGAGTCAGGAATTGTGACAGTAGCTTGGCTAAGCGCATAACTGTCACTTTGCTGCGAGCTGGCTTGAGAGCTGTGTTTCGAGTCCTGCGAGTCCTGTGCGTACTCTTGGGAGGCTAGCTTCGATCCAGCACGATTCTTGTGGCCCTTGGGCTTGAGGATGTTTCTGCTCGTCGAACTGGCCCTGGACGCACTGGTGAGGCTGTCGTGCTTGTCTTCAGACCCAGTTTGGCGACTGCGGCTCTTTTTAGGGCCGTAAATGTCGTCGTCGTCGCTATCAGGCTCACGCTCTATACTAGAGCTTTCCTGTGCAGAGGACTGGTTTCCAGAGTCCTCGTCAAGCAATTTCGACACTGCGTTGTCGATGCTGCCCTTGCACTCTTCAAGCGTCTTCCGAATGGTAGATTTGTCGGTCAAGAAAGGCAGCGACTTCATGACCACGTCAATTTGCCAGTCTTGGGCATAAGGCGTGGCCGCAAGCTTCAACTTCTGAGCCGCCTCGGTTTCCGGACTGAGGGCCCTCTCGCGCACTTCAGGAGGGCCGTCATGTGGCCCGTCAAGGTTGCGTATTGAGGAATAGTGCTCCCAAGTCTGCGAAGCGGGTCAGTTTTCGGGCGGGATCTGGGCAAGGCGCGTCGACGTACGTGATAGGCGATGTGTACAATATCCCTCTTCTGCTCATCCTGAAAAGGAGTGACGTAGTATGCGAAGTCTCTCTGGTAGATTTTGACGGTGACGCCGTAGGCGCGGGCGAAGGCCTGGAGCTCGACATTGTCGCCCCATGTGCCGCCTTTGGCCATGGTGTCGAGGTGCCGCTGGAAGGTCTGCTCGATCTCCTCCTCGGTCGGCACCTGCTGGCTGTAAGGGGTCGAGTAGGCGCCAACGTTCTTGCGCTTCGGGTTCCTGCGGACGCCGCCACCAGGATTCACGCTGATGAACGACTTGAACTCGCAGGCGTTGTCGCGCATGTATTCGACGGTGCGCTCGCGGATGTCGCGGTGGGCGGCCTGGTGGCCGTACAGCTGGTCGGACAGGGCATTGAAGAGGCAGTTGCCTGGGCGAGCGGGTCAGCACAATTGCACGGCGTGGGTTGCGGGCAGGCTGCGGGGCGAGCACTCACCGTCACCGAGGATTTCTGCGGCGTACAGGCCGAGGCCAGAAAGAAGAGGAAACTCGTCATCATTACTCGGGCGAGACGGCATTTTCGCAAGAGCAAGAGAGGAGTGGGCGACGGGCTAGGAAATGCGGGTCATGCAGAGGACGGTGGGGGAGGGTGGTGGAGAGGCGGGCGTGGAGGGCGCGGAAGCTCTCGCGGGCGGGCTTCACTCTGGCAGCTTCACTCCTGTTGATGATGAAAGGTCCGCAGAGGGCTGCACACGACAGGGGTCCGAGCTTGGCGCGGTCCGGTGCTGACCGCCTTGGTGCGCGCTTGGGTGACGGCGGGGGCTTGAATTTCGCGGGCGTCGTCTGTCGATAGGCAGCCTGCGCCGAGCTCGGGCGGCTCCTCGTGCCTGCTGTGGCGGCGATGCTGCACGCTGACCGAGCGCGTCGTCTGACGCCGCCTATTATATAGCGATCGCGCCCCTCGACCATGGCGTTTGCTCCGCCCGGTCACGTTTGGCCTCCGACTGACGCTGCCACAACACGCGACCAGGCCCGAGCTGCTCCACGCTGACCTGCAATACAAATGGCCGAAACGAGGATTGTCGTACTGGGGTAAGTCACTGCCGGCCGCGCGCCGACGAGAAGCGTTGGACCGGTGCTAAGCCTCGCCGTGACCGCAGCGCCGGCGTGGTGGGCCTCACCACCGCCCTACAATTGTCCAAGAACAGCGGTTACGATGTGACTGTTGTCGCGAAGCACATGCCCGGTGACTACGACATCGAATACGCTTCGCCCTGGGCCGGTGCCAATTACCTCCCGTAAGTCGCATGTCCCATCGGTGGTCCTCCGCTCCTCCACTACGTACTAGCTAGTGTGGACTGCGGCTCTCCGCAGGCACTCGGACATGCACCAATTTCCAAGAGCGATAAGATATATGCTCAACCAAGCCTCCGCTCTCCCTTTCCATGTCAAATCCAATTATCAACATGGTGTTCATGCTTCTCCCCACGACTATTGCTACTTTCGCCCGCAAGAAGCAAAGCCAACAGGTGCTCCAACTACAATGTTTCTGATCATCTCTCCAGCGTCGGCGCCCCTGGCTCGAACCTTGCAGAATTCGAGAAGAACACCTGGCCGGAACTGCAACGGCTGGCCTCAACCGTGCCGGAGGCGCATATCCATTTCCAGGAGACCGTCTTGCACAACCGCTCCAAGGATGTTGGGACGACAGTTGGCAACTGGTTCTCGGAATTGCTCAAGACCGATCCGTGGTGGAAGGACGTGGTCCCTGATGTAAATCACTCCCTGTTGCCTAGACCATACCGCAGAGCCCCCCTTGCAACCCCTTCCCATTTCCCTGAATCCCCTGAAGGCCCCAAATGACAATAACCCGCCCGCCCTGGCACGCGCTGACTTCTCCCCTAGTTCCATATCATCTCAAAGGACAAGCTACCCGAGGGGATCGACTCGGCCACCGCTTTCACCTCCGTCTGCATCAACACGGCGCTCTACCTGCCCTGGCTCGCCGGTCAGTGCCGCAAGAATGGCGCACAGATCCGGCGGGGCGTCGTAGGGCACGTTGCGGACGCGGCGGCGCTCCACCACAGCGGCAAGCGCGCCGACATCGTCGTCAACTGCACCGGCCTCTCCTCGCTCAAGCTGGGCGGCGTGGCCGACACCAAGCTGTACCCCGGCCGCGGCCAGATTGTGCTGGTGCGCAACACGCCCGGCGTCATGACCAGCACGTCCGGCACCGACGACGGCGAGGACGAAGCCGTGTACATCATGCAACGTGCTGATGGTAAGCATATCCCACTCTTGTCACCCCCAGAACAATCTTCTGCCAACCCCGAGTCTTCCCACACGGCTAACCGCTCTCTGCTTTCTCTCATATCAGGCGGCGGCACCATCCTAGGCGGCTGCATGCAGAAGAACAGCTGGGAGTCTCAGCCGGACCCCAACCTCGCGCAGCGCATCATGAAGCGCGCCGTTGAGCTGTGCCCGGCGCTGACAGACGGCAAGGGTCCCGAGGCGCTGTCCATCATCCGGCACGGCGTCGGCCTACGGCCAATGCGCGAGGGCGGCCCGCGGGTCGACAAGGAGCGCGTCGAGGGCGTCTGGACCGTGCACAATTACGGACACGGCGGCTATGGCTACCAGGCCAGCTACGGCTCCGCGTACGCGGCCGTGAAGCTGGTCGACGAGATTGCCAAGTCGAAGGCGAAGTTGTGATTGGTGAGAAGGTGTATACGCGATGAAGGACGGTGAGGTAGATGCCTTGTCATCACTGTAGATGTTGCTGAAACAAGGCGGAAAAGGTAGGGCGTCCTAGACCGGCGGATCTCGGGACACATCTCGGGTATCTGCAGCAAAGAGTCTTTGTGAGATCTAGAATCACAACGTCGGGACAACATACTTAGTGCACGCATCCCGTAATGTTCGCTTGAGTGGCCGAGCTGATCTTCATTGTCTGTCATGCTAAATCTGCAATTCCCCTATTGCAGAGGATCGCCTATGCTTTTTCACAATCCAGTGATCCGCCCACCCAGATCCAGGTTCAACGAACGTCGAACGTTATACGCGGACAACCGCGCTCTTGCTTCGGACCCCATCGAAGAGGCAAGTATTGTCAACCGGAATATACTGCTTCGTCACGACTTTGATGACCTCTTGCGATACCATTCCACCAGCCAGAGCAGCCATGTTGTGGAGTTCGGCTCCACCAGCACGAGTCCTGTAGCTATCAGTAGGAGTTCACAATCATCCTATCTGAGGTAATACTTACAGCTCAGCGGCGTACTTTCGTACAGTATCCTGTATCTCACTGTACTCGGCTTCATCTTCGATGGAGGTACCTGCCTCCTGCAGAAGACCATCTACGATGGCCTTCGCGATTCCGAACACCTTCTCTGCATCCGAGTCCACCTCCGCATCAATAGCGCCGGGGACTCTGGGAGCTCCGAAGAGACCATCTTGTTCATGTGAGCCGACAAACTTGTCCCATGCCAGGAAAGCCACATAGAGGAGGAACAGAGAATCCGCGTTCTGCAAACCACCATAGCCAGCGAGGCTCCTTGCTCGCTCGCCCCATGTGACGTTACCATCAGCCCCGGGGACGACGTGGAAACGCCTTCCACGCACAAGCTTAATATGACCGGCATTTTTGCAGAAAGCCTCTATTTCCTGAGCGGGCACAGAGTCGGGAGTGCGCACGAGCTGCTGCTCAAGGGCACGGACGGTCTCAGTAACCTCAGCGAGGTCGGCGCGTGCTTTTGCCTTATAAACGTTCTGCAACTTTATGTAGTCCGCAGACTTGGCCTTCATATCTGGAACAGAACCAGGTAGAGGAAGAACGCCATGTTTGTTGTAGAACAGTGAAATGGCACGGGCAATGAGCCAGAAGCTTGCGGATGTTGCCGTGAGGTTTTGGCACTCGTCGGCATTGAATACTTCTCGAACAGCACTGCTCGCCTCGGGAGGGTTCAAGCTCTTGAGCACCGCAGCAACCGCCTCACTGAAGTTCTCCTCTCCGCCCTCGGGGGTGTTTGTCCGAATCGCGCTCGATACCAACGACCTAAATTCGACTTTCTCGCTGTGTTTCACCGGCGCCTTTCCGTCATGGCTCTGCTTCCACTGTTCCAAGAAGTGTAGCAGGATCAACACGTACGGAACGTGGCCATGATCCTCGTTGTCTAGAGCTTCCAGGTTGTTTGTGTGCTCTGCAGCCAGTTGTAAGAGTTCCGGCCAGGGCGCTAGCAGCCTAAGATCTGTGGTGGATTCAGCGGGAGGGTGGGTATCGACGATGGGGAAAGCCGGAGGAAGGAGGATGGAAAAGTGGGCATAGAAGCCGACGCAGTGGAGGTAGAAGGTCGGCGTGTTGGTCTTTCCGGCATGAAGACTGATCTGCTCTAGAATTGCGGGCCGGACAGGTGCGGTGACGATTATGAGAGTGTATTGGTCGAGTGAGGACGTCTGGCCAATCCAGGACTCAATGGGCTATGCCAGGTTAGCGGTGGCGACACTCTGGAGAATTGACGGGCCAACCTCAGTGATGTAGTGACCCTGTACATCGGGGTTCAGCTCCTTCAGCAACTCGCAAGTGTGTTGGGCGCGGAAGCCGCCTAGGTGCTCCTCCTCAAGGAAAAAGTTGGCGCCCAGATCAGTCTCGGTGACGACGGCGGAGTCCTGGATGGTAAACTGTCCGATTCCTGCTCAACGTCAGCTCTGGCGGATGGCTGAAGCTGCAGGCGGAAGCATACCAGGCAGGACGAGGTTCTTCAGCGTCTCGATGCCCACAACTCCCGGGCCAGAGTTGATGAGGAGGATATGTGCATCTTCCAGAGCTTGCTGGCCGCTGGCGGCCCAGAGGCGCAGCTGCCTGTCGTACTTCTTCTCTTTGGAAGTGGGGCCTTGCAGCGGTGGAGGCATGACGGCGGCCATGGTGGGCGACAGGGTGCATGCGAGACGCGACGGTCGAAGGGGAAGCAAACGGTAGCTGGTGCCTCGCGCGCACGGGTGGTGTCACGGCGCTGGAGCTCTGTAGCGCGTCATCCATGCCGCAGGGCGGGGCAGTTGCCGACACACCGACGCTCGGGCCGGCCCAGCAGCTGCCGACCATAAGGCTGGGCTTGGGCGGGGGGCTCGCAGCTCTCTCATGACCAGAACCAATCCGGGGGCTAGCCTGGCAGCCTTTGACATTTCCGAGCAGCCGTCTTATATGGTTCCCGCATGCCCCTGTCCTCCGGAATTCACAAACCACTACGGAACTACGCACAGAGACCATGCCAGCTCCACGGCGCCCCGCACCCACCCGGAGGAGCAACCGAACGGTGCCCCAGCCTTTCACGAGATGATCAGCGGCGATGATGTCCAGCCCGGCAAAATAGCCTCGCAAACTGCTGAAGCGGGATAAATTGCGACGGTTGGGCGCTTATAGTCTCCCCATCGGGCCTTCTGCCACGGCCGATGACGGAAGAGCGGCTTGGTGGGGTCGCAGGTCTCACGACGGAAGATTATTCTCGCTCCATGCCGCCGACGACGTCAATTCCGTCCCATCACCGTGCTACCTCCTCTTATTCCTTACACGCCCTCAACTACTTATAGACAGCCTTGCCTATTCGCCGCTCAAGCCCCTCGCTGCCCGACGAGTGCATGTCCCGCGCAACCACACGCCTATTCCCAACACTATTCACGGCCGCGAGGCGCCCTCCTACTCAAACCACTCCTCCCGCCCTCCTAAGCAAGACCCTGCCAACGCAAGCCAGAAGCTTCCAGTGCGCAAGCCAGACAAGTCGACCTCGAACTCGAACCCTTCAGAAGACGATCCGCACCCCGCTGCTACCGTACGAATCCGCGCGACTCCGGTCCAACATGTCTCCCGTTCTGTCTGTAGAGGAGGCGAAGAAGCAGGCCGCCGTCAGGGCCGTTGAGGACCATTTCGACCCAAGCGCGCGCTATGTCGGTATCGGTTCCGGCACAACCATCGTTTACGTCGTCGAGGCCATCAAAGTCAAGAGCACCAACCCCCACATCCAATTCGTGCCCACCGGCTACCAGTCGCGACAGGTCATCGTGCAGGCCGGCCTTACGCCCATCGCTTTCGATTCGCTGCCCGATGGCGAGGTGCTCGATGTGGCTTTCGACGGTGCCGACGAGGTCGATGACGAGCTTAACTGCATCAAGGGCGGCGGCGCCTGCCTGTTCCAGGAAAAGCTTGTAGCCGAGCGCGCGAAGAAGTTCATCTGCGTCGCAGGTACATATCCAAGCCCTTGGGGCCTTTGCGCGCATTTGCACCCCTGTGTGTACCTCCGCTAATACGTGCAACCCACTCTACAGACTACCGCAAAGCGCAGTCGCGCCTCCTTACCCAATGGCCCAGCATCCCGATTGAGGTTGCGCCCCTCGCCGCGCAAACCGTCTCGCATGCGCTGCGCCAACTGGGGTCCATCAACCCTGCCGTACGCACCCACACGCTCGCCAAGACTGGCCCGGTCAAGACCGATCAAGATTTCTTCATCATCGATGCGCCGTTCAAGCCCCTTTTGACCCCATCGGATGTTGCTGGAGGTAAGAGCGGTGACGGCAAGGACGGCGAGTGGGAGGTCACGGCGCTCAGCAAGAAGATCAAGGCCATAACTGGCGTTCTGGAGGTGGGCATTTTCAGCGGCCTGAACGGGGAAGAATCGCACGCGCAGGGTCTCTGGGGTGGCCAGAAGCCTATTGCTGTGTACTTCGGCATGCAAGACGGCAGTGTCATGGTGAGAAACGCCAAGAAATAGGTGATGAGGCATGGTTCGTTGCGGACGTAGTTCATCGTTTAAAGGTCATAGCATGTACGGGGCGGCAGGTGGGTTTTGGTCAAAGATTGCAAGCGAAGGATATCCTCGAAAACATTCCATTGTCGTAAGCGATATAACTCCGAATCCCCGTACTTATTGACGGAACACAGTCTTGTGGCTTTTCTCCGGAACTCCAACTTTATTCAGAGATCATGATGGAACATACCAACCCTCATTGCCAACAGGAAGTGGAATGAAGAGTGACATTTGCTTCCTGCACAGACTAACCTAAATCCGAATCCCTGCATGCATTCATGAATGCTCTGCGTGCCTCCAAATCCATCGGTGGGCAAGGGCATAGGACTGGATCCGAAACCGTTGGGGAGCACCCAACCTTAACCCAGGCGCCTGATAAGTGTGGAACACGCAAGAAAAATCACATACGACTCCTAGAGCAGCACACATAGTCAACCTTTCGCAAAATAGGGCTATGAATCAGAAAAGGTGCAGCAAAATGGCAGCTAGTACTAACTCAGGCCTGCGCTGCGGCAAACGTGGAGTTGTTGCAGTGAGTTTCCTGCAAGTTTATCTGGGAAACATTCCGAGAGGATGCTGCATCAGCCCGGGTGACAGGTAAGACATGATTGTCGAAAGCCGGTGATCCGGTATAGAAAGCATAGAGGTACGTAAGGGCGTCCTGTCACTGGAGCGGGGTTGTGCTGAATCGTCCTTTGACGGGACTAGGCCAGGATGTAGGATTGGCTACGAGCCATTCGGGTAGAGCGGAATGTATCCGCATATCACCAGCTGCACGCTGCCTGCACACGCAGTGGGCGGCTTCGGAGCGTGGGAGGCGGTCCAATGATCTCCGTCCAAGTCGGTTTGGTCGTGGCTCCCTGTCTCGCGGCGGTTCTTTTGTCAGTCCACGTTGAATTGGATGCGCCTGGTGTGTCAGAGCGCAACCCAATACAGCGGAGCTTTGCTAACGAGTACGTCAGCGGGCGGCTTGGCTGGACTCGCCTGCGCTCGCCTGCGCTCGCCTGGACGGCATTGCCGCTTCGACTGCAGCGCAGAGTCGGGGCCGACGCAGTGGAGTACGGCTAGGGAATGCCGCCAGCAGCGCCTCGTATCTATGTCGGACGCTCGCCCTCCCTTACTCGCATGGCAGCTGCAGCTGGCGCGCGGAGCGAAAGGGAAGGATGGGCACGACGTCTGCTATGAAGCCGGCAGTGTGTGGCAGCGCTTATCAGCGGCCGGAGCTGCACGGGCCCACGGGGAGTCTAGTTCTGGCAGTCGCATGCGAGCAGCAAATGGAAAGCGCGCGTCTTCGCCTCTTTCCCCACGCCTTGGCCGATCGAGGGCAACACCAGCACTCCGCCCGCCAATCACCGCCGTGCCGCTCTGGCCTCGCCCGCCCCGTCCTTGTATCTCCGCCTCCTTCATGGCCTTGGCCAGTCCGCCGTCGTGCCCCGTGCAGCAAGGCCGTCAGCTGCCTGCCGGCCAACCCTGCTCCCAGCATGTCTCCTCCTTATCGGCAGCCCTATATTACGCCTGTCAGACCTGCCGCTGCCGCTGCTGCTGCTGCTCTCCAGCATCGGCATTCCCTCGAGTGAATCTGACTGCACCGCTCCCCCTCGCCGCCGCCCCGCCAGAGCCGCATAGAGCGACGCACAGCTCTCCTGCTGCTGTCTCCCTAAGCCTCCAGTGCCGCCTCCGCACCACGTTTCGCCGTACTTGCGTTGGCCTTGTGACGTCCTGCCCCAGAGCAGACCTTCGACCCTCCGCTTCGTACGCCCTGCCTGTCCGTACCACCAGCCCGGCGCCCTACAGCACGTCAAGGCTTATCGCCCTGCCTCTGTAGCTTGCGTCCCAAGTACGCTGCACCAACCGGGCAATCGTACCGCGCCCGGCTGCTTCCTCGTCGTCCTCCGCGCGCCGTCCGATCCCCACTTTGCTCTTGCCCGCCCGTGGCCCCTGACCTTCCACCGCCGGTTATTGATGTCGGTTGATTTGCGTCAAGCCTTCACCTCTCTCCGGTTCCCGTCTCGGGTCGAAAGTGTCTCGAGATCGCAGCTTTCGATTGATCATACAGGTGACAGTATCAGGCCAGCTGAAGACTCGTGAATAACTCAGTCTGTAAAAGGTACTAGGCACCGCTGCCTCTGCGGTATCAGAGCAGCCCACCACCGCGAGGTTCAACACAATGCCTTGGTCACCCTGGCCACGGTCCAGTCCTTCGGAAGCCTCCTACTGGGGACCACTGTCTGCGCCGGGGTCCATCGTTGCTGTCTTCGATGAACCAAGCGCCCTTCGTCTTGTAGATATATCGTGGAGCTAATCACAAGCACAGGATCTGCTCAAGCTCATCATCAACCCCTCACACTGATCAATCCTCGTCCTCACTTCACCGTTGCAAGCTATTCAAGCTGGCGATCCATCAGAACGTCCCGATTCACAAACGCACCGGCCGAACCCACATCAACTGTAGTAGAAGCAGCAACGATCAACCGCAATCATGGCGACTACAACCCTCGCTGCCAATGCCATCGATATTGTCGACCAGAAACCAGCCATGAGCCCTACCAGGAAGGACTCTGCCAACGAACTCAATGCTGAGCCCTTCGATCTGGCCAAAGGGACAGTAGAGACGATCGAAGCTATCTCGATCGATTCGGCCCCTGCACTGTCGGTCAAACCTGCTGCAGTCCCGACCGCCGTCGCCTCTGATGGAAACAGGATCCGCGTCCTTGATATCACTGAATACAAGGGCGCTGCACTTGCTCTTGCAGAAGCGTTCAAAGACGACGACGTGTCGCGCTACTTCCTTGATACCCCTGATCGGGCTGACTGGACAGCTGAGCAGAAGTGGGATCTCCATGTAGCTATCTTCGAATACGTCGTATACGCTCACATCCTCAAAGGCCTCGTGACGACTGTGGGCCCTGACTATGGTGCTGTCGCTTTGTGGTATGTATGACCCAGCCGAGCCTGCTGCTCTAGATCGATACCAGTCCGAATGCTTAATCGAATCATCGCTTCAGGATGCCTCCGGGAACCCACATGGATGACCTCTACACCGTCTTTCGAAGCGGAATGTGGCGTCTTCACTTCCGCCTCTCTCGCGAAGGCCGCAAACGCTTCTTCACCGAGTTCATGCCGCTGCTCCACGACACCAAAGCAAGTGTCATGGGCGAACGGGACGCCACTTCCTGGTACCTGGTCTACGTCGGCACCAGGCCCTCGGCCCGCGGCAAGGGTTACTGCAAGAAGCTGATCCAGCACGTGACGGACATGGCTGATCGGGACGGTCGCGCCATTTACCTCGAGAGCAGCCACGTCCGCAATGTTCCGATCTACCGCCGCATGGGCTTCAGGGAGTGCAGACGCATCTACCTCCAGCGTGCCGAGAAGAGCAACGTGGCTTTGGAGATCATGGTCAGGGAGCCGGGCGTTAAGGACGATCACTAAATTGCAAAATATCGCGAGCGGAGAGGGGAAAGCGGTGACGGAATGGAGAAGTGGCATGGGTGAAGGTATATGAGAGTACTCAACTACTTGGGTTGCTTTTCTGGGATGCACTCAACTTGCATCCCCTCGATTTTTTGTGGCTTCTTATCATAGGTTCCGTAGTTTGCTTTACTGAAAGAAAAACACGCTCTTTTCCATCACATTTTGTTTAGACAGCAATATCCAAGCCAGAGCTGTCGACGACGTTAGCCCTGGCATGGAAGCGATTGGACAAGCCGCAACAACCTCGTGTGCGTAGCCCAAACTCGATAGTCGCTGGCAACCTGCTGCGGATGTCCATCCCCAAATGCGCCACTACTTGTGAGCCTTAAAGCATACTCATGTACCATTTCGCTAGCAGCGTGAACAAGATACCAATCCAGTAACAACAGAGTTTAACATGTTCACGAGCACGTCGGAATCAAGGTTGGCGAAGGGAAGAATAATCTTGTCTTCAAAATCAAGGGTAAACAATCAGAAAGAGATGCCACTACCAGTCTTATCCCGTTTTTTTTCTTTCCTCTTGGTATTCCACTAATACTTCCACTCAAGCCAAACAACTTTCTTTTTCGCTAACATTGACGTTTCACATCCACATTCCTATCAACGCCTTGATCTATTGACTGTGTGGTCATGTCGTGTTACGTTATCTTGCATGATTGTCCAGTACCAACCCAGCGAGGGTTAGAGCAGAAAGGCAGACACGACGTTCGCATCACAATGACAACTCCTTTTTTTCTCCTTTTGGACCATATAATATTTACAAGGGCAGCCTGGGAAAGAGAAAAAGAAATGTGACCAGACCAACCTCCAACCAGACTGCACAAAGGACAAACAACATATGACCGCAAAAAAAAAAAAGAAGGGTCAGTCGTATACGCAACCGTCCCTTTCTCCCCCACACACTACTTCCTAAGAAACATCACGCGCCACCCACCGCCACCTCCTCAAATGCCTCCCCATCGCCCTTCCTCCCCATGAACAAAAACGCCAGCACGGCGGTGCCGCCGCACAGCGCGGCCATGACGGCCATCATGTTCCCGTAGCCGAGCCACAGCTTCAGCCAGCCGGCCAGCAGCGGGCCGACGGCGAGGCCGAGGTTCCAGACCATGCCGTTGAGGCCGTACAGCTGGGCGTGGGGGCCGCGGGCGCCGAACAGGTCCGGGTTGGCGGCGTGGTAGGCGTCGACGACGAGGCCGGCCTCGACGAGGCTGGGGGCGTTGACGATGGCCATGCCGACGCCGCAGAGGGAGAGGAGGACGCAGAAGATGGCGATGTCGTGGCCGTGGCCGTCGCCGCTGTTGTTGCTGCTGTTGCTGTTGCTGGGGCGCACGAGGAACGGGAAGAGGGAGAGGACGGGGGTGAGCCAGGCGTAGCCGACGACGGCGACGGCGCGGGGCGAGAAGTGGTCGACGGCCCAGCCGGCGAGGGGGCCCATGAAGAGGTCGAAGCAGCCGAGGGAGAGGAAGAGGAGGCCGGCGCGCAGGGAGTTGAAGCCGTAGTTTTCTTTGGCGGCGACGGGGATGGTGCTGTCGAAGGTGCCGAAGAGGAGGGCTTGGATGAAGCCGACGAGGAGGGAGGTGAGGAGGCGGGGGTTCGGCAGCAGGATGAGGATGGGCATGTGGCGGGCGAGGAACGACTTTTTGGACGGGTGTTTGGCCGAGAGGCGGTAGCGCGGGTCCGGCTTGGGGGGTTGGCGGCCGAGGAGCGGCGTGTTTTCGTTGGTGTCGTTGGCGGGGAAGGGAGCGGTCTCCCTGCTGATGCTCCCGGGCCCGTACGGGAGTTTCGCGGTGCCCGTTTCGCCCGTTTCGTGTTGCTCGTACTGCATCGCGACCTTGCGTTCGATGACGAGGAGTCGCATGATGAAGTCGATGAGAACTATGGCAACACTGACGGCGAAGACACCGGTGTAGCCAGTCTCGCGGTAAAGTATGCCGCCCAGGACGGGCGAGATGAGGCCGCCGACGGTCATAAGGCTGTAGATCTGCAGTTGTCTTAGTTTCAAAAGTGGCGCAAAGGATTGGCTGAAAATGGGATAGAGGAACATACCGAGCCAATAACGGCCCCCATGTTATCTGATCCGACTGTTTCGACGAGAAGGGCAAGTCCAACGACCCAAACGACGGCGGCAGAAAGACCCTGGAGAAAGCGGGCAACAACAAGAGCAGGGATGGTCTGGCCAACAGCAAGCAGAAAAGTGGCTATGAAGAGACTGAACAAGCCAAGAAGGAAAGGCATTTGCCGGGAGCTCCATCTATCTGCCAGCAAACCAGTGATGGGCGAGGAAACTACTGAGGCGCCCGCGTAGACGGCCAAAAGATTCGAGACTTGGCTCTGAATCTCATCGGCGGGCAGATGGATGCGGTCCTGCAGCATGAAGGGAAGGACAGGAACGATCAGGCAATAGAGCACCATGTCGGTGAAAATGCCCATTCCCACAGTGCTCACGATGAACCACCTGGAGGAGCGCCAGCGCAAGCCGGCAGGCGGCTGTGGAGGGTCGTTCTCGACCGCTGGCAGGGCCGTGGTGGGGCGCAAGGCGGGGGACATGGTGGGGACCACGAAGGTCAAAGGTGAGCGGGAAGGAGCGGATTGGATCCCCATGGAGCCAGAGTGAGGCGGAAGTGATGGTGGGTGAGGAGGATGGACGGTGGAGTCGTGCTCCTCGTCGCGCTCCCTCCTGATCTCGAGGTCGCCCGACGCGCAAAGATAGTTCAAGACCCAATGCTTCGCCCGGGGCAGCAGCTGGTCCGATGCCGACTCTTGCGGCAAGGATACACTGGCTTCGGGATGGGAGCAGACAGCCGGGCCTGCGGGGGGTGGAGCATCCGAATCAACGGCGGCCGTCGGCTGACGGGGCACTGGCGCGGACGAGCTGGTCAACGTGTGTGCAGAGAGGCGGGCGCAAGGCAAGCAGAGCTGGAAGGGGCCGTGGCCGGCAGAGGGTGGTCTGGCGGACGGCGCACGTCTGGCAGTGCTCCTTGGCGACGCGTATGGGCAGCCCGAGCTTGCTCTCCTCGGTGTTTGTGGAAGAGCGGGAATGCGAAGACGGAATGGAGGGATTTGCAAAAGCGGAGCGCTTACTCGACGACGCTGGCGCTGCCTTCCGGGCCGGCCAACCTTGTGTTGTCTTATCTGATGCTGCGCCGGCGCCCACGACGGCACCCACATTTGCATGTGCATCGCCGCCTGACCCGTTCGCAGTGCTGCCGGCCGCGGGGGAGGCGGCGCGGGCAACGGGCGGCGGCGTGGTGACGGGGCGCTGCGGCAGCATCTCGCCGGCTTGGAGTTGAGCAGTGGTAGCCATCATGATGAGATGATGTCGCGGGCTGCGCGCACTGACTGCTCTGCTCCATCGCTTCCGCGCCAGCGCAGCGCCCACAGTGTCACAGCAGCCGCACCCACCACCGGCCCTGCCTCGGACAGCCGTGCCCGTGTCGTGCTGAGGCCGCCGGTGAGGCTGCTGCTGCCGCCCTCTCTCCAGCCGCACGCTGCGGTTGGCGCCGTGGCCGCTGCCCTCTGCACGCGGTGCTGCGCAGACGAGGGCGATGGGCGCTAGCCCCAGCTGCAGCAACCTCACATTCCCGCCCTGATGGGTGCCGCCGTTGAAGCTGCGCAGCTGTAGCCTGCCAAGCGGCCCGCCGCCGGTGCTCCTCCGTCCAGCTCTGTCGCCAGTCTTCCAGCGATCGCCCCACGATGGCCAAACCCAAGACGCCCAAGCCGCCGCTGCCGCAGGCCCTGGCCATCTCCCGCAACAAGCACTGGCGATACATCTCCGCCTTTCACGGCCCATGGCTCCAGCTGCCGCCCGGGATCCTGGAGTCGCTGGCCCACAGCAACTTCCGCGCCCCGCGCCCCCGGCCCATTGACCCCGCCGTGTTCTACGACCTCGTCAAGATCCGCAGCGCTGTCGACGAAGCCACCAATCTCGCCGTGCGCGCCGCCTCCGGTCTCACCTCCGCTGCCCTGAGCAGCCAGCCCAATGCCGCCAATGGCGTCCTGGGTCTGGGCTATGTCGCCGGCGGGCAGAACACAAAACTGAGTCGGGAGCGGAAGTATCGCATGCGCGAGCTGGCCACTCAGAAGCTGTCGCATGCATACCACCTCGACGAGATCGCCGCGAGCGTCGCTATCATGCAATCTGCCTCCGCCTTGGACGATGTCGCCCACTTCGTGCTGCAGCGCAGCGCCGCCCACCCCGACGCCAAGTACGTGCACTTCTTTCACGAGAAGATTCCCTCGCGCATGATGGCCGAGTACACGCCTTTGGACCCGCTGGACCACGTTGTCTCGGAGCGCCCCAACGATGGCTCTGCCCTGCGCACTCGCGCCTTGACAAGGTTGTTCAAGGAGGACTACGTCGGTGCGGTGAGGGACCTGACGGATGGGCTGTCGATCGCACGATATATGCAGCAGCAGCACAAAGTGGGTAAAGACCAGCTCGTGCTGGCCAGGACTGCAAGGGAGGACGCCGACGCTTGCCGGGCGACCCCGCGGGAGTGGAGAGACTCGCCAGTCAAAGAGGAGGATCAACCTAGTAGCCTCGAGATGCAGTTACTTTTCCACAGAGCAGGAGCGTATTTCTCTTTGGCCTATCAACACGTATCCGACGCGCTGGACGGTCTGAAGGATTTCGAAGCGCGGCGCAAGGAGCAGATGGATGGACTTGACCCAGGAGCCGAGCAGCCATCACCATCGCCTGAGGAGAAAGAGGCTCATCGCAAGCGACTTGAGAATAGAAAATTGGTCAAGACGTATGCAAAACGAGCCTTGAGAGACTACATTGCCTTTCTTTCTCATTTTGAGTACACGCGTGGTATCAATGCAGCCGTCGCCGAAGACTTTCATCATCATAAGGCCAACGATATCGCCAACGGAGTAAAAGGCTCGGAACTCAGCTACCGTAAGCGCGCACAGGAACTAACAGATTCTGACATTGAATTGAATGCCCAGGCATCCAGCGCTCTCATACAGCGTCAGCGTGAAATCGAGCTCAACTCCCACGGAGACGGCACCCCGTCCTCACCCCTTCCCGCCATCCACCCCCTCTCCGCCCTCTTCTCCAGCACGCCTCCCCCAGACCTACCACCCTACCCACCACCGGCACCGGCACCGCACGCGACTACCCATCCGCTCGGCCCCGCCGATCCGGCCGCCACGCGGACCCGCGCCTTCGTCGACGAGCCGTCGTCCCATGCAGAGCGCCAGGAAGCCGTCACCTACCACCCGCTCCTCACCGACGCGCTCCACTCGCTGCTCCTCTGCCACGCCCTCGCCCAGACCCCGCCGGCCGAGCTCCGCCGCCACGCCCACAACGTCGCCCGCCTCGCCCGCCTCTGCGACGGCTACCCCGTCTTCCTGCCCGCCCGCTCGCCCGCCCGCGCCGACTGGACAGACGTCCTCCGCCGCGCCGGCGCGGACTGGCTCGGCCTGGCCCACAGCTGGGACCGGCTGTGCCGCCCCGCGCCCCTCGCGAGCGGTCGCTCCTGCAACAGCAGCGATGCGAGCAATGGCAGTGGGGGTAGTGGGGGTAGCAGCAGCAGCACGACCAGCACTACTAGTGAGCTCGCCCGGACTACCGCGCCCGCTGCGTCGGTCACGCGGAAGACGGACCCGGCACGGCTGTCTCAAGAGGGTCACGGCAACGGTAGCGGAGGCAACAGTAGCGAGCGTAAGAAGTACGTCGCCATCATGGAGGCTCTCGCCGACGAGCGCGTCGTCGATGACGATTCGTTCCAACGCTCCGTGCGGGCGCGCGAGCAACAACAAGAACAGTGTAATGGCGATGAAGAAGGAAGGGCTAGCATCAACAAGAACGTTACGTCATCGTCATCGTCGTTGTCGCCTCCGCCGACGTTCTCACAGAAGGAACAGCCGAAACGCTGGGCGCAAGACGACGACGGTAAAGGATATCTTCTCGCGGCGGAGCGGGCGGAGGTGATTGCGCGCTGGGTCAGGGAGGCGCCGCGGAGTGGAGGAGGAGGCGGGGCGGGCGCGGGCAAGGGGGGCGGAGGCAAGAAGAGGAGGGGGAAGAAGAGCGGGGCGGCGGCGGCGGCGGAGAGGAAGGATCAGGGTGGTCCTGTCGCTGAGCTGGAAGGCGGTGTGGAGAGTTTGGGTCTGGGTTATTAAAGGGGATGTGAACGTGAGTGGGAAAGGGTTACCGAGTTGTTGACGAGCGAGATAGGGGAAGTGTATCCCTTGTGTCCCCGGCCTGGGACTGGAAGGCTTGTTGCGTGCGGGAAAATGTACATGTATTATTTGATGGTGGGGGAGAAACGTTAGTGTCCTGGAATGTACTAGTACGCGGGTTGGAAATGGAAGACAGAAAAAAGAAAGAAAGAAACCAGACATCTCAGGATGACTGCATACCCTTCCTTGTGGAGGAGAAACTCCAAACGAACAAGCGATCATCGCGCTTTCCCGATGGGCGACGAGGAGGCTCGCTTAGTCGCGCAGTTCAAGTTACGGATTGGTTCAGTCTTGAGCGCCTGCAGGCCAACCGTAGAAGTACGGGTCCAGCCGAGGCGCTCATTCATGTTACACTGTCCTAGATCAGACTGAAGGCGCACATAGCCTTTCTCACCCCCGGCGCTTGAGTTGAGCAGGTTTCAGCCGGAGGATGATGTGCATGCTGATGCACAGCAGCATTTTGCAAATGCGAGACCAGGGGTCCAGAGATCTTCACTTGACCCTTAAGCGGCGTCATATATGTGGACATTGCATACAATCTTGGCGCATTTTGCACGATTTGAGACAGGAGAAGTGGAACAGTAACCGTCGCGAAATGCTGTGAACAGCATAAGCTGGGGCTTGCGATCATTAAGTGTCTTTTTTATGTAGTTGCCGTTTTCTTCTTGTTCTTTGATGCTAAGAGCTGGGATGCTTTTGAACATTTTTGTGGAAAAGGGCTGTTATGTACCAGAAGTAATTAGAGCCCCATGGGTTGTCCCGCTCTGGATAGAATGCCATGAGTGAGATGGCTGAAACGAAGTAGAGTTCATATCCTTCCTTTCCGCTCGCCTCGGTAAATCAATGTGCTATGAAAATAGCAGAGGTCACCGAAATAGCGGATTCGCCTTAGTTCTTCGGCGCCATGCCAAGGGACTGGTTGCCGCCGTTGAAGGCAACTGGAGAGAAGTTAGTAAGAGGGTCTTTAGGGTCTTTCTGCAGTGGAATAGACTTACCAAACTGGGCCTTGAACATGGTGTCACCGAAGATCTGAAGGTCGGCGCCCTGGTTGCCTTGAACACCACCAAAGCACATGGTGCCGGCGTCGTCAACGGGAGCGAAGGTGACCTGATCGCCAGGGATGTTTGCCATGTAGTCGCCAACGGCGACGGCGATATCAGGCATTGCGGCGTCGCAGGGGTAGACGAATCCACCAGCCTGGGGGTCGTTGACGGCACCCTTGACCTTCGCATAGTAGGCCTTAGCGACGTTGTCGTCGACCATCAGCAGAGAGGTACCAGTGTCTGTCATTTCATGTTAGTGTTCGCTCAAGTAATACAGGACGTTTCTCATGGTGCTTACCAGCGATGGCGTCGCTGCCAACGGTGTTCTCCATCTTCTGGCCATCGACCATGAAAGACTTGGACGGAAACTGCCAGAAACCTTGGCTGCTGTTCACGGCGGTGTAAGTCAGCTCGCCCTTGAACTTGGTGTTGTCGATTTTGCCGAATTCGTAGGTGCCGGTGGTATCGTTTGTCAGATCAGCAGTGAAGACGGGCTGCTCGAGGTCGTTCATGATGTTGTCGAAGAAGGTTTTCTGCTGCTGGGGCTTGACGGTGTTGATCTTGCTGAAAGCAAGGCCCACAAGACCATCAGTGTTGGTGTCCTGGACGAACGACTGCGAAACGGCAGTGGCCATCTCGATGGCCTGCTTGGTGACGGTAGCGCCGCCGATGTCGACGGTGTCGAGGCCAACGGTGCCGGCGGCGCCGCTGCCATCGCCGTAGGTGATGAGGAAACTGGCACCATCCATGGCCTGGAAGGACTTGCTCTTGGTGGAATCGAAGGCCGCATGGGCGCCAATGGCTTGCTTGGAAAGCTGCGTGCTGAAGACCCAGAGATCACTGCTGCCAGAGTCACTGTTCGCACAATATCGTTAGCCCGAGCGCAAGATGGGAAGAAGCAATGAGCACTTGACACTTACAAGTCCAGGTTCATGGTCTGGCCGCCGACCTTCACGGGTGACAGGAAGAGGGCCTCGTTCTCCTCGGGGTTCGCGGCAACCTCGCCGTTCTCGGTGCCCCCGGTGGTGTTGGCAGCCGGGGTCGCGGCAGCGGCGGCGGCAGCCCTGTGCTTGAAGCCGAACTTACGCATGGCCTTGCGCATGGCGGCGGCGCCATCCTTCCTCTTGATCTTGGGGTTAAGGCTGCGGGGAACCTTGAACGAGCGCTTTCCAAGGGTCTTGGTGGCCTCGGTGGTCTTGGTCGGGGCGGGCCGTGCAAGGACGACGGCAGCCAAGAGAGCGACAAGAAGCACGATGGCACGGAAGGAGTGCATTATGAATACGCTTGACCGGCAGGCGTGTGGGCGAAGTGGAAGTGAAGGAGAGGGGGTGGTAGGCGAGGAAGAGTGGAGAAAAAAAAAGTAGAGAGAGATTATAAAGTCTTCCAGAGACAAACGCGGCACCGGCAACAGGTGAACGCTACGAAGTGAATAACGGCAAAGGTGAAGACAGAACGGAAAGTGAAGCTTGGAGAGAAACACCTCTTGGTAGCCAAGACGGGTTGCAGATGAGAAGTCTTATAAAGTAGCAGCAGATCTACGGCCTAGATACGGGGCCCAAGCGCTCGGGAGCATGCGTCGCAGCGACACGGCCACGGCATCCCAAACGCCACAGCGGCAGCAGGCGCTTCATTGGGCGGGCGGCGAGGGTGGGCGACGAGCTGGGCAGGCGGTGGGCGCAGGCGACGCAGACCCCGCGGGCGCGATGACGCGGGCTGATTGCGCGGGGCATGCGGCGAGACGCGCAACGTCTGCGCCGGAAGCTCTCGGTGCAGCAGAATCGCCCATCTGGTGTGAGAGCGGCGTCGGAGCCGTCGTCGCAGGCAGGCAGCGGTGTTGAAGATGAGCGGCTGAGAGCCGCTCGGAGGCGAGCCGAGGGTGGGGCGCGGCCGTTACAGTAGGGCCAGGGGCCGCCGCCGTCTCAGCGCCCGACACACCTACGGAGTCCACGCCTGCGTTGCATCCGCCTTAGCTGCCAGCCTATTGACACGCCGACCCTTGCTGCTAGACGTGCCGCCGTAGCCCGTCTCTCGTTCGCCGCCGCCTCCTGCGCCGCCGCAAGGCAATCAGAGCCGCCGCTCGCTCATCAGCGCCCCCCAGAACCCACTCCTCCTAGCCCGGCCATCCGGGTCGCGCCCAATCCGGGACCTCAGCCGTCTGACATTCCGACCCCCAGGCCAGCAAGGCCCGCACCCGCAAAGCTTGATTCCGACGGCTCGTGCCAATCCTCAGACCCTCGCAAACGCCCGCCCAGCATGAACCATCACCCGCTCGACAACGAGACGGCCATCACGGCCATGCGCGCCCAGGTGCTCGCCAACGCCCGCGTGCTGTACAAGGAGCACAAGTTCTTCGAGGTGCTCACCTCGCAGGAGCTGGACGGCTCCGAGCTGGTCATGCAGCAAAACTGGGCCTACCTGGTCACCTTCCCCCACGACGCGCGCGCCCTGATCCTCAGCTGCAGCGAGCCGTGCGACTCCCGCGAGGAAGCCATGCGCTCGCTGCTCGACGACGTCGAGGCCGAGATGGGCGAGATGATCACCAAGGAGCTCAAGGACCAGAAGATCCCCATCGAGAGGAGGCGTCGCCGCAGGGATAGGCTGGTTGAGCAGAGCCGTCTGGCGCGTTCTGCATAGGCATCTGAACCTGCGCAACGCTCTCGTCGAACAAAACAGGAAACCGAACAGGAGGCGCTCGGCAAAGGACGGGCTTGTCTCGTCGAAACCGTACATCACCGCCTCTTGGTGCTGCGGCGGTGCCTGGCTGCAGATCAGACTCTTTTGTTACTGGGGCGCCCGTTTCTTACTCCTCAAGGCGGCGTTGGGGGAAACTGCACCCGTGTGGATATGCAATGCTCCTTCTTGCGGACGGACGGCTTTGTGTGATTGCCTGCTAGACACTGTTGGAGGTTTGTTTCTCTTTTCCATCGTGCATCGGTTTTGGGCTGGGGGCGGGGCATGGCTTTGGGACGGACGGAGGCAACCCACACAAATCAGTGGGAAATCTACGGTAGGCGGTTGGGTCTAAACTATAACCAAAATAAACATCTCTTGGCTGGCGATGATGCCGTTTCCTGCCCTTGTCGTGCACGACTGGCTCGTCCTTTGGCCAGCTTCATGCGTTCTTACACGTCTTGCACAGGCTGTGACAGGAGCTTAACTTCGTCCTTGCTGATTTCCAACCGTCTCCCCGTCTTGCCCAAGCCGAACCGGGCGACGAACGATCCACACGATTGAGATCTTGTTCTGTTTCTCATGAAGTGGCTGTGGTGGCTCTTCCGTCGATGCCGCTCGGTAGACGGCACGGAACCAGGCGGCCCCGTATTGGCTCAGAAACGTAGGTATGTGGCAAGCCCATTGAACTTCCGTGAAGATACCCAGGTCTTAGAGGCGTCACTGCCGCAGTTCCGACTAGGTGGTAATGTGGTACCAATTTTTACGTAGTCACCAGGTCATTATGATCTTTCAATAAGTAAAGATACGTTTGAAGCTTCACGAACGTCGAGTTGGCGCAGTACTTTGCTTCCCTGCAGATGGACAGCACCCCTAGGGGAAGCAGGCGGACGAACGAGTAGCTAGACATGGAAACACACTCGCAACACGTCTCTTGAGTGCTTCAAAGCTGAGAACTTCTTCGCTTAAGGGTGGCATGAGGTTGCACGTATTCCACTGACTCGGTGATATTGGCAAGGAGCTGACCAATCCGTGTGCGCGAACGACTCGGAGTACTCCACTCATGCATAAGGGTCGCTCCTGGTGGATGGGCTCATATATCTCCTGCACTCCTCGAGGACAAGCTTTCCCACGCGCCCGCGCTCAGTCTTTTCGAGAAGGGCGCGCAGGAGCTCGAGACCCGACGGGCCCAACAGGCTTGGGGCCTGGTGTCGAAAGACCACCGGCACGTAAGTCACTCTCTCTACCTCTAACAGGCGGTGGCACCTCTGCAGGTAGCCTTGTCGATTTGTTAGGCAAACTGGCGAGGAATCAGGATATCGCGCTTGTTTTTTCGGCCGCTTGCAGCGATGCACACGGGCGCACCTCACTTAAAGGCCGCCGTGGAACGACCGTCCCAACCACTTCTTCCCATACGGTTACGTGTGCCGCATCCAGCATCACGTCGCGTCAACAACTCTCCGCTGCGCATGGAGCCCAAAGATCGGACGTGACCTGCCAGCTTTCGCTAGCCGGCGAGTAGCCTGGAAGCGGTCAACAGCATCGATGGCGTTAGCGAACGGACTATTGGCACGCATCGAGGATCCTGGGGCTAAGTGCAGGACTTTTGTCCAAAATGGTGCAGGCCTTGTGCAGAATCTTGACTTGGACTGCAAAAGCGGCGGGGGGTGGTGTGTGGCCTGACATGCAGCCAGCCGGAGGACACTCCTCGGCAAGACGCATCGCCTGAGCCGGCTCCTGCGTTGTCAGTTCAAGCTGATATCAGTGCTCCCAGCTATCATCATAATAATGATGGTAGGCGTCGTGCGCATCGCGCCTATGATGTCAACGAATGCCGGCGCTCGCCCCCCCCCCCTCCTCTCGCTTGGGGGCAGATCTGATCCTGAGCGTAGGGACTGCGATCCACGCACGCACGCACCAGCTCAGCACAACAACTGGCAGGCAATCCCAGCCAAGGCGGGATGCGCCAATTCCAGTCCCATGGTGTTGAGAAAGGCTCTCACGGTCCAATGCGTTCTCGGCCCGCGGGACAGACGCAGGGTGTGGCTGATACGGCGCGTTCGCGCTGAGGTCCAGGTGATGAATCGACGGCAGCTGTTCGCAAATTCCAGGGTCGGAGATCGGGCCACGGCGAGGTGGGCAGGATGCGACGGGGGCACGTCAATCACGGGATGCGAGTCAAGGTTCCGTCTCACCTGCACCAGCCGAGGGTGGACCGCAAAGTCGTGGCCGTCCACGTTGCGAGGCACAGACTTTTCTACACCGGTGAGCCACGCGACACGCAGCAGCAATCGAGTGTGTAGGATTGCACATAGCCGTTCATCGAGTAGAGTCCAGTCTCCAAACGAAGCGTCTTTCCCCGGGCTGGAATGGGGCAACCGTCACGGGAGCCGTTCTCTTATCTCTGGCCGCCAACCGGCGGCTCTGCGAGAAGCAAGCGCAGCGGGAGCAGGTGGTCGGAGTGGCCTGCTCATTATCGCTTTTAGCTATAAGACGCCTTAAGGCGTCCAGTAAAGTATTCATGAATACCGCTCGTATTGCGAGAGATGCTGGGGTCTCAACAGGCGAGGAGGCACGGCGCCAGGCCCGTCGGCTCATGCCGCAGATGCCGTGGACCATGCGAGAGCGCTGGCCTCAGGGTCCGGCACAGGCCGCATGGCACACTGGCATGTGCACTGGGAGCCGGCAGGGCGCTAGGTAGATGTGACAGCCGTTGCGTGCTGGTTACCATGGGTTGCAGTCTTTGGATTGTGGTGAGCTTGGGGTTTGGCCACGACATTTGGGGCGAGGGCGAGGGGCAGGGGCGGCTCTGATCACAACTGGGCTAGGCGCCGCGTGGCTGGGCGGCTCCAGCACTCCAGCCACGGGCGAACCGGTGGCAGCGCCTGCGTCGCTCAGCTGGACCGGGGTGGGTGTGGGTCGGATAGATTGGGCGTCTAGCGTGTGCGCTGCTGCGCAAGCTCTCCCCAGCAGCGCTGTGCGATGCTGCAGGCAGGCCCGCTGCCATTGGCGCAGCGACGGGCGAGTGCGCGGCTGGCAACTGGGAACGCAAGGGACGCCAGATGACGACAGGATTTGTGCCTGGCAGATTTGCTTTAAGACAGCACAGCCCAGACACTGTTTATCGTTCCTCCACGCGCGCTACGCTGGACCACCGCACAACCGCTCGCTGGCCCCGGTGTCCGCTTGCCAAATCCTCGTTTTTGCCAGTGCCGTCAGAGGCTGCGAATTACTGGCGCGCGCGACCTGACACTTAAAACTCCTGGCCCCCGACTGCTCTGCAAACGCCAGCCTCTCGTCTTTCGCCCTGCCCGAAACTTTCCAACGCACAGCTCGCCAGACCCACAAATCTCAGACGCCCGCCCCAGGCCCGGTGGGTCTGCTTTGTCTGCCTTGTTTGATCCAACAACCATGGGGAATTCTTGTAGCACTCAGGTATGTTTCCTCGCTTTCTCCCTCTGTTTACACCTCAACTCGTGCCTCCGCGCTGTGCGCTCCGCATCCACCACTTCCACCCATGCTTTTCCCTCTCGCAAAACGCTCCAGCGTTAAACAATGCGCCAACGACATTCTCACCACCTCATTGCAGGGCAGCGATGACAACATCGGCTCCGCGCAGGAGACCGAGCCCGTCTCTGCCTCCCGCCTTCTCTCCACCCTAGCGCCGGTCGCTCTCTACGCCGCCATATGGCTCGCCCTCTTCTTGATCCTGCGCCGCGTCTTCGTGCGCAAGTACCAGGCTCGCTCGTATCTCAATACCCTCAAAGAGGAAGAGCGGTCACCTCAACTGCCTCCCGGCCTGTTCAGCTGGATCGCTGCCTTCGTTAAGATCCCGGACAGCTATGTGCTGACCCACCACTCTCTCGATGGCTTCCTCTTCCTGCGCCTGCTCAAGATGGCCGTCATCACCTGCTTCGTCGGCGCTGCCATCTGCATACCAGTTCTCTTCCCGGTCAACATCACCGGTGGTGGCGGTCAAGAGCAGCTGGACATCCTCAATTTGTCCAATGTCTCGGGTACTTACTGGCGCTACTTCGCCCATACTGCGTGTGCTTATGTCTTCTTCGGTATGTATTGCACTGCTCACAGCGGCGTGTATTCAAGGCGGCTGACCCATTCACAGGCTTCGTTATGTTCATGATCACTCGCGAAAGTATCTTCTACATCAACCTGCGCCAGGCCTTCCTCATGTCTCCGCTTTACGCCAAGCGTCTCTCTTCCCGCACCGTCCTGTTCACCTCGGTCCCGGAGTACTATCTGCACGAATCGAGGATGCGCGATCTTCTTGGAGACCACGTCAAGCGCGTCTGGCTCCCCACCGATACTTCGGAGCTCGAAGAGAAGGTGGAGGAGCGCGACAAGATCGCCATGAAGCTTGAAGGTGCTGAGACCAAGCTGTGCAAGCTTGTGAATGCGGCAAAGCTCAAGGCAGAAAAGGCAGGCAACTCGCGCGAGGAAGAAATGGCCGAGATCAATGGCCACGGCAGCACCGAGTCCGGTTCGGTGGCTGCTCGCTGGATTTCAGCCAAGAAGCGCCCGACGCACCGCTTGAAGCCCCTCATCGGCAAGAAGGTCGATACCATTGACTGGTCTCGTGCCCAGCTGGAGAAGCTTATCCCGGAGATTGAGAAGGAGCAAGCAAAGCATCGCGCTGCCGACACAAAAAAGGTCAACTCTGTTTTCGTGGAATTCAACAGCATTGGTGAGGCCCAAGCTGCTTACCAAAGCCTTACACACCACCAGGCTCTGCACATGGCTCCCCGTTACATCGGTATCACTCCCACTGAGGTCATTTGGAGCAACTTGAGTATCAAGTGGTGGGAGCGTGTTATTCGCGTTATTGCTACGACGGCTTTCATCACTTGTCTGGTTGTCTTCTGGTCCATCCCTGTGGCTTTTGTCGGTGCCATCTCGAACGTCCAAAACCTCATCTGCATCATCCCGGCCTTGAGTTTCATCAACGACATTCCTACTGCTATTAAGGGTGTCGTCACTGGTCTTCTACCCGTCATTCTCCTGGCAGTACTGATGTCACTGTTGCCTATTATTCTCCGCATGATGGCCAAGCTTAGCGGTGACCCTACGAAGTCGGCTGTCGAGCTCACTGTTCAGAACTACTACTTCGCCTTCCAGGTTGTCCAAGTCTTCTTGGTGGCCACTCTTGGATCCGCCGCCGCTTCGGCTGTCGGTGATATTGTCGAGAACCCAACCGGCATTCCGGGCAAGCTTGCAACCAGCATTCCCACTGCATCCGGATTCTACCTGTCCTACTTCGTTCTGCAAGGCTTGGGTGTTGTCTCTGGCTTGCTCGTCGGCCTTGCTGGTCTGGTAATTGCAAAGGTCTTGAGCAAGCTTCTTGACTCCACCCCTCGGAAGATGTACAAGCGTTGGATCTCTCTCTCCGGACTCGGCTGGGGCACCGTTTTCCCTGTCTACACGAACTTGTTCGTTATCGGTAAGTCTCCCTACATGCTTTTTACCTACCGTCTTACTGACCTTCTCCAGCCATTTGCTACGCTTGCATCGCTCCGCTGGTACTTCTCTTTGCCGCGATTGGCATGTGGTTCTTCTACTTTGCCTACCGTTACAACCTCCTCTTCGTGTACGACATCGACGTCGACACCAAGGGTCTAGTCTATCCCCGTGCTCTCCAGCAGCTCTTCGTCGGCCTCTACATCGCCGAAATCTGCCTTATTGGCCTCTTTGCCATCCAGCTGGGTGACAAGAGTGCCCTCGGACCTTTCATCCTGATGATCGTTCTCTTGATCTTCACGTTCCTGTACCACGCTTCCTTGAACGCTGCCCTTGACCCTCTTCTCAAGTACCTGCCCAAGAGCCTTGAGGAAGAGGAGCGTCGCCTGCTTGCGGCCGAGTCCGATCTGCCTGCTAACGAGCGGGCCGATGCACCGACCAATGGCTTTGAAAAGGCAGGTGCTGCCGAGGACGGGTACCTTGACCCGCGTGTACCCCCTCATGAGAAGCCGGGTATGATCAAGAAGTTCTTGCGACCCGACATCTACACCGACTACCCCACGATGCGGCGCATGGTACCCCGCAGCTTTGCTGATCCCGACGCGCTGTATGCCCCAGAGGTGGAGCGCGATGCCTTCTTCCACCCATCCGTCACGTCGGAGCCGCCGATGCTTTGGATTCCGCGTGACTCGGCCGGGTGCTCCCGCCAGGAGGTGCATGACACGGGCAAGGTCATCGCCATCACTGACGTGGCTGCTCATTTCGATGAGAAGAACAATCTCGTCTGGGATCCCGAGGCAGAGGTTCCGATTGCCGAGCCCAAGATCTATTACTAGGCTGCCCCCTTTCACTAGGGATCTAGCCATCCGCAAGGAGTTTCCTTTTGTTACGGTTGTATGACCAACTGATACCCACACAAATCTAATTTGAGAGCAAGGGTGGAGAAACGAGATGTACGATGTAAGGGCGGGTGCCAGTCGGGCGGTCTATGGGGGACACTCACTCCATTGCCCTTCCACCCTTGGCAATTGAGCTGAATGCCCTCAGTCCCTCTAAGCTTCCCCGCAAGATTTCAGGAAACGGAAACGAGTAATGCTTCTCCTTGGCTTGTTTTGTTCTCCCACAGCGCGCTTAGAAAACTAATAATACTGCTTGACTTCTCAAATAAGATATCTGACTGTCCCTTTGGGGCTCTATGTCATCTCATATTCCCTTTCACTCGTGCTTTCCGAGCGATTGATCAACACTGTCATTCCAGACGTCTTTGAAAGGGTCCAGACATCGCATCGTATGGTTTCACTTCCGATACCCTTTAGTCAAATCGAGTTCGTTCTTCGCTCCACCACGCAGCGAGTTCAACCGCATCGATTCGGGAGGTCCAACAATAATGCATCGTGAACTCGCACTTCCTCGACACACACACACACACACACACACACACACTTGCCGGGACGCGGTACCTGCATATGCGCGGGCCGGTTCCCCCAATAATCCTGCTCACGCCGTGCCAGTACAGGCTCATGCCCGCCGCCGCCGCCAAAAAAAAAAAAAAAAGCGGCAACGGCGGGCTCTCAAAAAACGCCCGCCCGCCCGCCCGCCCCCTTCCCATGCCACCCAGGCAGTAAGTAGTAGTATCGCGCGGACGGTATGTGTGTGTGTGTGTGTGTGTGGTGGAGCAAACAGGTACCTACCTAGTAGCATCATCATCGGTCCCACAAACGTGTTCGACACGGTCTAAGTCGCACCCTGTCAAAGCTACGATCTCCGCATTCTCGGGAGAACAACTCATAGTATGCCTGTCGGTACCTGGCGCGGCATTGGCTGCTGCAGACGGTGGGCGGGGGCAGTTGAATCTAGGGCTCTTCTGGTTTTTTTTTTGGTGTCCCCCTCTCTTTAGGGGCGAGATTTTGGGGACCCTGTGTGGGTGTGTGTGTGCGGCTGCTTGCTGCAGGCGTACAGGACATTACTGCTTCGGGGCGAGGGCAGACTGGGGACTCGAGAGGCGTAGGATGCTGTTTTTGTGGGCTGAAGCTTGCATTTCGGTACTCTTCCATCTCTCTATATAGTCTAATTCGAGGACGTAGTCCGGTTCCTTTGCCTACAGTGCATTCCGGGGGGATACATGTCTCAGAATGCAGTACACCTCTCTCGTCAACTACTACGAGCGCGCGGGGAACATGAAGGATCTCGCAGATCGTCGTGTCGTGTACGGACTACATGGCACCTGCTCTAGAGGAAGAAAGCCGGTTTTCGCAACACGAATCCTTTGCGATCAGCGATCAGTTCTCGGCCGACAACAAACTTTTCATACACAGGACCCTTCTAGCTTGTGGGTTACAGAGAAAAAAAAATTGGGTTGGGGGACGCAACTGGTGGCGTGATGCATCTAGATCTGGAGGGTGGAGGAGGGGCAGCGTAGATAGCAGAAGCGAAAATCCTAATCCAATGCATGTAAGCCGGCACATTTTGCCAAGTGCGGTGGGAACACGGCAAGGCGAAAAGTGAAAAAAAATAGAACTGGCGTTGCGAGCCAATCCGAACGACGCGTCGAATGCTACGAGTTGCGAGCGCGAGTCGGCTGCGGCACGGTATACGCCGCTCCCGCCTGCCCCTCACGTATCACAGGCGGAGCTCCCCACGCTCACATTCACTCCCCTTCCGCCGAGACGATCGTCGGCTGATATTTCCTTGTCGCGCGGCGGTGCGCACACAGAATAACGGATCTGATTGTCGGCTGTGTGGAGGAGGACATGGGGGAGGGACGAGATAGCGGTGTCAGTGGAGAGCAGCGTTCCGCTGGCCTTGCGGATTCGTGTCTGTTGGCGTGCTTGGAAGCGGAGCCCGTGGCTGTGGTTGCTCTTCTCTGCCCCACCGTTAGCGTCATAGCTCGAATGGCAGCGAAGGTGCGGGGTGCTCTGCGACGCCAGGCCCTCTCTCCCCAGCCCCGGATCTTGGACAGATGCGGGCGGGTCCAAGGAACAACAACAAAACTAGCAGAGGACTGTACTCTAGGCCAAGTGCACCATTGGCTCAGCAGGCCGTCATGGCTGCGTGGTTCCGAACGTTCTCGAATCCTCCCCTCACCGGAACGCCTAGCGAGGGTGAGGGTGTTGAACGGGGCCCAGACAATGTGGAGAGTGGCCGGTCATTGTTCCTGTGGATGCTCCTGCGGATACGCACTGCGGCGAGGCTTGGTAGCTCTCGAAGCGGGAGATTGCGACTCCACGCTCTGCCTTCTGAGGCGGACAAGCGCATGCGCCGGGGCAAGCTACGCAGAGGATAATCGCCGACCGACCGCTGCTTCAGTAACTTCCGCTATCCCGAGCAGCGGGCAGGCAAAGTGCCGCTGCTCAGTGGGCAGCTAGTGGATACAATATACCTGGAGAAAGGAGGTGGAGGGGCGCCTGAAGCAATTGGTGGGGTAGGGCTAGCCAGGGGCGGGGCGCTCGACGCTGGGCCTGCTGCGGACGAAGCCATGTGGGCTGCTGCAACCTGCCCCGCCTTCTTCGCCGTGCAGCGGACTCGGCTCAAAGGCAGGAAGAGCGCGTGGAACACACGGCGACTCAGGCGCCGCAGCTGGCGGAGCTCCGGTCTTCCTGAAATGCCAATGCATGACCATCCCCACGCGGCTCCGCGACCACTCGGCGGCGCGCTAACCCCAGGTCTTCTGCATGTGGCACCTCGGGGAAGGCGGCGAGCAGGTCAGATCGCGGGGGTGCTGGCGTGCGGCTGCCCGGGAGCACGGCGGGCGAGCTTGGGCGTCGTGCGGTTCCGCTGCAGCCCATACCGGGACGGGCAAGGCTGCGCAGCGCGTCGGGCCTGGGGAAGCAGCAGCAGAGGATGGAGGTGCTCGCGTGGGCAGTAGCGCGGGGACAGCGGTGGCGTAGCGGCGCGGCGGGCTTGCGGCTGCTTCTGCGTGCCTCACCAGTAGCAGTGGTGCTCGGGGGGGCGGTGGGTCGCGACGGCGGAGCGTGGAGGAGCGACGAGGCCAGGCGCTGCGTCGCCGTCGTCGTCAGAAGGGTGGTGTTTCGATGCCCGCTGGGCCCTCATCACTTCCAGTCGCCCGGCGGCGGTGCATCTTGGGGCGGGCGGGGCGGGCTCGCTGCCATCCACTGCCTGCGCGCGACCTGGGCGACGCGCCCGCTATATGTGCGCCGGCTGTGACGTACGGCCTTGGTCGCAACGCGAAAAAATCGCAGGAAAAATTGTTGGCGCGAATGTCACCCGTTGTCACGCTCTGCGCGTTTTTGACGGTGGGCCGCGAGGCTGACCTCACCTGAGCGGGCGGGCGATAAGATAGCGGATTCTTCGTCGAACCGCATGCGGCGCCCAGCTCCGCCGCCCTCTGACGCGCCGGCCTCAGCCGCTGCTCGCCCATACCCGCAGTCGACTGACGCCGCCGTGCGCGCATCCACCGCCCGGCCGAAGCTCGCCGCCCGCGCTGGCGTGTGTCTGGTCAGCGTGAGACGGCCGTCTTCCGACGTCGCTCGCGACCCGCCCGGCGCCCAATCGCATCGGCCCATGGCGCGCCTCCGGAGCGCCGGCATGCCCGCGGACCCTGGGAGGGATCATGGCCGGAGCGCGAAGGGAGCTTGAGCTCTGATCGCCTGTGCCTCTGCCGCACCACCTTCGTTGCCCCTGTCACGCCGCCTGCCTGCACCGGCAGGCGGGGTTACTTCTTTGGTGACGAACCGCCCACGATGCTGGCAGTATAAAGCAGCCTCGACTGCCAGCCTGCTCTGTCTTTTTCTTCAGCACTACTCTCCAGTCCTCTCTTCACTCAATTGCTACTCACCAGCTTCTTCCTGCCACCTCAACCACCAACCTCCCATCCACCTCCATCATGTCTGCTCCCCAGGTTCCCAAGAAGCAGATGGCCCAGGTCGTCGAGGCCACCGGCCAGCGCCCTGTCTTCAAGGAGATCGACGTCCAGGAGCCCGGTCCCGATGAGGTCCTCGTCAACGTCAAGTACTCCGGTGTCTGCCACACCGACCTCCACGCCATGCAGGGCGACTGGCCCCTGCCCGTCAAGATTCCCCTCGTCGGTGGCCACGAGGGTGCTGGTTACGTTGTCAAGACCGGTTCGCTCGTCCAGGACGTCAAGGTTGGCGATGCCGTCGGTATCAAGGTCAGCTCCATCCATCCCGTCTCTTTCATCCTCGCCCATTCTAACCCCGGCCGTAGTGGTTGAACGGTTCCTGCCTTGCTTGCGACTTCTGCCAGCAGGCCGACGAGTCTCTCTGCCCTAAGGCCCTCCTCTCCGGTTACACCGTCGACGGTTCTTTCCAGCAGTACGCCATCGCCAAGTCTGCCCACGTTGCACGGATAGCCCCCGGTACCGACCTCGCCGCCATTGCCCCCGTCCTCTGCGCCGGTATCACCGTCTACAAGGGTCTCAAGGAGGCTGGCGTGCGCGCTGGTCAGACCGTTGCCATTGTCGGTGCTGGTGGTGGTCTCGGCTCCCTTGCCCTGCAGTACGCCAAGGCGATGGGTATCCACACCATCTCCATTGATGCTGGTGACGACAAGAAGGAGATGTGCGAGAGCATGGGCACCACCGCTTTCGTCGACTTCTCCAAGAGCTCCAACGTCGTCAAGGATGTGCAGGCCGCTACCGTGGATGGCCTTGGTCCCCACGCCGTCATCCTGCTCGCCGTGGCTGAGAAGCCCTTCCAGCAGGCCGCCGAGGTAAGCTTTTCCGCTGGCCTGGATTGATTTGTCGAACAGTCGCTAACGATTGAAACAGTACGTCCGTCCTCGTGGCTCCGTCGTCTGCATTGGTCTGCCTGCCGGTGCTTACCTGAAGGCTCCCGTCTTCGACACCGTCGTCCGCATGATCTCTATCAAGGGTTCGTACGTCGGCAACCGCAAGGATACCTCCGAGGCTCTCGACTTCTTCTCTCGCGGCCTGATCAAGGCTCCCTTCAAGGTTGTCGGCCTGTCTCAGCTCAACGAGGTTTACGACCTCATGAAGAAGGGCGCCATTGCCGGTCGCTACGTCCTCGACACCGAGAAATAGATGGATGCAAGCGCCCCTGCGTACTCCAGGAACCATGGGAAAAGAACCAGGACGAAAAGGGCGGTTGTCTGATGAGTTTACGATTTCCTGCTGCTGAAAATCCCTAGAGTCAGGGATGATGGTGCCGTGCCATGAGATATCATTGGCTTTGTACATACTTTGTTCGCAATTGATTCCCCCTTTGACAAACATCCGCCTCCTGTGCATGATGATGGGAAGTGATGATGGGTGACGAGGAACTGACGTCTATTTAAGCGCCACGCGCGGCCAACAAGGTGCTTTAAAGGTGATCTCGGACTTATGGGGGCGTTGGGATCTCCGGTTCGTCCCGCTCCGCACCGTGCCCTCATCCCATGTCCCCGTTCCCTGCCGAGGTGGAGATTTCTCTTCCGGTTCAGTGCTTGTTGCCGTGCCAGCCATCTTCCATATACCGTCCTTTTGTACTTGATTGAACACTCCCGGCGGGATTGGTTCTCGCTCAGCATTTTCCACGACGTCGATGTGGTCGAAGTTCGCGTCCAGGTGCTTCTGTTCAGTTGTAGGTCGAGAGGTACACCTCCGTCTGCTTCGGCCGCAAGCTCATCTGACTCAGTCGCATCTCTAGTCGGTCCATGTCACAGTCTAGCTTATGTAGTTGCTTCTACTGGCGAAGCAATCCTCTCTCCAGCACCGCTCTATCGATGCCTTCATTCGAGTCTTCTTCAAGCTTGTCAAATACGCCGCTGGATCCTGGAAAAGGAGATGGCTCTAGCGGACAATTCAGTTCAGAATTAAGTGTGTAAACCCACCTCCATGTCCGGCTACAGGAATCCACACCACATTCCGTGGGTGGTATGTATGGGCTGGAGCGTTCTGTTCTGGGTCTAGGCTCGAGGCGCTCGAGGGCGGTAGGTTAGGCGAGACATTGGGTGGTCTGATATCCGTCGCTGTTGCGCCGCGGTAGGAGCGAGCGCCCCATATGACGCTGGCCTGGAGGCGAGCAAGGGTTGGAGGGATTAATGCTGGTTCGAGTACCTTCGGGCGAGCGGCTACGGAGCCGAACGCCTTTCTCCCGCCCACGGCAAGAAGACTCCTGCACACGGCTAATACGCTTTACCTTACGGTAATAACTATGGTGAGTAGGCCTTCGCTTGTTAATCTCTGCTGATACAGGCATGTAAGCACTTCGAATACGTCCTCCGTCTTCAACGTGAACTTACGGTGGCTGTTCCCCTTACCGGGCGCCAAATCATTAGATGGGTTGTAACGACGGTCCATGATCAAGATCATTGTTTGAGTACAGATGCTGCTAAGTGATGGTTATGTTGTGGTGTAAGGAAGATCAAGTCTGATGGATGAGCGCGCAAGTTGGGCAGGAGCGTGGCTTCCTCTTTGATGGCTGGCTTACACATCCTTCTGTTCTTGGGCGTAATTCTCATGCTGAAACATCATCATTCCACAGGTAGTCACGCACATTCTGACAAAAGCGTAATTTCTTGCCGTCTTCAAGGTCTGCGCGCAACTATTGCAACAGCCAGGACAGGCGTCAGGTGTCCATCTGCGCATGGATGCACGTTAAATCTGTGAAGTGGGAGCACCTGGATCATGAGAGCTTCGATTTCTATGCAAACCGACCTCTTAGCAGACTTTCAGAACCTGCTGCACAATTTGTTACCGTCGGCGGGAACAACAAAGTTGAGTTTCCGAAAAGTGTTTGCAATACTAAGAAAAGGAAAAAGAATCCGAGCTCCACACCAAGCCACTCCAACTACTCCCGCCCCACCCCCAAAATCACGTCAAAACATACGTCGCAAAAACCGCCGCCAAATCCATCATCCCAGGCAAACTGTCACGCTTACGCTCTTCCATCCCCGTCCTGGCACCACCACCGCCGCCGCCGCTACTACCACCACTCCCGCGCCGCTGCTCCCTATCCTTCTGATCACCACCACCACCACCACCACCACTATTACTACTAGTCCCACCCCGCCTCACCTGCTCCCCACCACCACCACCACCCCCATCCGCCTCCCTCCTCCCACCCGACCGCGGCGACACTCTCCTCCTCCTCCTCCGCCTCCGGCCGCCGTCACCGCCGCCACCACCCCGCTCGACCACCACTCGCCCCGGCTCGGGCTCCGTGTCATCATCATCCTCCTCCTCCTCCGAGACGGGCGAGCCCGGGCGCGGCGTGCCGGGCGCGAACTTACGACCGCCTTCGCCCTTGCCGCCCGCGTGGCGGGTGCGGGTGCGGGTGCGGGTGCGGCTTCTGCTAGTACTACTAGTGCTGCTGGTGCTGGTGCTGGTGCTCGCTTGCCCACCAGCACCACCATGAGGGCGACGGCGATGCCGAGGAACAGACCGGCGAGGCCCAGGTATGCGGCCGTAGGCGAGGGGGTCGTCGTTGTCGTTGTCATTGTCGTCATCGTCCGACGACGACGACGACGACGACGACGACGACGAGGACCAGGAAGAAGTGTCGGACGAGTACGAGGACGCGGACGACGCGAAGGGGCAGTGCTCGACGTCGGCGGCGAAGCGCAGTTCCTTGCGCGGCGGCCGCAGCGGCGGGGAGGATGGCAGCGACGACGAGGCGGTGGATGCGGACGTGGACGTGGACGTGGGTGTCGGCGCTGTTGTTGTTGTGGCGGGCGGGCGGGTGAAGGAGGCGGTGGGGTCGATGGGGTAGGCGCGGTAGACGCCGGTTTGGACGGGCGGGAAGGAGGAGCGGCGGTGGTCGGATAGGGCGGGCTTGGGCTTGGTGCAGCCGGAGGAGGCGAAGGCGGAGGGGGTGGTGGTGGTGGTGGTTGTTGTTGTTGTTGTGGGGAGAGTGGTGGGGCGTTGGCTGAGGTTCGTGGAGCTTTGAGCTGGTGGAGAGGCGAGGTTCAGACATGATTGACGGTTGGGAGTGTACTGCTGCGACTGCCGCCTTTGTTGTTGCTGGCTATAAGGGTATGAGGATTTGGCTGGTGCTGTTGCCAGCCGGGTCGGTCCTGGGGGACGCGTCTGGGAAGGGCGGCGTGCTGCGACGGTGTCGCGTGAGGCCGAATAAGATGGCGTCCCTGCTGCGTATGGCGATGTAGTATTGGTGTTGCAGCCCTTGGGAGGCAGGTCCGTGTAAGGGACTCCGTGGTGTTGAAGTGGCGGAGAGCTGCGAGCCGAATGCTCAGGGGATGAGTGTTGTTGCGCCCGGCTTCGGAGCTGTGGTTGAACCTGCGTACCCGACGCGATATTTACAGTGGAGGCGTTGGAGAAACGACCAGAAGGGCACGTAAAACTTCGACTAATACCTGGCTTCGGAGGCAGGCGGTCACCGTGTGTCCCGTCTGTGCGTGGAGGATATTGTCTGAGGTGTGTCTGGCCTGATGAGGGGGAGTTGGTGTTATTCTCAGAAGATCCCGAGTGCCGGGGAGATATGCTAGTCGGGGGCCCAGGTGAATCAGACTGGAAAGACGATGCCAGCCATGCTGAAGGTCGCCATGTTCCCGGATCTGAGTCTGTGTATCTCCCGGGAGAGCCGATCTCCGAAGGTGACAAAGGTGTTGTTTCTGGGTGGGAGTACGATTGATGCCGAGGTGGAAGAGGCGGTGGTCTATCGACTTGTTCCTGTCTAGTCGAGTATCGAGGCACTGGTTCGAAAGGGCGGCGGGGCTTGGGGGACAGCGTATCGTCCATCTTGGCCATGTGTATCTCGCCTGGCTTGGCTTTGATGCCGTGAGAAACACAGAGTCAAGCCTGTGGAATAGATATGGAACAAGCCTTGCCTCCACCGTCGGTCGGTTCGTAAGCTCTAAGTGCTCTTGATGTACGAGACTACTGGCAAGGGGCAAATCGGGGTGTCTTCAACAAGATAGAAAGGAGAAGTGGATTTCAACTGCAAAGTGAGTTGATGTAGAGTGCGTTTTAAGCACAATCAGCTTTGCGAGGAGCATATCAGTCGGGCAGCTGACCGCACTGCGGATTTGAGGCATGTCGGAGGGAAGACCAACTGCAGGCAAGATCGGATGTCTACGGTGGCAAGATGCTTATCCACACTTGTATTGCCATTTGGCCATGGACGGACCGATCTGCGAGGGTGGCCGTTCAACGTGGCTGAACATGAGCCTGTCTGGGCTTGAGGGTGAAGGAGCAAGGAGGGGCTCTCTTAAAACGGCTGTGCAATGACGCAAATCGGCAGGAAGGAGCCATGCAGCACCCCACAGGGCTGGCGGCACGCGGACATGGGCGCAATCAGTGCATGAAACTTGCATGAGCGCCCTGCGGAACGGGCCTTTGGATGCTCTATCACAGGGCTCGGTACCCCGCACCCCGGTCCCCCCGCTGTCTCGGATGATCATGGGCTTCGGTGTTGAGCGCACTTAAGCTCCATGCCTATCACAAAAGATTTGCCCTCAGCACAAAAGGATCCGGTTCGATGAAAAATCCCATCAGTCTTACATACCACTTCTACACTGCAGCCCCAATTTTCTCGATGACAAGAAATCGTCGATCCCCACGTTGACCGGTGACGGTCTCTTACCCCATTGGAGCAACACACGAGGACCGGGAAGTGGCGACGCCTATGTAGGGTGCCAGGTTGCATGCTGCTCCACGCACCCTCGGATGGCTACAGACGGCGAGGAGTGCCTGAAAAGGTAACTCGTGCTTCGGAGTCATCCCCATTGGTAGTGAATATCTGGAAGCCTTTGCGTAGTGATAACATTACATTTTCGCCTGCCTTTCGTCGCTGCTACCCCGGACTGTGAGCCTCCAACGACAGCGGATATCATTTGGGGGAGAAATGTGATGGAAATGGCTGTGGCCGCCAAGCAAGATTTACCAATAACGCCAGTCTATGCTGCAGGTGAGTTTCAATGCGCCCAAATCAAAACGAGAAACGAAGAATGACGTGCTGAATGTCAGACCCAGAGCAATCAATATGCACTAAAGAAAGCGGCGGAAGGGGCTGTTTAGTCGGTGAATCATAAGTTGAGGTCTTCAGAGGATGGCCCGCCTAACCTATCGTGCGGCTCGAGGACCCTATAACCTGTCGTGTCAATTGACGTTCCGGACCTGAGTTTGTAGGGATACTCACGAGTATTGCTTCATGAGAGTCCCTTCACCTCCGTTCTCCAGGTCGATGTTGAAGACGAAGAAGCTGCCGTCGTTTGTCACAACCATGACTTGAGGGCCGTTATTGCTCATGGCAACGACGTTGCTAGGGTGCATGGGCGGTCCGTCGACGTTTCTTTTCGGTATCTTCACCCACGCAAAATCCCTGGCGGGCTCCCATATTTCGGCAACGGCGCTGGGCAGATAGCCTCCCAGCTTCTGCGCAAACCCCATACCAACGTTCTGCGAAGTGCGTCGGAGCATACTAGCAAGGCCCGGGTTATTTTGCTTTCTCTCGGGAAGGGCAGGGCCAGACTCGTCTCCGTTATCGGGCGTGTCCTCGCTGCTGGGGCTCTGGCTACGATCGCGGGATCCACTGGCAGACGGTCTCCGGCCAGAAGGCGATCCATCTTTGGCGCGGGACTCGCCTTGTGGTGAGAGTCGGAAAATGTGGACCGTGTCTGTTGCGGAGGAGACGCAGAGCAAGGTTGAAGTGGAGTTGAAGGCCATGCTGAGAATCTTGGCAGGTATCGAGCCTCTACGGAACTGGAAGAGCTTCTTGGCGTCTGGTACGGAGAAGACACGGATAATGGTGCCCTTCTCCGAGGCTGTGGCCAACAAAGTCCCTTCGTTGTTGAGCGCAATACACGACAACGGAGCCTGATGCGCTTCTATGACATTGACGGCCTCCATCCTGGTGGCATCGAATATGAGCAGCTCGCCAGTCCGGGGCGCAACGTGGGGCCCGGTGGGTGGCGCATGGGGAGCGGACGAGAAACTGGGGGCGTCTTTCTTGGGGAGAGGATAGACGAGATGGTTGCGCTCGGAAGACGGGGACAAGGCGATGATTCCATGCGGATTGGGCGAAGTCTCAATCGTGTACAGCATTTTCATGTTGCTGATGTCATACAGGTATATTTGGTCCTCCAGCACGACGACCAGGCGCTTGCGATTCAGACGGACGGCGAGGACTCTGGTGGGAAAGGTGAGCTCGCAGATGGTCGAATGCCTCTGACTTCAGTCAGCGCGCGCCAGTCCCCGCAAGCGTGTCGCGATCGTACCTTAGTGTTGCGGATGCGCAGGAGACGCGGCGACTGGATCAGAGCAACCAGCGAGGTGGAGAACAGCATCTCCATGATCGACACATCGCCCTCTTCGCCCTCAAAGGATTTGGAGAACGGCTCGGTGTCGTACAGGCGGATGCCCTTCTTGGTGGCTGCGCAGGCGTCAAACAAAGCACAGCAGGCGTCGGGACTGCGGAAGCTTACCGACACCAAGGGCGGTGTAGTCCTGGTTGAAGGTGACAAAATTCATGGCGGGCTGAGCCATGGCGGCGAGCCTAGCGGCGGCGGTGGAGCGGCGGGACGAGTCGGCGGAGACGGCGGTGGAACTGAGCGGGAGTCGCAGCGGGCGGAGCGATGGCGATAGCGAAGAGAGCGGCAGACGGGTTTGGGGAGCGGGCTATAAGCGGCGCATGGTTGAGTGGGTTGGGCGAGGTTCGGGCAGCCCAAAGTCGTCGGCGGCGGGAAGGTGGTGGTGGGGACATTGTGCTAGGCAGTCTGGAGGCAGGCCCGTTCTGGCCCAAGCTCCTCGGCCCGCCGAACCTGGCCGAACTTTTCACACTGCAACACCGCCCTGCGATCATGTGTCGCTACCACGACGCGTTCTCATGACGGGCTGGACGCTTACTCACGCTGGTCATCTGCTCCCGCTCCCTTTCCGCCGCCCTGCGTGTTGAGGCCTCAGGGATAGCCGCCGGCCTCCTGGGCCAAGCGAGATACGCGCAGCCCGGGATAGATTGTCGCAGTCGCCAGCATGCCCGCCCGGAGTCGCGAGAGCCGGCCCGCGCCCAAGTCGACAAAGGAGAAGCGAGATGACGATATTATGTTGGTAAGTCAACGCTGCTTGTGCGCGCTTCTATTCTGGTTGCTTGCGGCGACTGTTCCGCGTTCCGGGCTGCTGTTCACTTTGCTTTTTCCGTGCGCCTTCTTCCAGAAAAAAAAGAATATCCGGATGCGGCTGTTGCATTCCTGGCTGCAGCACTCGATACTATGCTCCAAGGCTGAGCGCTGCCGAGGATGGAACAAGGGCCGTGGTGGTCTCCTTTCACACAACTGTCGTCGCCCTCAAGCCGGTCACCTGTTCCTATGCCGGATGCGTGCGCTTGGATCAGTGCTTTAGTCGCAGAATAGGCAGCACTTGGGGTACTAATGCTTGATAGACCAATGACAGCAGCATAGTTTCTAAGCAGAGCGTTGTCAAAATCTACCACAGTGATCAACCAGATCTCTTTGCCCCATTCGTTGCCAAGTCTCTGCGACGGAGCCCGCTCATCAACAGGGGCTACCTGCTGCGCATACGAGCAATCGAGAAAACCGTCACCGATTTCCTCAGCCAACCCATCGAGAAGAACAAAGTCGTGATCAACCTCGGCTGTGGATAGTGAGTAAGATGGTTCCTGCGCCTGTGTGTATCTTCCAATAATGACCGGCCTCAGTGACCCTCTGCCCTTCCATTTCCTCTCCCGCCAGGCCGAGCTGTGCGCCGGCGCAACATTTGTCGATGTCGACTATCCACAACTCATGCACAAGAAAAGGGCATGCATTTCAAACAGTACAGCTCTGCAGGAACTTCTGCCAGTCCTGACCAGTGGCGTTTCAGACGGCCCGGATGTCTGGCGAGCTGGCCAATATCTCACTGTCGGGTGTGATCTTCGCAAGCTTTCCGAACTTGAAGCTACCTTGAAGAAAGAAGTCCAGGTCCATGACTGCGCCATTCTCTTCATCGCCGAGGTCTCTATAGCTTATATGGACGTTGAAGGCGCCGATGCAGTGGTCTCATGGGCAAGCACATTCAAAGATGGTAGGCTATAAGTACCTTACATTACGCATGGTGCTAACCTGGTCAGCTCGGTTTTGTATTCTCGAGCAGTGTCTTCCAGAAGGACGAGGCCATCCTTTTGCCTTCACTATGCTAGGTCATTTCGACAAGCTTCACGCCCACCTCAAGGTTGTTCACCAGTATCCCAAACCGGAAGATCAAGAAGCCAGGTTCCGCAGTGCTGGATGGGCATCAGCTACAGCACGCACGCTCTGGGAGCTCTGGGGAGATGACGAATTCCTTCCGTCCAACCAACGTAGGAAGTTAGACCTTATCGAGCCCTTTGATGAGTGGGAGGAGCTTGCATTGCTTGGCGGCCATTATCTCCTCCTAGTTGCGTCAACGACCACATCCACACCTAAGGCAAACGACTCCCAAGTCCAGATGCAACACGCAAATGCCAAGCTGAGCATCCAGCCTGTTCCACGTGAGGGTGGTGAAAGCACTCTCCGGCGTTTCGGTGCTGTATATTCGCTTGGGAACAAAGTCATCTACCACGGAGGCTACGGAGAGAGAACTCGACTGGGCGACTGTGACACATACACGGCCGACGCCACCTACGCGGGAAAATTGGAGCTACAGCCCGGCAAACCCGGTGCAATAATGTGCCAGACCATCACAAACGTGGCCTCCGGCGATGACCTCTTCCTCCTTGCCGGCGGCCGAGAGTCCCCCAGCAAAGCCGTGGCTGGCACCTGGCTTGTGACGTCAACCGGCCGTTCCATCAGCGCAGACAGTTTCAACGCGGACCGTGTCTTCAACGGCCGCTACCGACACTGCGCGGTGCCGGTGTTGGTCGACAACAAAAGCGACGCACCCGGCGTTCTCATCTACGGCGGCAAGTCCGACGCCAGGACCGTGCTGGGGGACTTCTTACTCTTCAACCTGAAGAAACAGTCCTGGTCCGTCGTGCCATGCGTTGGATCCGAACAGGGTCGCGGCATACCGCCAGCGCGGTTCGGCGCAAGCATGTGCCAGTCAGAGCAGTCCACCTCGCTCGGACAGCAATCGGGCATCCTCATGGGTGGCATTTGCGAGGACGGAACCATCTTAAACGACGTCTGGGAGTGGACCCTGAGCTGGGATCAAGCCGGCAGTCCGGCCGTCAAGTGCGTCGAAAGGACGAGAGAAATGGGGCTCACCGGGGCGGCGGCGGCACCGTTCGCAAGATTCGGCGCAGCCATCATTCCCCTCTCAAATCACTTCTTGCTGGTAGGAGGTGTGACGAAAGACCGCATCCTTGGCTGGGACGAAGAGATGCTCCTTGTCTCGCTGGGCGCCGAGCGCTGGATCAGACGCGTCCAGATGCCCGCCTGTCCCAGCCCACGACCACTTTTCGTTGGCGTCGGGGTCGCGAAAGCCGGCGAGAGGATAGTTCTGGTCGGCGGAGGAGCAGTCTGCTTTTCCATGGGAAGCTTCTGGAACAAGAAGAGCTACAGCCTGCGCCTGGACTACGAGCAAAAAATGCCGTCGTCACCGGGACCAATTAATGGAACGGATGAGACAACGGAACAGCAGCCGCTGCGTCAGGCGAACGGCACCACGCAAAACAGCACAACGGCCCCAGCAGCGGAAAGGCCTGAAGCTAGCCCTTCTCCACCGGTCAAGCAAATCGAACGCACCGCCGCCGTGCGGACTAAAGAAGACTTCGCCGCCATCGTCGCTGCCGGTCAGCCCGCCATCCTCACCGGCCTCGACATCGGGCCGTGCGTGGACCGCTGGACTCCCGAGTACCTTGCCCCCCGCATCGGCGTCGCCGCCGACGCCGGCGCCACCGAGTCGAGCTCAACGTCGTCGTCGATGTCGACGACGACGACGATGACGACGCGCCTCTCCACGGCCATCGCGTCGGACTTCCGCCTACCGGAGGCCCTCGACATTGCTGCTGCTGCCGACAACAACAACAACAACAACAACAACAACAACAACAACAGCCCCAACCCCCCACTCCTCCTCCACATCTCCTCCCCATCCGCGCGGCCGTCGTCGTCGCCAGCTCGGCTGCGCCACGACGCGCGAGCCAGCATCCGGTGCCAGATCCGCGGGGCGCCGCAGCGCGTGCGCCTGTTCCCGCCCGGCGACGTCGCGCTGCTGGCCTACCCGCCCGGCGCGTGCGAGGCTCGCATGCCGGACGACGTCTGGTCGGCGAGCGGGGCGCATCCGCACGTGGCGGTGTTGCGCGCGGGGGATGTGCTGTTCGTTCCGCCGGCGTGGAGCCACCACCACGCAGAGGGCGAGGGCGGCGGCGGCGGCGGGGATGTCAGTGTGGCGGTGGAGGTGTTTTGGCGGACGCTTGGGGGGGATGTGTATGGTGATGAGGACGTTGTTGTGGCGTATGAGGAGGGGAGGAAGGCGGTGGATGAGATTGTGAAGGGGTTCGATGGGGTGCCGAGGGATCTGCGCGCGTTCTATTTGGAGAGGTTGGCGCGGGAGTTGAGGGAGAAGGCTGATGAGGGGGGGATGGAGGTGTGAGGCGGAGAAGGTAAGGCTGAGGAGGACGGGAGAGAAAGTGGAGTGGGAGTAAGCTGACGACCTGGGCCAGTGGCCAGCAACCGGGCTGGGGCAGAAGGCTGGGTTGGGTTCAAGCCGTGGTCGATGCTTTGTTTTGACCCAGTACACAAATCATCGATCTAGACGAAATGAAGTTCATTGGAATCAAGCAGGTGTGGAGGAGATATGAGGGAAAAAAGCGACTGTGATTGGAGGACTGCCTGTATGTCCACCCGACATGAAACTGCGGTAAGGAAGTAGGTATGCGCGATGAACTCGGAACGGCACTTGAAGTCCCCGCTTGGGAAACTGGTGATATTGCATGCTCCGCAGAGCCTTGAAATCGTTTGTTGCACATAGCGGTACATGTACGCGTGCAAATAAGACCATCGTGCAAGCTTAACAAGATACATGGCCAAACATAGGGTTCGGGCGGCCAACGGTTCCAAGATGGCGGGCTCGAAGCAGGAGCGGTGTCCGGGAGGCAAAAATAGAGCAAGACATTTCGGACAGATCGAACTATTCCTGCTATGCACTGGTATTTTAGTGGTCACCGGGGCGGGCTTTTGGAATATTTTCGCATCGGTTTCGCACATGTGAACTGCATCGTCGTTCCAGTAGGTGCCGGGCGCGAGTAATGTGACCGGTTCCCCCTCTCGGACTCACGAGCCACGACGGGAGCAGACCTCGGTGTTAGGCCACATCGTCCTGTCTGCCTCGATGCGTAGCCTGCCCGGGGCGCATCCGTCGGGTGTTCGGAGCAAAGGACGTCGTGCACGCTCGCCCAAGAGTCAAGATGGACGGAAAATCAGACATGGGACGCGAAGGAGGGAGGGGCGAGGAAGTGCTGAGGCAAATCTCACCTACCGCTATCAGGGTCCTGCGGGAGGCTTACGGTAGAAAATGGTTGCGGACGTTGGAGCACGTGCAAGACGCTGGTTTGGTTTTGGAGATGGTCCATGGTTCGCAAAGGATTCAGAGGCTGCTCTGTGTTGGCCGATGCCAGCAACCGGCAGCTGGAAGTTGCCGCTACTTCTTCTACTTTGGCAGTTGGAGGGGTGGGAGCTCCGCACAAGCCGAGTCGGGTTGCTTCGAATTGGGAATTTGGCGCAAGATCAGGCGGAAAGGCTGAAGATCACACCAACGGCAGGGCCACGGTGATTGGCCGTCGGCACCATCGAATATGCACGATGGAAGGCATTTGTTGCTCCCCGGCAAAGCGGTGTCAGAAAGATGAGTTCTGCATGAGGCGATCGCATTTTCGGAATTCCCGGTCCCGGTCCCAGTCCCAGTCCGTTGCGAGGCAGCGGGCAGCTGGCCTGGCACGGCACCGTGGCCTGCGTGACTTGGGTGACTTGCTGCATACGTGTTCCTGGGGCAGGCCGTCCATGCGCAGCGCCGCACAGCGTGCTCGGGCGCGAGGTGGCTGAGGAGTGATGATGTGAGCGGCTATTTCTCCTGCTGCAACGGTGAGGTCGGCCGCGAAAAGCATACCCATGAGGGGCAAGGCGCAGCGGGCCAATTAGCAGCGCGGGCGGCCCCGGTGTTGCGGGAGGCTCACTGGGCGACAAGGATGGCGGGGCAAGAGCTGCAGGGCTAGCGGCGGAGGCGGAGGTGGCGAGTATCTCGCGCGGCGGCGGCCTTGTCTGGCAGCTCTCCTGATGGAGCGCGCGTCATGCCACGGGCTTGCAGCAGGCGGGCGGGCTCCGCGGGCGGGCTCAGGGCGCGGCCTGGGCAGGTGCGATGGAGGTGAGGTTGGGCGGGCCGAGCGCTGGCTTCGCGATGTCCATGTGGGCCCTTGGCTTGGCGCGGATCACGGCGCTAAAGGCAGAGACCCGCCTTCTCCGGTCGACCAGCAGTTAGCTCGGCGGGGAGGCCAGCTGCTCCGATGATGCAGCGGCCATCGAGCCAACCGCCCATCAGCACGCAGAGCCCAGTTACTCACGCCGCTGCGCTGGCACCGCGCCGCCGCGCCGCCGCTCTGCCGTCGCTGTAGGCCGCCCGCAGCAGGCGCAGGCGCAGGCGCAGGCGCGCAGGGGCGGCCAGATAAGGCGCCATGGCCTCAGCCGGCAAGGCACGCATTCCGCCGGGGAAGCTCCACTACGCTTCCGCCGCGGCTGCCATGATGCGCGACGGAGCCCAGCGCGCACGCGAGTCGATGGAGGATGGTGGGAGTCGCTCGCTAGCGCCCAGGCCCCGGTCCGGGTAGTCCAGCCTTCTCCACGCCTGATTGATGAGACCACCCTTGCACCAAGCAGGCGGGGATGAGCGCGCCGCACTTCGTTTGTGCCACTCCCTCCCCGACCTCTGTACCATCTCTCCAATTCATTGCAGCCCTCGCCTCCCACTCCCCTCCTGCCCCCGAGTCCAGCTCGTCTGGCCCCGCCTGTGCGACCCACGCCCACGCTGCCAGCGTCCGACACAGCATCGCCTGCAGAACCCGCCGTCTCGTCCGACCGAATCGCCTGGCCCACGCTGCGCCCGTCCGCTGTTGCTTTTATGCGCCGCCCAATGCCCACCAAGCCTAAACACGCCTGCTGAACTGCCTTCTTGAGCTCCACGCCTGCATTCCGCCTGCAACCCGCAGCCACCCCGTCCCGCCGTCCTGCACCCGGCCCCGTTTGCGCCATCCGGCCTGCAGCCAGCCGTTGAGCCCTCGCCGCGACCGCCTTGCCCAGCGCCTGCACCGCGCGACCACGGCCCTTTTTACATCTCAGTCCTCCTTCCCGTGCTGACCCTCGCACGCCTCGCCTCGTCCGCCCCGTCCGCCCCGTTGCAACCGTGGCCGACTTAGTAATGGCTGCCGCCGTAGCCAGGGCCCCTCTGCCCGCGAGGTCCTCCACCCCGCCTCCCAGCCTGTCTCTCAATACTTCGCCACGAGGGACGCCGGCTCCGGTGCCAAACAAGCACCTTCCAGTATGCCACCCGGGGCCCCAGCCCGTGCAGCAATTCGACACCCCGCCGGCATCGCCGCCCATCAAGCAGGCTGTGATCGACGCCTCGTCGCTCATAGCGCCACCCGACAACCTCCCTCTGATCTGCCATGACCCGCCAGTCTACTCCATCGACGCCAACTCTGTTTCTCGCGCCGTGGAGCATTTGGCAACACAGGCATTGCCGGATCCGAAGCAGGTGTTCCCATGGCTACACGGCTTGCACGCTGATAACCAAATACAATTGGCCTTTTTCGTTCAGAGGAAGAAGTCGCTACGCAAGGTGCCTCGTTGCATCAGAGGCTTGACTATCGTTAAGGCCGGTGGCGACCTCAGCAGCGCCAAGCTCAAGGGGGCAATCCCTCCGAGTGAGTTGCTCCTTGTGCAGAACTCGCCCGACGAGAGCGCTCAATTCCTCGAGATCGATCCCAGAGATGGCTTCTCTGTCAGGAACTTTCAGATTCAGGCCTGCAAAATGGCCACCGTCTCGGACATCATCGTCTATAGCGACGAGAAGACTCCTCGCGAAGAGGTAGTGAGACTGGCCGCGCAAATTTCAGCCGCCCAGAGGATTTGGAGAGAGAGGCACATTGTCACAGGCACCGATGTACAGGATTTCAACACGTTTGTCGTGTCTGGTAAGCTTTGCGTCAATTTGACACCCATGTTTCACGTTTCACTGACGCTCGGATGCAGACCCGTTCAGCACGTTCGAGGAAAACCACCCGGAACTTGTAGCAGTAGATGCCCGAGGCCGCATGACTGGCAATGTGATGGACTTCTGTAAGCACCCACTCAAGCCTTGGCGCGAACAATCCCCCTCGAGGTCCAGCAACAGCGTTCTCAAGACTTGAAACACTCGAGGCAGCAGATCATTGGTCTGGACGCATCATCATGCCATGACATGTACACGATTCCCCAGCAAATGGTCCGCTCGCTCGTGCTGCTGTTCTGGAATATGCTCGAAGGCCGGTTTAGTAGAGATATGCTGATAATCGCAGTCTATTGGGAGCGCTTGGAGATGTGTACCATGTCCGAGGCTTCAGAAATCAGCCACAACGTTTTCATGGGGCCGACGCCCGATCCCGAGCTCGGAATATCATCCGCTGGTGATTTCGACGTTCTGGTCGAGACGAGCGACCAGGCACGCTGCCCCGACTCTCGATCTCTACAGGCAGCCTCAAAAATGCTGGAGAAGACGAAAAGACCAACTCTCAGTCTCTCGTTCCCGTCTTCCGGCAGCATTGTACCACCAACTTGGTCCCATGCTGAGGTCGACAGTCTGATGGAGATGTGCCACTGGATGTACAGGATAGCCAATCCCATGGATGCCGCAGATTCCGGCATCGGTGAGGATGGCGATAGTGATATGAGCGACAAGACGGATCAATGCCGGAAGCTGTTGATCCACTGTGCAGATGGTTACACCGAGAGCTCTTTGCTCGGGCTCACTTACTTCATGTTCGCGGAGGGACTTCCGGTCCACGAGGCTTGGGTGCGCCTGCATCGGGATCGAGGCCGGAACTTTTTCGCCTATGCCTCTGACGTGGCGCTTCTAACGAGCATCCAGCCACGAATCCTGCAGGAGTCCCCGCGTTTCGGCGGTTCAGTTCTCACCCTTCGGGAACCAGCTTGGTTATCGAAGCTTGACGGTAGCCTACCCAGCCGCATTCTGCCATACATGTACCTAGGCAACCTCAACCATGCCAACAACCCCGAACTTCTTCGAGAACTCGGCATCACGCGAGTGCTCTCCGTTGGAGAGCCAGTATCGTGGAGCAGGGAGACTCATGACGAGTTTGGCACGGAGAATCTCCTTTACATCGACCGCGTCCAAGATAATGGGGTTGATCCTCTGACCGAGGAGTTCGGCCGATGCTTGCGATTCATCGAACAAAGCAAGGCTGCCGGCACTGCCACTCTTGTCCACTGCCGTGTAGGGGTCAGCAGGTCTGCCACAATCTGCATCGCGGAGGTCATGAACGAGTTGGGGATGAGTTTCCCACGCGCGTATTGCTTTGTCCGCGCTAGAAGGCTGAACGTCATCATCCAGCCCCACTTGAGGTTTACGTAAGTGGCCTAGACTCTTGCATCCACCCCACTCTACAGAACTAGACTAACAACACCAGGTACGAGCTACTCAAATGGGAGGAATATCAACACCAACGGCGTGGCGAACCACTTCGGCGCGAGCTTGAGTGGGGGACGATCGCACGCGAAATCGCATTAATGAACCGCCCATACTCTCGGCAATGATATCGCAAGACATGGACAGCAGTCCATCACACTGCACCGGGCCGCATCTCTTCTTCGAAGCATTTGATTCTTATCCATTATTTCTGCGCTTGCGAATGCGCTAATCAGCGGTTCGCAAGAGGTCCGGGGGTTCACCAGGTGAAGTTCTAGTGCCTCTGTCCCTTCACCTCTCTCTTTTCAGAATTCTTTTGAGGGGAGGACGAAAGGCTTTCTTTTGATTCATTTCGTCAGACGAGATTGGCTTTCAGTGTTTAGTATCTCTCTTTTAGTCGTGAGGGGGTTGCAGATGTAGTTCGCTTTGACATAACCTTCTGGATGGGTCTGTTCATCTTTTATTTACCTGAACTTGGAGCAGGGATCGTATATGGAAAGGACCGGAAACAGGAACTGGAAAGGATTAAAGGGGTCATTGGGAATGTTGCTGGAACTTTCTTTCCTTTTTCTCCCACTGGAATGGGGCTTCGGATATGAGTTATGATGATCATGATTTTGTTTTCCTGTCTTTACGGAGATGGAGAGACGTTCGCTATTCTTGACGTCCAGACGTGGAGCAAGGCTGTCGTTCCTGGATGTGCGTGCGTTTGGAAGACGACTGTTGCGGTTCTTTGGAAAGACGGAGAAAACGCTCAGGCGGACGGAGATGGGAAAAAGAGGGAGGTTGTTCAGACAATTGTTCGACTTCATCTTCATGCGATGTTTTCTTTCTTTCTTGCTGGTAGTTTTATTGTGCTGTTCTTTCCACGTCGTCTAAGGTTTCTGTCATTAATTTCGCCTCTTTCCCAGTGGGCCCTTGAATCATGCTCAGAAGTCAAGATCTCGAGTGCGCGTTGATGCATCACCTCTGGTGAATTATTTGTTCTCCGGTTTAAATCAGCAGCAGGCGTGCAGTAGATGCATTGGCAAGGCAGCTGGTCATCAGTGATTCGGTACGCGGCGCGGTTCGTGCAGCATCTCCAGCCTCATCCATTTCGGAACCCGACTTGTCCATCTCACAAGAAGACGACTCTACGGTCAGGCAAGCATGGATAACGGGGATGTCCCAAGGGCAGGTCTGATTTCTCGGAAGCTTCTGTTACGCACCCTTGGGCCTAAGCTGAGCTCAAGTGATCAACTGACGGATATCGCAGCCCGCCTTTTCATGTACCAACCTATTCTCCCGGATCATCACCATAGTACCACGTGCGTGCACGCCCTCCGGTGCAATGATTTGCAGGCGGACTGCGAGGTTGGCGCATTATCCTTGGATGGTGCACAGCACCGGAGTTGGCATTACACTCAAAGACTTCACTTCAACTCTGGACTCTCGTGCCAGTTCTGATACTCAACCGGAGATTTCAGATTCAAAAGTTGTTTCCGAATACCACCCACGTCGCTTGAGACTTTCACTCTGGATCGGCGTAACAGAGGCATCCCAGCAAGTTCTCGTCCTTCCATGCGGTTTCGAGTAATTACGTTGCGTTTGCGAGAGGACAGAGGCGGAATGCGAGCGCAGAATCTGTCACGAATCGATAGCGAACCATAATCCAACTCTGACCCATGTGCGAAAGCGGTTGCTAAGCAGTAAAAGAGAATGAGCTAGAAATGATCGTGGAAACGACCGTCCTTCGAATGAGTTCTGTGCGTACGAGTCCATAGACTCCAGCAGAAGTAGCATGCACGATCTGCCTTACGACAACGCTTTAGAGACTCCATCCTTCACTAGGATCTAGGGGATGAGCGTGGACGAAAACTTTCAAGGAGAGCTGCTCTGCTACGAGGTCCATTGTCGCCTCTGGTCAAACTGGCAATGGTTGCACGAGAGATCAGCGATGTCCCCCGACATCCAGGAGAGTAGTTAGGGCCCTTGTTAAACCTTCCATGGAATAGCGCTCCTCAAACTCGTAAAGCGCCGCAGCAAGCTTGTATTTGTAATGCGGTACATTCTCAGCGCGGCCCCGCGGGCCGCCCTTGTCGAATCCAGTTATTGTAATATGCTGAAATCCCTTCGTACAAGTCTTTGAAGGATGAAGCGTGCATGTTTGGAATGACGTCGAAGTGCGGTGAGCAGATCTCGATGATCTCATTCATTTCTTGGACAAAGCTCCTGCGAGATGCATTAACAGTCTGGTCGTTCAAGCATACTACAAGAGTACGTACCAGAAGTTACGGTCTCGAGCCAATTCCGAGGACGGCTCAAGTCGACGAGTCGATTGGTTAAAGGAATATGTGCGTTGTCGGTACTCAAAGATGTGGTAATGGGTGATCGCTTTTGGGTCATTGGAGAAGCCAAGGGTCACTATCCTTCTAAGTTCTGGAAGTCTTTTGCCTCTTCTGGAATTGAGAATGAATGACATTAGAGGGCCGATGATGTAGCGTTCGTGAGGGTCGCACATGGTCATCGTTGTCAAACAATCGAAATGGAGGCGAATAGTGAATACTTTTAAATTTTGTATCCAGTCGACGTTACCCCTAATGTAAGGAAGGATGTCGTTGTCGAATTGCCTGGACCGACTCTCATTGACGTCTAGGAGCATTTCGTAATTCCTAACCATTGGGAAATGTTTTGGAGAGATCGTATTTTCCGGTCGGACCAAGACGTATCCCCTGTTCTGAACCCACCCTCCAATAACCTTGCATTCTGTGTACGCACAAGTATGAAACTCCAGAGATACAATCTTACGAACAGTCTGCAGTCCTCTGAGGGATTTGCTCGTAAGAACACTAGACAGTGTGGGCATGTCTCTCTGCAGTTGGTGATTTTGCCGGTCGTTGAGCATATCTTCGTGAAAGGACCGGATGAGATGAAGGCAGATCCTTTTTCGTACAGCGGGAGGAAGCTCCAGGAACTGCGACCGAGTGGAGGGTTGACCATATGACGGGCGCCCAAGGCCCATTTTTATGGCGTGATGAGGAATTGCAGGCTAATGTAGTGACTGAGCTATGACGTGGTCTGGACTGACGACGTTATTCAGCTTGAGAGATGAGGCGAAGCCGGGGTTCCACAGGAGGCGGGCTTGTGGTCGTTCTTTTGGGGAGTGGCAAGGACGGTATCGATGTTTTCCAATACTGATAGTGAAGAATGTTTGAACTTGTAAAGTGTGGGCACATTGATGGGGGGCGAGGTTTGATGTGGCTACTCCACGCCAGTCGGGCAAGGAAACCGCGAGCCAGGTTCGACTGTTTCAGGCGCTTGAAGAGGAAGTGTTGAGTCTGTCCACACAGGGCATGTGCCACATGCGGTGACAAGTGTTCCAGGAAAGTATGGACAACCCGCGAGCAATGAAGTGACGGTGCCATAACGTTCCGTCCTAGACAGCAATAAGAAACTGAATGTCGCCTTGAACCGCCAGCCGGCCTAGGACGATTTCCGCTCCCTGTTGCTAGAAGTGTTGCTGGAAGATAGACATGGGGATGCCACTGACCCAAATCCTAAACAGAGACAACACTCCCTCAATGGCACACACTGCCGCAGTAAGTCAGACTCTGTGGATAAACAACGAAATACCTCGGTTAGTGATTGAGTGGGCTTGGCGTGGGAAGAAGGCAATCTACATCATGTTCCCAACGCCTTAGGTAGCCCGGGTTTCCGGCCAGCTTCGCCTCCCGTCGCCGAGATGCCCAACACGACCAAGCAGGGCCGGAAAAGTCACTTCCCTGGTCTACTCGCGCGGCTGGCTAGAACCCAAGTTGTGTTGGAGTGAACTAGGCCCGATGACTGCAGGACTTGTCAGAGAGAAGCATCAAGTACGTATGCAGCCGCACAGGACGCCATGGAGAGTGCCGAGGTCGATAACGATGCTGCCTGCCAGGCCCGATGGATATAAGTCCCTAAATCTTCATGTCTTTTTCTAAATCCAGAACCCATTTTCACCGATCCGAACTGTATCCAGCGCAGCGCCATTGTGAAGTCCCATGTCCAATTTCGTCCTAGCACCACCACCCTCTTCAGCCCGGCCGTGAAATCCCGAGGTCTCTCGCTCAGTCCGGCCGGAGAAGGATCAAAACGCCACACACGTTCCCGACCAACACCACCAAGGCAATGCCGCCCGAAGAAGCTAGAGAAGAAGAGAAAGGAGGATAAGAAGTCCGCTGCCCTCAAGGACCGAGACAATTGTCAATCGCCAACCCAGTTGACGGCCTCGTGCCACATGGGCTTGCCCTTGGCGACCCAGCGGTCGTAGCCCTGCTCGGCACAGGCGCGGGCCTCGGCGTACGAGATGGCGTGCTCGTTGTGCATGACCCAGTTCTTGCCGGCGTTGAGCGACTCTTGGTAGAATTTCCAGTAGTTGGGGTCGCGCACCAGCTCCGACGCCTTCTGCAGGCGGCCCGTCTTCTGGCACACGCGGTCGACGCGCTCCATCAGCTCGAGCACGTGGGTGCCGTCGATGTAGGTCTCGGCGCCGTCGTCGCTGAAGTCGGGCGTGATGAGCTTGGTCAGGCGGCGCAGGCGCGGCGGCGGCAGCAGCTGAGGGGGCGGGCCGCGGTCGTCGCCGTGAGGAGAGGAGGAGTGTGTAGAGTATGATGAAGAGTCGGCGGCGAGCAGCGGCGGCTGGTAGGCGAGGAAGCGGGCGAAGTCGAAGCCGCTGGTGAGGAACTTCTGCAGGCGCGGGTAGGGCGGCAGCACCAGGCGCAGCGTCAGCTCGCGCAGGGCGGGCATCTGCGGCAGGACCTTCTCCAGCGAGGCCTCGAGGTTGAGCTGCTTGAGGTGCAGCGACTGGCTCAGCGGCAGGCTGCCCAGGTACAGCACCCAGCGCGGCATGAAGGGGTCGCCGACGACGTCGGTGAAGTCGGTCTGCACCTCCCAGTTGCGCAGGTGCTGCAGCAGGCGGGCCTGGTGCAGGGCGCGGTGCTGGGGCCAGCCGCGGGTGGACAGCTTGAGCTCGCAGCTGTCCTCGGGGCCCAGCTCGCCCTGCAGCTGGCAGTAGCGGTACACGGCCTCGACATACTCGGCGTGGATCTGGCGGTTGACCAGGAGCAGCACACGGGCCGGGCCGTATGTCAGGGCGTCCAGCAGCAGCGGGCGTGCGGTGGCGTAGTCGTTGCCCACGGCTGGTCTCCGCGATGCATACAGGACGAATTCGTAGACGAGGTTCCGCACCTCGCGCGGCAGGCCCAGCAGCGATGCTCGAGCGGAGGCCTCGCGCGGGCCCGGGCTGGCGGCGGGTGGTGTCGTCGTCGCGCGCGGCATCCTGTGCTGCTCCTGGGCCGGATGCTCGTGGAAAGTCCTGCTCAGGCTTTGCGGCGGCTCCAGAGGCTGCGGACGGTCTGGCATTGTGAGACCAGAAATTAGCGGCATTTTCGCATCTCGTGGGAAGTGGAGAGGCGGTCGACGCGCAGGGATGTTGGGCAATGATCTGTTGCACAGCCACGCTGAGGGCCGGGGTAAACCAATCATATCATCCCAGGCGGCTACATTGAAATTAATAGGCGCGCAAAATTCTGGGAAGGGCCGACACAGCTGCCTCTCTGCGGCCGCCAGGCGCCCATGAGGCCCCAAGTCAACGACGTTTCCTGGGTGAAGCGCCAGGCACAGCTTTTCCGATACTGGAGAAGGTGCGCTTACCCGATCCGGCAATATTCGCTTGCTGGCCATGTACGTCACTTGCAGCGCTCCCCCAACCACCACGACGCCCCCGCTGCCGAAAGACACGCCTGCCGCGCCCGCCCGCCGGCCTGCCAGCTGCGTGCCAGACCGCTCCGCCCGCAAGGACCCAGCGCCGCGCTCCAAACCCGTCCCTCCGCCCACATGCGGTCAGTGGAGATCCTTGGCGCATCCGGCCGACGTAGCATGTATGCCATGCGCACGTCGACGCGTCCCTCGACACGCGACGTCGCCCGCCGCCCCGGACGCAAGGGCGCCGCTGTCCCCCAAGCCGCCAGCCGCCAGCCGCCAGCCGCCAGCCGCCAGCCGCCAGCTAGCATCCGACACCGCGGGAGGGGGACACGTCTTGCCAGTTGCCACCCGTTCAGAAAAAGCGTGTCCCGCGGCGCACGGATCCCCAGTGCCGGCGCCGACCGCAACTAGCCAACCGCACCCTCTTCTCGCACCCAGCACCCGGCGCTGATGCAGCCTCCGGCGAGAGCTTTCGCCGCGGCTCCCGCGGTCCGTCTTGCCGGCCAACGCTTCGCCTGCTGGCCCCCCCCCCGTCCGGTCGCCTGCTGCAGCGAACGCCGGGCCGACGACGAACTGCCATGCCGCATGTGTCAGCTCATGGTGGGCAGCGGCCTGTAAAACTGGGTCCACCGCACGTTGATTGCGGCCCGACCGGACGAGAACCCCGCAAATCGGGACATCGTCCTGTCCTCAAGCCGCCTACCGCCAATCGTCTTCCAGCAGTTTGTCGCTCGTTTCGCCGCTTGGCGAGGGGATATTCCACCGTCGCCATCTGTGCTGAGGTCGAGAGACGCCAAGTCCCGAGTGAGCAACTCGATCCGACCGCCGCAGTTTTTCTGACAGCATGCTCTCGGAAATAGCGCACGGATGCTCCCACCGGGTGATCAGAGCCAAGGGTTGGACGGGATCTTTCGTCATGGCCTTCCCAATCGATGCCCTCTATTTTTTTCCCCCTCGTTAAACCCAACTCCAGGCACCACGCCAAATGCTATCAGAACACAGTTTGATAAAGGAAAAAAAAAGAAAGAAAAAAAAAAGAGCAGAGCCTGCAGGTGGCCTTGACGATTCTTGCATGTGCTCCGCCGCTCCAGAATATAGCGCATTTCGTCACTCCACCTCACAAGCACACTCCAAGCATTCGCCAAGGTCTCCGCTCGTTAAAGTTTCTTTTCATTCCGCCGAAAATTTCCCGCCATCTCGACCACCAGGACACGTGCAGTCATCAGAACGTTCAGCCCACCAATCCAGCAACGTCCTCCGGCCAGTTGCCCAAGATCATGGCGCTCCGTGGAATCTGCCCGCTCAGCGGCGCCAGCAGCTTGACGTTTTGCTTCGCTTCGTCGACGTCGGCGATGTACACGTATCCCATGACGCTGCTGTCACGGATGTGCTCGTAGCTGTCGGACGGCTCCGCATGGGTGATGGCGAGCAAGCCGTTCTGTATCATCAGGGACGGTTTGATTTTGTCATACAGGCGCCCGGAAGGCTCGGCGTCGTCGTCGGCTTCGCCACCGGGAAGGAAGGACGATGCAGGGTTGGTCGCAGATGCTAGGATCTTGAATCATTATCACAGTTTTTGGGTGGGGTAGCTGGGCGATTGATCAGAGACTTACTGTCTACGGTGCGGAAGACATGCAGAGAGTTGAAGTCGACGCGCTGCGTGTGAGGGCTGAGCGTCGTCCAGCCCTGTCCAAAGAAATAAGACCGAACTTGCATTTGCCTCAGTGCCTTCATGTAGCTCTCATCGCGGTCAACACATCCGCCCGACTTGTCGAGCTTGACGACTTGGACGGGATCCTCGCCGGGACGCGAGAAACGCCGGGAGAGGTCGCTGTAAAGGCGTTCTGATCCGAGGACGAGGATGACGTTCACTAGAAGAGTTTGTGAGTAGGTGTACACCAAGCACGCGCAAAAAAAAAAAAAGAGAAGAAAACAGCAGTTTTGGATGGTTGGGGACTGGGCAAAGGTTTCGAACGGGCAACACCATAGTCATCGTGCACACACCTGAGAACTCCGAAACAACATGTTGTATATTCTCATACACGCCCCTCTTATCCACGCTCAGCGCGCCGGGCGTATCAATAAAGCACCCAGACCTCCTGACATCGTCGTCCTCGCCCAGCCTGCTCGTCACCGCCAGCGCCAGCCGCGTCACCAAGCCCCGATACATCTTCGGGTTGTCGTCCGGGCTGCCCAGCCCGTAGTGATAGACCAGCGGCATCTTGACCGGCACGGGGCTGGGCCCGTTGATCGGGCTGCTGCCCCACCCCTCCTCGACGTCCAGCACGCTGGCCACCGCGGCCGTGGCCAGCGAGCCGGGCGGGCTCAGCATGCCCTGCCGCGGGTCCAGGTTGACGAGCACGGGCTGGCGCCCCATCTTGACCGCGTACGCCGTCAGCAGCCGCACCAAGCTCGTCTTGCCCGCATTCTCCGGCCCCACGACCAGCACGCGCGGGCCAATGGGCTTCTCGCCGCCACCATTGTTATACCCAGACTCTTGCTGCTGGTACTGCGCCGACGCCGCCGCCCCCACCGCGTTCCGCATCTGCTCGAGCGCAAAGTGCACGTTCGCGTACTCGACCATGGGCGTCTCCTCGGCCTGGTACTCGCTCTCGACGTCGCCCTCGACCTGCAGGCGGCAGCCGTGCCAGGTGTAGATGGCGGCCTTTGTGCCCGCGCGGAACGCGTACGGCTCCTTTGCGTTGCACGCCAGCTCCGTGCCGAAGCACTCGGCCGTGCCGTTGAGCAGCTTCACCGTCAGCGTCGCGTTGAACGGCACCTCGAACCGGTACTCGGTCCCCGGCGCCAGGTCCTGCACCCGCGGCGCCGACGCCGGTGCCAGCATGTCGGCGGCCGAGGCGGCGGCGGATGACGAGGCGGCGGCGGCGGCCGCTGCTGACGCCGACATGGACAGCCCCGGTAGCGAGAGGCCCGGGACTGACATTGCTCTTTCTTTTTTTTTGTGTGTGTGTGGATGCGTGAATGCTCGGTGGGTGGATGGATGGATGGATTCGGTTCGTAGGTCGGTCGGTTGGTCGGCCGGTCGGTCGGCCGGTCAGTCGGTCCGTGTCGTAGCAGGCGATCGGGCGGTGGGATGGATTGGACGCGTTGCGGAAGGGTGCGTGCGGGGACGGGCTGTGGTGCGATGGAGGTTCGTGTTGGGCGACGCGCTTCTGCGATGATGCGCGTTTGTTGCCGCGCCGGCGGGACGGGAGCGGCTGGCTTGGCGGGGTCGTAGGGCTGATCATGGTCATGGATTCTGCACATCACATCATGTGCCGAAAGCGGGGTATCTCAATCTTTGGGACCTGGACGTCATAGCTGAAGCTAAAATTTTATATTGAGGCAGGATCGTATCTACTGAACTGAACGGCTATCGTGGGGCTGGAAGCTTGAAGCCCTTTGGTGTGCGGTCTGATTCCTTCATCTATCCCAATGCCAAATTCATGCATTGCCAAGCTACACAAAAAGTAAAGAAAGGAAAAGAAAGGTCAAATGAGGTAAGAATATACGTATGCACGAGTGTGATGCAGAAGTGAAGAACAAAAGCAGCAAACGGACATAACCCCAATGCAAGCGCTCTCGTCATAAGCCGTCTCGCGGCTGTGCATGGACTTCCCAGGGACAACTAACGCCAAACCCGCTATGCCAAAATACACTTCGCTGCTTTTCGAGAAGAAGAGAGCGCAGAAGCAGAATAATCCGAATAGGAAGCACAGAAACATATTTTGCAAGTTCGTAATCAAAGAAAGACTGGGGCCCACGACATGTGGAGCGGGTGAATGTTAATGCACTCAGATATCCATGCTCCACCTGAGACGAGCATTTTTCGAGTAGTCTGAGCCGGAATCATCGGCGGCTACTATGAAGTCATCGGAAGGAAACCACGGACTGAGCGACCGGAGTTGGAGTTCTTCCGTAGAGTTTGTCGGTGGTAATTGTATCCTGGCTTCCAGAGTAGGGGATTTGACGAATTGAGAGTTAAGTAGAGCGTTGGGAGAGACAAGTTCTTGCAGGAGGTTAAGAGAGCTATCGCGGATCACCAGAGGTTCGGGCTTCTTGATGACTCTGGTTGTTTTGGATCTCACAGGGAGCTCGCTAATGTTCTCCTTATGCAGCACGGAGGTTTTGAGATCCATATGCGTCGACGCTCGGACCGTGTTTGGTCGCTTGACCAAGGTCTCTCCTGAATGCACTGTCGATAGTCTCTGCCTCACGGCCTTGTTGTGTTTTGGGGATCCACGTTCGACGTTCGGCGAGATGAGAGCAAGATGGTTGCCCGAGTCATGTCTCTTGTCACGCGGGAGACTGTCGTCTGAAGCATCCGAGTCTTCCGCAACGGACCTGCGCTCATGGCTGGACTTCTTGGCGGACGAAGATGGAGACAAGGCAGTCTTTGGGCTCCCGTGCGTCGACTTGGAGTCCCTGACATACGCGCTGCCCCTTGAGCCTGGAGGCACCTCCGGAGTCTCCCCCCTCTTGATCTTCTCCGCGATTCCCCTCTGGCTCACTTCTCGTCGCAAGCTAGTATTTCCGCGACTGCTCGCACGACTCCCACTTCTGCTGCTGGGGGACGTCTTCTTCTTCCCGCTCATAACCTTTGCGCTTGGTGGCGGCGCGAGCATCCAACTGTTAGCGCCAGCGTTGGAGGATATTGCGCTAACGACGGGAGGGTGGTATTCGTTGACCGGCGGCGGGCGCGGGGTGTAGTAGCTGTCGCTAGCCGACCGTCCTGTACTGGGCCTGCTGAGAGGGACTAAGCCTGTGGCAGAGCCTGCGCTACTCGACAGCCTTATGCCACCTCTTGAACTGATCGTCTCGACGCCCCACGTATCGTCATCTTCCCTTTCGTCTCTGCGTGTGTCCCAGCGGCCGTCCAACGAAGTGTTCGAGGCGCCGGGTGACACGCTCATCTCGATACCAGCCACCCCATCTCCATCAAAGTCGCTGTTCACTCGGCTTCTTGCAGACCCTTGTGTGCCAGCCGTCCCGATGTTCCGCTTGTTCTTCCTCTTTCCTCGCGGTGGTGGGCCCGGTCCCAATGCAATCTCCTCGTCCCAGTGTGGATTTGTCGACGAGGGGTCAGGATGGCGGTAGGCGTCTGGCGACTCGAGCTGCAAGGCGGCCTTTTCGATGCGGTCACGGCGGGCTTCCCTCTTCATCCGGCGCTGGGTGGCCATGCCCACACATGGCGCACAGGAAAGGTAGAAGAATATGGCGGACTGGATGCCGCGGGCGATGGACATGGCGGGCCAATGGCGCTCTGGGATCGGTGGTGGATGAGAGATACAGAGTCAGGCGACGGATAGTATGGCACGGCGTATGTACTGCTTGTGGCGCGGCAAGGTGCGGCGGACCGAGGCGCAATGGCGTGAGGGTGGGCGCAGTGCGGAGGGGGTGATCAGAAGCAGTATCTCGAGACGCCGTGAGCCATGCTTTCCTGGGTCGATCGAAGGGCAGTCTTGCGCAGGCCAGCTGCCGTTGGGGTGCGGATTGTGCGGAAGCGGGAAGGCGGCACCCAGGCAGGTGAGAGTCCGTTGGCGGGAGGCTAGTGGTCGGGCTGGGTGAGTCCGGGCTGGTGGGGTGGAAGGAAGCCACGTCCCTATAGCCTGCAGACCCCTAAGATTCCTTGGGCGCCAGGCCAACTGGTGGAAGTTGCGTGAAGGAACGGACGGCTTACTTGCGTGCAGCCACGGGGGATAATGCAGGCGAGAGGCGCAGCGAGCAGCGCGAGAACATCGAGTCGCGAGGCCGGCTCCCCTATTTGGCAGCCAGGCGAGGGCGGCGGCGATCTACGGATACGCGTGTAATTGTAATTGAAACACGACATTGCGGCGCCCCGGAGAACGACACAGCCGCGGTTTGGCATCGCATGCTAGCCCGCGCCCTGGGCGCCGCAAACTCTGCGGTGCTAGCCCGCTTGCCATTCGCATCCGTTGGGGGTGTTGGTGTCGCGCCGCGACGCAGAAGCGACGTGCAACTGGCCGCAGGCAGGCGCACGTTAGTTTGGGCCGTCTGCGAGCCTGCCCGCATCAGGGCCGCCCAGGGCCAGGGCCAGGACCAGGACCCAGGACCCCACGCCCAACCGTGACCAACCGCGCCGAGTGGAGACGGGGCCACAGAGCCTGCACCCCCCCGGGTCGATGAAATTCGCATCAATTAACCACCGGCACCTGCGATGTCCGACCACCCGACCGCCCGACCGATGCAACGCTGACAGCGGCGCCGCCCGCCAGGCGCGCGCGTCTGCATCCGTCCCGGCTGTTGGAAAGGCTGGATCCCGGTGGCTGGGCTCCAGCTGCGTTGAAGAAATAGCCGCCTGTACGCACAGGGGAAAGGTACGCACGTATGATTCGCCCGCCAGCATGAGCCAAAATTAATTGCGTGCCTGTACTCGACGCAGCCCTCCACGTGCGAAAGGGGTGCGAGCGGGTGCGAGACACGACCTGCCTCGACCCGATGAGTGTTTACACAGCGCGTGCCGGTGGAGGTGAAGATAGCGCGGCGCTGGCGATGATCTGAAAATCTCCGTCTGGTTCCGTACCGTGGCGCGGGCCGCTGCTTGCTGTGTGATGGCGCAAACGTGCAGGCGCCGGATTCCTTCAGCGTGCCTTTGGCGCAGCGTCGTTTCATCGATGGCCGTCTTTGGCCATCTGATCGATGGGCCCTACACGTGAGCGCGCGCTGCCAGCTGCAGCTTGCTGCATGTGGCCCTTTCCTCTTTCGGGCACCTGCCTGCGCTGCGTCTGCGTCTGCGTCTGCCAACTTCTGTTTCGCACATAAAATAACAAGACCCGGCTCTCATTCCACACACAAGCGCCACCGCATCTGAGCCCGCAATCATGGCGTCGCCTGAGTCGGAGCAACCCGCCGCCGACCAACCCGCCGCCACTCCCAGCGTGGCTACACCGCTTGACGCGCCACCTTCAGCTGTTGAGATTGGTCCTACCCAGGTGCTGCACCAGCAGCAACAACTCACCCCAGAACACCCTCAAGGCGATGAAATTCGACGTCAGGTCGAGTACTACTTCTCAGACGAGAACCTCTCATTTGACCGCCACCTTCTCGAGAAATGTCAAGGTCGCCTCAACCTGCCCGTCCCAATCAGGTCAATATGCGGCTTTCCCAAGATGCGGCGGTACAAGCCTTATCTCCAGGTCGTCGAGGCTCTTAAGAAGAGTGTTTTCTTGGATGTAGTCGAAGGCAACAAGATCAAGCGCAAGCTTCCCCTCATGGGCAAGACTGTCCTCGATGGGCCCGATGGCGACGAGTCCGACGTCGATGATGCGTCGGACCAAGAGAAGCGTCAGCCCGAACCTCAGCCCAAGAAAGGCAAGGAGCCCCGCCGCCCAGCGCAGCAGCCGAAGGTAGAGAAGCCCGTCGGCTTCAACAAGCCGCATGGATTCGAGGAATTCTTCGCCGATGCCCCGGTCACCCCCGCCGAGTTCCAAGCAGAAGTGGGCATGTACGACCCAGGCATTTCCTTCCGATTGTAAGCTGGCCACTACCCATCTCGTGCGAGAACAAAGCTAATTCCACCAGACGGATGGAATGCGCCATCCAGCGCTACAAGTCAAGGCGTAAAATGCACCAGCATTTTCTCAACGTCTTCGCCAAGTTCATGAGGTATGGTGGCGTTGACCAAAGCCAGCGCCAGTTCACAGGTGGCGTGAATGACAAGGAGCTGGAGGATCGAGATGCGCAGGACATTGCTCTCATGATGGCCAACCATACTATCGATACGGATAAGGATGACGAGGAGAAGTGGCCTGTCGCCTTTGAGGAAGTCGCCAAGGGCTTTCTGTAAGCTTCCCCCATCTCCCCAAAAGGAACCGCTCACTGATAATATCATGCAGATCTTCCGAGTGGCCGAACCTAGTGTTCTACAACATGGCTGAGATACGTCTCGCATGCACAGTCTTGAGGAATTTTTACAACTACCTGTTACACCACGACGTTTGCCCGGAGCACAAGGAAGACATCTACGCTGCGCGCAAACTCTGCAGTGCAGCTGAGTCAGAGTTTCCGATGGTCATCGAAGCGTCAGCTAATCTGCCGGGCGACCTCAATGTCGCCTGCAGCAACCTTTTTGATGGCTTCTACAAGGATAAGTTCGTTAGGATTGGAGACTGGGATGACTTGGAAGAACCTCACATGCGGGGAAAGTTCTCCGAGCACAGCATGGAGAAGTCCAGTATTATCCTGAAGGCTGCCATCCTCGCTCACGGGACCGATGAACAGATTGAGACCCTCGAGAAGGCCTTTGATGGCATAACCTGTACTGACGCGACCGAAAGCATTGGGCTTGAGGTCACTGGGGTTGAGATGCCTTCTTCAGATGCTCTTGAGACCTATGCAGCTCTGAATGCCCACAGTAAGGGCAGGCTTGAAGTCAAGCCTGTCGGTAAGCTCCACTGCAAGTCCTGGGATATTTCGGACTTCACCACTTTTGATCTTGACGAGGGTTATGCCAAGGAGCTCCTGGATGATCAGAAGAACAGAAGGTACGAATTCTGGGTCGAAACGGACATCTTGCAAGCCTGCTTCGTAGGTATGAAGATGCAGGCCGCAGTGCGCACCCTCAGCCTGGGCATACAGGTGTTGGATCAGGTTCAAGAGGTGTTCTGCTCTTTCTACACCTATCTGGCCAATGAGCTCATGTGGAAGTGGAAGGAGCCCGTCTTCAACGCCGATGGGCCACCGGAGACCACGACTAACGGTGATGAGGATGACAGCGATGAGCAGCCGGGAAATTCTGCAGTTTAGGTTCCCTAGGGTTTGATCACCACTGATACGACAGGCTCGACAATGCTCGCCTCCACAGTTGTCTCAGCTAGCTGGCAACGAACGTCATAGTGGAAGTGAAAACAGATAAAGATCAAAGCCCTTCAGAAGCTTGGTAGGGACCGAAAAACAAACTGACATCCGGGCCCATTCGGCAAAATTACCCCATGGTAGATCTCAATTGAACCAGTCAAGTCATGCGTGAGGTGAGATGCATCTCGGGTGCGATCTTCCTCTTTTAGGCAATCCCCGATGGCCCGAGCTCTCCTGGGGACTGTTGCTTTCTAGGCAGTGATAACGGCGCTCCCGCATGTGACGTAGTTTCGCGTGTATGTGACCAGATGATCGACACTTGATTGACGATCAACGTTCATCCTCAGCCCTTGACATTTAACATATCACTTGCGAAACAATAGCGCAAGCATCCCTGTATTTTTTCTCTCTCCTCGATTTTTCTTTTCATATGCCATACACTGTATGTCAGATCGCTAGGGGCATTCGGAGAACTTTCCACATAAGAAAAGTAGTGCCAAATCGTTGACAGGCTTGATTTTGCAAGCTACATCACAGTACTACCTTCCCATTCTTCCTTAGTAGAATCTAAAACTGGAGTCACGATCTGTGAAGCTGCCAAAGATCATTTGATTCTCTCCGCGAGGATGACGCTGTCGGTATTCAAGACTGCCCTCTACTTCTGCCTGTACAAGGTTACGACATGAATAATGAAACACGGCTTGTAGGGCTAAGGCAAGAAACGGATGTATGACAATTGACAGAGCGCGAGCGATAGGGAAAAAATAATGTAAGAATTTTCGGCGCAGATGCGTGAGCGTTCTATCTTTTTTTTTCTTTTTTTTTGGCATCCAGCAGACTCTGTGTTGTAGCTTATCAATGAGAAGCGAATGAATGCGGAGGCAATGCCTAATATTAATGACTACCTATCCCTTTAAGATGATAGGCCTAGCGGAGTCGCGGACGAAAAGATTTCCCAGATATCAAAATAACGGAAGAAGAACTAGAAGGGTTGTTCTTAAAAGAAGGTTCAGCGCATATATAGCTTCCCAGATACGTTGGAAATAGACGCAAACTTCATCATGTGTTAGATGTGTTCTAGCCACTGACACAAGTAAATGGTTCTTCCAACAACCTTCGCAAGAAGTGAAGGAATGGTGTCGGAGTGATTGCGAGCATGGCCGCATGGCGTAGGCGGGATGGGTCCGTGCACGAAAACATCCTCAACTCCAGCTCCAACACGCCGAATCCTGGCTCAAGTATGTCTGATTGTAGTCGCCAGATTATACCTGTTCGTAAATTAGTTCTCGGAAACACACACCGAATCGCTCGGTCATTGCTTGAGAGGCAGAGCGTAGAACCTACAGCGACATCTTTCATTTGGATAGGGTGTTGGCGTCGTTGCCAGCGTGTCGGGAAGTGATGCTGCGGTTGACGTTGGAGGCGGGTAGGATGTTCAAGGCATTGCATGCGTGGCGCCGAGCGAGGTATGCGGAGAGTCTGGGGCTATTCAGACCGTTCTTTGAGATGGAGTTGAGGCAGTATGAGGTCCGGATACCTGTGGGCCCAGGCACAGTATCATCCTTGCAACCACTTCGGCCGTCCTGGATCTTACGAGGCCGCCTCAACCGCGATGAATTACGGTCACGAGCTGTGGGTGAAGATGGGTAAGCCGGCATTGGATGAAACAGAGGAGCACAAGCTGTTCGCGGGGCGTTGGAGAGACATAGCACTCTGCATTTTTCATCCTCAAGGCACGCGGGTGCGGGTTTAAGAGATATTCCTTGCATTTTGGAGTCCTCAATGGACTATCGGTCATCATCATCGCCATCATCGTCGTCTTCGTCTCACTATCCCTTCCCCGGCCTGGAGACTCTGACTCAAACCTTCCGCGGCTTGATAGGCTGAACGTGCTGCACAGTGTCCAGGTGACCAGAAGCCTTGACGAGCGGGATGTCGTACGTGCTCATCTCCGAATGCCACTTCTGCTGGCCAAAGAACTCGAACAACATACTGGCGGGGAAGCCCACATCGAACGGCACGGCGTCCTCAATCTCCTGGATCTCGTCCTTGGACAGCTCGAGGCTCAGGGCCTCGATGTTGCCCTTGAGGTGGCTGACCTTGCGGCCGCCGACGATGGGGAAGACGTAGGGGGCCTTGTGCATGACGTAGGCGAGGGCGATGCTGGTGATGAGGGTGCCCTTGGCCTTGGCCAGGCGGTCCAGCGCCACCGTCACCTTCTTCGCGTTGTCGCTCTGCGGGCGCAGCTTGCGGCCGTCGGACTGGGCGAACTCGTCCTCCAGCTTGAAGGCGCCGCCGCCCAGCGCGCCCCATGGCGCCAGCGCCATGCCCTCGTCGCGCACCATGGGGATGATCTCGCGCTCGAAGTCGCGGTCCGCGGCGCTCCAGCGGCCCTGGTAGACGCAGAAGGGGGTCAGGGCGTGGTCTCGGGCGTCTGCGCGGGGGGGTTTTGGTTGTCAGCTTGGTTCCGCGCGGGCGAGGTGATTTCACAGGGGATGCGGCCTACATTGGTTGGCCTTGCTGACGACCCAGGCGGGCGTGTCGGAGACACCCAGGTAGGTGACCTTGCCGGACTGGACGAGGTGGTGCAGACTCTGCATGACCTCGGGGACGGAGGTGGAGAAGTCCCACCAGTGCAGGTAGAGCAGGTCGATGTAGTCGGTCTGCAGCTTCTTCAAGCTCGCGGCGACCGATGCCTTCAGGCTCTTGGCGTGGTTGCCCTGGAAGTTGATCTTGATCGACTCACCACCCTTTCCGGACGGGTAGCACGTGGTATACTTGGTAGCAAGGACAATCTGCCGTCCTGGCGTCAGCAGCCAGCACGCATTGAGGCGGGCGGAGGGCTTGCCTGATCGCGGTTGTTGCGCTCCTTCATCCACTCGCCGATCCACTCCTCACTCTCCTCACCCTGGTCTTTCTTGGTCAGCTTTCAACCCCGAGTATGCATAGCGCACCACTCACAGTTGTTGGCGGTGTCTGTAAGACTGCGTCAGCATCGGAGCCGCATGGCTGTTTCAATTAAGACGACCCACCGATGAAATTGCCGCCGTTCTCGAAGAAGTAGTCGAGGATCTCGAAGGCTGTCTTCTTGTCGCACTCGCCCATGAACTGCTTCCAGGCGTCGCCAAAGTTCATGGCACCCAGGCAGAGTGGCGACACCCTCACACCGGCGGATGGAGAGAGGATGCGGTGCCAGCCAAGAGCCGACTTGGCATCGGGAGGGGGCGGGAAGGCCATTGTGTCGTGGTTGAATCGGAGTGATTGAGTAAGGAGTTGGAGAACTGGAGCGTGCAGAATGAGGACTCTCAAGGGACCATTATATACAGCCCAAAGTGAGGGGCATCATTCCAAACACCGTCTTGTCCACGCTAATTAAAGCCGGTTATTTCCGCGGCCCGCACCCACATTCCGCGCCTCCGCCCGCTTCCCCAGGCATCGGCCTGATTACATGAGATGCTGATGGCGCAGGCCGAGGCGTCGTCTTGTTTGTTCGTGTTTTCCCCTGCTGTATGTCGTCAATCGTTGGCCGTTTGTTGCGGTGCTCGACGGAGTTTGTTGCACCGTGTTCGGCGATAGAAAAGTCGTGGCCAGGCACGGCTCGCTTGCCCCACATCACGTCTGCATCCACCCAGTAACTCCGGACCCACGATTCAAGCGGACCAAATCGAGCGGAGCAAACGCCTGGGCAGCACGGGTGATCCGCATCCACTGCGGCACTGCACCGGCGCACCGGGCACCACCTTACTTAATCCTGCCTTCCCCACCAGAATGCCCGCCGCTCGCCATATGGACTGATGCCTCAGGCACCATGTGCTATCTCCGACAGCCGCCGTATTTACGTCTCCAAGGCACCCAAGCTTACACTTACTCCCAGGCCAGCAACGTCATGAGCAAAGGGAACACTTCTCAATCTCATTCATTACGCGCAGTCTTGGTCATTACTTCCGATCCGCTGTCGTAGAAAGCGTATGGAAAACAATCTGGCGAGGGGCAGCCTCCGCAGATGTCTGTCGAGAGATGGGAAATAATGAGCACAGAAGCAAGGAAATCAAACAAGAGATAGCCGCCTGACTTTTTCTACCTTCCCATTCGCGTCCAGAGGAAAGACGAGTCCGCCACCATTCCTGTAGCTGGAAAAGGGAACACATACAGGCAAACGCAAGATATCAGAGCAGATGCAAGAACCAGTCAATCAATCAATCAATCGAGAGGGGACCATCATTACTGCACGCTTGCTTTGCACCGCGCCTGACGCACGTACCTACGAGAGAGAGAGAGAGCGCGCGCGAGAGAGAGAAAGAGAGAGAGAGAACGAGTCTCATGTTACGGGAGGGAAGAAAAAGAAAAGAAGGAAAATGCAGATGCAAAGACATCTCAAACGCCATTGGAAATGCAACGAAAGGACCAACTTACCCCAGGTAGACGGGCCAAGCGTAAAGAAAAAAAAAGAAAGCAAGGAAACTATAACACAAACCCATCAACAGGAGCAGTCAGGAAGAGCAACGAAGTCCACACCGAAGCGTCGTCGCCTCTCAACTCAAATCGACGACCTCGACGAGTCCCCGTCCCCCTCATGCTCCTCTTCCTCAATCCTCCTAATCGAGGACCGGTCATCATCATCGTGATCATCATCACCGCCGACATCGCCAGCTCTGTCATGAATGGCCGTCGACACCGTCCCACCCGTCCCCGTGCTGCCTCCACCCGCCGAGCTGGCCCCAGGCGTCCTCGACCCCGTATTCACCGGCGTCTTCGTGCCCTTGCCCTTGCCCTTGCCACCCTTCTTGCCACCGTTGTTATTGTCGGGCTGCTGCGGTGGCGTCGTCGTCGTCCGGAGGCCGCGCACCTCCTTCAGCACCTCCTTGAAGCTCTCCTCCAGCGTGTTCATGCGCGCCAGCAGGATCCTGTTCGTGCGCGAGCGGTCCTCCTCCTCGTCGTCTTCCTCCACGTCGTCGTCGTCGTCGTCGTCATCGTCGTCGCCGCCGTCCTCGTTCGACGCCACGTCGCGGCGCTTCTTCTTGCGGGGGAAGCGCCGCGCGCCCATCGCCGCCATCTCCATCTGCGTCGAGAAGCTGGCCGACAGGCCCTGCAGGCCCGGCAGCTCCGGACGGGGCCGGTTGTCGCCGAGGTCGGACGCGAGATCGAGGGCCAGGGCGTTGAAGGATGGGTCGCGGTTGTTGGAGCGGGGTGGGCGAGGGAGCTTCCCGAAGCCGATGCCGAGGAGGTTGGACTGAGACACGTTGGGGCGCGGTGAAGGGTTCACGCGGCTTCCGGTTGGGCGTTTCGGCGTCATCTTGGTCATCGGGGTTGCCGCGCCGCTGCGGTGCGCGGTGGATGGGCGCTTGGCCGGCGACGTCGAGTTCGAGTCATGGTCCGAGCCGAAGCTGTTCTTTTCCGGCTTGAAGAAGACGGTGTTGGTGGAAATGTTGCGGCTGTGATGCCGGCGTTCTTGGCCAGACGATTGTTTCGGTAGAGATGGTGGAATATGAATTGTCGAGGACACGGAGCCGGGGATAAGAGGAGTCCGCGATTTTGGGGCAACCGGAGTCTTGAAGTACTCCTCTCCCCCGGACGACTCTTCAATTGTCTCGTATACCTTGTGAGAGTCCAGATGATGAGGCCCGTCACGAAGTGACTGACCCAAGGTGAGTCTATCGTCCTCGTTATCGTCGTTCGTGAGAAGTTCATCGTCGCCATCAGCATCCGTTTGCTGCGGTTGTTCGTCCAAGCTCATAAGACTGGTTCCGCCAAACCCGCGACCATAATGAGACAGCGCGACATTTGTCGGGGCGATATCTGGATCCGAGGCCACTGATCTTGCCATGGGCTGTGTCCTGCGTGAAGGCAACATCCTGGAAGTTCTTGCGCGACGCATACCCGGCCGTTTCGTTTGCTCCAACCGATCGAGAACAGATCTGGGTTCTTCTTCAGGGGGTGAAGCTCCTCCTTCGTGACCCATACCTTGCATCCAGTCACGGACCACATTGCTGGACTTTCGTCTATCGTCGGTGCCGGCGTTGACAGGATGGCGAGCAGTGGGAGTTGGTCCCCGGAAAGGCCGACGGAACACTTCATCGAGGGCACGATCCTTGTGGAATGTGGTGATAGAAGGCTCACGTAGGCGTGTCCCGGGGCTGAAAAGATCGCCAGCACCGTGAAGGGCGAACACCGCTGGCACCTTTGTCCGACTGCGTCCCCGTCGTTCTACGAGTTCTTCGGGCTGGAAGGCAGCCCGCGATAGGATCAACCGCTCGTAGGAGAAGATTGCAAAAAGGATCGGGAAATGGGTGACCTTGATGAATTGACGATTCATCTTCACGAACGAGCGGAAAGGCATCATGTATCGTAATGGCGTCAAGAGCCATGCGATGATGTTGGTTGGTGCGATGTAGGAGAAAAGGGCGTCCGATTTGACCATCGAGATGGCATTCACCGCGAACAGGAACTGGTGCTCCTCGTTTGCGTTCTGCACAACTGCCATGAATGACTACACAAAGTCAGCGAACCAGTCTCTCCGGTGGGAAGCAAGTGTTGGTGTTTAGAGCCAAAGCCTGTCTTTAGGCGAACATGTATTCAGACGACGGAGCGTAAACTTGACTTACATTCGTTAAAACCTAAGCGTGAATGTTAGCATTGGAAAATATAGGCTCGCCTAGTTCTTTTATAGGGACTTACCGTAATCAAGATGGTAACAATAAGGAAGTGAGTGATGAACAGGAAAAGGACAAGCACAGCTCTCCCAAGCATGTTGTATTGACCCCACAGGTCCCAGGCAGCCGGAGAGAAGCCCATGAGCAACTGGAAAAGCGCGTATGCTGCACTTCCGGCCGAAGTAAGCCCATCGCCAAATGCTAGAGTGAAGGCCACGAAGAAACCGCTACAAGCGATGACGATAAGGATGAGGATAGCCATGAGGTCCATGGCCATCATCCGGAAGGCAATCAGCAACTGCGAGAAGTACCGGTAGTGATCCAGGACGGAGAAGAGCCTGGGAAACAGCAGCACCGCCGTGGAAGCAAGAACGTCATAAGCCAAACCTGCTACATGGTTCTTGCGGACATCGGGCATGAGGATGCCATACAATCTCAGAATGTAGTAGGCCATGAACAGGAGTAGGATGCCAAGGTCGAATGCATTCCAAACGCTAAGGATGTATAGATTGAAGCCCTGCTCCGTGTAGGCGACGATTTCCTCGAGGAGATACCTGCGTCACGTGTCAGGAGTGCTTTATTCACAAATGTCTTGGGGGAACGCAGGACGGCCAAGGGTAGACGGGAGTGCATACCCTGCCGACCAAAACCAAAACACCACCTCCAGGGCGGTAATGTCGGTGGACTTGCCCGCAAGCACGGCCAAGAAAAGGCCAAGCATAACGGCGAACGAGCACGTGGAGAACAGCTGTCTGTACCGCGGCACACGCAGGCGAGACAGCTTGAACAGGGAAGCCTCGCGCGGGTCGTACAAGGTCACTGTCCTACGAATCAACGCGGACGGCACACGCTCAGCTTCATCCAGTTTCCTCGGCGAGCGCGCGTCATTGTCCATGGTGCCATAATTTGGCCCGCGCAGAACACTGCGCTTCGCGGGCGACCTATGCAGGCTATCGGCGTACGAGTGGAAGACGATAGTGCCGGACCATATAGCCTCCAGCTGCTGCACTACTAGCGGATGTGCGAGGAACCTCTTCGCCTGCGCGCGAATAGCAATCTCGACGGCGGATATGCGCGCCAAGCGAGACTGCGTCATTGGCTTGTCGCGGCCGGTGGCCGGGACAGGCGTGAACCCCTGCATAGGGTCGAAATCGTAGGAGAGTGCATCGATGAGCTCACGGGTCGAAAACTCCTTGAGCAGGCGCATGGCCAGCAGCTCGCAGATCAGGCCGCGGGTGCGCTCCACGCCCACATTTCCCGGGTTTGCCTCGCCCTGTTTCTGGAAGTTCAAGCAATTGGCGATCAAGGCGTACAGCGTGCCGCGCGAGAAGAAGGTTGCGCGAATTTCCTGCTGGATGGGCTTCACAAGGAACTGGGAGACTTGCGGTGAGCGCAGCTGGTCCCAGGACAGGGTCGTCTCGCAGCGCTGGAGGACCAGCAGTCTTATGGAGTGCGTAATGTTGTAGATCGGGAGGCGGTCTGCGGAACAGAGCTACGGTCAGTTTGCGCCGGTCGCACATGAGCCGGGCGCGAGACATACCGAGATGCTCGGCACTGAAGATGGGCAGCACGGGGTCGTGGTCGTCGTCGTCCTCGCCGCCGGCGTCGTACTGGTCCTCGTCGCCGTCGGAGCCATGGTCGGGGTGGTCGCGGTCGAAGTAGCCGTCGGCGTTCCGTCCGTCGGCGCGCTGCGCAATGGGCGAGGCGTAGGGTGAACGTTCGGGTCGGCGCCGACCCTTTCGCGGCCGGAGAAGCGATGCGAGCATGTATGGCCCTGGGCGCGCAAGACGAAGGCGGCGGGTGGAGGAGGGGAGCGGACGGCGGGCGACACGGCGCGTGGGAGATTGTTTTGTTTATAGTAGAGCGAGCGCCTTGGACTGGACCTCTGACCAAGGCTGCTAGCGGGCGGAACTGGGATATGGGTGTCAGGTCATGGACGGCGGCGCGCAGCTTCACCGCGAGCTCCAGCGGGCGCCGCAGGGTTTCAAATACGCGCAGGCCCTCATCAATCCCGTACACCCTCTCGTCGACCGCCCGGCACCTGATCATGCACGCTTCTCGCCCTTATCTTCGCGATGATGCACAGGAAATCGTCGCTGGTGGAGGCGCCCCAGCCAATCACGCGGGGAGCGCGCCCAGCCAGCTAGACCGCCTCGACGGCGATTCACAAAGATGCGCGGCAGGGGGCCCATGCAGCTGCACGCTCGATGCTGGAATCCGCCTCCGCCGCTGCGCCAATGGCCGCCTGCCCGCCTGCCCGCCGCGCTTCGCCCTCGGTGCACCAGCCCCCGCCGGGCGCCCGCATCTGCACGCGTCGAGGCACAACACCCTTCGCTGCGCCATCCTGGATGCGTGTGGCCCCGACCCATGGCCAGGTGCAGCGGGTGCCGGCACGCACATGGGGCTTGATGAGGGCGACGTCGTCGACAGCCCCCGCAAGCGGGCGGCAATGTCTCAGACGAGGCTGAATTTTGTACGTACTCGGTAGCTATACCCACTATGCGGAGACAAGGCTAGAATAATCGCGGCCGCCCTGGTCACGCTCAGGGCCGAATGTGCGCGCCGATCGCGCCGCGATCACGTATGCCAAGCACCCCCGAAAACCGAAAAAAGGGACGTGCTTGGCCCCACCCAAGTTTAGTAGCTGCTGTTCAGCGGCAGCAATTTTTCTCTCGCGCAACCCTGGTCGCTCCCTTCACCATCCATCATTCACCATCATGGCTGACCAGCCGGGCGCGACGATGGCAATGAAGCTGGAGCTCCAAGATGGCAAGGCCTTCGAGGGTTTCAGCTTTGGTGCAAACCGGAGCATCGCCGGCGAGCTCGTCTTCCAGACGGGCATGGTGGGCTATCCCGAGTCCCTCACTGACCCCTCCTACCGCGGCCAGATTCTGGTCATCACCTACCCGCTCGTGGGCAACTACGGCGTGCCCGACCGCAAGGAGCGCGACCCCCTCCTGAAGGACCTCCCCGCCTTCTTCGAGTCCGATGAAGCCCACATTGCCGGTCTCATCGTCCTTTCCTACTCCGGCGAGAACTGGTCCAACCACCTCGCCAACAGCTCGCTCGGCGACTGGCTGAAGGAGCAGGGCATTCCCGCCATGTATGGCGTCGACACCAGGGAATTGACCAAGATCATCCGCCAGGAGGGCAGCATGCTCGGCCGCATGCTGATCGAGGCCCAGGCCAATGGCGACGCCGTTGCTGCCGGCAACGTTGTTTATGAAGAGATACCCTGGGTGAACCCCAACGAGAAGAATCTGGTTGCAGAAGGTGAAGCCGCTCGACCACCCCTCAAACCGCTTCCTCGTCACTGACTGCTCGACAGTGTCTCGGAAGACCCCTGCCACCTTCTCCCCCGAGCCGTCGACCGCATTGAAACACCCCTCCGGCCGCAATGTGAAAATTCTTACAGTCGACGTCGGTCTGAAGTTCAACCAGCTCCGCTGCCTTGTGAAAAGGGGAGTGGAGGTCGAGGTCGTCCCCTGGGACTATGACTTCCCCAAGCTTGCCGGCAAGGAGTACGACGGTCTGTTCATCTCCAACGGTCCCGGTGACCCTGCTTTGATGGATGCCACTGTAAAGCACATTTCTGCTGCGCTGCAAGAAGCCAGGACCCCCGTCTTCGGTATTTGCCTGGGTCACCAGCTGCTTGCCCGTGCTGCTGGTGCGTCGACTAAGAAGCTGAAGTTCGGTAACCGTGGTGCAAACATTCCTTGCACCAGCATGGTCTCCGGGCGCTGCTACATCACCTCCCAGAACCACGGTTACGCCGTTGATGCGTCCAGCCTGAGCGGAGGATGGGAGGAGCTCTTCGTCAACGCCAACGACGGCACCAACGAGGGTATCCGTCACGTCAACCGCCCCTACTTCTCGGTGCAGTTCCACCCCGAGCACGCACCCGGTCCCAAGGACACCGAGTTCCTTTTCGATGTCTTCATCAACGCCGTCACCAAGTCCCTCGAGGACCCCGAGACTCTCAACAAGCCCGTTGAGTTCCCCGGCGGCGACATTGTGGAGAACCGGAAGCTGCACCCTCGCGTCGACGTCAAGAAGGTCCTGGTTCTCGGCAGTGGTGGTCTCAGTATCGGCCAGGCTGGCGAGTTCGACTACTCTGGTAGTCAAGCCATCAAGGCGCTCAAGGAAGAGGGTATCTACACCATCCTGATCAACCCTAACATCGCCACCATTCAGACCTCCAAGGGTCTCGCCGACAAGGTCTACTTCCTGCCTGTCAATGCCGACTTCGTCCGCAAGGTCATCAAGCAGGAGCGTCCGGATGCCATTTATGTCACCTTTGGTGGCCAGACTGCGCTCCAGGTCGGTATTCAGCTCAAGGACGAGTTCGAGCAGCTCGGTGTGAAGGTTCTTGGTACCCCCATTGATACGATCATCACCACCGAAGACCGTGAGCTCTTCGCTCGCAGCATGGAGTCCATTGGTGAGAAGTGTGCCAAATCCGCTTCTGCCAACACCGTTGAAGAGGCCATGGCCGCCGTTGGAGACATTGGCTTCCCCGTCATTGTCCGCGCTGCTTATGCCCTCGGTGGTCTGGGCAGCGGTTTCGCCGAAGACGAGGCGCAGCTGCTCGATCTCTGCAACAAGGCATTCGCTGCCAGCCCGCAAGTCCTGATCGAGCGCAGTATGAAGGGCTGGAAGGAGATCGAGTATGAGGTTGTTCGTGACGCTCACGACAACTGCATCACTGTTTGCAACATGGAGAACTTCGATCCTCTCGGTATTCACACCGGTGACTCCATTGTCGTTGCTCCTTCGCAGACGCTATCCAACGAGGACTACAACATGCTCCGTACTACGGCTGTGAACGTCATTAGGCACCTTGGTGTCGTCGGAGAGTGTAACATCCAGTATGCTCTCAACCCCTTCTCGAAGGAATACTGCATTATTGAGGTCAACGCTCGTCTGTCCCGTTCCTCGGCATTGGCGTCTAAGGCCACCGGCTACCCTCTGGCATTTATTGCTGCCAAGCTTGGTCTCAACATTCCTCTGAACGAGATCCGCAACACCGTCACCAAGGTCACCTGCGCCTGTTTCGAGCCCTCGCTTGACTACTGCGTTGTCAAGATCCCTCGTTGGGATCTGAAGAAGTTCACCCGTGTTTCGACTCTTCTCGGCTCGTCCATGAAGAGTGTTGGTGAGGTCATGGCTATTGGAAAGACGTTCGAGGAGGCCATCCAGAAGGCCATCCGCGCTGTTGATATGCACAACACTGGCTTCAACGATACCCCCTTGGCTCTGATGTCCATCGACCAAGAGCTTCAGACACCGTCTGACCAGAGATTGTTCGCCATCGCCAACGCGATGCACTCTGGTTACACCGTCGATAAGATCTGGGAACTTACCAAGATCGACAAGTGGTTCTTGAGGAAGCTCAAGAGCCTCAGTGACTTCGGCAAGCTCATGACCAACTACACCCGAAGCAACATCCCGCGCGAACTCTTCTTGAAGGCCAAGGCTCTTGGCTTCTCTGATCGCCAGCTTGCCAGCTTCTGGAACTCCAACGAGCTCGCCGTTCGTCAGGCCCGTGTCGACTTTGATCTGTTCCCTTGGGTCAAGCAGATTGATACCGTGGCTGCTGAATTCCCGGCCTTCACGAACTATCTGTACACGACCTACAATGGTTCGGCACATGATATTGACTTCAACGACCGTGGTATCATGGTTCTTGGCTCCGGTGTCTACCGTATCGGCTCCTCCGTCGAGTTCGATTGGTGCTCCGTCCGTGCCATCCGCACCTTGAGAGAGGCTGGTCACAAGACGGTCATGGTGAATTACAATCCGGAGACCGTGAGCACAGATTACGATGAAGCCGATCGCCTGTATTTCGAGACCATCAACCTGGAGACGATTCTTGATATTTACCACCTTGAGAGCTCCAGTGGAGTCATCATCTCCATGGGTGGACAGACCCCGAACAACATCGCGCTCCCCCTGCACCGCATGAACGTCAGGATCCTTGGTACCTCGCCTGAGATGATTGATACCGCTGAGAACCGTTACAAGTTCTCGCGTATGCTCGACCGCATCTCAGTCGACCAGCCTGCGTGGAAGGAGCTCACTAGCTTCGAGGAGGCCGAGGAATTCTGTAACAGGGTCACCTACCCCGTCCTCGTCCGGCCCTCTTACGTCCTGTCGGGTGCTGCGATGAACACGGTCTACTCCAAGGCCGATCTCGAGAACTATCTGAACCAAGCCACTGAGGTTTCCCGCGACCACCCTGTCGTCATCACCAAGTACATCGAGGGTGCCAAGGAGATCGAGATGGATGCTGTCGCTCGCAACGGTACCATGATTGGCCACTTCATCTCCGAGCACGTCGAAAATGCCGGTGTCCACTCTGGTGACGCCACCCTGATTCTGCCTCCGCAGGATCTGGACCCTGAGACTGTCCGCCGAATTGAAGACGCTACCCGCAAGATTGGTGACGCGCTCAACGTTACCGGTCCCTTCAACATTCAGTTCATTGCCAAGGACAACGACATCAAGGTCATCGAGTGCAACGTTCGCGCTTCACGTTCGTTCCCCTTCGTTTCCAAGGTCATGGGCGTCGACCTCATCGAGATGGCTACCAAGGCCATGGCTGGCTTGGCTGTCGCCGAGTACCCCCAGGTCAACATCCCTGCCGATTATGTCGGTGTCAAGGTCCCGCAGTTTTCCTTCTCCAGACTTTCTGGTGCTGATCCTGTGCTCGGTGTGGAGATGGCCTCTACTGGCGAGGTTGCTTGCTTCGGTCGTACCAAATACGAGGCATACATCAAGGCCTTGATCTCTACGGGCTTCAGGCTGCCGAAGAAGAACATTCTCTTGTCCATCGGTTCTTTCAAGGATAAGCTGGAGATGCTTCCATCCATTGAACGCCTTCACCAGATGGGCTTCAACCTCTTCGCTACCGCCGGTACTGCCGACTACATCGTGGAGCACGGCATTCCTTGCAAGTTCTTGGAGGTTCTGGGTGGCTCTGGCGAAGAGGCCGATCAGAAGCCCGAGTACTCGCTCACTCAGCACTTGTCGAACAACTTGATCGACCTCTACATCAACCTGCCGTCGAGTAACCGCTTCCGCAGACCTGCCAACTACATGAGCAGAGGTTACAGGACTCGTAGGATGGCTGTCGATTACCAGACTCCTCTTGTCACCAACGTCAAGAACGCCAAGCTCCTTATCGAGGCTCTCGCTCGCCACTATGACCTTGAGATCAGCAAGGTCGACTTCCAAAACTTTTCCGCCGACAGGAGAGACAGCCAGATCGTCTCGCATGGGCTGGGCAAGTCGAGCGGTAACTTGACTTTGGGCCAGCTGCTTGCCAGGTCTCCCTTCAAGGGCCAGCATGTTGTCTCTGTGAAGCAGGTCACCCGTGGCGATTTGCACCTGCTTTTCACTGTTGCCCAGGAGATGCGTCTAGGTGCTCAGCGCCAAGGTGGCCTTGACATCCTCAAGGGCAAGGTTCTCTGCACCATGTTCTACGAGCCCTCGACCCGGACTTCCGCTTCATTCGATGCTGCCATGAAGCGTCTTGGTGGTTCCACTGTCGCCATCAGCGAAGCTCACTCCAGCACGAAGAAGGGCGAGACCCTTGGCGACACCATCCGCACGCTTGCTTGCTACGGAGATGCCATTGTGCTGCGCCACCCTGAGGCCGAGTCGGTCCACGACGCCGCCAAGGTCTCGGGCGTCCCCATCATCAATGCTGGCAACGGTAGCAAAGAGCACCCTACGCAGGCATTCCTTGATCTGTTCACGATCCGCGAGGAACTCGGCACGGTCAAGGGTCTCACCATTACCTTCGTCGGTGACCTCTTGTACGGCCGGCCCACACACTCGCTCTGCGAGCTTCTCAAGCACTACAATGACATCAAGATCCAACTCGTGTCGCCCGAGACGCTCCGGATGCCGGAGGAGATCCGTGAGGTTCTGAAGCAGCGTGGTCAGCTGCTCACCGAGAGCTTCGAGCTCACGCCGGATATCGTTGCTCGCAGCGATGTGCTCTACTGCACGCGCGTGCAGAAGGAGCGCTTCCCCGATCTCGAGCACTACGAGCGTGTCAAGGACAGCTTCGTCGTCGACAACGCTGTCATGAAGAACGCCAAGGAGCACATGATTGTTATGCACCCTCTGCCTCGCAACAGGGAGATTCCCGAGGAGGTGGACACTGACCCAAGGGCTGCATACTTCAGACAGGTGAGTGGCCCCCTTCCCTTTCATGATGAACATGTACTAATATATGATGCCGACAGATGAGATACGGGCTCTACACTCGCATGGCTTTGTTGGCTCTGGTGTTGGCTCCTTAGGCTGTCAGTTTAAAACCAAAAGTGTTTTCGTTTTTTCTTACAGGGTCTGGGCGTTTGTTTGTGGATACAGCGCACTCTTGGGTTGAATGGACCAAGACATAAACCAAAAAAGGGCAAAAAGCTGCGGTTCGCTCTGCCGTTTCGCGCGCACATAGAATCGACACATCAAGGCCGGCGTTTTCCACTTGATGATAGCATATAGAAAACGGGTCCAACAAGCATTTGGGAGGAAACGCGTACTCAAATCGGGCTGATTGGGTACTACGTCATGACATTGGGTTTAAAATCGCCGTGATGAAAACGAGGTATATGCATTGGGTATGTGCATATCTGTATTATTTTATGTACGTTATGTCTGTACGATGTTTATGATGTATGTATACGTATCTTGGGGAAAGTCATTTCATTTTTCTGTAGAGTAGTACTTTTTTTTCTGTAGCGTAGTGTTTTTTTAGGGATTGTAATGTCTGTAGTCCTTAATTCGTAATAGCTAATCACGACAATCAATCTTCAATTGAAGCATCCGGTGGAGAACGAAAGAGGAAGAAAAAAAAAACGCCTGCTTTGAATTCGATTCCCTCGAGGTATTCCGGTCTTTTCCCTTTTCCACAAAAACTCCTGGACTCATAAAATGGAAAGTTCCGCTTTCCCTCTCGAACATTGTATGGCCTGTGCTCAGTGGCTGATGCATCTCGACCAGCCTGGAGGGAACAAAAAAAAGGTGCGTCAGTAACTGATTGCTTTAGAGCGAGCACCGAGCTCGAGGCGGACGGACGGGGAGCCTTTCAGCACAGGGAGAAAAAGAAAGGAACCACTACTCACCGGGCAGGCCGCAGCCGAAGCCGACGAAGAGATAGATGAGGAAAACGACGACGACGACGAGCAGGACCATGAGCTTGACGTTCTTCCACCACATGCGGCGGCGCAGGCCGCGGGAGCGGACGCGGAAGTCGCGGGCGTTGCCGCCGAGGCGGTCCGTCTTGTCGACGAGCAGGTCGATGCGCTCGCCGCGCTCGAGCACGCGCTCGATGTTCTCCGTCATGATCTCGCGCACGCCGGCGATCTCGGTCTGCACGTTGCGGATCGCGTCGTTCTGGCCCTCCTCGGAGGCGCCCATGTCGACCATCAGCCGGCGCAGCGTGCCGTTGAAGGCGGCCGCGCCGTAGGCGGGAAGCGACGCGAAGTCGGTCCGCGCCGGGTCGTACTGCGCGAGGAATTGCTTCTTGATCTCGACGAGGAAGCCGAACGGCACGCGCCGGCCGAGGCTCGAGCTGGCGATGACGAGGTAGGCGAGGCCGCCGGCGGTGGACTGCGAGGCCGGGTATTCGGAGGCGGCGCTCGAGATGTAGTGGATGAAGTGTTGGCCATGGGTGTAGGTGAGCTTCTGCGGGGAGGCGTGCGAGATCTTGGGGAGGATGAGCGAGGCGAGGGAGGAGGTTTGGGAGGAGGCGGAGGCGGTGTGCTCGGTGAGGATGGTGCTGTTGTGGGCGATGCAGGAACTGGAGTGGAGGATGGCGTCAGCGGATGGACAGGGAGAGACGGAGGGAGATGCTGGATTGCGGGCCGGCCATACTAGAGCAGCGGCGTGCTGGTGGAGGAGGACGCCATGGTGCCGGTGTGATGGGAGGTGGTGGCCGATTGAATGGACGGTGGACGCAGGTAGAGTTCTGGGGCGGACGACGGAGAGTTGAGGCAGGCAGTTGTCTCGACTGCTTGGATGACGGCGTGAGTGGCTGGGGTGCGCTCGGCGATGGTGTTGGTATTGGGAAGGCAGCCGGGGCTCCGGCCTGCAGCAAGGCATCATCATCATCATCTCCACGTGCCGCGGGCTTGGCGCGTCAGTAATGCGCTAGTCGCAGATCCGCACCGTCCTTTTTCCGCATTCCGACCCTGGCCTCCATCGCTCCATCGCTCCATGGCTCCATCGCTTGCCTGTCGTACGACACCCCGGCCTCAGCCGCAGGCTTCGCCCTGTCTACCCACCCTCTCCGCGGGACTGGCTGCGTCTGTTTGCCCGCTAACAGCCTGCTCGCACAGCTCCCCCCTCCATCCGCATACGGCCCGATTCCCGTAACGACCGAGCTGGGCGGACTAGAGCACGGCTTCAATGGAAGACCCTGGTGCAGTCGATCCTCCATCGTCCGCCCGCAGGGCTGTGCTTCCATTCAGACAAATCATCGCGCACCATGCCGACGTCACAGAATGAGGCAACCACTTTTGGTCGGTACGTGCGTTGTGTCCTGCCTCCTGGCCTCTGCTGCTCGGAGCTTCTGTGGATCCCACGGCCGAGCCGTTGTTTCTACTTACGCGGCGTGCGTCGTCGCCACAGTCCGCTGTCTAGTGATCTGGTGGTGTGTTGTCGCTGCCTGACAAACAACATTCAACATGGTGGCTGAAGGCTGCTACATCTTCGCTTTGCAGTGGACGCCACAAAAGAAGCTTGAGGGCTTCCTCAATCCTAGATTGTTACTGCTACACCGTTGAGACAGTCGAAACGGTTTCTTGAAAGCACCTCGAGACTCTCATCGTACGATGGGTGGAGCTGCCTTCCTGACTCCGTATACTCGCTGCCGCCATTGAAACTTCGAGGAAACAACCTCACGAACTTGCTGACCGGATTTCCGTTGCGCTATCCCGCTTCACAAAACACATCGCTCGATCCGAATTGAAGAACTGCTGTCAGATGAGGCATCTCAGTGGTTGAAATCTTACTTCTTCGCCTAGAAGTTACTTGCAGCCTCAACTTGGTGCATTAGCCTCCGTTGGGTGTTCATCAGGCCCAGACGCGCTACGCAGAGGCTAACGAACATGCCAATTTAAGGATTTCTAGAAGCTGCTAGCGCGGGTTGCTGGCACACCAATGCGTTGTCAGCACACGGATGCCGCCACAAGCTTAGCCTCTCTCTGTCAAGCCTGCTACGGGTGTTCACCCTTCATGCTCGCCTTACCGTTTCTCTTACTGAGGATTTCCGGGATGGCTGCTGCGGGGAACTGGTCTGGATCACCTGTTCCCGTAAGCCCTACCCTGTTGTACATGCCATCCCAGTCCTTTCCCGCTCCCCCGCCGGTTGATGGCCGCTATGTTGGTCAGACAGCCGTATCGCACGGCCTCATGGTGGTCAGTTATTAGGCGCCGTGCGCCCAAACCTGTGCTTTTCACTCTTGTCCATCCTCTGCAGAGATCTGCGATCACAGTCCCGCTGACGCCGACAAAAAGCTATAAGGTCTGGTAACTGCAGTCACTTGGCATCAAGTGACCATTTCATCTACCCTGTTTCTCTCCTTCTCCCCGCCTCCATCCCTTCTGCAAGATCATCTTGCATTCTACCTTCCAGCAAGAAAGACGATCAAAGTACTATTCTGGTACTTTGACCTTTTCTCTCTCCCATGTCTGCCATTGTTGGCACTGTCACGCCGGATAAATGGCCCCAACCAAACTATGACCACCCAGTGACTCGTACGCCTCTCATCCTGGGATTCATGATCTCAGGAGCCGTGCTATCTGTCTCGTTTACAGCCGGGAGGATGTTCGCCAAGGTTAAACGTAGCAGCAAACACTCTCTAGGCTTGGACGATTGGCTCATGGCTCTCTCCACAGTCGGTATTCCACGAAATGATACTGCAGTATAGTTCTTGCTAATCCACTCCGTAGGTCATGATGCTCGGTGTAAACGTACTCGGCTGCGTGTCAACTACTGTGGGCTCAGGACGTCATACCTGGGACGTAAGGTTCGAGTGGGCAGTCACTTGGGGAAAGGTTAGAAAATATTTACTTTTATCTCCTTTTCACTTACTCCAAAATTGTCGAATGGTGTCTCTGGTCTCTTGCTCGCTGTTCTCAGGTTTCTGGACGTTCTCATGCTTGTTGTTGTTCTCCGCCTTCAGAAAACATTGCTCCTGTGCTAACAAACCTTACAGACTGATCTCGCAACATACAGTTAGTGAAAAGTGGTGGCTAGCAGGGGTAATACATACTAACTGCTATCAGTAATATTTATTCCAAGTGTCTCACTCACCAAAAGTATGTAATCTTTTGTTATACAACCACAACCTTAGGCCTACCAAGCCTGCTAACTTTTCCAGTCTCACTCTGCACGTCCTACCTCAGGCTGTTCCCTTCCCGCGCAAATCAGTGGTTCTGCTACATCTGCATAACCTTCCTCACGGTTTGGTCCCTCACGTTCATCTTTTTGATGATGTTTGCCTGCGAGTACGTCGCGCCCCGTCCTCGCCCTTGTCCTTCACAGTCAGCATCGCCAGAACTAACCACTCGCCCCGGCTCTTTCCAGCCCCATCGCCGGATTCTGGGATCCCTCGATTCGCGAAGCATCCTGCCTGCACGTCAAGGAGCTCCTCATCCTCACCGGCGCCCTCAACTCCCTAACGGACTTTTGCGTCTTCCTGTGGCCGGTCAAAACGCTCTGGTCAATACGCCTGCCGCTGTTGCAGCGAATCAGTCTGGTGGTGGCGTTTGGAATCGGCTGCTTCGTGTGCCTGGCGGGCGTGGTGCGCGCATGGTACATGGAGGTCTACTTCCAGTCCAACGACCCGTACTGGAAGGCGGCCATGCTCTGGGTCATCGTCAGCCTCGAGGGCAACCTCGGCATCGTCTGCGGCTGCCTGCCGACACTGAAGCCCCTCGCGAAGATGCTCTGGCCCCGCCTCTTTTCCAGCAGGAGCAACCTGGCCCTCGATGAGCTAGCCCCTGCAGCCTCCTGTCTCAACAACAGCCCCAGCAATGCGGAGGAACGGGGGAGCAACGACAACGACGACAATAACGGGGACGCCGCTAAATTGGAACTCGGCGCCAAGGGCGCGACCATGGGCGCCAGGAACGAAGGGTGGCCGTTCGGCAACATCAGCCGGCTCGGCCGGGGCGGCGGCAGTCCGGGCATCTTCGAAGAGATGTTCGCCGCCAAAGCGAACAAGACCGGGTACTTCGACGACCTGCAGCACAACGGCCGCGGCCCCACGCCCACGCCCATCGGCCAGGGCGAGATGCGGATGCTGGAAGGCGGCGACGTGTGGGCCGAGGTCGACACGAGCGTGCCCGGCGGCGCGTGGCGCATCTTGCGGACGGTGACGCTGCACCACAGCAGTAGCAGCAACGGCAACGGCAGGAGCAGGAGCAATTCCGCCGTGGGTGGCGGGGCTGAGGTTGCCGGAATTGCGGCGGACGCTCGCCACTCGGCGTTGTCGTCGAATCGGCCTGCGTCGACGCTGCTGTCTAGAGACCCGTCGGCGGAGATGGAGGATGATAGGAGCGACCAGCGTATATTGAGGTCGACGAGACGGTGGCATGGGGACCGTGGATGAGGGGAGCTTTTGTTAATGAACGGGAAATAACGTCAGTAATGATAAAGCGTCTGCAGCGTTTTCTCTTGTAACTGTTTGCCTTGCTCAAGAGTGGGTAGGTCGAGACTTTGAAGCGTTGGGCTGGATTTCGTTGCTCTAGATGCTTTCTGTATTCTTCCGCCTGAAAACGGCTTCAGTCGGTGCAATTGTAATTATTGGATCGTGTATTTAGTACATCTAGGCCTAAGCAATAGAGCAATTGGTCGGAAACGGACGCAATTTCAGCAAATATACAGACGAAGGTTCTAATATTCACGTCATGAAGCTCTGATATTTCTCACAACGTATCTGGAAGAGCAAACTCTTTTGGAAGATATCATGACGATCAATGATGAGCTTATTTCAACTTTTCATTTGGAATTGCACTACGCAAGCGCATGAACACTGAAATATGTGCCGGAGAAAGGAACCCCACCCCCTCTTCGCCAACAAGTCATCCCGCCACTTCTCACGCATCAGGCACTCTCCCTTTACGCGTACATGTTCACCGACGACCTCGCCGTCGCAGCCGGGCTGCCACCCCAGTTGACATCGAACAGGATGTTATCATCGCAATCACTGCCCAGCGCCGTGTTGTTGATGAAGCCGCCCTCCCAGTAAAACACGCCCGCCCCCAAGCCATCGGGCACGTTGTTCAGCACGTCGACGACGGCGCCGACCCAGTCGACCTGGCCCTGGGCGTCGACGGAGAAGTCGGCCGAGAGGTCGACGCCGTCGCAGCTGACGGGCCAGTCCGTCTCGGCGACGTAGACGGGCTTGCCGTACGCGGAGGCGAGCGAGTCGAGGCTGCTCTGCAGCGCGTCCGTCGTGGCCTCGGTGTCGAAGAAGGGGTAGAAGCTGACGCCGAGCGCGTCGACCATGTCGGCCGTGACGGTGCCCTCGGCGAAGAGGCCGTCGAACCACCACGTCAGCGTCGCCTCGTCCCAGCCGTTGTTGAGGTGGATCATGACGGACGGCTTGGCGGTGCCCGCGGCGACGGCGTCGTCGACGCCGGCGCGCGCGGCGGCCCAGAGGGCGGCGAAGCCCGAGAAGTCGTTGTCGGCGATCTGGCCCGCGGGGAAGAGCATGCCTTGGATGATTTCGTTGCCGATGGAGAGGATGTCGAGGGTGACGCCGGCGTCGGTGAAGGATTGGAGAGTCGACGAGACGTAGGACCGCACCGAGGCGGCGAGGTCGGACGTGTCGAAGGAGGAGGGCGTGGCTTGGTTGGACGGGTCGGCCCACGTGTCGGAGAGGTGCAGGTCGAGGTAGATCTTGTGCCCGGCGTTGGCGAAGCGCTTGGCGAGGTTGAGGGTGTAGTCGAGGCCGTAATCCTCGCCGGTCCAGAGCCTGGAGGTAGGGTGTTAGCAACAGTGTCTTTTTGACGGGCTGGCTGAGGTCGCTCGAATAGAGCACCCGGAGAGGGCCTGGGGAGTATTGCAACTGTTGAGCAACCACTTGAGGGATGGAGAGGTCGATCTCAATTGGCGTGAATGATCAGACATGATCTGAACAAACATGGCTGGATGGGAAATCCAACTCCTGTCATTCGCTCCTGCGATACTTCACAGACCATATCCGGATGCCTCGATTTTCCTGCCATGTAGTGCTGGCTTACCTCAGCCTGACGCTGTCCATGCCACCGGCCCCGAGAATGTCTTCGATGGTGCTGGTCGAGCCGGACTCAGTGAGCCATGTTGTACCCTGATCTGTTTCCATATATCCCGCAGATGAGAGATCATGGCCCTTGGAAAGGGCGGAGACGCCTTCGAAGGCGCATGCCATCAATGGCAAAGATTTGATGAGAGTCCTGGACAGCATTTTCGATTTCGTCTTTGGTGTTTCGGGTGCTTGAATTCGTAAGTCTGATTCGATTCGATTGACGTAAAATTGGGACACCGGTGCTTCCAGAAGACAACGGGTGGTATAAAAGAAGGACACGCTGTCTCGCAGTGTAACGAAGGAATAGAAGTACAGCACCACTGACGTATAACCGGCAACAGCGGCAGCAACTCTTTTAAGAGCCGGCACGGAGTCAAACAGCGGCTCTATGCATTGCACTTCCAAGCGAGCCCGCATGCGTTTCTACCGAAGTAATTATTTGCGGGGAAGGAGTGCCAGGTTGGGGCTCTCATCCAGTCAGGGAGAGGCGCGAGGGCCGATCGCCGAAACAAGACGCGGATGATCATCAGACTCATCCATGTCGGGAGTGAAACGAAATGGAGGCTTGTCCCGAAGAATTCATTGTGGGTCCCGAGGAGGCGATCGGCAGGTTGCCGAACAAGTGCTTTATCATGTCGTGGTATTCATGTACAGTACGCTGGTTGACTTGGGCATAACGGAAGCAGTGGGAATCGAGAAAACTGAGCTTAGACAAAGCAGCTCTCTGAGAGAATCAAACCCGGACGGGAAAGGTGCGGGCCGCGAGCCAAGGGCTCATCTGTTTCGCATCCACAGGAGTGTCGGAGTAAGGCGCCCTTGCTCGTGGTTGGTGCATTTATAGAGCTGACACGCCGCCAAGCAAGCGAGACGGCCTAAGTGAGCTTCGGCTCAGCACTTCATCAATGCGCGGGGCGTGAGCGCAAAAGATAAAGAGGCCGCGGCCAGGCGCTCTGGCTCGAGATGCCATGTTTCACCTTGAACGCCTCCCACCCCATATCTGGCACTAGAGGGGAAACACCGCCGGATGCATCTTTATCCCCGAGGTGTGACGCGGCCTTAAGTGGTACCGCACCGGTCATAGCCCTCGGGACGAAGCTCTCTACTACTACAAAGGCGCCCGAACGATATTGCTTTACTCTAAACGTCGGCAACAACATAGTATCGTCCACGTGATGACGCAACTCACCTGGCATGCTTTGTGAAGGCTAGAATCTTTTATAGCCAACAGTGATATTAAACCATATGTAATTGACTGAATTGACCCCTCACGAGCAAGCCAATAGGTCCCAAAACCCACCCACTCCCTTTCCCTTGGAAACAAAACTATTTTGCCTAAACCTCGCTGCATATAGCGCATGCGACACTATACAAATAAGCCCACCAACCATTAAACATGCACCAGTTGGAGAGATGCAGCTCCCGACCCATTAAGCCGTCCTCCTTACCCGCACGCAAGCCTATGTAACATGGCTCGCCTCCGCAAAGCCGCGTACTTCACCGGTGCACCCAGCCAAACCTCTAAAAATAAACCCGTACCACCAGCCCGCAACCCTTCATGCACCCGTTGATGACGCGTAAGCCGACCAGCTGACGATGCGGCTGAACGACCAAGAGAGAGAGAGAGAGAGCGCGCGCGAGCCGGCCGAAGCCCAAGGGAAATCGAAAGCAACCTTGGCAACTGATATGCCCTTTTTTTTTTACCCTGATCTTTCCAAAGAGCAGTAACACTGTACGAGACAATGGGTGCCGGGAAAACACGAGAATCGATGCCTATAGCACGCCCACCCCCCATCCCCATCAGTCCTATGTACTAAGCAAAGCCTGTTCACGGTTCTGACAGTAATAATCCGGTGCAAGTCCGCATTCTAAAACAGAGGACTCTTGCGCTCTCATCCTTCTATTCCGCTTTCTCGTCTGCCGCCGCCCTTTCACCTTCAGCCTCGCCCTCAACATTACCTTCACCCTTCTCCTTCTCCTCCTCCTCCTCAACCTCCTTCTCCTTCTCCGCCGACGCCACGGCCGTAGCGCTCGCATCGACGCTCGGCCTCGCGCTCGCACCCTGCGCCACGCTCAGCCTCTTCTGATGATGATGATGATGGCTGCTGCCCTTCATCCTCTTCTCCGCCTCCTCGGGGAACACTTCCGACATGAGGTTGGGCAAGAACCGGTCGAGCTTGGTCCACGTCTCGCGCCACAGCTCCTCCTGCTCCGGCTTCTCGTCGGGCGACGCCAGGTAGCCGCCGCTGGACATGACCAGCAATATGTTCTTGAGAGACTCGGGCACCGCTTCCTCCTGTGTTTCGCGCATTTTTCGTTAGCCACCGTGTATGGATAGATAGTTATGTGGACGAAACGACCGGTCATCGGGAGAATCCTTACCAGGTTGTCGCCTTGCCCGCTGTTCATCAACCGATCCATGATGCTGAGGATCTTCAGCCACAGGTCCAGCATTCCGTCCCACTCGGACAGTGCCACGAGGTAGTGCAGGAAGATTTTGCAGAGCAGAGTGGCAGCTTGCACCCTCGTCTCGCCCATGCCGCCGGGATCGCTCTGGTACGTCTCGGGCTTCAGGAGTTGGTTGATGAGCGGGAAGAGCACCTCGCCGAAGATCTTGGTCCATTCCTTGTGGTCCGCCGAGGCGAGGTCGTTCGAGAGAAGCGTCCGTTGCAGTGACCCGAGAGCCTGGTGCCTGATTTCACGGCATGGGTTCAAGCATTGGTTCGTGAGGCATTGGAAGATAGGTGACCAATAAGCGTTCCAAGCTGCTTGCGGTCAGCATCAATTTGTAGTGTCCGAATTTGGAGCATATTACCTTCATTGGTCTCAAGCTGGGACTGCTCGATGAACTGGGGGACGCGACTGGTGAGCTGGAAAACAATGTTCATGGCCTTCGACCCGCGAAGAACGACCTCGTTGGTTCTGCGATTTGGTTAGTCTCATTAGCATGATTTGAGCTGAACACAACATACTGAGTCTTCTTCTGCTTGACGCCCTTGCCCCTCTGCCTCTTGGCGTCCCCGCGTTGCTCCTCGATCGCACCAGCGCTTCCCGCAGTAGCAAAGTCGTTGAGTAACGCTATGGCCGCCTCGTAATTGTCCGCGCAGATGCCCGGAGGGTTAGAGAGAGTAAGGCTCTCAGTCACTTGGAAAACATCGGCCGCGACTTCCGGCGAGGTGTGGAGTGTGCGTAGAAGTGTCCAGAAGTCGGGCGAGTTGACGAGCTCGTTGCGCAGACTGATGGGCCCATTGATGCAATCCAACAAGCCCTTGAGCAGAGTCGACGCGACCTGCTTCAAAACGTCCTGGTCGAACGTAGCAAACGTGTGCAGAATCACCGGAGCACGAATGTAGTCGTGATCGTTGCTCTCGCGCAGAAGCTTGAGGAGGTAGTACACCGTTCGCGACAGCACAACCGGATGCACATTGTTATCGCGGAGCACCGTTTGCAGCGCATCGGCGACGCTCTTCCCAAGCTTCTCAGTAGCCTCGGCGTCTCTCAACGCGAGGACCGTCGCCAGCTCGAGTGCAAAGACGAGAGAAGGATCGTACTGCGGGCTCTGACTCCTTATCTTACTGCCATTTGGTCGTATAGGAGTCGGTGCTGGTAGCTCAGGCTTCACAGTAATGACGCGAGGCGAAGAATCCTCGGGTATCTGGGCGAGAAGTGAATCCAGGATAGACTGCAGGGAGTCGATGGGCATGCGACTAGCTAAGTCAGCATCTTCGTCACGCGATACGTGCAGAGGTCCCTACCTGATGTTCGAGAAGACTTCTGGAAAATCGCATGAGTTCACGCAATCTATCGTGCAAAGAGTGTATTCGATCTCTGCGTCCGATGGCTCCGGCGGCTCGTCGTTCGCAAAGCTAAAAATCGATGAAGCGAAGGTAGAGAAGAGACTAGTTTCGTTTTGCCTCTGCTCGCGGTCGATGACCTGTGCAGGATTTTGAAGAGGGATGGGAGGCAGCTCGAGAGCATTGGGTATCGATGAGAAAGACGAGGGTATCAGGGAGTTGATGAATAGATTGAGCATAACATGCACGAGCTGGAGTGAACCGTTAGCGGGTCGTTTGCGAGTGTTTGAATCGCGGAATAACTAACCTGGTTCCACCCATCTCTGATATAGGCTTCGTTACCATGAATAATACGGAAAAGCAAGACAGTGGCCAATTGCGCCCTGTCGTCACGACCGAAACGGACAGCCGTCTCACTGACCATGATCTTCTCGCTCTTCTTGTCGGCCTGGACTTCTGTGTTCAAGGACGTGCTAGGGGGAACATCAGGTGCCAAAGTGCTGATTTTGCTCAAGCAAAATACGATCCGGTCAATGCAATCGGTCAGGCCATGCTTTGCCGCAATCTGAGCGCACTGATAGAAACCAGTGACCACGCGCGAGAACACAGCATCGTCTGATGCCGACATGAACACGAAAGACAGGGTCGCAAGGATCGGCTTCCACGTCGCAGCAAACATGTCTGCGTCAAAGATGTTGGTGTCGCAAATGACGAGATCCGAGGTTGTCTGGACCTTCATCTGGAGCTCCTTCCAAGCATAGTCGTAGGCGTGCTTGTTATCGTGCTCCTCTGGGAGAATGATTTCTCTTGTCTTGATAGAGTCGTAAATCTCTCCGAGGTATTCAAGCGGGAAGTCCTGCCCGCCATTGACTCCGCGCAGGTTCCGAGCGAAGTCCTCCAGGGCCATGCGCTTCTGCGCCTTGAGGTTTGGATTGTGCTGATCGGTGTTCAGCATGATGATGGCATACGTCAAAACATAAACGGAATCTCTGTCCGCGATGCCCTCGGGAGGCTTTTCACCGCAGTACTTCGCGGCAAACTCGGTAACGATGCGCTCAATCAACTGCGACTCTCCTGGCAAACGGAAAGTGTTGAGAAGCTGTCGTAGAGCTTCATCGACTCGCTGGCCACTAAAGTCGAATGTCTCCATGAAGGCAGCCAGAATCGCTTCGTTTTCCTTCTTTGAGATAAAGTCGCCGAGTACCTTTTTGTCCAATCTTGTTGTTCCCTTGAGGAAGTCTGCGACCGACTTCGGGTTGTCCGGGTTGTCAATGATTCCTTGAGACACCAGGAACGCAATACCACCCTTGGGCTTTTCGTTGAACTTCTTGGCGCCACGGATGATGGTCTTCTTCTGCTCTCTCTGTCGCACCAAATGCTCAGCATCTGGGAGGCCCTCCGTCTGCGGTTCGTCTTCCAGCCGATCTGCTATCAATTGGATAAATCCGAGAAGAGCGTCGAGGCAGAGGGGTGGTACGTTGGTCGTACTCCATGTGGCAGAATCCGGGAAGGCATTGCGTGATAGCAATCCAATCATGTCCATGCACAGGTCGCTTCGATCGACCTCGCAATCGTAATTGACAAATAGCTCGACCATGAAGGAAGGTATCCTGCACAGAGCTCCCACACTCTCCACCATAGCTTCTCTTGCATCGGGTTTCCTGGCGCCACCTTCCAACCCAAGCCTCTGCCTATCTTTCACTGGTACAGGGGTAGATCGACCGCTGCTTGATCCTGCCTGGGGTGCGGGTTTGACCAAGCTGGGGGCCTGAGGAACACCCTCGTAGAGCGCAGGGTCGATATTGGCTTCCTGAGGTATGTCAACACGAGGGAATAAGCATGCGACAAGGTACGAAAGGAAAAGCTCCTGTTGGAGCTTCAAGACGCCTCTGCACGTGGCCAATAGAGTATACGCTACTCTCAACGACTCGTTCAGCACTGCAATGTTTTCCGACCGAACGAGCTGGAAAATGTGGCGACAAAGAGTGTCCTTGGCCAGAGATGCAAGACTTGGGTGACTTGCAATTGAGGGACCCGCAACCTCGAGCGCGACGTCGACGATCCGGAGAGCCATGATCCTCATGGTGTCATTGTGCTGTCGATCGTCAGGGTCCAGGAGGTCCACCAAAACGCGGAAAAGTTCCCGTATGGATGGGAGAGAGTACGGCTTGATGATCTGCTCCTCCTCAGAGTCCTCTTCAACGAGCGGAAGATGCAGCTGGCTGCCGTTGGGATTCCCGTTGTCCTCGCTTCCGTCTGGGGTCTTTTCCAAACTCGTTGAAGACCGTGATGCTTCGGGCACGCTCCCCGGTACAGCTAAAGAGTCTCCGTTCGCCGTTGGGTCCATTTTGACGGCATTCATGTCGTCCTTGGTGCTAGCCTCAAGAGCTCCCGGGTCGTCACCTGCCTCAATTTCGAGATGCTTCAATCTCTCAAAAATCACCTGGCACATGGTAACCATGGCAATTTCGGCAGACCGCCGCAAAACCTCGGAAAGGCGAATTTGGCAGCACATGCTTAAGCCAGTCTCCATCATTTCGCAAACACTCTCATCGCTCAATAGATCACCAGCTGGCCCGGAAATCATATTCTCCATAAGCTTCAATATCCGCAGAAGTACAATCTCGTCCGCGGCAGTATCAGTGGCCTCGAAGCGGCAGTGTGTGATGGCGGACGAAAGAAGTTGCATGGCCAGAGGCAAGCGGGGCGAGTCGCGGCCGATGATGTTGTAGGAGAGGAACTTTGTTATGGCAATCAGCGCCAGCGAGGTTATGGGTGCGGAGGTCGACGACGAGCGGATGACCTGTAGGAACGGATGGAGTAAGGCGGGCGTGTCGAAGCTGCGGATATCTACATCTGCGTCAGAAAAGAGCATCCTAGACTGCCAATGTCCATGTCCTTACCATTGCAGCCCTTCAAGTCACTTCGTAGGCGCGTGAAGGCCGACATAAGGGGATTGTCCTGCATGCTCCTCCCCTTCTTGCCACGGAGACCCCATCGTCCGGCGAGGGCATCGTCGCCGGAGCCCAGCTTTATGCTCGCGGCATTGCCCTCGCCCTTCTCGATGCGCTGTATGGCCAGCGGCTTCGCGGCGCCGCCGCCTAGGATGGCGGACACGGAAGACTGGGCCCAACGCGCATGCTTGCGCATGGCCGAGGTGACGGTGATGCATTCTGTGACGACGAGCGCGACGGGGTCGATCGAGGCGGATATGGCGCGCGTGCGCGGGTGGAACTCTGGCACGCCTTGCAGCGCCGCCTGGGTCGAGGAGTCCGGCTGGGTGCTGCCATCGGCGGCCATGGTTGCTGAGCTTCGGCGGCGGGCGAGCAGGGAGACGGCCGGGGAAGGGTGGTGAAGGGCGGTGGAGTAGTGCCGGCTCTTTCGCAGCTGTGCAGGGTCGTGGGCTTCAGCTTCCCATCATCGGACGGAGGAAAGTGAGACTGCGCGGGCGGTGGGCGCGTGGTGGATGCTCAGGTATCTTGCGCTGCTAGGTCAAAGCTTACTGCCGCACGGAAGCGGGCAAAGTCCGCCGCGAGTTGACACCTTGCACTGCCAAGCACTCCACATATCCAGCCATCTCGACTCGGAAAACTTCCCGTGCGCACGGTTCTGGCGCTGGTGGATCGGTTGGATGCCAATGGGCATTATTGCTGGGTATCCTACAGGTGCGCCGCTGGAGGCAAGCACAGCTACCCTCGGAATTCTTCCACTCTATCTTATGTACAGCTCCAGATGATTCCCCAAACGCCAGCAGCCTGCATGTCAATCACACGTTGAACGACCGTCACACATATGCAGTCTCCCTCGTCCCCACATTGCCTGATCTCAAAATCCACACCCAATTCCTGTTTGCCTATCCGAGTCTTCTCATTGCCGCGCCTCAAGGCCCCCTGAAGAGAAGTAGTGCATGCGAAATGTGCGGAAACACAATTACAAAGTTTTCAACCGTATATGAAGCTAAATTCCGAGCATTTACTCGAGTGGGTCTTTGATCTGCTTGGCACTGTCTTTGCCATCATCTTTCACACTAGAACCTGTGTTAGTGTCCAATCCATCGCATCTATCGTGGTCCTGGAACACTTACAGAGGAGCCTCCGCCTTCTTCTCTCCCGTGACTTGGTCCCTGTCGGACTTCTCTTCGGCTTCCTTTTTCTCAGCCTCGAATTTTGCGTGTGCAGCCTTCGCCCGCTCGACGGCATTCTGGTTCTTCTTCGATTGCTCTTCTTTGACTTGTTCAGCCTTGGCTTTGGACGACTCGGCGTGGTCCTTGTTCGAAGTCTGTTCCTTGGCGGAGCTGTCCTTTGCGAGATTGTCCTTTGCGAGGCTGTCCTTTGCTAGCGTATCCTTTGCAGAGCTGTCCTTTGCGGAGCTGTCTTTTGCAGAGCTGTCCTTTGCAGAGTTGTCCTTCACAGAGCTGTCCTTCACGGAGCTATCCTTCACGGAGCTGTCCTTCACGGAGCTGTCCTTCCCGGAGCTGTCCTTCCCGGAGCTACCCTTCGCGGAATCGTCCTTCGAGGTCTGAGCCTTGGAGTCCGTCTGATCAGAATTGCTGGTCTTTCCGTCCTTCTCGTTTTCCATATACTCCTCCTTAGCTATCTTTCTGATATCCGCCTTGTCTTTTCTCCACTGATCAGACGGGGTTTCGAAAGTGTCCTTCAACTTCTTTAGACGGTCCTCCTTTTCCTGGGTTTCTTGTGCCTTTGCAAGCCTTTCTTGTTCCATTTCCTCCATATGCCGAATGTCATCGACACTTGGCTCATACAAGTGCCAAATGGTGTAGTGTGGGAGCCCAACAACAGAGTATTTCATCCTCTTGGCCATCTGCGATTGAATTAGCATGCATCGACCAAAAATGAATTAAGAGAACGCACCTTGCCAAACCCTTCGGTTTCTGCGTGCTTCTCGAAACTGAAGGCTGGGAAATGCACGCCGGACCGGAAGACCTTAGCCTTGGCCAGAATGCTGACACCGCCGACACCATCGATTTCCATTTCCATATCAGGATCTCCATAAGGGTCCCGCAAATAAGCAAGATGAGGACGCCACGTTGCGTACTCTGCATAGCCTTCGACAATGACAGCGTCTTCGTCGAGGGTGTCCGCGAGAGCAAGAGCCGTTTCGGATTCTTGCCACGAATTTAGGTCGTAGGGCTGCTCTCCGCCGAGCCAATCTGGCAGAGGTCGCCACACGTCTGCTGCGCATTAGCCAAAATTCGAGAGTCTAGAATGAGTGCCGACATACTGGGTACTATGATGTCCTTGTTGTGGCGCATAAGATCCTCCAGGATTGTGAACGGTGCAGTCTCAACGTCCACGTCACGCCAGTATACCCAGCTGTGCGTAGGACGCAGGGCTGCGCTCAACAACCAGTTGCGCGCTTGGGCCATAGACTTTCTCCGGCCAGCCTGCGCAGCAAAGCCATGCCTGCTCTCCACGTCTTGATTGACCTTTTGACCAAAGTCCTTCTCCATGATAGAAATCTCTCCGAAATGCTGCGTGGGGTCCTCGTTCGCTTGCAGTCCTTCCAGTAGCTCTGAGAGCAGCTCGAGTGTGTTGTCTTTCGAATCTCCAACCAAGAACGCCAAATCAATGAAATTGTGCGGATACGTTAGGTTCCGCAGGTGTCCAAAGAACATGGGCAAATGCGGCGCCGCATCTCTCAACGGAGCGCACAGCAGAATGCGCTCTTCTCTTTCCCAGCCCCGCGCCGTGCCTTGCACATTGTTGAGGTCGTAGTAGCGAACGGTCTCGAGCTGGAAGTCGGGCGAGGCGGAGAACAGGCCGAGCGTCAGGACGGGGCCGACAGCTGCCCTGAAGCCCGAGGAAAACAGGAAGAGCGAAGTTACAACGACGGCGGAGAGAAGGCCTATTCTAATGAATAATGACCGACGTCTTCGCTGCGCCGGCGTGGAGCGCGGCTGAAACCTGCAGAGACGGCTGGTTAGCAGGACGACGGCGAATCTCGCGGGGAGCGGATGCGCACTTGTGAGGCTCGATATGGAACGTCTGCTGCCCGCCCGTGCTGTAGCCAGCGTAGCCGTTGGCGAAGCCGTGGCGGTGCATTGTTTTGCCATGAAGAGGTAGCATCAAGACGACGAAAGCCTGCAACTACCCGCCCGACGGCTCAGGAGGTACGGTTCGGAGGTCCAGCCACCTTCAAGACTGTAAACGCTCGGGGCGCAATTGCGGGCTTTGGGGAAGCTTAGATCGAGGCGAAGCGATCGCCAGGCGGTCGGGTGGATTGTGGGTGAGGTCGTGGCGGAAGAGCTGCGGGCGAAGGTGCGTCTCCACGGGCTCGACCTACGGCCAAGGTGGCTCGTTAGAGGCAGATCCGCAGGGATTCCGTTTAGCTCAATGCCGTCCCGCTGCCGTTCCCTGCCGTTAGCCCAAACGTCACAGCCCAGAATGATGATCGGTGCAGAGTCTCCGTCGCAAAGAACGATAGCCGCGAGGTGTCCTAAAGGTGCGCACAGGAAAGCGCCCCCTTGGCTGCGGCGGCGGCTGACAAGCCCGCCGTTGCAGCTTCGACGCGATACGAGATACAGACGATCCTGCGCTATTTTGCGACTCCCGCCAGGGCTTTGCGCACCCGCCTAACTTTTTGTAGGTCTGCGGCCTATACCGATTGCGAAACATCGTTGATTCATGTATTACGCTCTGACTAGCTATAGATTTCCAAGCAATGAGCGTGATGACAGTTGCGACCACAGCTGTGTATTGTGGTCGAAATTCTGCCGCCCGAGGCCCCAGCGTCAGCATACCGCCCCGAGTCCAGCCCAGCCCAGCCCGCCTGCACCGAACGCCTTGCAGCCAACCCGTTAGTTGTACTCAAATATCACACAGATGCAAAGGAGCCCCTTCTGTGCCCCCACGACAGTCTCACATATCGATAGATGCAAAGAAGTCCCTCCTTGGCTCGCAACGTTTCATGTCTCCACAAAGCGCGAGACCAGCAGTTCGTCGATGTGAGCACGCTGCGCCTTTGTGTTGTCCTTGCCTTCCTTCAGCAGCACCGCTAGAACCTCCAGGGGGGGATTCAGGCCGAGGCGGTGTGCGCGCTTCCAGCGCTTAATGCGTGCATTGCCAATGCATGGCTGCTTCGTGTCAGTCATGGTCTTAAGAGAAGAGCCTCACTGCGGTCGCACTCACCCCGTACCTTCCGCTCGTGTCGAATTCTCGAAGCACCTTCTCGTGGAGGCTGACGTCCTGCTGGTGTACCCGTGGCGCCTTCCTCACACGCTCCTTTTCCTTCCAGTATTTCTTGATCTGCGCCTCTGTGATGCGACTCGCTTCCTTCTCCTCGGACGGGACTTCTGCCTTTGCGGCCTCCTTCTGCGACTGCTGAGCGATGGCAAGTTCTGAGGTGGTGGGCTCGGTCGGATCGGGGTCCGCTTCGGCCTTCAAGTTCGTCTCGGTGATTGATTCAGACAAGCTCGGGTCCTGCTTGGACTTGTTCGTGGTCTTTGCCTTGCCCGTCGGCGAGCCTCGCGGCTTCGTCACTCGGTTGGAGGTGCCATGAAAGGCTAGCGTTGCCTGCCTGGCCTGCGGACCGGATGCGCGACGCTTGGGAGGCATTGCGGTGGATGTGGTGTCGGTGGAATGGAATCAGGATCTTTGCGATTGGCTCGGCGGAAGATAGAAATGCGTGATGTGATGCCAGGATGTGAGTGGGGATGGCGTCGAAGGAACCGGTGCGTTGCCTATGACGATGGGTACGGGGCAAATGGCTTGGCGCAAGTCGCGCTTCGCGAAGTCCCGTGAGCGGCGCAACCACCCAGACACTTCCGACGCTCCAGAGCCAATCCTCATCATCACGACTCTCTACGCGCCTGCAAGAGCATCATGGCAACCACGAATGCAGAGGCGGAAGCTCTGATCCCACAGTTCAAGCTGGACAAGTTCCTCAATCAAGGTAACTCGAATGAGCCACATTTTCACAATACGAACTCCCCGAAGCAATTTAATACACACGCAGCCTTGTGTGGTCGAAGTCATGACATAGTTCACGTTAAGCTCGCTTTCATTTTATCTTATCGTTACGTACGGACCATCGCTTCGACTGCCCAGCACTGCGTGTGTGGTTATTAAATTATTCCCCCCCTCCCCACTCGCGCCTCTTCCTGCAGCATGCGCTCATTCATTCATTGTGAGCTGCAGACCAAGCAGGTCGTAGACTCGTGCTTCTAGGCTCCATCCAAAACAAGCCGGCGCTTCTCATCGCTGAGCGGGCGGCATTCTCAGTCGAGCCTGCCCACCTGGAGAGCTTCACATCGTCACTGGCGAACATCAAGAACCTTGGAGCCAATGACATCTACTTTTGGTTCCTTGCAGCCACGGCGGCGGATTCCCAAAATTCCACCCAGCCACCTGACCTCAAGCTGAATCTGATTTGGCCTTGCAGCGAGAAACACATCAAGAAGTACTCGCAGCAAGGGGTTCGCATGGTGACCGAAACGCCGGAAATCTACAGGGATCATGTGCGTCCTTACATGCAAAAGCAGCGGGAAGAAGGAAGGCTCAACTGGGTGTTCAACATCATCGAGGGACGCACTGAGCAAGAGGATGTCTTTTTTCGCGAGCACGGAGAAGAGGGGTTCCTCGTGTTGCCGGACCTGTGAGCATTCCTGACCGGCACGATCGTCCACAATAGTGTGGTATGCTATGCTAACCCCGCCTCCTTTCATGCAGCAATTGGGACCGCAAGACCATGGCCAGCCTCCACCTGCTTGGCCTTGTAGAGCGTCGCGACATTTGGTCTGTGAGAGACCTCAACAAAACGCACATTACATGGCTCAAGCACATGCGCGCAAAGCTGCTAGATGCGACAGTGAAATTATATCCTGAGTTGGAAAGGGACCAGCTCAAACTCTACATCCACTGTATGTTGCGCAGACGTCACACACTCATCTCCTTTCTGACGATCGCAGATCAACCAACCTACTATCACTTCCATGTTCACATAGTGCACGTGGCTCTCGAGGCCGGTGCAACCCAGGCCACAGGAAAAGCTTTGGGACTGGAGAACATCATCAGCCAGCTCGAGCACGTGGCTGGCGCAGACGAGACGGCGGGCATGGCGGACATGTCGTTGACCTACACCGTGGGCGAAGCTAGCGAGCTGTGGACCGAGATCTTCGAGCCACTGAGAGGTAGCGGAGCCTCGTAACCGATACGGCGAGGGGCATAAGCTCTGGTTGGGGAATCTCTCGCCTTTTCGAGCGGTCGGCGGCGGCTGGCCGTTTGGCGTTGCACCCATGCGGGCACCTCAAACAGGCGAATGAAACAAAGTGTACGGATTAGAGGCCGCTATAGTGAAAGATAGGAGAGGCGGCGGGAGGTCTCCGGTTGGTCAAGCGACTTCATGCAAACAGGCGTCCCAGACAAAGGGCCGTCGGAGGACGGAGGATACGATTGTAGAGGGATAGACTCAGAGAAGGGACCCCGTCTGTATGCCCTGATGGGGCAGGATCAGCGAGGCGAACTTTGCACGATGTGCGCAGTGCATTTATTAGATCTTGCATAAATCTCCGCCGAGCGGCCAATCACAAATTATTGTGCCCTGGCGGACGGGCTCGCCTGGCGCCGGGCGGGCGCGATGCGCAGCTCAAGCGCGCTCGACGGACTGGTTGGCAGCGGGGCGGCTCGACGCCTTGGTGCAGCAGAGGCGCAGGCCCGCCCACGCCGGCCTGCAGGTCGAGGCGGCGGACCCGCGTGAAGAAACAAGCCCGCAAGGCCAGTCGACGGAGCGGCACATAGAGATGCCCAGACGCGGCGTGAAACCCAGCGGATCTTGGAAGGCGTTTCAAGATCCTTGGCTCATTAGGGGCGAAATTTCGGCTCGTGATGGCAGGCGCTTGGGGTCGCGGCGTGGGTGGCGCCTGGGCCAAAGCGCCCCCGGTCGCGTAGCCGATATCTCAGACCGCTGCCCTGCTCCAATCGTGCGATCCTTCGACCATAAACTTGCTTGCGGCTGCTCTTGCTTGCGTATTCCACTCCTTCATCCACGCTCTTTCGGTCTCTGTGCCTTCCGCTCCTTACCACGCCTCCAAGAGCCCGGCCTCTGGACGCATACGCAACCACCACGCCCCACGAAGACTCACGCATCAAAACAAACCAGCAGCAGCGCTTATCTTAGCCGACGCCGCCTAACGACACCATGCTCGTCAAGTACCTTCTGCCGGCCCTGCTCGCGGGCTCTGCCGCCGCTGTCAACACGCTCGAGATCAGCGGCCAGGATTTCGTCGACCCCAAGACCAACAAGCGCTTCTACATCATTGGCGTTGAGTACGTCCCTGGTTGCCTTGATTTTCAGGAGCAGCATCGCAGTTGCTAATCCCTCGCGCAGCTACCAGCCCGGCGGACAGGCCGGCTACAACGAGGCCTCCGGCAAGGACCCCTTGACCGATGGCGACGCGTGCCTGCGTGACGCCGCCATCATGCAGCAGCTGGGCGTAAGAACGGTTCCAGCCGCATGCCAGCCGCTCCACGTGCTGACCCCTGCTCCCAGATCAACACCATCCGTGTCTACAACGTCGATCCCGATGGAGACCACGACCAGTGCGCCAGCATCTTCAACTACGTCGGCATCTACATGATGCTTGACGTCAACTCTCCCCTCGCCGGTGAGAGCATCGACCGCTCCCAGCCCGCCAACTCTTACAACGCCGACTACCTGGAGCGCGTCTTCAAGATGGTGGATGCGTTCAAGAACTACCCCAACACTCTCGCTTTCTTCGGCGCCAACGAGATCATCAACGACGTTGACTCGTCTGAGAAGAACCCGCCCTACATCCGCGTACGTTCATTGCTCGCTCCCAATTGTGTCTAGAAAGCCATTGCTCACGACCATCACAGGCTGTCCAGCGTGACCTCAAGGAGTACATCAAGAACAATGCCGACCGCTCCATCCCTGTCGGTTACTCTGCTGCCCAGGTCCAGGATGTCCTCCAGGACACTTGGGAGTACCTCCAGTGCGCCATTGACGGCGACGAGAACGACATGTCTCGCTCCGACTTCTTCGGCCTGAACTCGTACTCTTGGTGCGGTGGCGATGCTACTTTCTCGTCCTCGGGTTACAGCGACCTTGTCGACATGTTCAAGAACAGCAGCATCCCCGTCTTCTTCTCCGAGTACGGCTGCAACGAGGTCCAGCCCCGTGTCTTCGATGAGGTCCAGGCCCTGTACGGCGAGAACATGACCTCCCTTTCCGGTGGTCTGGTCTACGAGTACACCCAGGAGGAGGCCGATTACGGTCTCGTTGTCATCAACGACAACAACACCGTCACCCTGAGGACCGACTTCGACAACCTGCAGAAGCAGTTCAACAAGCTGGACATCTCGTTGATCCAGTCCCAGAACGAGACGGGCACCTCCATCACTCCTCCCAAGTGCGTGAAGAGCCTCATTGACGACGACACGTTCGGTGCCGACTGGGATATCCCCTCGACTCCCACCAAGGCTGCCAGCTGGATCAAGAGCGGTCTTGACAACCCCAACACCGGCAAGATCGTCGACGTCACCACCACGGCTGTCCCTGTCGCCATTTACGGCACTGACGGCAGCGAGATCAAGAGCCTCAAGATCAGCAAGGTTGCTGATGGCGAGAGCAACACTCCTAGCGGCAGCGAGCTCAGCTCTGGTTCCACGACCAGTGGCAGCAGCAACTCGTCTTCCACCACCTCGGGCTCCTCGTCCAGCAGCACCGCGGAGGGTGCTGCGGGTAAGGTTGGCGTCAAGAGCACCAGCGCTCTTGTCTTCGCTGCCGTTCTTGCCATCATGCTTTGCTAGACCATGGAAGCATAGTGTTTACAAGCTTATGATGTGTTCCATGACAAGTATTTCCGCTTCTTCTTCGGCTCTGGGGCTTTCTAGTTAATCGGATGCATTTCCAAAGGCTCCCCCATTTTCACTTCACTGGCATAGCGTGTTTTTGTCCCACTGCAGGCTAGTGGCTAGCTATGGGTATTTGAGAGCATGTATAGATGAGGGGTTTTAATCGAAAATAGATTTGCTTCGGCGCAACGCGTGTCCCTTTTTGTGATGTTATCACTGATAGGTACCCCGGTACTAATGGCTTAGGTCATCTGTGATATTTCTTATTATATGCATCATCCATTCGTGAAGTCATAACGGCGTTCCGAAACGAGGACATTGAACGGCGTCCAGACGATGGCTTCAAGATGTTTTTCTTCGCGAGCCGCTCGGATGCTTTGTGTAAGGATTGTACAGTATGCACTAGTGGGATTCCCTGTTCGGACTTAAGAAGTCCCCGCATCGCGATGGAATGACGCGATGCGGGGCTTTTCCGCACAGCTGCGAGCTCCATAGCTCCCCCCATTTGATAATGCTTGATTGATAAGCCAAGCACTGGCATACCCAGACGGCTTTCGCTCTCACACCACTGTAGTCCAATGCCTTTCAGAGCGTTCCCACGCACCGCATTGGCATCTTCATCACTCCGTCTGACCTCCGCTCCGCTCGCGCGCAGCAGACTATTCGCCATCACTTCACACCTCAGAGCCCCCCTCACAGCCCCGCAATCGACAGTCACCGTGAGAACAATGGCGTCCACCAGCATTCCGGCGACCATGAAGGGCGTCATCGTCGAGAAGACGGGCGGAACGGACGTCCTGCAATACAAGACAGACCTACCCGTCCCGCAGCCCAAGGCGGGCGAAGTGCTGGTGAAGAACGACTTCATCGGCATCAACTACATCGACACGTGAGTACCACGACCTCTTTCGACGCACAACCTCCGATTCCATCGGGGGACCCTTACAACCACCAGAACCCCCCATCCATCCATCCATCCAAGCACACGATCCAAAAAAAAAAACCCCCCCCAGCTAACAATCGGGATCCCTCCTTCCCGCCCTCCCTCCAGCTACTTCCGCAGCGGCCTCTACCCCGCCCCCTCCTTCCCCTACACCCTCGGCCGCGAAGCCTCCGGCTCCATCGTCTCGACCGGCCCCAGCTCCAGCGGCTCCGACCTCCACGGCCTCGCCGCCGGCGACCGCATCGTCTGGATGGGCACGGGCGCGTACGCCGAATACACGGCGGTCCCGACGGCGCACGCGACCAAGATCCCCGCGGGGGTGGCGGCCGACGTCGCGGCGGCGGCGCTGCTGCAGGGGCTCACGGCGCTGACGCTGATCCGCGAGGCGCACGCGGTGCGCGCGGGCGACTGGGTGCTCGTGCACGCGGCGGCGGGCGGCGTCGGCTTGTGGCTGTGCCAGCTGCTGCGCGCGGTGGGGGCGCGCACCGTGGGGACGGCGAGCAGCGAGGCGAAGAGGGAGTTGGCACGCAGGAACGGCGCGGAGGTGGTGGTGGGTTACGGCGCGGAGGAGGTGGTGGCGAAGGTGAGGGAGGTGACGGGCGGGGCGGGCGTGGTGGCGGCGTTTGATGGCGTGGGGAAGGCGACGTTCGATGTTAGTATGGAGAGTCTGGCGCGGAAGGGGAGCATGGTGAGCTTTGGGAATGCGAGCGGGGCGGTGCCGCCGGTGACGATTGCGTATGTGTTGCCTGCCCTTTTCCTGGTTGATCGACTGACTGGCCGGTGCGAGACCGGTGAGAGCGATTGCTGACTCTTTTGCGTGCGATGTGTAGGCGCCTCTCTGCGAAGAACGCGAAGCTGCTTCGGCCCACGTTGTTCAACTACCTTGGTACCCGTGAGGAGTTTGACCAGTACACTTCTGAGCTTTTTGAGTTCATTGAGAAGCACAACATCGACGTTCGCATCCACGAGGTGTATCCGTTGGCGGAGGTTGCTAGGGCGCACCAGGATCTGGAGGGAAGGAAAACTACCGGAAAGCTGCTGCTGAAGCCATGAACAGTGTAAGCGAACGACCTCAAGAGACGGGTACATGTATCAGTCAATCAGATAAGTCGTCAAGCTCGATCTGGGAAGTGAGAGCAACGTCAAGTGAGACTAGCGTTGAGTTGGTTGTAATAATCTTTGGAGCGTGTTAATTCACCTTTGTGGTCTGTCTAAGTGAGCCAAGTGAGTGATAATGCTGTTGGAGTTACCCTGTTTAGACCAACTTTAGGCACCAACACCGGTTGCTCTTGCCCTAAGCGAGCAGGGTCCGATCAGCTGCCCATCATGCCAGTCACAGTCGCCCAAAAACTTATATAAACCCCCCCTCCTCCCCACTCCAAGCTTTTCTTTTCTTCTTCAGTTCTTTCCTCTTTGCCTTCTTCCTTCTCCTCCTTACCTAGGCTCTTATTTTAAGTTCAAGTCTTTTCTCCTTTGCCTTCGGGCTTAGATGAAGAGCAATGGGTGCAGAGCCAGAAGGCGATGTCTTGGCATCGTCTTCTGAGCGAAGCATCTGGTGACGACTACCTATAAAGGACGGGGTGGGTGGGCTGCAGCATGTCTGTACCCAGAGTCTACGCGCTGGGGGTCAAAAATCTATATTTTTCCTTGATTGATTCCGAACGTGATGATCCATTCAGAGTGACATGAACCGTGACACACAGACAAGCTTCACTTCACATCGATTTGCTTCTTCCACACGAATATGCTTGCCAACACTGGCCCATCCACGACACCAATCCCTCCCTCCCCTTCGCGCCCCCCTCATCCCCCAACATTTCAATCACACACCCCCACCCCCAAAGCCCGACACTCCTCCACCAGCCCCCTCATATCCTCGTCCCCCTCGCGCGCCCTGCGCTCGAACTCGGCCACGTTCTCCTTCATCCACGCCAGGTCGGCGCCCGCCTCGGGCAGCATGAAGCCCCTCTCCTCGCCGGCGACGATGGTGCCGTGCACGAAGATGGTGTCGAGCGGCGGGCCGCCGCCCGGCAGCAGATGGCGCTCCCAGGCCTGCCGCAGCTGCCGGCACAGCTCGTCGTACATGCCGCGGGGCCGCGAGGAGCCGGTGCGGGTGTGGGCGTGGATGGCGTTTACGCGGGCCTGGATGATGATGGAGTGTGTGTGAACCTTTTGTTGTTGTTGTTGTTGTTGAGAGAGAAAGGAAAGTGAAGTACGCGACACGACAAAACAGTACGCACGCACGCACGCGCGCGCGCCCCCAGTGAAAGAGCGCTGCTCCCTCAGAAACGCATATTGATCCTATTCCTCCGCACGCAGCGATGTCCTATGGGTTGCTGCTTAAGGGAAACACGGCATGCCAAAACGGTCATACGAGAAGAAAGGTCGGACTTTAAGTCCAGATGAAGGATTCGACTTCCACATGTGGCGCACAAATAGAAACGTCGCTCGGGGGAGCGTCCGGAAGTCGCACGCTTTCATGCAAGGATCGAGACTTTGCTTACAGGTTTGCCGCCTACGTAATAAGCAACGTCTGAGGCGTCCTCGAACTTGACATTGACGAACAGAGATGGGGTAGTGAAGACAGTCGTGTGGATTTTTGTGATTGCAGCGGCGAGCTCGTCGCATTGGGATTGGTTGAGGGGGTCTTTGTGAGAAACGATATAGAGCGGCATTGTGTGAATTGCCCAAGCCTATGACAGGATTGTATAAGTGGAGACTGATTCTCTGAACGGAATGCAAGACGTCAAGCGCCACGTCCATTTATGATGAGTATTTCTATCAGCTATGATGCGCTAGTAAGACGGCTCCAGTATTAGCGCTGTTTACTGATGTCCGGGGAAAGCTGCTTATTGATCCTCGGAGAAGAGGAGGGGTCGTTGGTTGGTGACGTCGATCTTCCGAGTGGCGTGAGGGGGTGGGGCACGTTTTCGGGCAAGAGGATCTCCCCGCCGGCCTCATGACCCTTAGCGAACCAACGTACACGGTGTATAGAACTGGGATGCCGAGATGGTTCCTGAGATGGAAAAGAGTGAATTTCAGTAATATCTACTTGGGTGTTGTGTAACGCCAATTCCATAACGCCGACGTATATGCAGTCGTTTCGTGTACAATGGCCTCGACTGCTCCCTTCCTAGTTGAGGACGACCCTTCGCGCTGCTCCATGTTGATTCTATCTTCGCTAGCAATTTTCGATCTCGGATCGCAGCCAAACCCGCTACAGTCGAATTACCACCGAAAGACGCCGTCAAAGCCAAGACCGAGACGTATCTGTGCAGAGAGGAGTGACAGATGTGCCTGGAACAAGACTTGGACAGTCCACTGCTGTGACACAGTGCATTGAGGTTCATTTCCGTGCTTAGATTCCACCACCTGCGGCGAAACGTTAGACAGCTAGTTCCGAGTGCAACAAGCGGAAGCAGCACTTACCAGAGCGGTGTGTCTCGACGCGGTAGTCGCCAGCAGGTCTCTGCTGGGCGTGGGGGTGGGCAGTCTTGAGCAGCAGGTAAGAAGCACTCAGTCCAGCAAAGGTGATGCCGAAGGCGCGGCGGCTGTGCGACCAGACCATGTCAGTCGAGCTCCTGGATGCATCCGGGGAAGCAGAATGCGGGGAAGAGCTAGCGGAGCCAACATACGTGAAGAGCGCGTTAAGACCCATGATGCAGGACTCGTAAAGGTCAATTGGGAGGGAAGGAACTGGTCAAAGGATACGAGGCTTCGAAGCAGCGGTGTGGAGAAGGTTGTTGAGTTGTTGGCGTGATGGCCTGGCACGCGACAGGCATTGGAAGGCCCGGCCACTTAAATCCGCGGCTAACCCTATGACGAAAGGCGAACGTTCCTTATCGATACCGGCCCTACTTCGGCTTCCCTGGGAAAAATCCACGCCTGCGACGCGCAGCTACTCTCTGTTCTCAACTGCCCTCTTTTACTCGAGCGCGTACCATCTTCTCCCAGTCCACGCATTTTCCGCTCCTGCAATCGCGGCGGCAGCTCCCACCCGCTTCGCCATGGCTCCTTCAAAGTCAAAGACCCCCAAGGGCGGCGCTTCGAAATCGAGATCGGGTGCCATCATCTGTGAGTTTTCTACGCGCGGAAATGCTATACTGCCCTCCGAAAACCACTTCTCAGCATGTAGATGGACTGACTGATTCGGATTCTCTACAGCTGATCCCCGTTTCGCCAACATCCACTCCGATCCCCGATTCCGCCTGCCCTCGAAGAAAAGCACACATGTCACCGTCGACAAGCGTTTCGCGCACATGCTCCAGGATGACGACTTTACGCGCAAGGCCTCCGTGGACCGTTATGGCCGCAAAATCACCAAGGATGCTGGCAAAAAAGAGCTCGAGCGCATGTACCGCGTCGAAGGCGAGGACGAGGACGAGGACGGGGAAGCCGAAGAGCAAAACTCGGACGAAGTCGACGACGATGACGAGGTGCAGAAGGAGCTGGCTAGGGTGGAGAGGAAATACGACCCTGCACGAGAGGGCGGTTTCTCTTCTTCGGAAGATGAGAGCGACGAGGACGACGAAGATGAGGTCGAGGTTCAGGAAGAGGACGCATTTGATTTCCCCACTGGCGGGAAAGAGGCCGAGATTGAGGAGATGGAAGACGCTACGCCGCGGCTGGCGGTCGTGAACCTGGACTGGGATAACATACGAGCCGCGGACCTCATGGCTGTCGCAAACAGCTTCGCGCCCGAAGGCGGTCGCATCCTCAATGTGACTGTCTATCCCAGCGAATTTGGCCGCGAGCGCATGGAGCGGGAAGAGCTCGAGGGTCCGCCGCGGGAGATCTTCGCAAAGAACAAAAAAGACGACTCTGAAGCTTCCGGGTCCGAAGAGGATTCAGATGACGAGGAAGAGAAGATTAAGAACGAACTGTTGCAGGAGGACAAGGGTGACGAGTTCGACTCCAAGGCGCTGCGTCAATACCAGCTGGAGCGCCTGCGCTACTACTATGCTGTCATTACCGCCGATTCCGCTGGAACAGCGCGGCAGATCTACGACAACATGGACGGGCGCGAGTATCTCTCCAGCGCCAACTTTTTCGACCTACGTTTCGTGCCCGACGACGTGTCCTTCGACGAGGATAAGCCGCGTGACGAATGCAAACGTATTCCCGACGGTTACCGGCCCAACGACTTCGTCACCGATGCCCTCACCCATTCGCGCGTCAAGCTGACCTGGGACGCCGACGACAACTCCCGAAAGGAGATCCAGAAACGCGCCTTCAGCCAACAGGAGATCGACGACAACGACCTGGCAGCATACATCGGCTCCGACAGCTCGTCCGACGAAGACGCCGGCTCCGAAGGCGACTCGGAAGCCGAAGCAGCAGCAGCAGCCGGAACCGGAACCACCAACAGAGACGCCAAAAAGCGCGCTCGCGAAGAGAAGGCCGCAAAGCTGCGCGCCGCGCTCGGCCTCGACGCCGGCAGCGCGCCGGCCGGCACCAAAAAGGCTCGCGACGCGGACAAGAAGCCGGTCGGGGACATGCAGATCACGTTCACGTCCGGGCTGTCGTCGGGCAAGGCCGACAAGAAGGCCGTCTTCGAGAACCAGCCCGAGGAGTCGACAAAGGAGAAGTACGTCCGCAAGGAGCGCGAGCGCAAGCAGCGCCGCAAGGACCGCGCCAAGGCGCGATCCATGGGCCTCGATCCGGACGACCCGGAGGCGCTCGCGAAGGTGCGCGGCGACGATGCCGATGCCGATGCCGATGGCGCCGACTCGTCGGAAGAGAAGGTTGCCGACGACGACGACGCCGCCGCCGCCGATCCCTTCAACGACCCCTTCTTCGAGAACCCCGATCAAGAGCGCAAGCGCGCCTTCAAGGAGGCCAAGAAGGCCGACAAGCAGCGCAAGCGCGAGGAGCGCGAGGCGCAGGCCGCCAAGAGCGCGGCCGAGCGCGCGCAGCTCGAGCTGCTCATGGCCGAGGACGAGGGCCGCTCGCACCTGCGCCACTTCGACATCAACGAGATTGAAAAGGGGGAGAAGCAGAAGGGCAAGAAGAAGGGCAAATGGGCCAAGAAGGCGGCGGCCAAGAAGGGCGACGAAGCGGCGGAGAACGCGCCGCCGGAACAAGACCAGGAGGGCTTCCAGATGGACACCCAGGACCCCCGCTTCAAGGCCTTGTTCGAGAGCCACGAGTTCGCCATCGACCCGACGAACCCGCGCTTCAGGGGCACCAAGGGCATGAAGGCGCTGCTGGAGGAAGGCAGGAAGAAGAGGAAGATGGGCAGGGGCGAGGAGGAGGAGGCCGCCGCCGCCGAGGTCAGCAACAGCAGGGGGAAGAGGGCGAAGAAGGGCGAGGGTGCGGGCGGTGAGGGGGGTAGGCAGCAAGACGATTTGAAGAGGCTCGTCGAGAGGGTCAAGGGGAAGACGAAGAAGTCCAAGGCGTAGGGAATGCGGAGGGATGAAAAAGAAAAGGTTGGGGGAGAAGACGAGATCATATGCATTGGGTTGGAGTAATTCGTTTTTTTTTGTTGTTCCATGAAGGAATTCGCACACAGGTTGCGTGGAAGTAAGCTATGCTGCATTCCCTCCACCAAAAAGAACCGGCATGGACCGGTTGTCAAGGGAAGGGGGCTTTCACATTCGATGCAATTTCGATTATAATTTCAGCATATGTCGAGGGAGCTCTCGGACGGGCACATTTTTTTTCTTTTCACATTGACAGGTTTGATACTTCCCATCTATCGAAAAGTGGTGCTTCAAATTACCTCGTATGTAGCTGTTCATTGTGTCGCAATAGACGTCGTTTTCGGTGACCCAAAGTGAATTGACCAAAAGGACCAAAGAGAATTCGTGTGAAATTCCGCTGTGCCAAATCCAAAAGATGGATTCTCTAATCACTCTCGAAGAAGACAAGTTTATTAGCCTGGACCGACACCAACATCCACGCCCTGCTCCGCATCGCTCACTACACACTTTTGTCGCTTCTCATGCACGCGCAACGCAATCCAACGAGAAGAAAAGGGAGGCTCACGTGGCCAGTAGACGGGGAAAGCGGGGGAAAAAAAAGGGAGCATTCTTTCGCGTCGATTGAACTACAGAGTAAAGATCGAAAGAAAAGAAAAGGTGCACCTAGAAGTTCATGAGATCTGGGGTAGAATGTCAGTTCTAGAAGATCGTAAATCAAAATGGAAGTACAACATACCTCGTCCAAACAGCGCCCTCTTGGTCCAGTCCATTGCCAGCAGGATTCTCGTCCGCAAGCTCACACTCTGTGCAAAGTAGACGCTGCGCCAGAGATAGACGGCCAGCAGGCCACCAGAGAAGTTGAGGCCGTTGATGTCGAAGATGGCGGCGTTGCCGATGTATGCGAGCGATCCAAGATGCCTGTACTCGAACGCCTTGTAGGCGACATCATCGAGGTCGCCATAGTCTACCTGGTTCATGCGCATGCCGGGGGCCGCGCGCGCGATGGCGTTGAACTTGCGCGACAGATACTGACCCTGCTGATGAGCACGCTGGGCCGTGGCCGGCAGCGATGTCAGCTTCGAGTCAATCTGGCGCAGCAATTCGCGGAGCTCGCCGAAGTCGAGGGTGCCGCTCCTGTCGGCGTCGTACTGCTCGAACAGCTTGTCTAGGCGGCGTAGATGGTCCGCTGCTTGTGGGAAGCGCGCCTTCACACGCTTAGCGACTTGGCGCCAGTCGGTGTAGGAGATGTGCATGTCCTCGGGATTCTTTCCCTTCTCCCAGGCGAGCGTACGCAGGAAGGTCACGATGTGGTCCGAGACGTTGTTCTGTACCGTTGCGCAGTCACCGATTGCGTAAACGTCACCTAGAGGTGCTCCTACGACACGGCAATGGGCGTCAGTCACCAAAGCATGCCTGTTGTTCTGACCGTCGAGCTTCTTGGCCAATCTTGCACAAAAGTCGGTTTGGGCTACAACCATCGTCAGCTATCGGTTCCTGACGAAACGCCTAGCGGCCAGTCAATCTTACCAACGCCAGTCGACCACAAACAGAAGCCCATGGGAAGCTCCTTGACAACAACATTTCCCTTCTCATCCTTCTGGGTGAAGAGGATCTTGTCGCCCCGGACTTCCTTTACTCTGGAGTTTGTGAGGACATCAACTTGGTCCTTGGCAAAGCGGGCCTATGAGAATGTTAGTGCCAGTTCATCGTGGTCAACCATCTCTGGAACAGACCTCGGCGTATCTCGAAAGAGCCTCATCGTACGTATTGAGAATGTGCCCTCTGCTCTGAATTACGTGCACCGAAATCTCTGACCGGAGAATCTTGGGGAAGAACTTGGTCAAGTCCTCGTTAAGCATGTCGTAAAGTTCAGCCGCGAACTCAACACCAGTAGGACCGCCTCCGCAGATTACAAAGGAGAGAAGACGGCGGCGTTCCTCATCGGTTGTGGTAGGCAGGCACGAAGCTTCCAGGTTCTGAATGACGGTGTTCCGGATCAAGCGCGCGTCGGTAATGTCCTTTAGGAAATGACAGTTTTCGAGGCCCTTGACACCGTGGGCATTGGTTACGGAGCCTGTCTCGGTCAGATAGGGGGCCTCGGCCAGTTTCTCGTCTCGACTTACCAACGCCAACGATGAGCTTGTCGTAAGGCAGATAATAGTTTTCTTCTTCACCGTGAGGACCCATGCCCGTGACCTCGACGAGCTTTTCCGAAAACTCGACATCGACTGCTTTGCCCTTGAAAAAGTGACCATTCTTGCCCGCTATTATGCGTCGCACCGGCTCGACTAGCGACCTGAGCTCCAGCGTGCCAACCGTGGCGGACGGAAGCATGGGGGTAAAAAGGAAATAGTTGGAGGGGGCAACGACGGTGATGTGGTAGTCGTCAGGGTTCAGGCCTTTCAGCAAGGAAATGCTGCCCCATCCGGTGCCCAGAATAACCAACTTCGGCTTGTGTTTTTGCTCCTTCTTGTCCGGGCTGTCGTCATCGTCGACCAGATGCTCTGCAATTGGCAGGTTCTTTGGGCCTCCTTTCCGGGGAAAGAGGGCGAGTTCAGAAACGTGGATGTCCTCGTTGAAAGGCCCCTCTTTATATGTGGTAGCGTCGAAGATGAAGAAAGCAACGACTATGCTGCCACCAACGATGGCGAAGATGCCTATCCACGCAGCAGTCTTGTAGAGGGCTCGGAGAGCGGCGGGCGTGCGTGACGGGGCACCATTTGTCGAAACAGGGCGACTGAGGAAGTTTGGCACCTGGTTGCTCCTGGTGTGCCTGAGGCGCGCCAGGGAGCTTGGGGCCAGCGGTCTTCTCCGCAGGACGTTGGGGGTCGTGGAGGTGGACGAGCATCTAGCGGCGGCAGAGAGGCCAAAGGCGGGACGCAGACTGCTCTTGGTAGCCGCGGGGGCGCGGGTGCGCGCGCTGCCGGCGAGTTGCTGCAGGCGCAGCATGGTTGAAGCTGGTTTCGAGACGCGGCGATAGGGGAGCTCGAGGGTCGATGGGGACGAGCAGGGGCCAATTGGTAGGGCAGGCTAGCAAAGCGAGCGTGCGAGGGTCATGGACGCGTGAGCGGAGAAGAATTGTCGTAAGGATGGTGTTGATGGAAAGACTTGAGGATGCGCGGCTGCCAGCTAGCTCTAGAGGTGTGACGTACAAGCGCACGCTAGGACGCTCCCGACTCGGCCGATCCACCCGCGCCGGCGCCGACATTCACGCTGCAACGCTGCAACGTCCATCTATCGTCCCGCTATCGGAATGCGTTCTGAGCCCTCACTGGTCTGGGCCGTCGGGTTTCGCCTTTGCCGCTCTGAAAATTTGTTTGATCCTGCCTGATTTTCTCTGACTGGGACCCATCCCTTTTCTCTCACCGCAGACAAGCCCAGTAAATTCCATCTCCCTTTATCTAATCTGATCATCTTTGCCCGTTGCATCTGATCGTCCTCTGCACGAGATCCTCTGCGCCCAGCTCGACGGAGGCCTGGCCTTCGGAGCCCGTCCCCTGCGTCTAGGCAGCGCTTGTTTCTGAGCCGCATCGCGCGCAGGGAAAGCCCTCGCGAGTCAGCCTGGCTGGGCAGTGCCTAGCGAGCGCCTCTTACTTCTAGCTCCGAGTTTTGTCCTTATATCTAAATCAGCTCCAATTCTCACGCAGAAGCATACTTCTCGTTTTCACCACTACCGCTTTGCCACTTTTCTATCCATACTAATGTATACCTCTAAGCTATACGCGTACATACATCAGCGATTTTTGGATAGCCACAGAACACGAACGTGACGTGTAATGGTCTGCTTGGAACCATGGCAGGGCAGAAAGAAACGGAATATCACCATATGCTCCGCAAACGACCCTTTTCGTTACATGGCTGTAATAATCAGGAGCTATGCTTACGCTCAATCTTCCATTAGTCAGCTCTCAACAATCCTAATGGAGCATTTCAAAGTGGCACCATCGTTCTGCTACCGATCTTGCCGTCACAGTACGTCCAGCCCACGCTCGGTCGCCGATGCCAAAGCTCTTTGTGGTGACGTTCAATATGGATAGCTTTTCAGCCCACGGATCTCTATCAATTGCGGTCCCGGGCATGAGAGAGTCGTCGGTTGCTGTGCCGCCTTCTCTGTCCCTTTGCTCTGTATCCCCTTCTGCACCTTCCTCCACACCAAACTCAGCACCAAGTAGGGCCTCCTCTTCCTCCGTCCAAGGCTCGTTCCTTCTTCGGTGAAGGTGATGAGGTATGGGACACTCTGTGATCACTAACTTCTGCTTTCTAAATGCGGCTGCCTCAACGGCGACCGCAAGCGTACGACTCAAGCCTTGGGCAGAAAACGACGTTGTCTCCCTGTGCAGAGCAATCGGATTCAGGAGAGCTAGAATGGGGTAACTGCTGGTGGGGCCGCCGAATGACGTGCTCGCCTGAGTAGGCTGTGACGCCGGGTCGCCAGACGCTCTGGTCGTCAAAGAGGAAAGGTACGCTCTGAGAGCCTCCAGGCTTGCGCAGAAAGTGACATGGATGGTCGAGGTCGTGAAGAGGTTGTGGATTGTGGGCATCAGAAGCTCATCCAGAAGTGGAGGTGGCGGGGACGGACTGTGCTCTTGGCTATCCTGGGTTCCTGCAGACGCTACGCGCTCAGAAGTGCGGGCGTCCTCTGCGAGACGGTGTAGCAACTGCTCGAAGTCGGCGCGAGATGAACAGACGACGAGCGAGGTGGGCGGCGCATGGTGGTCGATGAGATGGCGCAGGAAGGCGAGGAGAGAGACGGGGTGCAGGACAGAAGGACGGAGCATGATATCAGCTTGCGTACACGGCCAGGACCTCTTCCTCGTTTCGGACGTCCACGTGTGAGGCCGCAGGTTGGAGAAGGCCGCCTGACGGCGCCTACCCGCTGTCTTAGATGGAGCGCGCTCCTATTCGCCGCCGATAGTCGTGCTGCGCTGAAACGCCGCCCCCTAACCACATGCCTTTAAATCCAGGCGAAGGCACTCGCGTCAGTTAAGTGTCGTTGTCGTGCGCAAGAAAGCGCGGTGCCTGAGAGATTCCTGCTTTTCCCGGGGTGGCTTGCAGCAGCCGACGCAGGGATCATGTGGGCGATGATGGAGGGCGGAGCTGCGGGCCAGCACCACTTCTCGTCAAGCTGGAGCTCCGCGCCGACATCGTCGGACAACCCCAAGCGTCTGCCTCTGCACAAATCACCCCCACGGCCCGGCCCCCAAGGCAGAAGGACGACCAAGTGCGCGCCCGTGCATGCCGACGCCAAGATGGAGTCCATGACCAGGATCTCGAGCATGCTGGAGACGGGTAACGCGCTCCCCATTCTTTTTTCCGCCTGTCCAAGCACCCACCGCTCACACCAGCTCCCCGCCTGACCCAGCCCGCGACCTGACCCTCGAAGCCGCCCGCGATGCCAGCGCCGTCCGCCGAACCTCCGCTCGCCCGCTGCCCGCCGACCAGCTCAAGAAGCTCCTCGATTCGCGCCATGACCGCGAGGTGCTGGAGGGCCTGCGGCGCGTCATATCCGTGCGTCCCCTCCCACCACTCCGGCCATTGCTCTCACAGCCGCCGTACAAGACATCCGAGGGGGGAGAGAGAAAGGCACGAGCAGAACGAATCGCTGACTCTGAAGTTCTCTTGCGCGACCCGTAGATGGCGTATCGCAACCAGCACACGCTGCCCTTCTTCTCCGCCGTGATCAAGAACATTGCCTCGCCCAACATCGAGATCAAGAAGCTCGTCTACATCTTCCTGCTGCACCACGCCGAATCCGAGCCCGACACCGCCCTGCTCTCCATCAACACCATCCAAAAGTCCCTGTCCGACTCCAACCCGCAGGTGCGCGCCCTGGCCCTGCGCGTCATGTCCGGCATCCGCGTGCCCGCCATCAGCCAGATCGTGTCGCTTGGCATCAAGAAGGGCGCCGGCGACATGAGCCCCTACGTGCGCAAGGCCGCCGCCCTCGCCGTCCCCAAGTGCTACCGGCTCGATCCCAACACGCTGCCCCAGCTGATCGACTATCTCTCGACCCTGCTGGGCGACAAGCAGTACTACGTCGCCGGCGCCGCCGTGTCCGCCTTTCTTGACGTGTGTCCGGACCGGATCGACCTGATTCACCCGCACTACAAGGGATTGATACGGAAGCTGGTGGACATGGACGAATGGGGCCAATTGGCTACGCTGAGGCTTATGACTATCTACGCTCGCAAGTGCTTCCCCCGGCGGACGCGGAGGGTCAGGAAGAGCAACGGCAGCAGCAAGCCCAAGCCCACCAAGGGCTTCTACGACGACTCCAGCGACGACGAGGAAGAAGAGCCGGTGGATCCATCGGAATTGGAGGAGATCGTGGTGCTGGACGAGGATCTGGAATTCCTCCTCCGCTCGCTGACGCCGCTCCTCCAATCCCGCAACTCGGCCGTCATCGTCGCCGTCGCGCGCTGCTACCTGCACCTGGGCACCCCGACCTACCTAGACGCGGCCGTCGGCCCGCTCGTGTCCCTGCTCCGCTCGTCGCCCGACGTGCAGCTGATCGCGCTGCACAACGCGGTGCGCGTCTGCATGGCGCGGCCGGAGCCCTTCGTGCGCTACGCCTCGCACCTGCTGCTGCGCGGCACCGACGCGCCGCAGATATGGCGCCTGAAGCTCGAGATGCTTACCTTGATCTTCCCGTACGCGCCGCACCACCTCCAGAGCCTGATCCTCGCGGAGCTCGCGCACTTTACGGGCGGCCACGACGCGGGGCTCGTGCGCGAGTCCGTCCGCGCCATCGGCCGCTGCGCGCAGCGCACCCAGGACGCCCACGTCGCGGCGCGCTGCCTGCGGCTGCTGCTGTCGCAGATATCGTCGCCGGACGCGCGCCTGGTGGCCGAGGCGCTCGAGGTGGTGCGGCACCTGATCCAGCGCGACCCGGAGGCGCACCGCGGCACCGTCGTGCGCCTGGCCAAGAACCTCGACACGGCGGCAAGCCCCGCGGCGCGCGCCAGCATCATCTGGCTGGTCGGCGAGTTCGCGGGCATCGACCCGGCCGACAACATGGCCGCCGACGTGCTGCGCATCCTGGCCAAGGGCTTCGCCGGCGAGGCCGAGGAGAGCAAGCTCCAGATCCTGCTGCTGGCCGCAAAGGTGTACCTGCAGCATCTGCTGCTCAACCCGCCGCCCCAGCCACCAGCGGGGAAACCCACCGACGATGACGAACAGCAGCCTGCTGCTTCCACACCGCTCGCGCTGCCCGAAGAAGAAGAAGGCGGCTTTCGCGAATACAACAACGACTCGGCACTAGCACCACCACCACAACAACAAGCACACGACGAAGAAAGAAGGGAACAACAACCCCTCACCCACCCCATCCCCCTCCTCTACAACCACATCCTCCTCCTCACCCGCTACGACACGTCGTACGACCTCCGCGACCGCGCCCGCCTCTACCGCGCCCTCCTCGCCGTCCCCTCGTCGACGGAGCTCGCGTCGCTGCTCCTGCTCGCGCCCAAGCCCGTCCCGCACGCGCCCTCGCCGTCCGAGTCGCGCGCCGCCTACACGCTCGGCTCCGCCAGCCTCGTCGTCGGCGACGAGGGCGGCGTCGTCCAGGGCACCGGCCTGCGCGGCGGCGAGGCGCTGCTGCCCGACTGGGTGCGCGACGGCGACGAGCCGGACCCGAGGCTGAGGGAGGAGAAGGCTGGTGGGGGTGGTGCGGCCGAGTATGGCGGTGGTGGTGGTGGGTATAGCAGCAGCGAGTTCGCGGCGCCTCCGGTCAGGGCGGCGCCGGCGGGTGAGGCGTTGGATCGGGCGGTGAAGGATACGGGTGGATTCGGGGCGGGAGGTGGGATTGGAGGAGGAGGAGGGGTGGGAAAGCAGAATGGGATCAAGGAGAAGACGCTGGATGACTGGCTTGCGGAGGATGAGGACGAGGATGAAGAAGAGGACGAGGATGAGGAAAGCGAAGAGGATGACGAGAGTGGAGAAGAGGAAACGGACGAGGAGGAGACAGATGACGGAGAAGGTGGTGAATCGGAAGAAGAAGAGACGGAGAGTGAGGACGAAGGCGAAAGAGGACGCTTGGTGAAATGACAAATGATAGTAACATGGGGGAAGGAAAGAAGAATGAAATAGGAATTTTTCTCGCGCGCACAGCACATACCTTTTTCATCCCTCCTTCTCTTCCCTGCGCCGCCCTTTCTCAACTTCTGATGACTAGGAAAACATCGTCTCCTTTTCCTGAGTCCCGCTGGCGTCTCCCGCCCCGCCTGATCCGCTGGGTGCTACTGCTTCCTCCACCCGTCCGTCCCTCGCGCTACGATCTCTCGTCTTTGGTCTCGAACGTGGCTTGCTTTTTGTCTTGACTGAAATAGAAAGGTAAAAAAGAATCTGACTGACTGAATATGGAAGTGAGAGAAGAAAGTGTTGACTTATAGCATGAAGATTCTTTAAAACGAACGGAGACGGGCTATTGACTGATGCGTGTGCTTGCGGCGACTTTCTTCATTCGCTTTTCTCTGCTCTCTTTGCTTCTTTGACGACAACGACGAGGACGACGACGACGACGATGACGGAGGCTGACGACGTATTGGATTCGGGAAAATGCGCGAGGTGTACAGTGTAAGGGAGAAGAAGAGGATTGAGGAGGGGAGGGGAGGGGCTCTGCAAGCGGATGCATGCAAAGTGTATGGCGGGGGGGTGGGGTTCGGGGTGTAAGTGCAAGCAATACGTCATCACCAGCCGTCGTCTTGAATCTTGAGGAAAGAAGACTCGGAAAAGAGGATAAGGATATTATCTCTAATACGAACCTGACGTAAAGAAGAATGAAGAGGATGGAAATTCTCAAGAGACGCGTGGAAAAAGGAGGCTTTTCTTTTTCAAAAAAAAAAAAGTCAGAGGAAGAAGGTTGGAGAAAGTGGAGCCAGATGAGGGAGGGATCGGAAACGAAAAAGAACAACGCGTTTCCCGAATCCTTGTCTCGTAACTCCTTGAGCCATGCAGTTTTGGAGGGGCTTCAACGACAACCTCTCCCCCTTCAAAAGGACTTTTAGTTCTGATAACCGAGTGCGACGGATGACCCATCAGTACAAGATAGCCAAGGAAGATGAAGAACATCAACAAATATGGCGAGAAGGAAGAAAGGGCCCCAATAAATGCCGAATAGTACCAAGACGTCAGATGAAACGCAACTCGCGAGCATTCGTCGCTTCCATAGTCATTTTGCTCTCAGTTCGGAAAGCAGCTGGCGGATGGTGTCAAGAAGTAGAATCAAACGATGCAGAAGCGCCCTCATATCCAACCGGAAAGAAAAATGGCGCCGTTAAAACCTAAGATTGAAGACGGTTCATTAGCAAAGAGAAACGTAGTCCTGAAGTGAGGCTGCCTTACTGAGTCGTAGTCAAGGCTTGCTAGTATTTCTTTCCGCGTCTTCGGCATAGCAAGCTCAATCGCTAGTCAAAACATGCGCAACAGCTAACAAGGATCAGCCCCTGGAAGCTACTCGTCGAAAGCAACTACAAGCGACGCGCTACATGGACACCCAGGATCGACTTTAAACTTATCGTCGACTTTATCAAGTTAGCATCCAAATGTGTAGTTTTTGGCGGGACGCCATTGCATACCTATAAGCAGCGGCGACGGCTGGTTGTCGCCTCTTGATACGCGGCGTGTAGTCGTCTTCTTGTCTTTGAGGTGACTCGGTCTCTTCGTAGCTTCGTTTCCTCCCGGTGCTACTATCAGCTCTGTGCGGTCGCGGTCTTTGTGGATCTTTGGCGATTTTGTCGTGCGTTCTAACATCTTCCATGTTGAAGTCCGACCCTGTAGCAGTGTGCTGGCTGTTTTCAGACTTGGTCGGGCTTTGGCATCTGTCACCGTTCCTCGCTGGTGCCTGCTCTGCTCTCCAACAATCAGAGGACGGGGATCGTTTCTTTACTGGACCGTGCGAGGCAGGGTGATCGTATCCATCATAATCGGTGGACGGGCGCTTCGGAAGATGTTCTTCGTACGACCTGGATTCGTCAGCCTTCGCCGGGTAAGTAAGTCATAAGTAGCTTACCGATCCTGACCACTGCCTTTTCGTGAGCTTGGCTTGGGGGGTTTCGGCGGCAAGAAAGTTGGAGTAGTCAAAGGTTTGACCGGTTTCGGCGAACCTGTCACGCCTAGCGACGCCAATAACTCTTCCTGAGCGTCATCCCGCGAAGGTGGTGGCGGAGTTGATTTGCCATTGCGAGATTGTCGTCTCGAGCCGCCTTCTTCTTGCTCAGATGATAGAGCCTGCTCAAGATTGTCCATGATGTTCCAAACAGCGTCGTGTCGTTCACCTCTTTCCTGTATGCTTGGGTAAGGATTCTCTCCCTCAGAGTCGGGCCGATCTCTGTTTGCAAGGACATCTTCTAATGCCACAATGTCCGACATGTTGGGGAACTCGTAGAATATCGAGTCCCGCTTCACCGAGTCCCATTCATCCGTCTGTCGGACATTCAAAAATGCCTCGTGGGCGTTCTCGAGGCCAAAATACTCGGAAACAGAATCTCCGTTGCCGATCCTAGGCAAGGGGGGCTTTGCTGCTTTCTCTTCGGCTGAAATGAAGTCGGATGAAAGCGCACGAGTCGTCTCATTTGCCGGATGCCATATGATGACGCCAAGGCTGAAGTTTTGGTCAACCGGCTCATTTGACTTGGGCCAGATGGCCCCATCGAAATCAGTTTGATCCCATTCGTCGAGCCCAAGATTGATGGTGTATGGATCGGTTTGGTAAAGCTTATGGGACTCTGGAACCTCGGTAGGGACTATGCTTGCAGTACGGGTGTTCCGGCGAGATTTTGAGGGCCGTGAGTTCTGATTCGGAGGCGAATTAAGGATTAAGGGCGGTACGACTGTTGTGGGGGAAATGGCAGTTTCAGACGGAGGAGGATACGATCCGGATCGACTGCTAGGCGGGAAGGTTGGAGGCTGCTGGAATCCATTGGGCGGATAAGCTGCTGGTGCACTGGATGCATCGGGCGGTGGCGGTGGAGGTGGCTGTTGATACCCTTGCTGTTGATACCCTTGAGGCGGAGGGTAGCCCGGCGGTGGCTGCCATGCTGGCTGGTAACCCTGAGAGGGCTGCTGGTACCCAGGAAAATAGGATTGGGAAGGATAGCCCTGGAGATACTGGCCTTGAGCGTAGGGAGGTTGACCCGAGGGCGGCGGAGGAGGCCGATAACCCGGGGGCGGAGGATAGCGGGTGATGACGGGGTTACCTTTACGCTTCGGGGGATAGTTGGTCGGAGCACTTCAATATGATCAGTAGGGAGGAGAAGACAAATTGGCGAAATTAAAGAAATGACTGAGACGGAAGATATGCGCGAAGAGTCGCACAAGTGCCGAAGAATCTCCAGCAAACTCAACAAAAACGCTTACCTCGATGGCTGGCTGGATGGCGGAGCGCTTTGCTGGTACGGGGGCTGGGCGTAGGGTGGCTGGCCGTACGAGGGCTGCTGAGGATAGGGTTGCGGCGCGTATGCCGGAGCTGCCTGGTACGCAGGAGCGCCGCCGGAAGATGGAGCACTCCAGGACATGGTGCCGGCGCCGAGAGAACGGGTGCGTCGATGGCTGCCACGGGCAGATTACAACGGCGGCAGGCGAGCGCAGAGGGAGAGTCGGCTTGGGTCGCCCTGAGATGGCTTCGGCGGGACCGAGGTGCGGGCTGATGCAGCGACAAGCGCGCACACGAGCCGAGAGACGAAATTGGCCAGGCTTGCCAGAGCTACCGCATCACGGTCCAAGAGAGCGAGCAAAGAGCGAATCGGAGAGCAGGGCGAGCAAGGCGAGCAGGGCGAGCAGGGCGTGGCAGGGCCGGGGCAGGCGCGAGGATCAATGCGGGAGACGGCGAGCAGGAGCGCGGGCTGGGAGGCGAGAGACAGAGAAAGCCAACCTCAGCTCAAGAGGGAAGGAAGTCGACCAGAGCAGGGGTTGTTCGCCGGTATCAATCGGGAATTGACGACAATTGCGCGGCTGTTGGGCGGCGGAAGACATGGGCAGCAGCGCAGCGGGCGGAGGCCGAGGGAGCTAGAGTTCTACGCCGCCGCGGGCGGGAGCGGTGCGGGATATTCCTTGCGGTGGTGGCCGTCGAGCGTTGGAGGCCGCGCAACGGGAAACTTTGGAGGCGCTCAGTCACGTGCCCGCCGCGCCCTCGGCTGACCCGAGCTTAGCCTAGCACAGCTGCCGTCTTCTCGCTTTGAAAGCTGCTGCTTTCACCACCATCCGCCCAGCGCCCGCCCCCAGCGCGGCCATGCCCTCTTGAACCCCGCCCAGAATGCTTCCGCCGCGCATGCGAATGCTGCTGTCCCCCGCTCCCTAGCCCCGCGCCCGCCCGAGCTCGTTCCGCGCGCGCCTCCGACGCGTCCTCCACCCACCGACGACATGCCAGGCCTCCCGGGTAAGCAAGCTCCCACATGCCGCTGCGCTCCGACCACCGCCTGCTCCGTCGATGAGCTGACCCCGCCTCTGCGCAGCCACCGTCGACCTCGATGAGTGCATAGCCCGCCTCTACAAGAAGGAGCTCCTCGCCGACTCGGTCATTGAGGCAATATGTGCCAAGGCAAAGGAGCTCCTGATGAAGGAGAGCAATGTCGTGCACATCGACGCCCCCGTCACCGTTGTTGGCGACATCCACGGCCAGTTCTTCGACATGATTGAAATATTCCGCATTGGCGGCTTCTGCCCGGACACAAACTACCTCTTCCTCGGTGCGTGCCACGCGCGGCGCATTGCATCCTTCTTGGGTCGCGACACTGACCGTGCCGTCCTCGTCCAGGTGACTACGTCGACCGCGGCCTCTTCAGCGTCGAGACCATCTCGCTGCTCGTATGCCTCAAGCTGCGCTACCCGCACCGCGTGCACCTGATCCGCGGCAACCACGAGTCGCGCGGCGTAACGCAGTCGTACGGCTTCTACACCGAGTGCTCGCGCAAGTACGGCAACGCCAACGTGTGGCACTACTTCACCGACATGTTCGACTTCCTGACCCTGTCCGTCGTCATCAACAACCAGATCTTCTGCGTGCACGGCGGCCTGTCGCCCAGCATCCACTCCATCGACCAGATCAAGATCATCGACCGCTTCCGCGAGATCCCCCACGAAGGGCCCATGGCCGACCTCGTCTGGAGCGACCCGGACAGCGAGCGCGACGAGTTCAGCCTCAGCCCCCGCGGCGCCGGCTACACCTTCGGCGCCCAGGTCGTCAAGAAGTTCCTCGAGGTCAACAACATGTCGCACATCCTGCGCGCCCACCAGCTGTGCCAGGAGGGCTACCAGGTCCTGTACGACGACCGCCTCAGCACCGTCTGGAGCGCCCCAAACTATTGCTACCGCTGCGGCAACATGGCCAGCGTCCTCGAGGTCAGCGACACGGGCGAACGCTTCTTCAACGTCTTCGACGCCGCGCCCGAGAACGACGTGCACAGGGCCGAGCAGCAGCAGCAGCAGCAAGGAAAGGAGGTCCAGACGGAATACTTTTTGTAGTAGTATGTGCATACCAGTCGCGAGAGAGACGTGGTTTTCATGGCGTTGGAGAAACGGCTTGTGGCTTGTATAAGATATCACGAGGGCATTGAGGGCGCAAATACGTAGTCACGCTTTGACGAAAGAACGGTGGAGGAATACCACGTACAGCTGGCAAGAATCTGTGTTGCTTACTCGTCATTTTTCGCAAGCCCAACTGTTGTTGTCTCAGGCTTGAAGGCATCCTCGCGCGCACCACCGTTTGCGGCCCATGCGGAGGTAGAACACCATTGGCAGTGTTGGATGTATTCCTCAACCGGCTACGATGGGAGTTGTGATCGAAAGTCTGTCTCAACAGCCTTTCATACGTACTAGTTGAGCTCCGCGTTCAGAACAGCAATAACAAGAATACCCGCAGGAGGTGAAACATCATGTAGTCATTGCAGACTATGATGCATCAATCTGAAAGGATGCACACAAACGTTTGGTTCATGCGCGGTAAGTAGGAATTTGTTAGCGAATGCCGCCCAAAAAAAAAATTGAACGCTCCGTACTTACTGTACAATCCTCAATTTGCTTGTTTTTGTTTGTTCTGCTTGTCCCATTGAGTGCCAGAAGACGCAAATTCTTGATTCATTAATCCGCGTGGTGTTGAGCTCAACAAGCCCCTTAAGAGGACCCTAGCAGCTGTCTTGGATGGCCGTAGCTACTGATATAAGCCATTGGCCGCTCTCTCCGGGGCCGCTATCGTCATAGCAGGCACTTGAGCGACCCCCGCTGGCGGCGGTCACTGGCTTATACCAGTTGCTACAGCCATTCGAGCAGCTACTAGGGGCCCGCGGGGCGCGTTCAAAATCCAACGTCCTTTGGCACTTGGTGGGATAAACAGAACAAGCAGATTGAGAGTTGTACCTAGGTGGCAGGTACGAAGAGATCACATTTGAAGGCGTTCGCTAACGAATTTGTTTGGTCGGCATCATGCCGTCCCGAACCTTGCCAGCACTGTAGGGATGGAAGCGTGTGAACGGGTATCTTTGATTAATCCCTCGACCTGAGAACCATGTCCCGGTCCAAGCACGTAGAAATGATACAGGGCAGCCTCGGAGACGCCCAATCCAGCCAAAAACCAGTGGCCATCCCAGCAGCGCTTCCTTATGCCGAACCGAATGAATACGCCTGAATACTAACGCCATAACCGTGGCCAACACCATGCTAGAAACCTTAAAAGTCGAAAGCCTTTGAGCAAGAGATTGGGGGACACGACAGGTTCAGTCCCTCATCGCGTCGGCTTCCCCATTGCCATTGTTCATTACTTCGTCATCGTCATCGTCGGTTGATGTCTTCTCGGAGTCCAGTCCCAAGCTCAAGTTCGCTGGAATATGCTTGCGCGCCTCCTTGGCCTTCTGTTCCGACCACGCACGTAGCCTGACGAGCTGTTTGATGCGAGCCTCACGATTGGCACCTTGACTGGACAGGATGGCTTCATTGACCCTTGTTGCGACGGTTTGACGAAGCGAGGGGTCGAGCAGCTGCGCGAGCGGTGGCGCCAGGTTCTCGGGCGGGAAGATTAGGAGCGCCATGGTACGCTCAAGGTCTTCGAGAAACTCCGTGTTGGTTGGAGCACGCGGTGCCAACTCCGACGTTGCGAACGTGAGTGCCGGGGTGATGTCAGCGTTCGGGCTTGACATGCACTTCCGAATGAGCTCGATCAGTTGCAGGCGCAAGAGCGCAAAGTGCAATGCTGGATCATGGTCGAGAATCTGCGCCAGTCAGCGGTGTACTTGGCAAGGCTGGATGGACAACGACGTGAATGTGATGGGATGCAATTCATAAGGAAATGAAGGTTTTGTTTATCATCAACGTCCGCCCGAAGGTGGTTATGTGTGGTGCATGATACTTCAATAATCATAAGAGCAAAGTGGGCTGGGCTGCGGTGCATGCAAGGGTGGAGGTGGACTGACCTGAGGGTTGAGATCGTTGATCTGGTGGATAGCCGACTCGATGTTCCCCGCATGAATGGCATTCCTGATGTCAACGCGCTCTTGTATCGACTGTGGCTCGGCGCTGTGCGGAATGTTGGCCTCGAGCGCGAATCGCTTCGCCGCCATCGGATAGCCCTCGCTGACAAGGTAGTCCATGATGACATGATTGATGTCTCTGCAGTGCCAGTCAGCACCTGATATTGCTCGACTCCAGCGCGGCGTGTAGGACGACAGGGCAGAGGTGGCCAGGATCAGAAACAAGTAAATTTGGTCTCCACATTGAATTTCGGAGAGATTCCCAACTTGATATAAACACATCATGGAATTGGCGAGGGCGGGGTAGGGCGCGTGGTGAAGTCGGCAGAGGCATACGTACGATTTCGAGGGCTTGATCTCCTCGACGCGGCGGTCAAAGGGGTGAGAGGGCCTCGGCGTAGCCGTCGAGACCACGGTTGAGGAGCTCTGCGCGGGTCAGAAAGCGAAGTAGACGGGTGGGCGCGGGGAAGTACCAACCATCGTGCAGGAGATAAGAAATCCTCAGTCTATCGCGCGTCCATCGGTCATCTCCGCGCTGTGCTGACGCAAAAGACAGCGACGAAAGGCAGGCGAGCGGTGGGGCGGCGAGGGGTGGTGGAGGTGGAAGTTGTTGAGAGGGAGGGAAGAGCTGATGTGGGAAGTCGCGAAGGAGAAAAGCCTCTGCCGAGGACGGTCACGTGGGCGTCGGCGCCGCCCTATTCCCCGGGCTTGGACCACACCCTCTGATCCACCGCGAACATTTTTAGTCATTGCGCAGCCAGGGTGCAGGACCCTATCGCTGCCCGTCTTTTTCGTATATCTCCCTTCCACCACCATGTTCGTTTAGCCCGCCTCACCCTCCACCCGAGTGCACCCCGCGGCAACCTTGCAGGATGAGCACTGTCCAGAGAGCCCATTATTCCCCGCCGTGGGCCAACACCAGCATTATCGGTGTTGCTGGCAGTTCCGGTTCAGGAAAGACGACCCTCTCCCTGGCGATCATCTCCGCCCTGAACCTGCCCTGGGTCGTCATCCTGTCCATGGTGGGTGTAGCCCACATCCCCACTGCCCGCCCGCCTGCTTATCAATCCGCTTCCCAGGACTCATTCTACAAGCCGTTGACCCCGGAGGAGTCTGCCAGAGCTTTCAGAAATGAATATGACTTCGATGCGCCCGAGGCCATCGATTTCGATCTTCTTGTAGACGTGTTGCGCGACGTCAAGCAGGGGTAAAATATTGTCTTGCACGCTTTTGCACATTGAACCGGCAAACTGACGCCCGCAAAGTAAAAAGGTAGAGGTCCCCGTGTACTCGTTCTCCAAGCACAATCGCGAAGAGAAGACAACCACCATTTACTCGCCGCACGTCCTCATCCTCGAAGGCATCTTCGGCCTACACGACCAGCGCGTGTTGGATCTGCTCGATTTGAAGGTCCGTCGCCGTATTATATCATGTGACATTCGCAGTATATTGACCCCCACAGATTTTTGCCGACGCCGAGCCTGACCTGTGTCTTTCCAGACGGCGTAAGCACTCACAATCTCTTGACCACGGCTATTCTAACCAGCTGCTCACCAGTTGTGCGCGATGTCAAGAGCCGTGGCCGTGACATCGAGGGCTGTATCAAGCAGTGGTTCCTGTACGTGAAGCCCAACTTTCACAGATATGTTGCACCTCAGCGAGAAGTTGCCGGTAAGTTCACGTCCAAACACGGTGAAGGAGCATCCATGATCTAAGGAATCCAGACCTTATCGTTCCGCGTGGTGTCGAGAACACGGTCGCCATTTCCATGGTCACCGACCGTATCCACAAGATTCTCACCTTGAAGTCGAGGATGCACCAAGCGGAGCTCAAGCGTCTTGGGAAGCTCGCAGAAGAAGCTCCCCTGTCATCCAATGTCATCGTTCTCCCAGAGACAAGGCAGAATCGAGCCATCCACACGCTCCTGGTCAACCCCGCTCTTGATCGCGAGAACTTCATCTTCTACTTCGATCGCATTTGCGCGCTGCTGATTGAGGAGTCTCTGGTGTGCATGCATTTCGACGTAGTCGATGTCACGACACCCATGGGGACAGTCTACCGAGGCTTTAAGCCCACGGGCGAGACCAGCGCAGTCACCATCCTCCGTGGCGGCAGCGCATTGGAGAGGGCTTTCCGGAGGGTCCTTCCCGATTCAAGGAACGGGAGGATCCTCATCCAAACCAACCATCGGACTGGAGAGCCGGAACTGCATTACAGGGCGCTCCCGAAAGACATCGAGAAACACGAGCGCGTTTTGCTTATGGATTCACAAATGTCAAGCGGCGGCGCTGCTCTCATGGCAGTGAAAATCCTAGTGGACCATGGCGTTCCGGAAAAGAACATTGTCTTCGTCACTTATATGGCCGGAAGGCTAGGTGTAGGAAGACTGACGCACGTTTTCCCGGATATAATGGTCGTTGTTGGACGCTTGGTCGACGATTACGAAGAGAGATGGGTTGAGAAGAGGTATTTCGGCCACTGAGATCCAAAAGTGGTAGAATTAAAGCCATACTGGTGAGTAAATGATGTACAAAATAACACACAACAACACGGCATCGATCCTGTCCCTACAAGCCTACGCAGAGTTGGAGTAGTCTCCTGTACATTGATTCTGAATTTCATTTACAAACCTACCTCCTAATCATGACACCACCCTCATGTGCGGTTTCTGTCTATCGCATTGCTTCACAGGCTCGATTGGACCTTTTGAGTTCAATTGCGCTTGAGTGGTCGAAACATGTTCTATTCTGGTTTATGACTGTTTGATACGGTCTAGTAAGTCTGCCAGCTGTCCAACCCTCCACAAAGATCGAATGGTCTTAATGGCCTTGCAGAGGTCTTGGCTTCTTGCTTCTCAGTCTTGCGCATTTCCAGCACGTCTCTCACGTCCCTGGATCCCCTCTCGATTGTACCGTCAATAAACCTCTCCAACCACCAGCCCAGTCTGCACTTGCAAGAACCTCTCGGCCATGAGACAGCTACAGCTCCGCCAAATACCCGCTCATCGCTTGAAGACCCCCTCACTCCATCCTCCTCCCTGCCCTGATGCTCTACCCTCTCCACAACAACATCCCCAAACACCACATTCGCCCCAACCACCATCACCTCGCTCGCAAACCCCGTCATCTCACCCTCACCCGATTTATACACCCCCTTCATGCCATGCCCACCCAGCGCGTACCACCGCAGCGCATCAAGAAACCCGATACCGCATCCCGAGGCCGATCCGAAGTTCGCCACGAGCGTCTCGAAGACGTCGTTGTCGGCGGGCGGAAAATTGACGTCGGGGAATCGAGCGAGGCGGGAAGAGACAGTGAAGGGAGAGGTCGCGGGCGGCGATGAGGCCGGCGAAACCGGCGCAGACGACGATGACGTTGTAGGAGGGCTTGGGTTGAGAGACGAGCGCGCTGGGGAAGACGACGTCTGTTTTCAAGCCCGCTTTTGGAGGTTGTGGGGGGTCAGAGCAAGTCGCCTTCTTTGGAGCGTGTCATTGTCGAGAGCTTGGCGGGCGCAAGGTGAGATGAAGTGCGTCTACTCTTCCCCACACCGAACTCTAACTTATAGACTTCTCGCCGGTATCAGTCCTCAGTCAAATCCATCAGAGCGGGGAGAGATTCATCTCGGTGTTGGGAGGCTGGGAGGCTGATGCACAATGTTGCCTTGTCCGACACAAGAGATGGTAGACCACAGCGAGCCTGCCAGATAACGGCTCTCCACGCAACGCATGCATTGGGCAAATACGAGGAAAAGGCCATCCTACTCTCTCTGATGGTGTCCAATTGCGACCTCTCTCAAGTTTGTTTTACCTTTTCTTTGTGAAAACGGGAAGTGTGTGAACCGGAAAGCGGTACCGCGAGACTCGTCATACTTGAATATTGGCGCTAGGCATTGCTGGAAGATTCAGGCGACACTTTGAGCAGTAGAAGCATTGCAGCGCTCCGGGTTGCGGACCACAATCTACTCTTCAGCGTAGCGGTGGTCTGACACGTAGTATTACCATTCAAGTTCGAGTTTCACGAAAATATAGGCTATTACACAAGGTACGTTGAGACGCTATCCAGAATGCATTTAGCCGAGCAAGGTATCAACGCAAAGCTTCAGATGGTGTCTTCAGTCAGCTCAAACCAGACTGCAGCACTGAGACAGCTGGGCCCTTGATACACCGGGAGATCTCTCTTGCTCATTTCAACGCATGGCTAATCGCAAGGTCGGACAGTTTAGCTGTCATCATCATTTACTGGATGTCAGAGTGCGATGGTGTATGACGCCAAGGACCTGCCCGGAGGATAGGCACAACGCGACGCCAATCAATATAAAAAATCGGAGCCCTCGAGAGATTGAAGGGCAGAAATATGCAGTTTGGAGTATCTTGAAGAACCCGGTACGGTGCGAGTTCCCTTCCGCGGACATCCGGCAGAGTGACAGGCGGTGGCTTGGGCGTCCGTATCATTACAATGCAGGACCCGACAGATGGCTGCTACGTGTAATCTAGGCTTATTTCGTGGGAGGTTAGGCCATGCACTACCATCGAAAGACACGGACCATGATTTGCTGGCGTTGTTGCTTGAGCAGCCAGCGATGCACTAAACTCAAAGTCAGAGCCGCAGGGTCGTATCGCCAGGATGCTTACTCGAAAGTCCAATAGTGGAGCTCGGAGACGGAGACGGGACGTGGGTTGCTGTCAAGGTAGGTACTTGCGGAGAAGTCAGGGAATACACAGAGCCCAAGAACGACGCATGGCGAAACACGCCCGTGAGGCTTTGACTCATCTTCCATCATCCTCTTTACCGACGACAAGAGCCGGAATCACGCGTGAGGTAAAGAAAACAAGGAGTTGAGGCTCGGGCTTCGGCAGCGCCAACGTCAATTCCCCTCCCCCGCATCTAGAGCCCAAGCCCGCGACGGGCTGTGGGCCGGTGCGTCGCGCTAAAAACGAGGCCACGCATGACAGGCAGGCCCGATAAAAGGCGTGCCGGCTAGGCTGGGGAAAATTTGACCGATTCGACAGACCGGGATATTGTGAGACAGCATTCGACCACACCACCGCCATCTGCACTGGGCCCTCTCCATCGTGCAAAACTCGGGCAGTCCATCCGCCTTCCAACAGCCAGGACTGTCAAGTCATGTATACGTGGGATCACTGATGCGTAAAGATGGATTCTTCGTATTCATACCTACTGCACAGCAAGCGTATGCGTCAAGGTACTTTGGCGGTGCCACTTCACATATGCATTATGCATCTTCAGGTCTCCACCCCATACGAAAGCCTCCAATTAAAGTGACATGGCTCAGAAGTGCCGCAGAGCCACCGGGAGTTTCACCAATCAGGAGTCAGAACTCACAAACAACACCCTTAACAGGGCTGTCGATAACACAAGGAGCCGCTAAACAAGCAGGTCCGGCTATCGAGTCACTTTAGAGAGTCGGCCTGGCCATCTATAGATGATGAGATGCCGGCGATGGAGGCGCTTAACAGGTGATCGTCGATGGCGGCCGGGTCTATTGCTTTTTCTTCGCTCTGTTCACATGGAAACGCTCGCCTGCAGTTGGATTACATCAGTGGGCTTCTCGCTCACGAAAGGAAGAAAATTGGAGACGATGGACGTAATGCGCCGCGATCGACGAGATGGTGGCTGTTTGAGGCTTTTTGAGGCTGCCGTTGTCACCAAACCACTCAGATTCCGCCGCGTCCATGATCGGTCCCACATATACACAGCAGGCACGATAAGCAAGGAAGCAACAGCAAAAAAGTGCCTCGTGACGTCTCTGGTCGGCCAGAAACAGGGGAGAGAACCGAAGCGCCGGCGCTCAGTGATGGAATCCCTTGACAGCTTGATAACCAGTTAGGCTGCTTATGAATCCGCCTCCCTTGGTACCGTGGAGGCTCTCATCATTCCTTCTTACCTGTTGGTTCATTCCTGTGACGTTGCTCGATCGCAGCAATACCATTGACCAACATGGTGGTTACCGGACCAATTCAGGAGAAATGAGGGCCACATCGGCGCCAAAACAGCACGCCCTGGTTACTTCCACGTGCCAGCAGTAGCAGCAAGCCAACTAAAAGCGGCGGCGGCGGAGGCGGAAGGAAGGAAGGACGACGGAAATAGCTTGAGGAATAAAGGAGCGACATGGCCTCATTTCCCGAGGCAGCTGGACATGGTTGCTCAGATGCTTGGATGCGACTTGAGCATCACAATAACGCTGCAAATATGATCTTGGCCGTCCAGCGACAAGACATGGGCAAAGTCAAAAAGCTGGGGGACAACTGCCGATAGGTGACGTGCCGTGCTGTTTATCACCCCTCGCGACGTCAGTCCTCTAGCGTACCGCGCCTCCGTCCCATGCCACGCAACGCCAAAAACGCCTCCGCTGCCGCCCGGCCAGCCGGGAGGAAGAAAAACAAATGTCCCAAGGTAATGATGAGGGAAGGCTTGCGGCTCGAGCGGGATGGCTTGCCTTTACCTCATAATAATCAAGACGATAGTTAAGCGCCGATGCAGCGCGTGGCGGCCAGATGGTTGGTCAGGACGTAGAGCAAAGCAGGCCATGCAAATCCAGGTAGAGTCTCGTCGACACCAAGGGAAGGGAGAATAACGTCAGAGAAAGTGATGTCTTCACCACACTCATCACCATCACTGGAAGCGGCCCCAATAGGTGGGTGGGCGGGGAAAGTATCGCGTGTAATGCAGAAGGTCTAGACACGAGCAGGCCGCAATCCTTCCCATTCCCGCATCATGTCATTGCTGCCCTTTCCGCGTTGCGCCGCACATGCCTCGACATGACATGCAACTCTTCTCCTGGGGAAAGACGTGAGGGCTGGAAGAATGTCTTTGTGCTACGACCAGGGGTAATAATAGTCTGCGACTGTGTTTTCAGCTCGTCACGGAGAGTGAGAGCAAGGCAGCAATGGTGACAGAACAAGCACATGATTTCCATCATCCAGAAGAGATAAAAAAGAAAAGAAAGGAGGAAGGAAAAGAGGGCAATCAATGGCCGGAGGGGGCACCAAGGAAGCGGACCGGTTCCCGCAACATGCGGTGGCGAGGGAAGCAGGCCATCGGATGCTCCTTTGGCTTTCCCCACGATCCCTCCCAGCCGGGGCTACTGTACCGTAGCTGTGCCGTTCGGTCTGGGCCTCGAGTCGCGAACCACTCACATCACCCCGCCATTCGCGCCCCCAATCCCGCCCAACACAAGATCCGAAACGTGCACGAGATAGATCAGGATAAAAATAAATGCAATAGGGCAGCACTCGTACAGACGGATGCAAAACCGCAGGCTAGATAACGGCCAGAGACAAGGCAAGCCTATAGTTCTCGTGCGTTAACGCAGGCATTTCGCCCTCTCGTACCACGCTCTGAAACGCACCGTCCAGGGCTACTTACCAACTGTGAGAGCTCGCCCTGCCCGTGTTTCCATTTTTTTTCTCCTTCCCCAACGCCAATCCAGGTCAATGCTGCTCCCCTCCTCCCTTCCCTCGCTTTTCTCTCAGTCAGCTGCGGTACGAGAATAGCACGCTGCTGACGAGATAAGCTGCTGACGGCCGCGGCTGGCTGCTTACTGTGTCGGCCGCTTACCCGCGATCGTCCTGGAGGTGGAAGAGAGGGGAAATGAAGACGACAGGAAGGCCGACAAAAAACCGTCGACGAAGTGGAGGGGGAAAACGAAGGAGTAGACAAAGTTAGCCGATTCGTCCTAAATTCAGAAACAGATAAACCCCCCATCGTCAGTGATCACACTCGGGCATTGTTTGCGCAACACGTGTTTCCGCGTTTCAAATCCCTCCCGTGCGACTGCTCTAGACTCTCAGCCAGGGGCAGGCGATCAGGGCATACCGAGAGCGTACGTTCATTACAATTCGTGGGAGGGGGGGAAAAATGATGTGGCGCTGCATGATGGTCTGATGGGACACAGATATCAAAAAATAGAAAGCCGGCAGTATCTAGTGGCGAAGATAGGGAGAAGCCAAGGCAGGCCAAGACAACTCACCATCGCTGATGACAATCCTACCGCCGATTGGGGACGACGACGGACTTGATCGTCATCATCCTTCCTTCCCAGCTGCTTACGTCCATCCCGCATGCGTTCATCGCTCTTTCTGCCCCGTCCCGTCCCACCCCCCTCCTTCAAATTCCCCTTTCCCCGGGTAGCGCAGCCAAGGAAATAATGTCTCGAAAAGCCGGGGCTGATGATGAGGCGCTTTGGGGCCGACCGACCCAAGTTGCCGGGACTGAGGTAGTACAAGCCGCAAGGCCGAGACCTTTTTCCCTTCCAGAAGAAGAAAAAAAGGAACGAGAAAGGAAGGAGGGTTTGGAGGAAAAGAAAAAGAAAAGAAACAAACATGGCCTTGATCATCATGTACGTACGTACATACAATCCATGGGTTAGAAAAAAAATCAAAAAAATCGAATCGAATCGCGAGGCTCTTTTGGAGCCTCCTCCTCACCAGGCACACACGCGCGCGCGCGCGAAGATGACAACAATGCGGTCTTGGCAGCTGCCAAAATGATGCACGAGGCTACATTTGTTTGGGTCCGCGCTGTGCATGAAAGTCATCAGTCCGCCTCGTTCTCTCATATGTCGTGACACGCTCCAGGGTATCGAAAACATCCACCAACCGTAAAGAGGAAGTGTGATGGTGTAAGCGCGCAACATCACAAGCGTGTGTTTTTTTTTTTGAAAAAAAAAATTTATCCTGTTACGTTGCCCTGCCTGCTAAGCGTAAATGTGGTGGTCGAAAATCAACACACCCTTTTGCATTGGGGCAGGAGGAAGCGGAACCCGCCCAATGACTTGATACCTGCAATTTTCTTGGTCTTTGCAAGTCGCAAGTGATTTTTCCAGAAGGAGGCCCCAAGCTTTCTTGTTTTTGTTTTTCCACGTCCTTGTATGGTGAGAAAAAAGACCCAAAAGTTCCATACCTGAGGTGGAGAAATATAGGTAGTTTAAAAGCAAGATTTCCTCCTGGTCCTCCTGATAGAAGAAGAGATTCAACCCTTGTGGATATCCGCGCTGCCTGCTGTCGAAACAATGTCCCGTCCTGTCCCGTCCTGTGCTCCTTTCTCCTCTTTTCCCGTCCCTGGCGCCTGCCAATCACCGGTGCAGAGAAGAACATGGGGAATTCGCCATAAAAGAAAAAGAAAAAAGGTATCCTCCTGTAATCGTGGCTGTAGTCGTAGTAAAATGAGTGGGCAAATGCTGTGCGCCAGTAGCGACCGAGACGGCGGCTTCTTTGTGCCGCCAAAAATCCATGTAATAAAATGTTCAGAAAGACCCCATCTAGGTCTGCGTGTAAATAGTGGTGCCCGACCGTCTCGATGAACGTGAGGGAAGGTCGGGAGGAATGTGGTATCAAACGAGAGTCGAGAAGTTATACCCGCCATAGCCAAACGCCTTTAGCAAACGCCCGCCCTAGATAGCAAGAGAAGCAATAAGAAGCAAGCCTTCATCCTTCGTGAATGCCTCGCATCCCCAAAGGGTGAGAGTGTTAAAATGACCGATAATATCCGGGTGGGTGAGCAGTTTTGTTTACAACATCTTGTAATAATTCACGACCCAATCCGCCGTCTTCTTCCTCTGCCGCCCCCCTCCGGCCGTTGGGCAAGCACTTCTCGAAGCTGTGGGTCGTCCTTGTCCTTGTCGACGTGGTGAACTCTGACGTGTCGTTGCAGATTGTCCGGCCGAGGGTATTTATGGTCTCTCTCCGGGCAAAACGGACAAACGTAGCCTGGCGAATCGTGCACGAGTCCGTGCCGGATCATTTCGTTTTTGCGCTTGAAGCCTTTGCCTCCCTCTCCGCGCGAACATCCCGGCACCGGACAATAATGCGGCCGCGCTTGCGAATGCACATTGGCGTGCGAACTACAGAGCCCGTCAGTTCAACTTCCATAAAACCTATGCCGCAAAACTGACTTGAGCAAGTACTGCGTCTGGAAAGGTGGCGCATTGCAACCGGGGTAGTCACACTTGAACCCAGTACTTCCGTGCGGGGGCACATGCTGAATCTGAGCAGCCGGATTGGGATGCGTGATGCCATCGATGCTCATCCTGTGAGAGTCGCTTCGAGGCCTTGTCGGCGGGCTGTGGGCGTAAGCGTCAGAACCGCGTGATCCATAGCTTTCATTGGTCGTTGTGGTGCTGAGAGTCAAAGGCGGCGGAAACGTCGTATTGCTGGTATCCGAAAGAGAAGAGTGTCTGCGGCTGGCGGCATAGTGTGAATAAGTCGGCGGCGAGAGCTTGATGTCAGTGCCAGCATGGCTGTTCACGGGCGACAAAGGATTATTTAGTGGCGGGAACTGGCTCGGAGGAGATCGGCGTGAGTTCCCGTTGGGTGGGAAGCGGCTGACAAGCGTTGGAGAAAGCGCTGGCGCGCCCGTCGATGAGATTGACGGCCGGTGCGAGAAACTTGCTCTATGGTCAATGCTTGCCCGGTGCTCGTTCTCCTGAGTTGCTTGCTCCGCTATTTCACTCAGGTGACGAAACGAGGGCAGACTCTGGTTGGGGGAGCCCGCGGTGCTGTCCCGATGCGGCGAGGTCGGATTCTGTAGAGCCGGCAGCCTCTCGTCGGGCGAGGCCTGCGAGTCCGGAATGGCCAAGTCGCGCAAGTTTGGCGACGTTGCTGGGGAGTGATCCGTTCTGGTCGTACTGCTCGGGGTAGGTCCGTCTGCGCTACCCTTTGGGAAGTTGTCAGGAGTAGGAAGCCCCGTGAATGGCGGCTGGTCATCGACCCTGGATTTTGGCGAATGTCGATCCATGTCGGTGTCGTGCTCTGGCCTGACTTCAGTCACAGTAGCTACGGGGCGTGCCAATGCGAGCTTGGTAGTGCGCCCATCGCCGTTTAGTGACTTGATGGCGGCCTGGGCAAGACGGACCCTGTCGTCAGTTTGCATGGGTGAGCGTGGTGGATCGTCCTCAGGCTCGCTCGCGTCTGAGTCGGAGTCGGAGTTGAGGGCCCTCTCCCCAGCGGCTCTGGCAATGTCCGGCCGGTTGGGCTCTAGGAAGCTCAGGAGGACGGTATCGCCCTGACTCGGCCGGGTCCGGTTATTTCGTTTCCTTCTGCGGGAGGAAGAGGTGGTGGGACTGACAGTTTGAGTGACCACAGGCGCACTGTGCTGCGGAGGAAATGGTGGAGGAGAGGGCGACGGAGTCGATTTGATCTTTATTGGCTGCAAGCCCGGCGACTTGGGATAAGCGTCGTCAGAATCGTAGTGGGACATTCGGCATTAGAGAGGCTCATGAGCCTCCCGCAGTAGTGCTCAGGGTCAGGACGAGAAGTTAAAGTGAGTCGGCACGGGCTCGGCGAGAATTGGCTTGAGCTCAATAAAGTTAGAGGCCGGGGAGCGAGCAGGGTGGAAGCTTTGAATGGTCTTGTGTCGTGAGAGACGGAACGGGGCGGGACTGCGGCCAATGGATGCTACAAACGTTAGCGACGAGCTCTGGTGGGACCGGCCGGCAGCCAGCGCAGCCAGCGCAGCGGCGGTGGACTTATGGCTGCCTGGCCGAACGGGCAGCCTCGCGGCTGTCGACAGCGCGCGGCAGCAGACGGATGGAAATTGAGTCATCAGACAGAGAGACAGAGAAAGAGACAGGAAGATGCGCAGGCGTATACGAGAGCAATCAAAGCGACGACAGCACGAAGCTAGTTGTGCGGAGAGCCGCAAGTCGGGCAATAGCTCCGTGCGGGCCGCACGCACGCGGACACAGTGCCTGGCGGAGCAAGCAGAGCGCGGGGCACGTCGGAGAATTGCGAGCAGAAGAAAGCAGGAATGCACAGGGTGTCGAGAGCGAGAGAGAAAGAGAGGGCTTGGGGGGGAGCTGCTCGAGCGAAAGGCAGCGTCGACGTACCGCGTGCGACGAGGCGGGTTGGCCGTGAGGCTCAAGGCGGGCGAGAAGCTTAAACGTCGATCGCGAAGGGTGCAGGCGGGCGCGGGCGGGCTGGGAGCGCGGAGCAGCGTCGGGGCGGGCGAGGAGTCGGCGCGCGGGTCTGGTGCGGAGTGCGGAGGACTGGCGATGCTGGGGCGGTGCGGAGGAGAGAGAGAGAGCGCAGGCGCAGGCAGCGTGTGCTTGACAGAGCAGGCGAGCGGTGCGAGCGTTTGGTGGTGACGAGCTGGCCAGGGCGGACGTGCGTTGGACCAAGGTGGGCCGCCAGCGCCAGGCCTCGGGGCTGGGGAAAAACGGGCGAGGAGTGGTGCGCTGCGGTGCAATGCAGTGCAGCGCGCGCGCTGGGAATGTGGAACGGAGTATCGCGAGGCTGAGTGAGCTGCGGCGCACGCCCCCTCTGGCTCTCGAGGCCCAAATCAGCGCAGCGGGCGGGAGCGCCGGTATGCACGGCTCGAGTCAGGCCGCGGCGTGGTGTTTGTCGTGTCGCTCGCTGCGCTGCGGCGGTCAGGCGCGGTGGAATGGGCGACTCTGCAGCGTCTGCCAGAGCCGCGCGACGCCTGAGTGGAGGAGGCTGTGCTCTCTCACCGCATGGGGCTGCGACTGCGACTCACGCGCTGGCTGCAGCGCACCCTCCTGCTCTTGAAATGCGAGAGCCTCGCCGCCTCGGGGGTTTGGGAATAGGCTATTGGCGCTGCGCCGGCTGATTGGGCGCGCCCCGACAATCCGCGGGATGGAGGGGGCGCACGCCGTCGCCTCTGCTGCCGGCTGGAGCAGCCTCCGTCGCGGCGGAGGAGGCTCTCGCCCACCAACCCGCCGGCGCCGCCATGGCGCGCCCTCCAGCGCCCCATGGCTTGGCCGCCTGTCGCGCGTGCAAAGGCGCGCCGTCCCTCAGCCCGACACGTCCGACACGCCCGGCGCCCCCGGCCTGCCGCCGGTACATGTAGCTTTTCACGTGCCCGCGTTCGAAACCGCCCGGATCGACGGCGACGCGGCTGAGAGCCTCCAGCGCCCGCCCACTGCAGATCGCGCGTCGAGAACAATCCATTCTCCCCCTCCCGCCCGCGCCCGCGCAGCCCACGCAGCCCGCGCAGCCCGCCCGGGATTGCCTCCCCGTTACGACCTGCCGCCAACACACGTCAGGGCGAGCCCGAATACTGCGCAAGCCTCGAGCCCCCATCGGAGCTTATCACCTGCAGCCAGCCGACCCGCCCTGCTGCCGGCATGTGCTGCCCTGAAAAAGCCGCACTCTGCCAAGTATCATACAGATTCATTTCTACCTCTATTGGCCGTGTGCGCGAGCTCTATGCCAGAACTCTATCCGAGGCTCGCTGCAAATGACAAAAGGAAACCGGTCGGTCGACCCGATGCGCGTGCCTGCCATCATGGAAGGCAGAGACGATGACGCCAGTAAACGCCGCGACGTGACTAACCCCAGCACGAACTGACACTCTGGCGGCGCTATGCATTACCCTTTCACACCAGACTCCCCACTGCAATGCTCCACTCTTTTCCTGTTCCTCACGATGACGACCCCGTTCCGACAATCTTGCCGCCGATGCCCGGGAAGCCCTCCCATTTGGCCCCCGCCGGCAACTTCGGCCGTCCAAAGTTCTCGTCCAGGTCCAGGATGATCTTGAGCGCGTTGCGACTCCGCAGGTACGGCAGCGGTGCCGTTGCCGCCGTCAGCCCGACCGCCGGTTCCACATGGCCGCCGACACCCTCAGCAGCGCCCGAGCCCGGCATGGGCAACATGTTCTGCAGCACTTCGTAGCCGGCAAGCGTGAAACCGAACTGAGGACTCGAACGCATGATACGGGCCGGTCCACCCTTGAAGAAGGCGCGGAACCCTTCTTGTTGCCAGATGAGCTTGGCAGCGTGACGCAACGACGTGTATTGCGCCTCTCCCTTGCGTGCCTCGACTTGCAGGCGGGTCTTGATGACGTCGGCCGGAGTTGTGAGGTAAGCAGCTGGCATACCAGCGATAGCGCCGGCGGTCAAGAGCTGGAGGACGCCGAGCTTCTTTTGCGGCGACTCGCCGAAGACGTCCCTCTTGAGGTGGTTGTAGGCGGGGAAGTAGATGGCCGAGAAGGGAACTGCATTCACTGTTTAGATTGAAATTGCACCTCAACCATTGCCGGCTCAGGACGAACTTACCGTCACGAAGCAAGCAGGCGCTTGCACCCTTGTAGAGACCGACGAGACCCAGGTTGCGGACAATCCACATCGCAGACCTCTTCGGCGCACCATCGACGTTCTTGGCAATCTCACCCTGAACCTGCAGACGGATCTTGACAATCTCCAGAGGGTTGGTGAAGATCTACCGACACCGTTAACGAGATAGTCCCAGCATTTGGGGTTCGAGCAATTATACGCACCACTTGACAGGCACCGGCCGAACCACCGGCGATCACCTCCCATCCCAACCAGATGGCCCCGGTCTTCTTGTCCGTGAACTTTCCTCTGACCAAGTCGTTCACCGTAAGCTTGATGGCCTTCTCCGGCGCAACACCGACGAGCTGAGGCAGCACACCGGCATACAGACCGCGGAAGCCCTCGTTCTTTATGATCTTCCTGAAACAGTCAATGGAGTTGTTGTACAGGCGCTCTCCGACACGGTGGCTCCTCTGGTTCTGCATGCGCGTCTTGACCAAGTCGATGGGGTAAACCATGAATGCACCGAACGCGCCAGCCAAACTTCCGAGCGCAAAGTGGTGTATCGATTCCAGGATGTCATGCATGATCGTCTTCGTCTTCGCGAAGGCCTTGGTGCCAGCATCGCTCACCATGTCCGTACCACGCTCAACGTAGATGTGCCACGAGGGATCGAGGACCTTGGCAAAGTCGGCGAGACTGAGCTTGCCAGAGGGCTCGTCAAGACCAGCGAAGTGGAAAAGAATATCGGCCTCCATGGGGGTGAAGAGAGAGAAGCGGGTGATGCGGGCAGCTTCGTTCAGGAAGTCTGAGCGGGTGATCTTTCCGTCGCTGCTCTTGTTCGTGGCGTTGCGGATGATGAGCTCGACCAGGTCCATCTCGCGAATCATGTTCTGAAAGGCGCGCACGTTGGCGTAAGAGATCTTGCTGCCCGCGGAGATGTTGCAGAGCGTGTGCAGGTTGTCCAGCAGGTGGTCGGAGAGCTTGTGGCCAGCGGTGTTCTGGATGATGCGCTGAAACTCCTCGGGCTCAATGTAGCCGTCGCCGTTCTTGTCAAAGTGCAGGAAAGCCTGCCTGACCTTCTCTCCCTGCAGTCCGCGCAGCATCTGGGAGAATTGCGGGTATGTCATCGTGTGGCGCTTGTTCTTGCGGCCAATGTATAACGAGGCCCACTCGGAGCTCCAATCGAATGGCAAGGCATCGTCGCCCTTGTGCTTATTGTAGAGGTCGAGGAAGACGTCGAACTTGACCAGGCCGGTTCCCTCGACGTCGAAAAGACGGAACGCGATCTCGTACTCGGCGTCGGGCTTCGAGATGAGGTTGTCAAAGTTCCTCCAGTCGTGGAGACTGACGCGGCCGGCCCTCTTGCGGTCCGCGACGTCGAACAGGATGCCATACTGGTCGCGCTTGATCTTGTGCTGCTTTGTGCATCAGCATCTCGCCGGTTAGAGGGAGCGGGTGAGGGAGCGTACGTAGTCCTCGCTGGGCGGCGCGACGGCTTCGATGAACTGGTCGCGCCCCAGGTAGTATTCGCCTGAAGCTTCATCCTTGACAGCATGGCGGAAAAAGGTCTGCCTCGCCTGCTCGCTCAGCTTGGGCTCCTCGGTGGAGCCGAGGAGGGCCTCGGTGACGGAGTCCTTGACGGTGGCCATGGTTGTCGTCGCGGAAGGTGAGAGCGCGACAATTGACAGGTATGAGTGTTTGGGGGTGCGGTCAGAGGGAAGGCGCACGGGGCGGGCGAGTCTGGGGAACTCGGGCACGAAAGTTCTCGTGCACGATACAGCGTGTTCGCGCGTGTGGCTAGGGTAAAATTAGTAGGCGCTAGTCGGATAGCTCCGGAGCCGCGGAGGAAAGTGCGCGCCCTGCGGCTCAGCTTGGCGAGAGTGGGAGAGGTTGCGGGCGTTGATCAGACGCGGGCGAGCGGGCGGGCGCGCGCGTTGCGGCTGTCCGGAGGAGCAACGTGGATCGTGGGTGGGTGACGATGCGGCCGCGCAGGGTTGGCCCTTTTTTTTTGTTCTGCAACCCCGGCGCGCGGGTGATCTAAGATTGCTTCGCCCAGCGCCAGCAGCCAGGGTCCGCCAGCCGCCGGCGATTGGTACCTGGCGCCCTAGCTGCCCTCGATCTGGCTTCTAGACGCAGGTAAAATCGCAGTCGCACGGCCGCAACCAGCGTGTTGCGCACCGCCCGGCTGGGCTTGGTACGCGCCAGAACAATGCCTTGAGGCTCTGGTGTGGAATTTAGTTCCCGGAGAAGTGCATATCCAGGGCGGCTCACGTGCGGCTCCGGTGGGTGGTACGAGGAAATCCACATTTCCGCGCCGACTCGCTCCGCAGTCGGCGCGGAGTACAATTCCGGGGGCGGTGAGGGCACGAGGGGCAGTCGCTACTCGCTCGGCCGCGCTGGGCAACTGCCGTCCTCGACGCGCCCCAGCCAACACCACGAAATCAAGTCCCCAGACGACCCGGCTCTCCCCAGATTAAGCTTCCCGCTGTCTGGGGACGCAGGTGGCGGCCAAAGGGCCGTGATATCATCAAAACCGGGACTTTTCTTGGCCGCCGAAGATCTTGCTCGTACGCTGAGTCGCTTACTCGACCTTTTGCGCGCCTATACCGAGCAGATCGTGATGATCCTAACCAGCCCGCCCGGATTTCGTGACCGACTAGACTCTCAAGAGGAATGTGTTGTGTCACGCGAACCCCTTCTCTCGTCATCGCCAGCGCCGATGGTCTGCTGGCCTCACAGCCTGGTCACAGCGCGGGGTCAGCTGCGAAATAGACCGGTAACGGAATAGGTCAAAGCTCCATGCTTATTGGTCATTGCGTATAGCTATATTCGATTTGCCTTGGTGTGGATTTGCTTCTCCGTCGACAACGCCGCCTCGCCGCCTCGCCGCCTCGCCTCACTCAACAACGCAACTGCCGAGGGGCAGTCGGCGGCCGTCCCGACCCAAACCACTCAAACCCTCACCATCGCCATCTGATCCACTCCGCCCGCGACACCGAGCGTCTCCGTACTGCTCCCCGCACTGGCACCAGCCCCGGCCCCGCCCGCCATCGTCTTCTCGCTCATCGCAGCCGAGTACTCGGCGAACGCGCTGCGCTGCCTCAGCGCGGGCCCGTACCTGAGCAGCACCCACGGGCTGACGCAGAAGACGGTGGCGATGGCGGCGAGCACGCTGGCCGCGGCGTTGGCGCCCATGCGCTCGAACATGGGCTCCGCGAAGAGCGGAAACGCCGCGGCGCAGAGCGCGCGCAGCAGCGACAGCGCCGAGAAGGCCGAGGCCGCGTACATGCTGTACACGTCGGCCATGTAGCCGCATCTGCAGCGGGGGTTCGATGTGTGTCAGTTCAGTGCTTGTCAGGGACGGGGAAGGAGACGGAGCTGAAGATGAGAAAAGGGGGGAGGGGTGGGGAGTGGGGAAAGAAGGATGAAGGTAGCATGATGGAGGGGAGAAAGATGTCTGTGTACTTACAGCACGGAGTCAAGGTCGTTGATGGCGAAGCCCACGGGCACAAGCGCCGCCATCGACACCCACATGGGCGCCTGCGGCACCAGCGGCGGGATCGTCCACGCAAACACCCAGAACCCGAGCGCCAGCGCCGGCACCGCGACCGCGAACGACGTCAGCTTGCGCTCGGGCGGCACGCCGTCGGCGTTGAGCTCGCGGAAGCGCCGCGCGTCGACGGCGCGGAACGGCAGCGAGAAGAAGAGGCCCAGGATGAGCGGCAGGAACGCGAGCGAGGACGTCGTGTGCGCGTCCGCCAGCCCGTAGCTCGGCGACGAGTAGACGATGGTGAGCCCTTCGGTCAGCCCGTAGATCATGGCGAAGGAGATGGCGTTGAGCGCCGAGCAGAGGATGACGATGGGCTCGGTGAAGAGCAGGTGCAGCGGCCGGAAGAGCGTGTCGGTTAGGAAGGCGTTGAGGGATGGGACGGCGTCTGGGTTGTGGATGCGGAGAGGAGCGGCCCCCGCGGAGCTGGTTTTGGTGAGGGCGAGGATTTCGTCAAGCTTTTGTTGGAGGAGCCGCGTGGAGCGGGACTCGCGGAGGAATAAGGTAAGGACGAAGCAGACGGCCATGATGACTGCTGAAATCCAGAACACCCAGCGCCTTCTCGGCAGTCAGCATGATGCGTTGACAGCATTCGATGATCAGCGGCAAAGAGCCCGCGGTCCCCAAAAGCCAAGAGCGCTGCTCAACAGTAGAAAGCATTCTTCCGAAAAGCCAAACAGCCTCCTGAAGCAGTGAAGTACATCATGGAGATGCTTTACTTACCAGCCCAGATATCTGGTAATGTAGCTTCCGTAAATAGGCCCAAACAACACGCCCACATTCGACGCCGTGGTCCAGGCCGCAACCGTCCATATGCGTTGCTTTTCGTCAAACATATCCTCCAAACTCCCCGGCGCCACCGTCGCCGGCACCGAGCTCACCATGCCCGCCGCGAAACGGGCGAAGATGAGGCATGCCACCGACCCGTTCATCTGCGGCGGCACAGCCGCCACGAGGACGCAAAAGACTGAGCAGAGCAACGGGGCGGCGACGTAAACGAGTTTGCGGCCGAAGGACTCAGAGATTGGTGGCAGGAAAATCCCGCCTATGCCCTCGCCGAGTAGGAAGCTGCACGCGCGCGAGAAAAAAAAAGTTAGACTATTGGATCGTCACGCCTGATACGAGGGGGAGCTCGCCAGTTGGAGAAACAACGCACGCGGAAGTGAAGGCGAAATAGCCAAGAGTCTTTTCATAGCCATATTCTAAGCGTGCTTCGTCGGACACGGCGGACTAGGTGATTGGGCATGCGTGTAAGCTGTCTAGCTCGTGGGCGATAATGCCGCGCGCTTGCGCGGTATGGTGTCTCTCGCTGAGGGATTTTCATAGACTTACACCTACGGTGCTCATGAGGGTCCTGCCATTTTCGTCGATGGTCAGCCGAGAATCCACGCACGAGGAACTAGACAAAGACGAGAAGGTGCGGGGAGAGAGTGGTTTACTGACATGAGCATCTCTAGCATTATGATTAATCCCGCATCGTACAGTTTCCTGTTCGAGTGCCAATTGCGGGGATGATAACGACTGTCTGCAGACCAGCACAAGTGCTGGTCGGCACCGACTTCTAGGCCATGCTTTTCCAGAAGATCGTCCAGATCCGGTGTTGAGACCACATCGTGGTCGCTGTAACTTGCCATCTTCGATTCGAATATGGCCAGTTCGACCTCATCGAGAGGCTGCAAAAGAGTGTAAGAAGATGAAGATAAAGAGGGTTGAGAGACGGAAGCAAACATTGAGGTACTGGTGCTTATGGAATATAGCGGCCAAACGGCAAAGAGGAGAAACCAGTGCGCTGGCTTTGAGGCGCACCGAGCAGCTCGGCACCTACCCCTCGGGTAGACAAGCCATCCACATGGTGGGTAGCTGAGGAGGATCCTGAGAAATCTAGCCCAGCGCCGCATCTATACATAGCCCCAGTGCCTCACGGGAGCGTTGCGGCAAGGCGCTGGGCTGGACAGACGCGTGGCTACGGCTGAAATTTACCGTATATTCTGTCCAAGGGATCCGAGTAACTCGCAGGGCTGGAGTTAAAAAACAGTCTGAGTTGTTTTAGTTTGCCGTTAGCGCTCCCTCTCATTCGCCAGCCTTCCATCCTTCATCAAAGCTCGTGCACGCCTCGGCCTCCGCGACGCGGTTGTATCCGCATACCCCCATTCAGGGACTACACTGGTGCGCAGGGAGTTACCGGGGCGACTGTGCACTGGCCTGAAGGAACTGGAGAACTCCGCAGCGCACAGATCATGAGCACGTTGACGCAAGTCTCAAGCGATCTGGTTCATCTGTTGATCATCTTGAGGCAGATCGCATTCGCGTTGTCGATCAGTATGCTAGGAAACCGTCGAAGCATGAGCCGTGATAGCCCTCACTGAGGGATATTCTCCTACGGAACTAAAAGAGAAAAAAACGCATGCGGTCTGCCAACGGTACGCCAGTGTGTACTTGAAGCACTCGGCAGTGCCATGGCGGGGAGGCTGGTGAAAGTGGCTGGTGGACGCTACATATCGATTCGTCCACGATGCTCTCCTGCATTAGGCTACAAAGTCAGTTGACTAACAGGGGGATCCTGACCGCTACCCCAATGGCTTAGGCAAACACCAACTGCGCGGTTCCAAATGCGGTGCAGGCTGACAGATTTTGCAGGACCTCGTACCAGCACTCCATATTCGGGATGGCAACTTGACACGCGGAAATTGGCGAAGCTATGTCTTGCATTTGCCACGGACTAGGTATTGCGACATTTCTGGAAGCAATAGCGAAAAACGCAGCGAGGGACCATCAGGCCGTCATGTTCAAGCAAAGGCCGTCCAGTACGGACAATCTCAAGACAGTCCCACGACGATGTTTGACGAAGGCGTAGGTGCAGAAACTGGACGTTGGGTGACTTCGGTCCGGAGTCGGAACGGCATTTGAGCCTTCCCCCCTTTTCTGGGGAGTAGCTGGCGGTTGCGCTAAGTACTGCGGCTGATCCACAACAGCCGCAAAGCTTGGCCTTATGACAAACCGAAATGGCATATCCGCGCGGGCGCTGCCCTCGCTTACAGGCACGACTTGCCCTTGCACTCGTGATGTGCTCTACACCCATGTCGATTGAGCCTGTGCGAGCTTCTTTGGGCCCAAATCCCTCAGGACAATGCCGCGCAGGCGAGGCGTCCGGGCCGCAACCGGACGCCTCACAAACTTCCACACTCACGGCGTCGCCGGTGCGCCATATTGCCCAGTCGCTCCACGTGGTTAGTAAAACAGCGTATGGGGTGTGGCTGGACTCAGGGGATAGGGCAATGCGTCTATACACGCACCACGCTAGACCAGTCTTGGCATGAGACGACAGTGTTCAGCCCACGGGCTTGGTCTCGGCCTCCACGTAGGCACACAGATCGATCAGGCCGGCTTCCGAAGCTGAGACTCTTGCAAGACCCCGCAGAGGAGGTGATACCGGTAACTTCCACGCTAAAAGCAACGGTTTGTGCAGGGGTTGTTGGCGGCATTCTGCCCACCCCGGCCGAAGTGGAAAAAGTCTCAGAGCTTGACCGCTGTTGCGTCTGTGTGGAAATAATGGCGCTGTCAAAAAAAAAAAGCTCCTTTGACGACGTGGAGCTCGAGGCGTCAAGTGCGCCAGACGGGACCGCCCACGAAAAGTAGATAAGGGTGGACGCGGGTACGGGCATTATGTATCCATCTCCCCTCACTTCCTTCAGATTAAGCAGAGGCCTCGTCCTACGAACGAATTGCTTTTCCAGATCCCCACCTCTTTTACTCAGCTCCCTATAGGACATCCTGTCAGACCTTGAGCAATGGCGCCGATTGCACTTACACCGCCCAGGACTCCTGAGCTCAACATGCCGCTCGATTGCGAAGAATTTCCCTTTGAACAGCGGCGGAAAGTCACACCGGAGTACCTGGTCCAAAAGACCATGCACGACCGCATTCAGAGCATCGATTGTGCGAACTGCGCACCGGGAGAAGATGACGCTTTCTTCGTCGCAGATCTGGGAGAGGTATACCGGCTCCACGCCGAGTGGAGACGGCGTCTGGGCCGCGTGACGCCTTTCTTCGGTGAGTTGGCATTGTGCGTGGAGCTGAAGGCAAAAACTGATTGGAATCTCACACAGCGACCAAATCGAATCCGGATCCGCACGTGTTGAGGCTGCTAGCTTCTCTGGGTACGGGATTCGACTGTGCTTCGATTGGAGAGATACAGACGATCCTGGCCATGGGAATTGACCCGTCGCGCATCATCTTTGCGCACACGTGCAAAGTCATGTCTGCCATCAAGTTCGCGGGCGACGTGGGGGTCCAACAGATGACGTTCGACAATGAGGACGAGCTCTACAAGATCAAGCGCGCCTACCCCGAGGCACAGCTTTACCTCCGGATTGTGGCGTACGACCCGTCAGCCTTGTCGCAGCTCAGCATCAAGTTCGGAGCACGGATGGAGGCAACGGAAAAGCTTCTCAGGCTGGCGAAAGAGCTGGGCCTCGAAGTGGTTGGCGTGTCGTTCCACGTCGGCAGCGGCGGCAAGGACCCAAGCGCGTTCATGAGAGCAGTTCGCGACGCGAGGACAGTGTTTGACCAGGCGACCGGCATGGGATTCCAGATGCACACGCTGGACATCGGAGGCGGCTTCAGCAGCGGCCCTCTCTTCGCGCAAACGGCCGATCAGGTCAACCAGGCGCTGGACGCGTACTTCCCGTCTGGAGTGCGCATCATCGCAGAGCCGGGGCGCTACATGGTCAACAGCGCCTTCACTGCGGCGGCAAGCGTCATGTCGCGGAGGCAGGCGGAGCCGCTGGCGTCGGACTCGAACAATCTGAAGTCAACGATGCTGTACATCAACGACGGCGTCTACGGCAACTACTTCACATCCATCTGCGAAGTGCCGCCGGAGCCGAGAGTGTTCAGACGTGCGGGACGCACCATTGTCGACAATCCGCAGCTGGAGGCGGCGGCGCAGAACGAGTACAGCATCTGGGGCAACACGTGCGACAGCTTCGACTGCGTCAACCCGTCGTGCAGGCTGCCGGGCGAGGTGGGGGTTGGCGATTGGCTGTACTACCGGGACATGGGAGGTAAGTCCATATTGCGTCGTGCTGCCATGCTGAGCAATGCTGACTGTGTGCAGCATACACAAGGTGTAGCACGACGACGTTCAACGGCTACACGGGCTCGCACGAGGTGATTTACGTCTGCTCGGAGCCCGAGGCGGCTGCTTTGCTCGACGGATGCTGGAGCTGAGCCCGCGGAGAGGGCGGCGAGAGGCGGCGAGAGTGTGGTAAAAAATGGTTGATACTTTAGCGGGCGTAATATCTTGCAATAATGCGATGCGATTTTGACAGGCTTCCAATGATGAGAGGGCGTCGGGTGGTGATGCTGGTGATGTGATTTTCTGTGGGCGCAGATCGATCGCACAACAGCCGAGCCCCACCTTCCCACAACTGACAACACCTCCATCGTGCCGTCTCTTCACTCACCCCCTCGCCCCCAGCGCCGACCAATCGAAGGTGGACGCTTGGCGTGTCGGATACTGGCGATGCTCAGTTGCCGGATCGGACTGCGCCGCGCGGCCTGAGCGCTCGCTCACGAGGATGGAGGACGAAGGCTCCGTCGTCGCAGGCGGCGCGTCATGGGCCTTCGGCGCTTCGGCTGGCTAATGGCAGCTGCAGCCATGGCAACCTCACGATTCGGCTGAACCGCCTTCGGTCCAATGCGCGGCACGTGCAAAGTGGTTGCCTCAATGCCTCTTCCGGAGCAGGGTCCTTTCGGTACTTGGGCACGGCCAACTGCCGGTGGGGCTCACCACGCCGAAGCTTTATCAGCCCCGAATTTTACGCTTTTTCTTTCTCCAATCCAATCCCAAGTCTCCGACCAGCAAGCCAGAATGGGTCTTCCTACCGGTGTTTACAGAGCCGACCACGTCGGCTCGTGGCTCAGGCCCAAGCAGGTCCTCGACGCCCGCCGAGACGCCGCCGAGGGCAACATCTCGCGCGAGCAGCTCCGCCACATCGAGGACGAGTGGATTGAGGGCGTCGTGACCAAGCAGGTTGAGAACGGCCTGCTGTCCATCACCGATGGCGAGTTCCGCCGCGCCTACTTCCACCTCGACTTCCTCGAGCAGCTCAACGGCGTCACCGTCACCCGCCAGATCAAGTACGGCGCCCCGCCCGTCCTCAGCGTCACCGGCAAACTCGAGCACGCCCGGCCCATCCAGGTCGATGACTTCAACTTCCTCGAGAACTCCATCGCCAAGAACAAGCCCGTCGGCGCCACCACCAAGGTCGCCATCCCCTCGCCCACCATGGTCCACTTCCGCGGCGGCCGTGCCGGCATCGACATCAACTCCTACCCCGACCTCGACCTCTTCTTCGACGACCTGGCCCGCGTCTACCAGGAGGAGCTCGACCTGCTCTACAAGGCCGGCTGCCGCTTCGTCCAGCTCGACGACACCAACCTCGCCTACCTCTGCGACCCCAAGATGCGCCAGGAGGCCGAGGCCCGCAACGAGGACCTCAAGACCCTGCCCAAGAAGTACGCCGAGCTCATCAACGCCGCCATCTCCAAGAAGCCCGCCGACATGAAGATCGGCATCCACCTCTGCCGCGGCAACTACCAGTCGCAATGGTTCGCGTCCGGCGGCTACGAGCCCGTCGCCGAGGTCCTCTTCAAAGACCTCAACGTCGACGCCTACTTCCTCGAGTACGACGACGCCCGCTCCGGCGACTTCGCCCCGCTGCGCTTCCTCCCCGAGCACAAGGTCGTCGTCCTCGGCCTCATGTCCTCCAAGAAGGACGCGCTCGACGACAAGGACGAGATCGTCAAGCGCCTGCACGAGGCCGCCGCCGTCTGCCCCCGCGGCCTCGACCAGCTGTGCCTCAGCCACCAGTGCGGCTTCTCCTCCACCGCAGAGGGCAACAGGCTCTCCGAGGAGGAGCAGTGGGCCAAGATCCGCCTCGAGGTCGAAATCGCGAAGCAGGTCTGGGGCGATGACCTGTCCAAATAAATTCCGACGGGCGCTGTAAAAAAACGACCTTTTTTTTTTTAATCTAATTCTCGTTTTGTTTTTATAGCGGGTGGTGTGGTGTGTGTGGTCGAAGTGGCCGCGATTGCATTTACAACGGACGCTTTTCACGGGGAAAAAGCAAAAAGTTTCAACGACTGAGTATAACGCATTTGTTTACGACGAGAGATATCCCGAATCAACTTCGCGAATCCACGTATCTATTGGATAGATCTACTTGGATGCCCCGGCAGAGCAGCTAGCCGTCACTTGCCGTAAAGGAAAGAAATTAAAACAAGCTCTCTCAAACCGCAAAAAAGCTCTCCCTTCAACCTCGTGACGTGTGTGTGACATGTTGGCTTACGACATACATTGCAGCTTCCTCATATCGCAGTAGAAGGGTTGGTTGTCGTTGTGGTGGCGGTGGTGGTGGGGAGAGCGACGAAGGACATGGACATGGGCGTGATGAGGGTGAAGGTGGTGAAGCGGGACGCGTCGTTGCATAGGTGGAGGGGTGGGAGTGGGGGGAATAGGATGAAAGAGGTGGAAGATCGGAGGGCGTGTCGTTCTTGCTGATTTTAATGGTGATGGTGGTGTTGTCGTTGTTGTTTGTTTGTTTGTTGTTGTTGTTTGTTGTCGTCGTTGACGACGTCGGATGAGGACGAAGGGCGGGATGATGGCGGACTCTCCTGTGAGGTGGTGCTGTCGTCTGGAGTGCAGTTTTCCATGGAGGAGATTGACTCTGTCGAAGGAGTGCGGCGTAGATATGTGCGCGGAGGGGTGGGTTTTGGAGACGCGCAAGGCCCGAGGCCGCGGCTTTTGACTTGGACGGTGAGTTTTGTCATTTTGTCATCCCATCCCCTTATCTGGCGTTGAAAGGTGGGTGTGTGTTCGATCAGCCGGGACTGAATCACAATAAGGGCCGATTTATTGGAAGAAGCTGGGCATTATTGCCATTGCCGACGCTGTCGGACGGGACTATATCAGCTCAGTGTTGGTTGATGATCGCAGAATCTTCAGCAACGTGTCACCTTGTACAACACCCTTGTTGGGTGCCCCTTCTTTCGTTCACTTATATAAATCACCCGTAGTAGTAGCGTATAATGAAACATCCAGTCGACCAGTTTCTTCCTGTGCCCGCCTGCGATCACCGCCTGACAAAGAGTGATATCGGCAAGGGGCATCAAGGGTGGTGGAAGTCATGATATCATGGTGTTGAGCGCCGTTTTCAGCTGATGATGACGTCCATCAAACAACGATCATGTGATCCGTCGTTATCTGATACTCAGTGTTACACCAAAGAAATGCGGTGTTGTTGTTGTTGTTATTGTCAGAGAAGATGTAAGGGCTAAGCGCGTCACGTTTTTCTTAAGCCTGCGATGACGCGACCATGACCGAATCCCTTGCTTCACGTCTAGATGGTATCAAGTTGCGTCTGGCTAACGAAAGATCAAGATCGGTCAATCTGAGAGCCCCACGGAAGTGGGTTCTGCGCATATACAGATTTCGAAACAATCCTTTGTGTGCACTGCCATGTCAATCCCAGGAATTGCGAACGCAAGTCAAGAACAATTGACACTCCCTCTACACTGATTCCGCCGGCTGCAACAACACCGCTTGGATTAACTGATAAAGTAGCCGATTACACCACCGCGCGAGCACCCATACTTCCTGCGGTGCTCTCAACCATGTAAGTGTACATGCACATCAGTAATATATCAAAGCTAATCGCACCTGCCTTTCCAAACGCAACCAAACATGCTCTGAGCAAACCATGATGGACATAGACACTGGAGAAGAACCAAAGACCCAAGCGCAACGAGAGACATCCCAAGATACCAAAAGTAACATATTGACTGCAGTCACAACTCAACAAAACGTGCCGAATCCTTCTTCAGACCATCAGCGAAAGAGCCCGTTCCGGCGGAATTTTTCCAGAATCGCTTCGCCTTCCTCAATGTCTTCTGGCGTCACTGCGACTCGTCAGCACATCAAAGCTGTCCAGCAACAACACTTCGAAGCTCACTCGTCAAGCCATACGAAGACTGAAACGCGGCCCTCGAGCCCCACTGGCTCCTGATGAACTCGTTCCTCGGCGCCGGCAACCTCTTCGCCGGCGGCATCGACGCCCTCGCATTCGGCGGCGCCGAACTCCTCGGACCGAGCGGCTGGCGCGCACTCGGGCCCGAGTACGGCCTCGAAGGCTGCATGGTCGGCGAGAGCGGCGACGCTCCCTGGGCGAATGCAGGCGCCGCCGCGGCAGCGCCCCCTCCGACGTGGATGCCGAGCAGTTTGACGAAGTCCTCGACGGTGATGTTGACGACCCTCTTGGCCAGCAGGCGGCGCACGAGGGCGGGGTCGGTGCGCGGATTGGCCTCCTTGAGGCGAGCGATGACCTGCAGGGCCTCGGCGAAGCCGTTGATGGCCCTGAGCACCGGCTGCTGCTTGATCCAGGCGTCGCAGTACGAGGCGGCGGCCTCGTCGTCGGTGAACTCGTTGTCGAGGTAGAGGCGGTCGGGGACGCCGTCGAGGCGGAGCGTGGGCAGCCCGCCCGAGTTGGGGAACCACATGATGTTGCGGTCGTTGACGTCGTAGCCGAGGCCGCTGCGGTGGTCGATGGCGGTGCCCGAGTGGTTGAGGCGCTTGAGCGACAGGCTGTTTGCCTTGCGCGTGGGCGCGAAGAGCACCTCGCCGAATGGCAGCCGCAGCGTCTGCCCGTCCTTTAGCCTCACCGGCAGCCTGATGGTGCCGATGCCGACCGCCACGTCGCCCGTCTTGCCGAAGCGCGTGTGCATCGGGTTGAGCTCGATCTCGTCGAAGGTTGCGTACAGGCTGCGGTTGTTGCAGATGTGGTGCCATCCTTGGGGAGCGAGTACCCAAGCATTGGGGTTGAGGGCAGGGAACCTGGCGCTCTCCTGTCCCTCGCCCGTCAAAGTTTCGGGCCTTGTCTCCTCACCATCGTCGATGTCATATGCCTCGATGTAGCCGATGAACTCCTCCATCTAACGTCTGCCTCGGACAACTGCCAGTGGTCAGTGACTGCAGTCTGCCCGTAGCAGGATGAGCATACATGTAGGTCAACCAACCAAAGATGTGTGTATGCAAGAGCCAAATGGAGTGTACCGTTCTCAAGTATCCAAGATGTAGGGACCAAGGGCCAGATCTCAGACGCTGGAGACGAGGGGGGAGTCGATCAGGGTTAAGTTGCGTTGAGAGAGTCTATGGAACTGAGCTGTCACTAGAAGTGTGGAAGCCACTAGGGTGCATGGTGGAAGGAGCCAGGCCAGCAGCTGTCTTTCCCAAAATAAAGCCACAGAGCCGTCACTGCCTAAAAGGCCATCTCTACTCGTTACCCAGTTCGTAGCTCTCCAACATGCTGCGAAGCCTCCGATTCTTCTCTTTCAACCACTCCATTTGCTGCTCCAGGCTCCACTTCTCTGTCGCCAAATCTTCAATCCGTTTGTTTAGAAATCGGACTTTGGAGTCAGCTAACTTCGGAGCTGCTTCATTCCCGTCTTCGAAGCCCCCTGACTTCTGTTAGCTACTTCACCGGCTCGATTCTCTCGTCTTCTCCACACCAGCACCTCAAGCCTTACCAATAGTCCCGGCTTTTAACCTGGTAGCCGCTTCCTGGCCACAAACGAAGATGGCCGGTATATCATAATTTCTGTAGAATCCGCTGCAGGGCTTCTCTCCATATCCGCTCTCCTCCCATCGGTCCTGCACCTCCGGAATGGGAGTTGATTTGGTAGCAACTCGTCCAAGATTATCAAAGGCGGTCCAGAAGTGAGATTCTCTGAGCAGCCCGTCATCAATTTTACGGTGCCATTTGACCATGTCTGCGATGCATGAAAGGCCGAAGATGATTCCTCTCATGGATGCAGCGCGCTCAGGGATGGTGTCTTGGCTGGCGTTTTCTGTCATGGTGGAATGGAAGCTGCAGAGCTCTTGATCCGATAAATCCGTAGAGAAAATAGAGACGGCAAGTTGCATGCACGACTCTGTTGGGGTAGCATGGTACCTTTTAAATGCTTAGAGAAAGCTTCGCTGTCGATACTGATGACACTCTTGCTGTACACCTGGCGGCATGACTCTATTCAATACTTTTGAGTTTCGACTCGAGCACGCTGGCGTTGCGTCGCAACATCGGAAAGCGAGATCTGTTGCCATGTCAGCCCTCGGATATCCAGAGCTACTGACGATCTGAGGAACTTAATGGATGAGATTCAAACAAACGACACTCTTCGAACAGATATCATTTCCCTTATGTCTCGATGAATTTTCTCAGATGCTTGCGCCAGCCTTGACCCCAGTCGAATGCCCTTCCGGAACACCTCTTAGTTCTCTTAGCCTCTCTACCAGCCCTGGCAGCACGGCATCCGAACTTTCCGCGCTCCTGAAACCCCATCTACCGTCGTTGTCTGCTGGTATGTCTTCAAAAAACGCCTCTTCTCCTCTCACACCCCCCATATTCAGAATGCCAATCGGCATGCCCTGCTCCTTCGCCCTCTTCACCAGCCGCCACGCCGAATAAGTCGCCAAACTGCTCCCAACCACCAACAACCTGCTCGCCCCATCAATCATCTCCTCCGCCCCGCTCTTCACCGCCTGCGGTATGCTCTCCCCAAACATGACCACCGCCGGCTTCAACACCCCCGCCGCCGACCCCTCCACCACCGCGCCATCGGCATCCACCTCCACCCTCCCATGCGCCTCGTGGCCCCCCTTCTCCAAACACACCGGACACGCCGGATACCTAAACGTCTGATAATCCACCCCCGGCACATCCACATCGCCATCCGGATTCGTCTTCAGCCCCATCCGCCTCCGCTCCTCCGGATTCTCCGTCGACAACGCCCCGCTCGCCAGCATCTCCCCCAAAAACGCCTCCCACGCCGGATTCAGCTTCGCCAACCGCCGCTGAAACTCCGCCCGGTCAAACTCCCGCCGACACGACAAGCACACGCACGCCCGCAGATACCCGTGCAGCTCCACCGTCCGCAGCCCCGGATGCGCCACCCCGTGGAACGAGTCCACATTCTGCGTGATGACGCCCGCCACGACTCCACCTGCACCTCCTTCCCGCAACCCCCCCAGCGCCGCGATGGCCCCGTGCGACGCGTTCGGCCGCGCGGCCGCCAGCGTCGGCCAGCCGAGGAAGCTGCGCGCCCAGTAGCGGCGGCGCATGCGGTGCGAGGCCGCGAACTCGCCGTAGTAGACGGGCCGGTAGGTTTTGTTGAGGGTGTAGGTGCCGTGGGGCCCGCGGTAGTCGGCGAGGCCGCTGGCGACGGAGATGCCGGCGCCGGTGAGGACGACGGTGCCGGCGTGCTGCCGGGCGTCGCGGCGCGCGGGGGACGAGGACGACGACGAGGGCGAGGGCGAGGGCGAGGCGTGCGGGCGGAGGTGCGGCGATGGTGGGGCGGTCAGGAAGGTTGCGAGGGCGGCGATGGCGCCGGGGGCGGTGCGGGCGCTGGGGGGGAGGATGCGCGGGGCCGGCAGGGGGTCGGTGTAGGGGATGCGCATTATTGGCATGGTTGGGGGTTGTTGGAGGAGGAGGAGGGTGATGGTGATGATGATGATGCTGCCATGGTCTGGTGGACGGGCGAGGCGGAGGAGAGAAGAAGGAAAAAAGTGGTTGTATGATGGTGGTGCATAAGTTTCGCGGCGAATCGGAGAGCTGGGTGCTGCCGATAGCTACGGAGCTTCCATGCCACATGTGCGTCATCGATCCTGGAGGTCAATCGGGAATTCAATTCGCCGACAAAGAAGTGTGAGCCTTCCATGCACTAATAGACGCCTAGTTCTCTTTTACGTTGGCACGTTGGTACTAAAATCGCTCCTACGAGTCAGAGTTGCTCGAATGTTGTTAGATATCTTGCAAGTTTCATAGTGCTCAAACACTACTTACGCTCTAGGCCAGCCATCTACTCTACTATACCGATATTTAAATTAGAGATTATTTGTACACGTGAATCATATCCTCCGAAACGCGTTTGACGTCGTATGCCGAAATGCGTGTTCTGCGTCGACGGGATACAGAAGCTTAGTTAACCAGCCAGCCAGCCAGCCAGCCAGCACATTGCTGCGCCAATACCTCAGCATGGTCTCCGTTGTCATCGGTGGACATTACTGAACACGGCCGCTGGACAGACATTTGCACAGACAACAAGAACGAGTAGCAAAACCGTTTCGTCCGGCTTCTCACTTCCCAGCCTCCTGCTCAACCGGTTTCCCTTCTCCACCCTGCGTCACTCCCCCCACTTCCATAGTACTGGCAACCGCAACTTTCGACGCCTCATCCTCCAACTCCTTGGTCTTCTGAACTGTCTCCTCACTCGACCGAATTGCCCCGGTCTTTTCCGAGTTGATTTGGCCACTTTCCAGTCTCTTGCGCAGCTCCTCAATCTCTCTTCTCTGATCCATCATCTTGCGGTCCCTCTCCTCATCCTTCCGCTGCAGGAGCCTGATGTACTCAATCGCGTTTTCGACTGTGCTTGCCTTGCTATTGCTCTGCCGCTCTTCCTTCTTCTGAGCGCTCTCCTCAGGGCTCGCGTTACTTGCAACAGGAGCGCATGCGCCGGAATCCTTGGGTTTGATCGTGGGGCTCGGAATAAGAGATTGCAGCTCTTGAAGAGCGATGTTGATGCGGTTACGGCGACCCTGCTCAGCAATCTTATGTGAAGTACGTTTTGACGTCAGATTCGTGGACAAGGCTTCTGGATATGAAACTCCAGGAACATGCGTGCCTTCCAAAATGTGTTGATAGTTAGATTTGGACGCAAGCAAAAGGGCATGCGTATCGTCCGACGTAGTTGCTGGAGGAAGGTAAGCGTATGTACCAGATGTGTCGTCAAAGAAGAGTACCTACCTCCTTCGGGAAGCAGAGGCTTGATGCTTGGACTGATCTTCGGTCGAAGTGCAGGGCTCACCAAGGCTGAGCCAACACTGCCACGCTTTTTGCCACCCCGTCCTGCAGGCTTCATCTCGGGTTTCTTAGTGCCTGTTATGTTTGGCGACGCCATGCCAGCAATGGAGGGGCTAACGGTTGCCGACGGTAGGACCGATCCAGAAGGTGTACTAAGAGGTCCGAGCTTCGGCGTTTTGCGAGCAGGCATTCGTGGTGTCGATTGGTCATCATGAATAGTTGTATCCACCCTCGATATGCCAGGACGAGAGGGATCAGCTGTCGACGCAGCTGGTTCCGGAAGGGCAAAGTCATCATTGATTGGCTGAGTACTTCCTTGTGGAATGAATGAAGGAGTCCCTGATTGTGAGTTGGGCTGCGATCTATTCTGAGGAGAAGGCTGGAGGCGCATGAGTGAGGCTGGCGTGGCGGGGCACATCTGCTGGCCTTCAATAGTGGGCTGCGGTTGCTCGCCGCTGTTGGCGGCACGTATTGAAGGAGAGGCTGTGACTGAGCCCGGACGAGGCGGAGGTCTCATGAGGGCCTCTGACAATGGTTCTGGTGATATCGACTCCGCCTCTGAACCGTCCCTACTCGGCAGAAGTCCCATACCACCAGGCACAGGCCGAGATGAAGGTCCCGACTGATGTACTTGCTCCAATAGATCGCTGACCTCTTTAGGAGGAATGATAGAGGACAAGGTTCCTTTTTTCCTGTGGCCGTGGCTTTGTGGTTTTACTATCGGCGATTGTCTGATCCGTGCCGTGGACCCAGAGGATCGAGTAGATGCCGCGCTTCTTTTGTTCTTTAACTTCCGATTCAGCTCGTGCTGCTGGGTTTGCTCGCCCAGCATGTCCACATCGAGATCAATTGGCGACGTTGTCAAAGAATTTTCCGCGGTATGTGATTGGGAGAAGTAGGCTTGGTGCCCGCCGCGGCTGTTTTGAGCGTCCAGTGCGGGTGATGTTAGAGGACTGAAGTATGCGCCAGGAACCGTGAACTCGGGTTGCACTTGGAAAGAGGAATCGTGGGGTGTCACGGCCGGAGATACTAACGGAGTAAACTACCTCAGAGTTAGCAGGGAGCCACGGCAAATGCAAAGAAGCGCCATACCACATCTTCTTTGCGCAGGCTGTAGCGCTGATCTAATATGGCGCGCGTCTGGGGATCCAGGTGATGCATGTAGCGTGTAGCGTCGCCGTGCATTTCCACACTATTTGGCGTTGGAGGAACAAAAGCGCGCGGCTGCATGGAGTGGTCATGCGGGGCAGAGAAGTTCTGCTGCTGGCTCTGGTGATGGGAGTGGCTGTAGGCGCTCTCAAAGGAGAAGTCGAAGAGGCTGCTGGTATCCGGCACGGTGCTTGGCGACTGCAGCGATTGCTGCTGTTGTGTGCTGGAGCCATCGTCCTGGTTCTGTGGCTGGATGGCGCCGGACGGCGGCAGATGCTGGGAGTCGAGCGAGTCGGCGAGGGCAGAGAGCTGGTGGTCACTGGGTTGCGCTTCGCCGTGGTCGTAGAAGGGGATGTCGAGGTCAATGTCACCGAAGTCGAGCAGGTCTTCGAAGTCGTGCGGCATGGCCATGTTGTCGAGAGACTGGGACCACTGGGATTGATGCATGCTGGCTCGAGGCGTGGAGTCGTTACGCTCGAGAAGCACAGGTCGCACGAAGCACGAACCCCCACGCAGACTGGGGAGCGGGATGTCGTCACGGCTGGGGAGTCTTGGGCATCGGCATTCGGTTTGCGCTCGAGATGAGCGCAGGCTGGAGGTCGGCGGGCGCTGGGGCTCTTGTGGAGCGCCGTCAGGGTATCAGCGCGGAGCGGAGGGAACGAAGAGTGCCGCCGTGAAAACGAGGTGGCCCCAGAACGCGCAAACGGCTAGGTAGCAAAATTGGAGCAGGGAGCCCGTGGCTGCAGTGTGGGTGCTGCACGCAAGCGTGGGCCTTGGGCCTTAGGCCCTGGAGAGCTTCTCCGCCGCGCCTTAACTTTTTTTTTCCTTCCCTTCTCGCCAGGCGCCGGCGGGGAGGGGTGCCGGCCTATCAGACTCGGCGCTCGGCCCTTCGAATCTTCGACAGCTCGCTCGAGTCGTGAAGCACGTTTGGAGATTGGAGTTGTGGGTCTGCGGCAAGAAGATGAGCCGCAGCGGATGCATGCACTGCTGACGCTGCCACGCCTCAGGTAGGCTGTGATCAGCTGGGCAGCTGGGCAGCCGGGAGACGACGGCCACGCGCACGCGTAGATGGTGGTTGCGAAATCGAACTGAAAATGCCGTGGGCGCGGAGAAACAGCCACACTAACTGCCCTGATTTCCCGGATTCCGCCGACCGCGCTCGCGTCAGCCAAGATCCTACTCCTGGCTGATATCTACACTGTCGCTGGGACGATAAGCCGTGGCGTACGTACACAGTAAACGGCTCCTCCAGCGGTCGGTTTGCTGGCCGTAGGGCTGCGTCACAGGCGGGTGACAGAGAAGCCGACAGTTCTGCTTTTACTGAGGGGAGAATGTCTCGTTCGTTCCAAGGTTGCGCGTGGCGCTGCCTGCCTCTCCGCGGAACGGTCGAGCTCTGGCGCGCACTGCTCGCTGACGAATTCTTTTTGGCAATCTTGTCGACGCATCAGGGTACGTCAGACGTCAAGACGCTCAATCCGGGAAAAACAGGTCATGATCGATGCCTTTCTGGACTCTGTTCTTCACCTGACACAGCAGTCGCCAGATCGTGGGACGTGGTCGATGAGTGCTGAACCGTTTCCCCCGAAACGGCGCAGGTCCACCTCCGGCTGCCCCGCCTCGCCTACAGAACGGCAGCGATCCCGGCATGAAGTTTCATGAGACATGGGCTCGCAAATCACCACCCGTTTTCACGTGGCTGGAGCCCACGCGAGCCGCGAGTGTATTCCTGTTGCCGGGCCACCGTGCCTTGACTTAGGTGCCTGCTCATGAGCACATCGACAGGTAAACTTTGCGACACAATCAGCGCTTTGCGCCGCGAGGCTGAACAGTAGCCGGCCGGCCGCGCGCCGCGATCGGCACGGACGTGCGGGCGTGCGGGCGAGGGCGCTATACTTAAATGTGGACGAACATGTCGGGATTTGGAAGTGGCCGCGACGAAAATCATGACAGGGACGACCATGGACCACGTCGAGAGATGATGAGAGGGCCTCCGCGCTTCTTACGCGCGTTCCACTTCTCGTGCGCAGCATTGCAGTACGCAGGCCTCGCATCCTCGCACCCGCTCGCTTGCGAAGCTCTCTCCTGCGCGCCGCGCCGCAAGCTTTTGCACGCTATGCTAGGGTCGGCCACGGGGAGATTAAACTTGTCGATGAGCCCCGCAACGCCAACCGGCTTGCTGAACGCGTCTGCCTGCAGCGCTGAGCTGCGCGAGCCGGGCCAGAGGATGAAGGTAGACGGGAAGTAGAAAAACGTTCGGATGGTCAAGCGGACCAGGGGGTGTCTGCCGCCGTCTGTCCGCCCAGCCGGATGAGATAGCTGGTGGACGTGCGGCCGGGCCCTGTTGCTTGGTTGGACTTCCCCTGTCAGGACCCCAGCCGGGCCAGCTGCGGGCCTCCGGAGCACGGTCTCACCTCTCGCGCGGCAGGCCACCGCTCCTCGCTCGACACTGGGCAAGCCTCCGACTAACCCGGCCTATCAAGCTCCGTGCTCCAAGCCAGCCAAATGCGAGGCTGCAAGGCAGCGCGCCTCTCCTTCTGCACCCAGCGATCGAGGCGGTTTGACCTGCATTCCGGCCAGGTCGCGCGGAGGCCACGCTGGGAACCTGGCCTCGGCTGCAGCTCTTTTGTGCGCGCAACGGCCATGAGATAACGTGCGCAAGCTGTCTGAAACCTGGAATGGTGCCGTCCAGTGCCGCCTCCCCTTGCAGCAGGTGGAAATGCGCAATTTGCTAGTCTGTGTGTCACGTGAGTGGCTGTTTGATTTCGCTATCGCTGCGAGGAGCTGGTCGCCATGTGCGCCACAAAGCCAGCCTCATAATTTGAGTTTGGCGTCTCTGGGAGCGGAGGCTATAGCCAGGATGCGCCTCTAATCCACCGTAAATGCCGCCGGGTCGTCACCAGGGGGAGAGGAGTAGGGAGCGTGAATTGCGTATAATGATATGATTTCGTTTTGAAGTATTAGCACGAACGGCAGCGTGGAGGAATAGGAAACTGTGCTGCAGCAAAGAAAAAGGTCTTTCATCACTTTTGGACCAGAGCCGCCGCCGCCGCCCTCCCACGCTAAACCCGCGATAGCCAGCTGGAGAAACACTTGCCAATCCTAATATACAACCGTCTTTCGGGATACAGTGATATCGGTAATAAAAAAAAGAAGTGCTGGACCTTGATCGAAAGACCCAGCTGTCGGCGCCCATGCGGGTGTGTATTAACCGAGAAGAAGAAGCAAAATGCCGTGAATCAAGAACTCTTCAAAACGCCGTCGAGGAAGAAGGGAATTGTAGGGGGGTATGAGTGTCGTCGTTGTCCTGGCTACATAACTATGCAGCAGCCGTTCGATTGTTGCGGCGCATACGGGTCATCACGCTTGTCGACCTGCCATCATTGGTTCAGCTGAAGCCCTGACAAATTGCTCACAAAGCGGGGGTGGGCGCATACCGTTCCCCATCTTGATGGTACCATGAAATCCTTGGGTTCCTTGTCCGTGAAGTTGATCAAGCTGGCGGGCCTCTGTTAGCGACGAATGCGACGCGACGACGCGAGCGACAGCGCGACTTACTCCATCGCGGCCTCAGACACGGGTATCCGAGAGCGGTTGAGATCCTCCTTCAGCCTCGTGTTCAGCTCCGTCAACCGCCTCAGCTTGAGCTCTGCCATGCTCTGCTTCTTCGACTTGCCGTCACCAACATTGCGGGCCTCGTATGGGGTAGACATCATGTTCGCCGGGACGGGTGGATGGTATTAGTGCGCCGGTCGAGGGTGGGCAGCGTGAAAACGAGATCGCGAGGGTGAGCGTCTGTGGCGGGTGAGCATTGGCATTGGATGCGATGCAACATGGTGCGACGTACCTGCGTGTGCAGGGTGGGCGACGACGAGGAGTAGCCGGCCGACAAAGCCGCGGCGTCTCGGGGCAGTCGCGGACACGCGCGGGTTGGCAGAGGACGAGGAAGGAGCGGCGCTGGTGAGGAGAGGCGAGAGGGAGCGTGAGGGGATCGAGGTAGACGAAGCCGCGGGGGGCGAGCGACTGCGGTCGGGAGCACACAATGGTTCGGTGGTGATCGTGAGTCCCAGCTGCTAGGAGCTTGCAAAGGAGAGGCTCGGCCAGGAGAAGGTCGCTCGCTTGGGCCAAGGGCGGATTCGCAGCAGAGGCGGCGCTAGGCCCGAAGCATCCGGTCTAGCGGCCTTTCTTCACCCGCTGCCGATCGCAACAGCAGGGCGTTATTGGCGCCCAACTGGAACTGCTGGCGATTCCATCGACCTCCCACGGCGCAGAACCAGGTGCCCGCGGCTTCCCTCCCGGGGCAGATTGATCCATGAAGCGATCCTCGTACCGCCCGAGATCCGGCGCGCCACCAGCAGGAGCAAAGGGTAGTTCCTGTGTCCAGGCGTCTGTCTCAGTGCAAGGAGGGCTGCATTGGGCCGTCGGCGAGCAGACATAAGCAGCCAGGCCTGCACCTAACGGCTCTGTACCCTTGCGCAGCGGCCTTCAGCTCGGCGCTCGACAAGACGTCCACAGTATGGGTGGTCCAACTCTTGCTACTGCTCCCGCCGCCGCCCGCTAGCGCTGCCAGGTGCCATGCCGGGTGAACGCTTCCCGTCCGCGGCTGTCCTTGTGACGGCTTTGAAGCCGGGTGGACCGCAACCTTACTGGGGCGCGACTACGTCTGGTGCTGTCGCGGCCCGGCGTCTGCTTCGCCGACGGCGTGGTGATCGCGGGTGCAGTGCAGTCTGTCGCACATATTCGTTGGCTGCCTTGGACAGTGCTAGCCGGCACGAGCAGCTGCAACCCTCACCAGTATTGCCGTTAGCTGCGCTGTACCGGTGCGTCTCAAACAGGCTGCAGCATGTCAGACGCACCAGCGGCCCTGCTGACTCACTTTCTGCAGAGGTGATGTGATTGTTCGCGCTGTGCAGCTGGATTCGTGGCGCACCACTGGTGTCCCGTTCCATGTGTTCCTTCCATGGGGATACCTATGCCCCCGGATTAACAGCGCGCCGAAGCTCCGGGGTGTGTGCGGTTTTCGGGTAACCTAACCTAACCACCAAAGATTCGAACTTTGCCTGCACAAGCGACGCTCTGGCTGCTCGCGACCGGGACTCCACGCAGCAAGCACCAGCCAGCCGCACATAGCGAAACAGCTTGCCCATCATGCCGCCGCCACCGCACAGCAGGCCGGAGAATGTGCTCAAGGCAAGTGCCTATCGTGCGCTTTGTGCGCCGACCCGCCTCGCGTCACCGTGCTTGTCTTCGACGCGCAGGCGTCCCGCGTCCAACCCTACTAATATGGTGTCTCTCTACAGCGCGCCCAAGAACTCATCGGCGTCGGCCAGCAACAGGCCGCGCTGGCCCTCCTGCACGAGCATGTCGTCTCCAAGCGCACCCGCAACAACCCTATCGCCTCCATCGAGCCGATGATGATTCAGTTTGTCGAGCTGGCTGTGGAACTTAGGAAGGGAAAGACCGCGAAGGATGGTCTGTACCAGTACAAGAACACCGCCCAGAACACGAACATTGGCACCATCGAGGTACGCATCCGAGTCTACGTGGCGGAGTGGGGCAAGGGCTAATATTGTTGGTATAGCTGGTTTTCAAGAAGTTCATCGAGCTCGCCGAGTCCAAGGTCACAACCGCCCAGGCCAAGGCCGATGAGGTCCAGTCGACCATCGAGACTGCCGCTACTCAACAGAACGTTGAGGATCTCGAGGCCTCGGAGACCCCCGAGTCCATCCTGCTCTCGACCGTTTCCGGTGAGCAGTCCAAGGACCGCACAGACAGGGCTATCGTGACGCCCTGGCTGAAGTTCCTGTGGGAGACCTACCGGACGGTCCTGGATATTTTCAAGAACAATGCCCGTCTTGAGATTATGTACCAGCAGACGGCCCACCAGGCCTTCCAGTTCTGCTCCAAGTATGCCAGGAAGACCGAATTCAGGAGGCTTTGTGAGCTTCTGAGAAACCACCTTCAGAGCGCTGCCAAGTTCTCGTCGCAGATGCACGCCATCAACCTCAGTGACCCGGACACCCTCCAGCGCCACCTCGACACTCGCTTTCAGCAGCTGAACGTCGCTGTCGAACTGGAGCTTTGGCAGGAGGCTTTCCGCAGCGTTGAGGACATTCACACCCTTCTTAACCTGAGCAAGCGCCCCGCTAAGAACGTCATGATGGCCAACTACTTCGAGAAGCTCACCAGGATTTTCCTCGTCAGCGAGAACTACCTCTTCCACGCTGCCGCCTGGAGCCGTTACTACAACCTCATGCGTGTTTCCGCTGCGGCTGTTGCTTCCGGCCAGAGCTCGAAGAAGGACAACCCGGCCGTTACGGAGGCTGACATGACCAAGGCTGCCTCGTTTGTTCTGCTATCTGCGCTCTCTATCCCCGTCATCAGCACTTCTCGCTCTCGTGGTGCTCTGGTGGACGTTGATGCGGCCAAGAACAGCAAGAATTCTCGTCTGACTAACCTCCTTGGCATGTCCGCTGCGCCCACCCGTGCTTCTCTCTTCAAGGACGCTTTGAACAAGGGTCTGCTGAAGAAGGCCAGGCCTGAGATCAAGGATCTTTACAACATCCTCGAGGTTGACTTCCACCCGCTTTCGATTTGCCAGAAGATTTCCCCCATCCTCACCCAGATTGGTGCCGATGCCGATATGCAGAAGTATGTCCTGCCTCTTCAGCAGGTCATCCTCACCCGTCTGTTCCAGCAGCTCTCCCAGGTCTACGAGTCTGTTGATCTCAAGTTCGTCTTGAACCTCGCTCAATTCCCTGAGCCTTTCCAGGTCAGCGCCGACACCATCGAGAAGTTCATCATGAACGGTTGCAAGAAGGGTGATCTCTCTATTCGCATCGACCATGCCTCCGGCGTCCTTACGTTTGACTCGGACGTGTTCTCCTCCGCGAAGGCCCTTCATCCCGGCTCCGCTGCTGGCTCGGCCGAAACCGAAGCTGGCTCGGTTCAGCGTCTCCAGAGCACTCCCGCAGAGATCGTCCGCTCGCAGCTCACCCGTTTGGCCAAGTCGTTGTACATCACCTGCCAGTACGTGGATCCCAGTTTCAACGAGGAGCGCCAGAAGGCCAAGGAGGCTGCTCAGGCTAGGGCTGCGGCTGGTGCGGAGCAGGAACACCAGGATGCTCTTGCAAGGAGAGAGGTTATCGAGCGCAAGAAGCAGACCGCAGCCAGCGTGCTTGCTCAGAAGGAGAAGGACGAAGCGACCAAGCGCAGGATCGCCCAACAGCAGGCCGCTGCTGCTGAGGCCCAGAGACTGGCCGAGGAGAAGAAGGCTCGCGACATGGCCCGTCTCAAGGCCGAACAGGAGCGCATCAAGCGCGAGGAGATTGAGAAGCAGTTGAACGAGTTGAAGAGCGGCATCAAGGGCGTCGATCTGGATCTCGAGAACCTCAACATTGATGAGCTCGACTCCGGCCGTATTCGTGCTATGAAGCTCGCCGCTCTCGAGAAGGAGAAGAATGAGATTGGCGAGAAGCTGCGCATTACCGGAAAGCGTATCGACCATCTGGAGCGTGCTTACCGTCGCGAAGAGGTCAAGCATCTTGCCGCAGACTACGATGAGCAGCGCAAGAAGGATCTTGCCGCCTACGAGAAGGCGAAGAGGGACACTCTTAGGGAGTCCAAGGAGAAGCACGACGAGGAGGTTTCCCTGAAGCACCGCCTGAGCCGTCTGGTGCCTGTTTACGAAAAGTACCGCAACCAAATTCAGGAACAGAGGAAGGCCGAGTTCGACAAGCGCAGGAAGGCCGCCGAGAAGGAACTCAACCAGAAGATGCAGGCTCGCGTCAAGGAGGCTCGCGAGCGCAAGATCAGAGAAAGTCGCGAGAGGGAGGAAGAGGAGAGGAGGCGTCGCGAGGAGGAAGAGAGGATGGCAGCCGAGGAGGACGAGAGGCAGAGGGAAGAGGAGGAGAGGAGGCAGAAGCTGCTGGAACAGAAGATCGCACGGGAAGAGGAGCGCAAGTCAGTAACATCCTATCCTTGCTCCACAACTTTCAGAAGACTAACAACTCTACAGGAAGCTCGACGAAGCTGCTGCCAAGCAGCGTGCCCGCGAGGCCGAGGCCGAGGCCAAGCTGCAAGCCAAGAAAGAAGGCCGTTGGGCTCCTCCTGCCCCTGCTGCTGCCCCTGCTGCTGCCCCTGCTGCTGCCCCTGCTGCTGCCGAAGAGCGTCCAAGCGCAGGCGGTCCTCCCCGTCTCGCCCTCGCCGGCAACAAGCCGTCATGGCGCGAACGCGAAGCCGCAAGGGCCGCTGGGGGTGCCGCTCCTGCCGAGGAAGCACCTGCTCCCGAGGCCGAGCCCCCCAAGCGCGGTGGATACCTTCCTCCCGCTCTCCGTGGCGCCGAAGGTGGTGGGTCTGGCTGGCGTGAGCGCGAGGGCAGCGGTTCTCGCGGCCGCGAGATCCCCCCCAGAGGAGATTCTGGATCTCCCGCTGCTTCCTCCGGCCGCTGGCAGCCGCCGGCGGCTCGCGGCTCGCCCTCATCGGGCAGCCCGGCACCGCCGTCTGGAAGCGGCTACCGGCCGCCGCACCTTCGTGGCGAGCCCAGGGAGCGCGACTCTTCCGATGCCCCTCCTCGTCCCGCCGGTGGTGCGTCTGACGGCAAATACAGGCCCGGCATGTTCGCATCTCGTAGGGGTTAAGTAATTTGGTTGGAGACTTGAGAGGCCCGTTGCTTTGAGCTGTTGCTCTTTTTTTTTTCTTATATATTAGTATGCTGGCACCATCACGTTTCCTTCCCTTTTCACGCTTTCGAAGGGTCTATGGACGACGATATGTGGCTCTCCTTTTTGAATGGCATACACGGAACAAAAAAGGGGACGGGGAAGGGAGGCGATGTGCTTGGATGAAGGTGGCAGATAAGTAGGGAGGGATGGAAGAGCATGACCTGATGAAACCTTTTACGGAAATTTTATCGGGGTCCTTTTCAAAAAATGGCAATGTCGTTAGTTTAGAGTCGACGTTGATCGCTCATTGGGATATCCAGTGACCGCCTCCCATAGGCTTGGAGATGTGATTACACTTTGACTGAACACGGACGAGGCTACATCGGAGTTGCCGTTTTCGATCGATTCCTTTGCGATTTGGTCAAGCCTTCCTATTGAACGCGCGATGGACGAGGTGCAATGATGTGAATGCTTTAAACAGTGGATTTTGGTTCCTCTAGTAATCTCTTACGGAGAGTGTGGGAGGTGGTGAGGTCATGGATTGAGGTGTAGGTCTAGCTCAACCGTTTTCTGCTTGCTGATCTCTCTCCAATCGCGGACCACGGTGACTTAGAGTCAGCCTCAAGCAAGTTTCGGAACACAAGCAAGACCATCTCGTAGGTCCGTCCGTGAGCGGATATTAACCATCTAAAACCGGTACCCGCTGCACGATTCCATTACCCTGGCGCTTACCAAGAACAAGGGAGTGACGGTGCCGTCGCTAGATTCGCAAATGGAGTTGGGAAAAGATCACCGAGAAAGAGCTTGTAGAAAAGAAGGTGTTGAAGTGAACATCACCGTATCCCAGTTACTTCGGGGGGGAGGGGGAAATGGTTGTGACCTGCTATGGGCGCACAAATCTCCATAACTCCAGTTGTATTACCAGAGCTCCAAGTTACTAAGTCTTGCAATATTTCGTATCTATGAGGTTTACTCCTTTAGACGGCGCGACTATCCTCTCATTATTCGTCATAATGTCTTCGTCGTCATCCTAATAGTCGACGAGGACCTCCATCTAAGCGGCTAGCCTTAAGCTTGTTAAAAAAAATTCAGCCAGAAGTTGATATCAGTTCACCCCTATACCGCGAAAGCAAACGTCTAACTATAAATGGTTGATGTAACGGTCATGCCCTGGCACAATGCGTTACCACCAGAACCTTAAGGCGGCAGGATCCGAGGGTTTGTAATCTATGGATTGCCTCGTTGGGAAGCTTGAAACGACGGCTGCAGTTCACCGGCTTCATTATTCCTGGTGTCACACTTCGGCTCTCGCACTGGGCTGGGGTGGGGCTGGGCGGGGTGACTGCGAGGCGAATGAGTATTAGCTGCTGGGGGGCGTTTTTTTTTTAATCTTTTTCTGTTCGGCTTCTTGGGACTACTTGTGGGTTTTCCTGCTGCTCCATCAACGCCAATATCTTTCTTGCGATGACACGAGAAGCAGTCTCGTAGGTGACAGGAGAGATCTCGTATATAACAACACTACTAAGAGCGGGGTGCTGATCTTTGCTTTGCGGGATGCTAACGTAGGACCGTATACTTCAAAAAGAAAAGAAAGAGAAAGAAAGGAAAAAGAAGAGCAAACGTCACAAGCCAAACACCCGGCATACAATCTCACAACACAAAGCCCCTCCCCAAGCAAACTCAATCATCCGTCATCCTCAACACGCTCAGATCCCCCCTCTCCTTTCTCTCCCTCTGAATCCACTCGACCCCCTCCAACAGATACGGCACGAACCTCGCCGGATTCTCCGTCGCCGGGAAATGCCCCAGTCCCTCCATGACCGTGTGCTTAGCGCCTGGAATCTCCTTGGCCGTCGCCTCGGCCACGTCGGGCGTCGTCGACCAGTCGTACTCGCCGGTCAGCATGTAGACGGGGCAGGCGGCGGTGTTGATCTTGGCCAGGCGGGCGCGGCCGTCCCAGCCGCCAAAGTAGAAGTCGAGGTCGCCGTGGAAGATGCCGTAGGCCTGGGCGGAGTACGTGTGGTAGAGGAGGCCCTTGTTGCGGGCGGGGGCGGTGGGGGACATCATGCCGAGGACGGACTCGGGGGCGAAGAGGGCGGCGTTGGTGGAGGGGGACTTGTCGTGGTGGAAGCGGGACATGGTGAGGCGGGCGCAGGCCTGCAGCGGGATGGTGCCGCCGGCCTTGACCTCGGCGTTGCGCATGGCGATGGCGAGGCAGGCCTGGCCGGCCATGGAGGCGCCGCAGATGATGGGCTTGACGAGCTGCAGCTTCGCCACCACCTGGGCGATGCAGCCGACGTAGGCGTCCTCGGTCGTCGTGTGCGCGCCCGGCAGGTAGCCCTGCGGCGGGAAGCTGCGGCCGTGGGCGGGCAGGTCGAAGGCGTACATGGTCAGCCGGTCGCGCAGCCGCCGGTCGTTCATCACGCCGTGGTACTGCCTGCTGTCCGACCCGGCCGTGTGCAGGAAGAGGATCGGCTGCTTGCCCACGCCCGACTTCTCGACGAAGATCTTGCAGCGTCCCCATCCCGGCGCTGTCACGTAGATGTAGCGCCCCGTGATGTAGTCGTCGTCCGTCTCGGCCGCGTCTTCGTCGAGTGGCGTGGGCCCGCAATGCGCATCGTGGAGGAGCTCGAGCGCCCGCCGCCAGACGTGGGCGTACTGCCCGAAGGCCTCTTGGTCGCCCGTCGCTTCGACACCCTGTTGCTTGATGTTCATGCCGTACATCCCTGTCGTTGTGAGGTCAGCGCGGTTCAGCGAGAGTTGTGAAGGCGCTTGCGCTTACCCCAGTAGCTCTGGTAAGGCATCTTGGGGACGGGCTTGAAGAACTCTTCCCATTGCTCCGGGAGTGCTACGAGAGTGAATTTGGCTTTGTCCGGGCTGCCCAGTTCGGCGCTCCCCTTGCCATTGGCAACGTTGACGAGGATTGTGGAATCATTGTCGGCAGACTTGATGCCGAATGTCACAGGATTGACAATGGCATCTGTGGTGGTGAATGCTCGGTACTGGCCGTCAGTCCCCAAGGCCTCGTTGAGCTTGCCGATGGTGCTCTCTCCTCCCAGGGCTTTCGGAAGGTCAGACCAGGCGTGGGCCATTATTTTATAGGTTCAATTGAGTTTGGAAGGATTGGAGAACCAAGAGCAGAGGATTCACTAGGAACACCGCAGGTGGGTAGTTCAAGAGGAATGATTGAGAGGCCAAGCAGGTTTTGTAACGGCCCGTCGACGTGTCGGATGAGAGGGGAAGCCAATGCATTATTAACTCAATCTGTTATTCCCTTGGCCCACTCGCTGACAAGACTGACTTGCAAGCGGCCAAGGGCGCTGTAGCCGCGGTGGACTGACAGCAGCATGGTCGCGATGACACGCCAGGCTTAGAGATGCGGGGAGAGGTCACTACTGCATGGATGCGGGGAAACGGCGCTAGGAGCCTCGTTGCCGATCACGTCGAGGGCCGGCGTACACCTATCGTTTGTCTGAGTTGCGCCTGTGGCCGTGGTGATTGGCTGGAAAGCCCATGTAGAGCGACGGTTGCGGCAGTGTGGAGTGACCGGAGAAGAGGAGACTTGACACGACACGTACCTTCCGGACGGCGCTGGATCATGCATCCCCTCACCCTTGTGCCCATCTTTGACCTCGCTCTTGTAGACCCCTCGAAGACCTGACGTCATCGAACGATTTCTCTGGATTCAATGTTGTAGAGGTGGAGATGGCTCTTTCGATGCGCCAAGACAGACTTGTGGACCGGCCACCATTCTGTATCTCGTTAGCACATTCGCTCTATCTATTCTTGTGAAGTTAGACTGTGTCCTGGAAATTTTCGAAGGACATTGCCATTGAATCGATTGCACCCTGTCGTTCGAATAAAGCTTGCGGTTGGCGGCATGGAGAACATGTTGACTCTCAGGGAAATAAGTTCTTCAGCCGTGGGGTCGCGTTCGACTAGTAGGTGGTTGATGTTCGAGAGGGACACAAGTAGTGGAACCGGACGCTCTGCGCAGGCCACCCTGGCCCCAGCGGGCGCCTTCCCTTCTGGACCTCTCCAGGCAACACGCCCCGTTTGGCAGTCGCGCTAGGCGAGGTCTTGGTCGCAAGTCATTCTTTCCTCCCTCACCAACCAGGGAGCACGTTCGATCTTGTGAATCTCGCCCTGCCTCCACGCACATCGCCTTGATCGCGCTCACGCCGCAAACAAGCCTCCAAAGACAAGAACAACCGGGCAGTCGGCGCTCCAACCAGCTCTTCGCGCAAAGCTCCAACCCACCTCTAGGTCTGTCCTACAGCCCGCTCACATGTAGCCCTACAAGATGAGCCCAGTGACTACCTTCCAGAATCTTGCCCAGCACCGCAACCTCTGCTGCCACCAACTCCCAGCATGACGCTCAACGTATACCCCGGTGACGCCGTCTCCAGCGTGAACGCCAGCGTCAGCGTCAGCGTCAGGGCCAGTCCCAGCGCCAGCGACAACCCCAGCTCGCCGGAAGCCGTGCTCAATTCGATGCCGACGAGCACCAAAATCACCATCGGCGCCTGCGTCGGCGGCTCCATCGCATTCTTGCTCCTCTTAGCTCTGTCCATGCAACTATTCAAGCGCTGGCAGCGTCGTGGCCAGTCGCAGTACATGTACTGAGTCTGGCCTCGTGTTGACTGTGGCTTCGATTCCAGATGGGAGTGAAACAGAAGTAGACTTGGCGATGATGGATGATGACTCGGAATTGAACCATGCTGCATGGCGTTGTCGCGGCGACCTTCTGGGGAGGTCACTTACTACCGTAGCCAACGAGACAACAAGATTGAGTAGACCATAGCCTACGATCCCCATCAAAGCGAGTTTTCCTCATCGATAGATACTTGCAACACCGGTGACAATGACCAATGACCCCACAAGTTCGGAGCTGCTACCGTGAGCGATCGACGTTTTGTTTTTTCAAATCATTTTCAGCAGATGAGGGTTGTGAAATTGCAGATAGCATCGGTGCTAGGCTCTCGCTGTGGCTATGGCTCAACCCCACCACACGGCAACTGCGCTGACGATCATGGCTTGTTGCGGCGCAAATGAGTTGGAGAAATGGGTAGAGCAGCCGCTGATGGTTCGGCGCATGGCAGGCATTCCAGGTCGCAGTGGGACTGGCGGGAAGGGGGCAGAATCTCGAGGTGGGCTCAGGGTACGTACGGCAGCAGGGGTTCAGCAGGTTCTTCAACACCAACAACCATGACGTTGGTCAACAAGTCGATCAACAGCAGAGAATGGCGCAACAACAACCCCAAGCTTTTTGCGTCGAAGACGGCGTGACACAGCATCGGGTCCAGCGGTTCGAAAAACTGGACAGCACGGACGGGCACCCCCAATCCGGGCTACCCGCGGCGGGGGAAATATATCGAAACAATTTCTTGGCCTGCCTCATGCGGGATGGCGGCCGATGACCGGACCCTTATCGTGCCATTGACGATGCGACCCAAGCCGTCGGAGAGGAGATGAGATTTGGAAAGCTGGAAAGCGTGTGCATGTGCTGCTCTTGTTGGTGGGGGAAAATGCGATCAGCGGGGATGCTGCGATGTCGCGCAGCTTCGCCCAAGCGTGGGGCTCTGACGTCTGGCATCATGGGATCGTCAGGGCGTGCGCCGACGGGGCTTGGGGGCTTGGGGGCCGGGGCGATGTTGGGTGCGTTGGATCGATGACAGCAGCAGTTGGAGCCGCGTTGGGCGGGCGCCGCTCGTAGCCGCGTGGGCGAGCAAGGAGGAGAGCAGACACGACGTCAATGGCTCTATTGCGGTTGCAGTAGTCAGGGGTCTCGTCGAGCTGGAGTGATAAGCTCATGGTGGAGTGCCGCTTGGGCCGGACGTGGACGGAAAAAAACCAGAGCTAATGCTAGCCTCCCAAGCCACAGCCACCACCACGAGCCAGCGCGTGGCCTTCCGGGACCTGGAGCGTATCGCGCTGCTTCCTCGGCGCCAACGACTGGTTCTCAGCTGGCGCGAATTGTGCTACGACATGCTACTGTTGTGTGACCCGCCGAGCTGGGCTCGTCACCCGCAGCGCAGCTCATGGTCGGATAAAGCTGGCCCAGTGCCTCCCCGGAAACCGGATGTTGAGCCTGATCATCACCACCATCTTTCCCTGCTCTTCTCTCCGCGACTCTTTCCGAGCGACAACAATGGCCTTCTACTTCGACGACCTCCTCACTGCCGGCGACGCCGAGCAAGCCCTCCGCTACAAGTTCTCGCCCGTCGACGTCCGTCCCGGCTCGGCCGCGACCGAGAGCACCGCCAGCTCGTCGTCCAAGACCAGCACCGCGCCCTGTCTGCGCTCCGCCAGCACCCGGCAGAAGCTCGTTAAGAACAGCGCCCGCTACTCGACCCCCCTCGCCTGCGCGACTTGGCCGTGCAAGGCCCCGCGCGTCGAGGAGATGCGCCGCTCCCAGTTCCAGTCCCAGTACCATGCCCACCGCATGGGCTACTCGTACCTCAACATATGAAGCATGCTTCTTTTGTTTATTCGACTGCAAACTTTCCAAGATACCCGAGAGACGCGCCTCCTCTCCCACCGGAAGAACACCGATGCTTTCCTATGTCCTGGTCTCTTGCCTTTTGATACCACCATCGCCCGATCTCATGGCTTTTTTCCGACACTCCTCCGGAACCACTCTCTTGCGGCCACTGGACACTCAAGCACACTGTCCCATGGGGAATAAGACGAGGAGGAGTAGAAGCATGTGAAGGACTGTAGGCAGGAGCGAAAGCCGACGGCGACGCGAGCTTGTGGGAGGACCTGCATTAGCCATCCGAACTATAGCTAGCTCTTCAACTCACGGTCTAGATCCGGCAACACGCCGTGTTACCCGACCAACCAGTAGGAAGTCAGCGAAACTGTAGTTGGTATTTAGTTAGCACGGAATGCAATCCGCCGCCGACGCCCCGTTGCGCGCGGCTGAGAAGGAAACATCATCTCTCTCTCTATCTCTCTCCTCCGACTCGTGCGATGTTTGCTGTTAGCGACTGCCCATCGTTGAGCAACGGTTCGCCGTTACTGGTGCAGAGCAGGGGTGGTTAGCTGAAGCAAATACCCTACGTGGTAGATGTATCAGAGATCTAGACCTCTTTGCACCGACGTCTCCGCGACACCGGTGTTTGGAGCGAGGATCAACTATTGCGCAACAACCCGCTGTGGGGGAAGAAGAAAAGGTTGACGACAGCAGGACCTAGAAGCAAGCCACAACAGGCGACGGCCTGCTTACCATAACCACGGTTCGCGCTGCGTGGGAAGTATGGCCGAGGGAGAGTCCGAGCAAGTCTCTGACGTCGGTACGTGCCATCACCCCCGTCAAGGCGTAGGAAGCTGCGGGACGAACCGCCTTTGGTGAAACGACGCAATATCGGCGCTGTTACTGCTGGGGTTGTGCCTGTAGTGGACCATGGTGGCTTGAGAAAAAATCCGTCTCCCACTCTCCCACCCGCTTGTCCGCATATTCACTCATCACTCGGCGTTTTTTCCACTCCACACACGTCATTGCCGAGGTCCGATATGTCTTCTGTCGGTCGCCGTTGCACTACCCAGACGGCTAGGTGATCACTTGCATGAAACAAATCTCGCCAGATCTCAGCGGCAAAAAGAAAAAAAGCGCCGAAAGCCAACCGCCCACAAGCATCGTGAAACATACGCCGTTTCTCTCCCTCCCAAACCTCCAAAGTCATGGCCGGCGGTCTGGCCCGCCTCAACGCCGGCGCCGCCGCCCCATCACTACCCTACGCCGCCGCCGCCACCATCACCGCCGCCGCCAGTGCCGCCATACTCCTATACCTCGCCGCCACCGGATCCATCGCCGGCAGTCCATCATCGTCTTCGGACGAGAAGGAGGAGGAGGATGATGACCGCAAAGGGAAGAGCCGTCGGGGAAACGTCATCCCCTCCCCCCTCACCACGCTCGGCCTGCCCGCCCTCACGGCCGACGAGCGCCGCGCCCTACCCTACCCGCCGGACGGCCTGTTGCCCGGCGCGCGCGACGTCGACTCGCCGTACGGCAGCATCCGCGTGTACGAGTGGGGGCCCGAGGACGGCGCCAAGGTGCTGCTCGTGCATGGGATCAGCACGCCGTGCGTGGCGCTGGCGGGCGTCGCCGAGGAGCTGGTGAGGAGGGGGAGGAGGGTGTTGCTGTTTGGTGAGTTTTTGGTCTCTCTTTTTTTTTTTTTCATTAAGCTCTTTTGCTTTGAGAGTTGGGGAGTTTTTCTTTTCCCTTGCTTGCCTAGCTTTTTGTCGGGTTTGGGATGTTGTAGAGAAAAGGGAGTTTGTGAACGGTCGTTGTATGTATGTACATACCAGCCTCCTCCTCGTCTTGCCTCCCTGTATACAAACCACCCTGTAGATACCAGCCCGTCACCTTTCCCTCCCCCCCCCGACACAAACACCACTTGAACCAAAACCAAACACCACCCCTCCCTCACACTCCCTGACATCATCCCTCCCTCCAAAAAAAAACAGACCTCTTCGGCCGCGGCCTCTCCTCCACCCCATCCGACCTCCCCCACGACTCCCGCCTCTACACGACGCAAATCCTCCTCGCCCTCGCCTCCTCCCCGCTCGCATGGACCGGTCGTCGTTCCTCCTCTCCCTCTTCCTCCTCCACCTCTAGCGACAACAACAACACCACCACCACCTTCTCCATCGTCGGCTACAGCCTCGGCGGCGGCATCGCCGCCGACTTCGCCTCCTACTACTTCCTCCACCACCCCACCGGCGGCGGCGGCGGCGGCCTCCGCGTCTCCTCGCTCGTCCTCATCGCCCCCGGCGGCGTGCTGCGCCGCGACCGCGTGAGCTGGACGAGCTGGCTGCTGTACGACGTGCTCGGGGCGACATTACCGTTTTCTTCGTGGCTGCTGAAATGGCTCGTAGCGCGGCGATTGCACACGCCCGTGGATGACGACGACGACGCCGATGACGACGACGCCGATGACGCCGCCGACGCGGTCGCCGCGGATGCGGATCCGGGTGACGCGACGCAGGCTGAAGCCGGGCTAGGGAAGAGGAGGTTGAAGAGAGGCGGCAGCATGGCGTCGCACCCCGCGCCGCTTTTTCCCGACCGAGGACCGGCGCTGCGGCACGTCACGGCGGCGGCGGCGGTGAACTGGCAGATTGCGAATCATGAGGGGTTCGTGGTGCCGGCGTTTGTGAGCAGCATGCGGTGGGCGCCGATTTATGGGCAGTGGGGGAGGTGGCGGGTTGTGGGGGAGAGGGTGAGGGCGAAGGCGGTGGAGGCGGCGGCGGCGAGGGAGAGGGAGGGGGGGATTGGTGGTGCTGGTTCAGGAGAAAGAGGAGAGGAAGGGGTGTTGTTGGTGCTGGGGAGGCATGATCCGATTGTGACGGTGGATGAGGTGGGGAGGGATGCGGTGGAGGCGTTGGGTGGGCCGAGGAATGTGAGGACCGTTGTGTTGGACGCGGGGCATGAGGTGCCGATGAGTATGCCGAGGGAGGTGGTGGATGCGATGGTGGAGTTTTGGGAGGCGAGGGATGAGACGTAAGATGTCTGTTGTTGAAGAGGTGGAGTGGGGAATGGGGTGTTTGTGGGATATTGGCATGCAGAAGTACATGGATAGATATGTGTGTAGTCGTGGTTGGTGTGGATTTTGTGCTTTGTCTTACGTGCTTTTGGACAACGGACTCGCTTTTGACCAACCCATTGATCCGCTCTATCCCGGGCTGTTGAAGAATTGAAAAGTCACTGGCCAGCTTTCTTGTCGTCCAGGACGGAGGTGGCCCACGGAATTCTTGCGCGGACCCCACTAAACTGGGCGCAGTGAAAGGATTCTTTCCTCCAGGAGTCTATATATCGTCGCTGGTGGAGCTACACCAATTCCTTCCGTCATGGTTACGCCGAGTGTTTGCAAGGATGTAATCAGAGAGAGTAAAGAAAACAACTGTCGGGGGTCCCGGTTGCCTTCGTTCTAAGAGAAAATCAGTACTGGAGAATCCACAAAGTCCCGAGCTGAAAGGCCCAACTGAACCAAGGAGCTGCTGTTCTGCATTTACCCTTGGTGATGCAATGGACCATCATCATAAGTGCGTAATGCTGCAAGCCGCTGTCAAGAATCAATATGAACGGCCTTTGTGGATTCGAAGCTCCTTCAAAACAGAGCATGAAACCATGATCAATCGGCAAAGACGGAAAGTATAGCTGTCTTCTCAATTGGTTCCATAGGATCCAGTGACGTTGCAAAGCAGGGAACAGGATGGATATTACGTTGGACTATAAGAATATGCGTCGCTATTTATAAAGCATCCAACAGTCAGCGAGCAGACGCAGAATGCTCGGTGTGACGAGTACATCAGCGGGCCCCCCTGCATGTGTGGCCAGTCTGGGGCAAGATCACCAGGCTCTCGCTTAAGACAGCTACAAAACGGAGAGCAGTCGTACCTGCATACCACTTCCAATGGGGGCCAGCCAGCCCGTCTCCACCCGGTATTACATACCCCACTCCAACGCTCTGTAACCGCGTCGGCCCACACATGGAATCCAGAATGCAATAAAAGGCTTCGGGAAGACGGGACAACCGGCAACAGCAGCGACAATGGCAACAGCAATGGGCTGCTCAGCCTGTCTGGACCTCGACTACGACCGCTACGACAAGCCGGTGCGGGAGCCGTATTTCTACGAAGGCCAGGGGCTGCGGTACCACATCACGTCCTTTTGGGAGCTCGAGCAGCGGGCGGCGCAGGGATGCCACATCTGCGACGTGCTGCACCGCGGCATCAAGGCGGTCTGGGACGTGGCGGGCGTGGGGCTGACGAGCCACGCCGCCAGCGAGCGCGAGCAGCAGATGCGCCGCTCCACCTGGCCCATCCCAGCCCACGACCGCAAGGACTCCCTGTTCTCGCCGCGGCCCGAGCCGAGACGCGCCGAAGAAGACGAGAACACCAAGTTCTACCGGCCCTGCATCGAGCTGAGGCCGGGCCGCACCCTGCTCGTCTCGCACGCCCTGTACAAGCGCGTGGTGCCGGCCGAGGGCGGCGGCGGCGGCGGCGGCGGCCACAAGCTGGGCCCCAATCCGCTCGAGTTCGAGCATTTCATGAGAAGGGCTCCGCTGGAGTTCTACACCCTCGCCGGTAAGCAAAGCAAGCAAGCAAAAACCAAGCACATGTGCAGAAAGCTCATCTCACCAACGGCCAGGCACCCCCAGCATCCACCCATCCTTCGGCTCCACCGACCACATCCCCGCCACCCTCACCCGCTCCCACTACCGCCGCAAACTCACCCAATGGCTCACCCACTGCACCACCCACCACCGCACCTGCTCCTCCTCCCCAACCACCACCTCCCCCCCACCACCACCCCCCAAACGCCTCATCCACATCACCACGCCCCCCAACTCTCCCCACCCGTACCCCCACCTCCGCCTCCTCCTCACCCCTCCCACCTTCTCCCTCCCCTACACGACCCTCTCCCACTGCTGGGGCGCCCCCACCGCCTCGCGCGCCCTCAAGAAGACGACGCGCGCCACGCTCGCCGCGCACCTCGCGCCCGACGGTTTGGAATACTCGTCGCTCCCGCGCCTCTTCCGCGACGCCGTCGACGCCGCCCTCGCGGCCGGCTGCGCCCACCTCTGGATCGACTCGCTGTGCATCGTGCAGGACTGCGCCGCCGACTGGCGCGAGCACGCGTACGCGATGGCCGGGATATATTCGCGGGCGTGGATGAACGTCGCGGCGACGGCGTTGGGGGATTCGGAGGGGGGGTTGTTTGGGGAGGGGGGGGAGGAGGGGGAAGGCGAGGGTGAGGGGGAGGGGGAGGGTGGTGACGATGTGGGGGGTGGAGGTGGCGGTGGAGAAGGGAGGAGGGAGCATGCGTGCGAGCCTGGGGCCGGGAGGGTGGCGGCGACGGCGGCGGGGAGGAAGGTCGGGATGGGGGCGAGGGAGCTGGTACTGGAGAGGGGGAGGAATGGGGGAGCTGGGGCGTCGGTGTGGGTGCGGCCGTTCCCGCAGGTGACGCATGGCAACTTCTTGCTGCGGAGCCCAGAGGATCCCGCCAGCCCGCTGCTGCAGCGCGGGTGGGTGTTCCAGGAGAGGCTGCTGAGCCGGCGCACGCTGCACTGCACCGCGTCGGAGCTGGTGTGGGAGTGTCGCGAGTGTACGTGGTGCGAGTGCGGGGATCTGGGGAAGCTGATCAGCGGCGGCGATGGCCATGGCCATGGCGCTGCAGGCCATGGGGTTGGAGCTGGAGCGGCCGAGGAACACGAGACGCCCGCCTTAGTAGCTGCCCAGCGACGCTCGACCAAGGTGCAGTTCCAGAACATGTTCGAGCCCGGGGCGACGCCGCAGTCGCTGCTGGGCGACTGGCTGTCCGTCGTCACCCGCTACAACCACCTGCAGTTCACCAACCCGGGCGACCTGCCCTTCGCCTTCGCCGGCGTCGTGCAAAAGGTGCGCGACCGCATCGCCCACAGCGGCGGCCGCTACCTCGCCGGCCTGTGGGAGGCGGACCTGCCGCGCAGCCTGCTGTGGGTCGGCAACAAGAAGAGGCTGGACCACGCCCGGGGGAGCCGCCTGCATCCGGTCGACTGGGAGGACGTCGGCCACGGCCCGCCGAGCTGGTCGTGGCTGTGGTATTCGGCCTGGCCCGGCGCCCGGAGCGCCCATTACTACGGCTATCTGGAGAGGGTCGTGGTCGACGACCACGCCGTCGTGCATCCCGACCGCACTTTTTGCGACACCGAAGACGGGAATCCGTTCGGCAGCGTTGTCCGGGGCGTCTTGACCCTGAGCGGACGCGCCATCCAGGGCAAGCTCCGAGCGGGCGAGCCGAAGGCGGTGCCGAAGGGCTTCTCCTACAGCCACGTCAGGGAGGACGCGTACGTCACCTTCGACAAGTTTGACCGCGAGCTGGGCTTCCCGTTCGGCACTGATTTCTTCCTCCTTGTGCGAGACGCCGGGGGCGAGGAGATGGAGCAGGATGTCACCTGCCTGCTCGTCGGCCATGAGAGAGAAAGAGGCGGCGCCTATTCCAAAAAGGAGCTTCGCTTCTTCGTGCTCGTGCTGGCCCGGGTCGGACGAGGGCAGAGCTACAGGAGGATGGGCATTGCGAGGTGGCCGAAATCAAGTCAGGTATTTGGTGGAGAGGCTGTGGCACAGTTGGAGATAGTATAGGCAGAATTTGGATTCAACAAAGGGCTTCTTGAAGCTGAAACTGTTGTTTCTGTCTCACGATAGAGGGAATTGCTTGCGGAATACTCGGATTCCATCACCAATCTCGCTTTTGGTAGAGGGATAACTTGCTGATTGTCTCTAGACAAATTACATGAGATGAATGAAATGATCATATGCACGAAAACACTACACCAGCCCTCCTCACTTACGCGCCAATCGCGACTTGTCTCAAAGCATTTTTGGACGGCTCAGAGTCCCGTTCCGCACAGTCTGCTACAAACGAAAGCCTGCGTGCTTCGTACGCTCATGGTTGTCACGTTTGTCAACACTCGCAAAGGTTTCCCCACAGCCCGGGATCCTACATGCAGGTCGGCGGCCCCCCTGATGTATTGCAAGTCGAAGGTGCTTGTGCCAGTTGGTGTTTGTTGAGAACGACACATCACACTCTTCACAATACCATCGCTTCTTATCCGAAGATTTCACCTTCTTGCTCAGAGCTTGGTTCACCTCCGGCGAGCATGGTCTCTTCTTTGAGGGGGGTCGACGGAGCGTAGTTGATGGTGTTTCTGTTTCCAGTGAAGGTCCATCGAAAGGCGAACTTGAGCAAACCGAAGTCAGCATCTTGAGTGAATAGGAAGTGTGTTTCGGAGACTACCTACTTATTGCTCTGGGGATTTGCGGAATTGGTAGAGGAGCTGCTCTCTACGGGGGCATCACTGGGTAAAGCGGATAACGAGGTAGCACTCGTAAGCGAGGATGGAAGCGACAATGTCCGTGGAGACTGTGACTGAAGCGAAGCATCCGAGCCTGCTGCTTCCCTTGAAGGCGAAGGCTCCAAGGGCTCTTCTGGCACAGAGCGTGAGACATGTCCAAGATAGACCTTCATTATCTCACAAGATATCTCCGTCTGGATTTGTCGTCTTTGACCGTCACATGCTTGCAGAATCACATCCTGCAAGTTTTCCTGGGCAGACTGTTGTTGGTCAGTATTGGCTCTGGTCATGAGACAGGAAACCGGAAGTCCTACTGCAATATCACATGCGACGAAATCCTTGTATGCGGTAAAGCTTTCCATGGTGACCTGTGAGACGTCGTCTTGGATCCATGACAGGTCAAAAGGTTCCCACGATGGGAGAAGTTGCTGCGCTACCACTTCAGGGAGTCTCGCTGAAGCCCTGTATATGGCATGTTTCCGCACGTAGCCAACAGGGTCGTCATCCACGAAGGCAGATATGAGTCGTTGAGAACAATCTGCCAGTTGTAGCACTAAAAGGGTTAATCATCAATCCGAAAGATGGAATACTCAGGCTTACTCAAGATGAATGAGATGGCGCAGGCAAATGCTACACTGGCAAGTAGCATCAAATGGATGCGATCCGGTGAAGCACAGTCCATACTAATGCGCTCTGGTTTCCAATCTTCTCGGAATGGTTCATCGCCTGACCCACGGGATAGAGGCAATGGTGTATCGTCGTCTATGTGAGTCAAGTCTTCTCCATACGGACGCGCTTCTGGTGGGCTTCCGTCAGGGTACTTTTGTTGCCATTTCAAACGGGCCTTTTCAAGCCCCCCGAGACAGCCAAAGGTCGAACTGGCCTGTTCCAGGAGCTCTTCTGCCAGCTTCTGCAACCGTTCGAGAGTCTCTTCGGGGATTGGCTGGTCGCTGGCAAAATCCAAGACGTAGCTCTGCAAGTCGACACTCCAAATATCGTTGATGGCATTTGCAAAGAGTTCTCGTTTGCTCACGTCGTCTCCGAAGATGGTCATCCATAGGTGGAGGTCCTGATCAAAATCTGACACCAAGCCCTGTCGAAAACCTGTGGTCTGGGCTATGGCTCTTGTGAGAGAAAGGAAGGGGATGACTTCCTTCAGCCGGCGAGGCTTTCCACCATTGCACAATTTCCGCAGTGCTTTCATGCCGGCTTTCCAGAAGGCCCGTGGGTGCTGAGGCAAATCATTCGCCCATTTCTTCTGATTGTAAGTGGTGCCCTTGTCTAAGGGGAGGGTACTTTGAGAAACTTGCATAATGTGCGAGTGCTCCTTGTCGAAGTTGGAGTGGAGTTGGACAAGCTTATCGAGGCGAGCGTTGGATTGATCGAGTGTGGAGCTAAGCTCATTGAGGCGAGCGTTGCAATATTGATCGAGTTGGGGAAATCCGTTAAGCTTATCGAGGCGAGCGTTGGATTGATCGAGTTTGGAATCGGATTGTTTGGAAATAAAAGTCCAGCCCTTGGCTTTGGGTAAAGGATCACAGGATAGAAGAGTCCGAATTTTTGAAATCTTTACGATAGCATAGAAGGCTCTTTCAAGGCTGTCTAATTGTTTATTGATGCTGGATTTTGGGGATTTCCATTTCCGCCATTGGGAATGGTCGAGGTAGCCGTTGTCGCGAAGTTCCGTTAGAGAGCAAGCGAGAAGGGATTCGAATAGCTTTATATAATTGAATGTAGGCCCCCTTGCGTCATGGGAATCATCAGTTGCTTCTCTCAGGCTGAATGATTCCCACACGAACACAAACGACTGATCTCTAACCAGAAGCGAGAACAGCTGCCTGGCAGACCTACTCTGATATTTTTCAGCCAATGGCGGAAAGGAAGCGTGATACACAGCATGCTCTAGGCTGTAAGCGGAACTTGCAGCGGCCAAGTGAGTCTCAGCCTAGTCGACTTTTAGCCCCCGGAATCTGCAAGATTCCCAACCTCCGGCCAATGATGGGGCTGCATTGATTAGCGCGGGAATCAACATCATCCTTCCTGCGCAGGACAGGGAAAACTGTGATTGGACGGTTTCGACTGGGAATCAGCAGCACTGTAGATGCCTGAACACACAGACGACCATTACCGCCACGTAACTGGGAATCGGGAATCACCTTGACTTAGAGCAGAGGAACTGATTCCCACTCGAGCGAGTTTGAACCAAAATCGGGTTATATATCTGTGATCATGTATACAATCCTTCTCGTGCTCAGTCAAAAACGCTTCAACCCTTCCTTTCTCGAGGACCACCATCGCAACAGAAGCTACAATGTCGGACCGAAAAACCAGCAATAGATCAAAGTGAGTGACCGAAAGCCTCTACAGATCGCATAGCTGTATACTAAAGCTGAAGAGCAGCCATCAGGAACAAGACTCCCTCCTCCGAGGCATGGGTTCTTGGACGCAGGACTACACCGGAAAAGGCCATCAAAATCAACAAGCACACCTCACAAACAACAGCGTGCCTTCAAGTCCACCGAGTCAACAGCAAGTCATGGGTGACGGTAGCCCAATGAGCCGATTCATCAACGAGGCACCGAGCGAATCCAGCCAAGTCATGCTTTGGATCGACTACCCGAGGGGCAATAAGACAGACAAATGAAGCATGCCGAGACGGAATGCTGCGCTATTGTCGTTGGAAAGCGAAAGGAGAAGCGAGATGGTCGACAATTGAATAGAGTTATTAGTGCTGAATCGAAGGAGATGGTCTTCATCTGCAATGCCACAATCCGCGAAAGAACGACCGTTCGCAAGGACTCAACATCCCCTCCCGTACTTGAATTGATGAAAATGTAGTGTGAGAATGAGACGGGAGCCCATCGGCATCACGGAGCCGGACCACCATCTTCGATGTCGAGGGCGGTGGCAGCTCGCGCGGACAATTCCTGCTCGACAGCCTTCCTCCAGCCCCAAAGGACATTCAGAGCGGTGCGGATGTGGTCAATGGACAGTGGTGACTTCTGGTGAAGTGCCATGGATATCGCATTGCTGAGCAGGTTTTTGATCTGCCGGCCGTTGAGATCATGGCCCGCAAGTTCGTCCATCTGAGCATCATCCATCGCCGTCTGCACTTGCGTACCCTTGGTAAGCCGCTTGAAGAAGGTGAGCCACAGTTGCCTGCGGGAGGCGAAGTCGAGGTCGGGGTAGTGGAGGCTGAAGTGGATTCGGCCTGTGATGGTCAGCGATGGCTGCTGCCATGTGTAAATCTGTTTGAGCTCTTACTTTCGAAGGCATCGTCGAAAATGCCGATGCGGTTGGTGGTGAGGATCAGAATGCCCTTGTAGTATTCCAGTTGGCGCAGGAATATGGAGACGAGTGCATTGCGCACAACGTCCGTGTCGTTGCGCCGCTGCAGGAAGACATCGGCTTCGTCGAGAAGCAGAATGGCACCCCATCTGTTTGCCAGCTCGAGGATCTCGGTCAAGCGCGTATCGACGCTGGACGGGTCTGTGCCGAGTTCTCCTGCGCTGACAGAGTAAAGAGGCTTCCGCGTTTCTTCCGAGATGGCTTCAGCCGTCAGTGTTTTGCCGCATCCGGGACGGCCGCTGAGTAGGCCGACAAGGCCCTTTCCCTTGCCGACAACCACGTCATCGAAGCTCTTGGACATGTGCTGCGTCACCAAAGAGTGGATGAGAGTTTTCTTGTTTGCCTCCAAGACGAGGCTGCTGAAGGCATCGTTGCCCCATGCAATCTCACGGCAATAGTCCATGCCCAGACCGCCTACAGGTTGATGGATCAGCTGAGTTCAAGCGTCTCGGTGGGGATCCGGACTCACCCCATTGCTTCATGCCAAAGCTGAACCCCATGATTACAGGATTGCAAATGGCATATTGCTCGGCCGAGAGATCTGGTTGGAGCTGCTTGTAGACAGTGGAATTGTACGTCGCGTTCGGCTGGAAAGTCCGGAACCCCTTTGGATCGATCATCGCCCGCCCAAATGCCTTCACATGTGGTCAGTTCGGCATCGACTTCGTATATGGTGAGGCTCTTACCGAAAAGGTGAAGCGTTTCGGCTTCAGGTCTTTGTTGAGAATCTCGCGCATTGCAGGTCCATCGCATTCCACGTAGCCTGCTTCCCTGATGCTCGCGTAACGCTTCCCACGAGCCACGGCGTGCTCGAAAAGCTTGCCCTCTGCTTCGGCAAACTCCAGTGGATACACGGGCAGATCGCAGATGTTCCGGGAGCCAGGGTATTCGTCGATCCGGAGATGATCAACTTTGGAGAGACCGAACTTGTCGCCGTCAAAGACGATCATGTCGCAGTCAATATGCCAGTAAAATATCAGTTGTTCCTGGTCCTTCCTCTGGGTTGCCTTGCGAAACCGAAGCAGTTGGACTTGCTGTGTGAGCTCATGGTAGTGGTAGACCAGCCGGTTTGGAGTGAAGAGCGCCCACACAAGCTCCCACGTAGTCTCCTTGTTGGCGAGTAGCGTTTTCATGCTTGCCATTGTGTGCACATGGTCACTTGCAATGTAATCGAGGGCGACGCATAAGCCTGTGATGAGGTCCTGGTCCTGCTGGTCTTTGGACTTTTCTGCCTCGAGCCTCTCCTTGAGCCCATGTCGCGAGTGATAGAACAAGACGGGATCTGCCTGCAGCTGCATTCAGCCAGGAGCTCCTCCAGCCACACGAATGAAACTCACCACCGGGGGGTCGCGCTGTTCCAAGTTCTCTGCTTCGCAGTTCAAGTCCTTGAGAACTTGGGCCAAGGCTGCGTTCCTGATGTCGATTTCGGTGCTTTTTATCTTCCCCTTGACACTGATTTTTCGGCGAACAAGCAGCACCACACCCTTGGCGTCTTTTTTCTTCTGAGGCTTTGCCGACTTCTTCTGCTTCCACGAGTAGGTTCGGCTTCACACGGCCGTTAGAAATGAGTTTCGGAAAGTACAAGCAGTTCCGAGCCTTACTAGTCGTAGCTGTTGGATCATGTCAGCCACGTCCTCGAGTGTCATGGCGAGGCTACAGTACTATTCATCCACTCGCTTGATGCGCTTCACCTCATCGGCGCCTGCATTTGCGCCCTGTGTCTCTGCCTGTGTTTCTTCTGACATGGTGGAGTTTTCTTTGTGGTGGGAGAGGGCGAGAGGCGCGAAAGGTACTCAGAGGTTGGCTTCGGACATTCAGCCTTCTATCACTCCGACGTCCGGGATTTCCAATTACTCAACAGGCAGCAAGACTCCAGGCATTATCCGTACGCCAAGCTTGGTTGCCTGGAAGTGGCGTCCGCAGACACTGCAAGGAAACGCGTTGCCGTTATCTACGATACCAATCAGAGAAACAATGGCAAAATCTGGCGTGTTGATAGCGTTTATTGGGAGATCGATCACTTGTGCATGTGAGTTGGCATGTCTCAATCAGTCTACCTGCATGGCCCCCAACTTGCTGGGATCGGCCAACCCCGCTTGCAGAGCCTCGTTATTATTGCGCAAAGGCGAGTCTCACGTCATACAATACTTGACTCGATAGCACACGATCCTCACTGGCAGGATATAAGCCCTGATACTGCCGTCTGTGTAACCAAGGATGCCTACACGCTGCTGACACAGCATGAACGATAGTAAACAGTAACTCGATGCATTGCGTGCTCGGGCTGGAAGCAAAACAAATGCCAGGCTCATTTTTGCGACATAGCCGCCGCGCCTCACTGCCGTTACCGTAGCTGCAAAAGGATCAAAGCCATGAACGGTGCCAATGCTTTCGGTTCTTCCAAGGCCGGTTCGGCTTCCACCAGCAGGTTGGAACAGCTCTGAAAGCGATCGAAGGACGATTACTCACTGACGCGATCAAGGGCAACCACAACATTCGAAGAAGATGTTCGAGGCCGCGTCACATCGATCCTGGACAAGGATGCGGTGGTTTTCTTCCGCGAGATCCAAGACGATATCAAGGATGGTCCCATCACATCGGCTTCTCTCGCTGCACTGAAAGCTGCCGAGGAGCGCAAGGCTTCTCGCAATCGCTCCTGGAAGATTTTCAACCGAGTCGTTTCCCCCGTCGTCAATCTTTTGACCGGCTACTACAACGTGATTGATACGATTTGTCAGGCTGACCCAACACCGGGTGCGGTCATATGGGGATGTCTCAAGATCCTCATCAACGTAAGCGCTCAACCTGTTCCTGGCCATCAAACACGTACTTTACTGACCATGGCACGTAGAGTGCTCACCGGGCGGCAAACCTCTTCGAGGCCTTTGGCGAGCAAATCGACCGTGTCAGGTTCCACCTGAAACGGATCAACCATTTCAAAGCTCTCTTTCACGAATCGGACGCAATGAGCGACGTATTGCACAGGTCGTGTTTGAACGTCGTCACGTTTTGCACTTTGGTGTGGAAGGAGTGCAAGAGGTCCAGTGCGTAATCAGTGGCCCGTCAAACATCTCATACCGCTGATGCCTGTGTTTAGCACCCGTCTTCCTACTCAAAAGCTTGAGTCCTTCGTTGACTCGGGACTTTGAAAAGATATCATCAGCTATAAAAGTTGACAGAGAAGATCTGGAAGATATGGGGGGATGGATTGACCAAGAAAGGGGAGATAGCCATAGACAGGAATTCGCCAAGTTCCTTACTCAGCAGCAGGAAGAGCAGAAGTGTAAGAGCAAGCCCCTTGAGTCACTACTTCGCACCTGACAGTTCTTTCCCCTTGTAGGGAAAACATACCAATCGGCAGTGCAATGGCTTGGAGGCCAGTCTTCAGCAACGTCTCAGGAACGCGTTGAGTCCTCCCGCCCGGAGACAACCGTAGTGGATTCAACGGACTGGATACTTGGCGCTCCTGAATTCCAAGCATGGACCTCGGATTCTGCAAGTCATCCCGTGTTGTGGCTGACTGCTACCCCCGGCGCTGGGAAGACCATGCTTTGCTCCCAAGTGATCCAGAAGACGAAAGAAAAATTCCCCTCGGCTGGCATTGCATCCTACTTCTATCGATTTGACGAGAGGATCCCCACATCTCAGGTTCTCCAAAGCATCGCCAAACAGTTGCTGGAACAACTGTGGATGACCAACAAGGAGTTACCCGATTCTGTCAGTGCCTTCCCTCGCACTCCACCCAACATGAAGAGCAGTATTCTGGGCATGATCAGGGCCATGGCCGAATCTACAGCATTCACCAAGATCTTCATATTCCTCGATGGGGTGGATGAAGATGCTTCAGAAGGACCACCTGATCTTCAATCGGCCCGGCAGGCTTTGTCGGACCTGATCCCCTTGACTGATCCAGCATCGAAAGGAACCTTTCGGCTCTGGATATCCAGCCAATACCGCACTCACATAGCGGGAAAACTGAAATCTCACCTTCGAGTCCAGCTCAGCGATCAGAACGAATCTGCGCTGCGGTCGTTCTTCGACCAGGAGCTCCCGCAGCTCAGGAAACTGGAGCTCGAGCAGGAAGAACTGGACGAGCTCGTGGATATGTTGAGGGACATGGTCAAAGGAAACTTCCTTTGGGCGCGTTGCATGATCGGGCATCTCAGAGACGTTTGCGAAAGCCCCGAGGAGGTGCAGGAGTTCATCGAGACAAGCCAACCGTGGAGCCTCGACGAGTACTACAAGAACTTGCTGCGTCGCACACGGGAGCATGACCGAGATCTCGCAAGGTTTGTCTTCTCTTGGTTTCATCATCTGTTCAGGGCTGACACGGACGGGCAGTAAAATATTGTCCATCGTTTGTTTTGCCCGCCGTCGAGTATCAGTCAGCGAGCTTCGAGATGCACTTTGCATGATGCGCAGCTCCGGTTCCAAGGAACCGAGAAAGAAGCCCGTGCTGCACAAAGTGAAAACACTACTCCCCCCATTCATCGTCACAAGCGGTTCTGAGGAAGACGAATCAGGCCGATGCGAACTGTTCCACAGCACAGCACGGGGAGTTTTGCAAGCCAATCCTGGTATCTTGGAGAAGGATCACACAGGCCTTGGGAGTATTTCCATCAATGAGTATCACCTTGCTTGGGTGTGCGTTCGATACCTGGCCGATCCCAAGTTCAAGGAGCCCCTCAAATTATCGGATGGCCAATGGAAAACATGCAGTGGGGAGGCGATAGAGTCGGACGGCTTTCTCCGCTACTCGGCCAAGTACTGGGACAAACACCTCGACGCAGTGAAGCCAAGTCCCGAGCTGAAGGCCTTGGTTTCTCGTTTCGTCCTCTCCCCAAACTACCAGACCTTGCTCCAACTCCAACACATTTACGTCGACAGCCATTTTGCGACCTTCATGGTGGTTGGACGACCAGAGAACCAATTGTTCCTCCGGAGAGTGTTTCCAGACTGGTTCGCACCGAAGGATACCCCGATCCAGGGGTTCCACATTCGACGTGGATACCGCGAGTTCATCCATGAGTGGCATTACTACCTCAAGTGCGGATGCTGCGAGAATCCGAGATGCGTCATGTCCCAGTTCGCGGGAGAGGTGGACCGCTGCCTCTTCGGTGCTTTGGGCCAGGAGAACTTCATGTCGCACATGCACAGCCGGTACGTCAGCTTTAAGCTCAGCAACAACGACGCCACAGGTATCCAAAGCACACGCCAGTGCTACGAAGGCTATTCAAATGCTGGAGACCTTGTCCACGTGTTACAGTTTGCGTAAGTGTTCGATGAGAAAGCCCTTGGCCAAGGACATGGCACTGACTTGGAAACACTGAACAGCTCTCGTACCATGGCCTCTAAACTGCGGTTTGTGTGCGAGACGTGGCACTTGATGGACATGAAGCAGCCATCTCTCTACAAAAGACAGTTTGTTGAAGTCGGAGAGGAGTCCCACTGGCCGCTCTACTTCAAGATGGTCGACGGCGATGTGAAAGCCAGATACGACCAAGCGAAGCCAATAGCATTCGACGAGAGTGGGAGCTGTCTCCGGATCGGATCATCCATCTTTCTACGAGACCGGGACGGGAACTTCAATTCTCAGCAGCCCGGAAGCAGTGAGAGAGACCAGCCGCCCGAGTATTTTGAAGAATTCGCCATGCGCCCAGGGATTTTGGCCATTGCCAGTCGCCGAAACAGTGCAAAGCTGGGACCCGAGCGCAGCAATGCCGAAGATGCCGTTCAAGATGTCGTGGCACTGTTTGCGAGGGCGCAGAAAGAAGACAGTGAATCCGATGCCGACGAATCTGAACCGTCCAGCGAAGGAGAGGAGACTTCATCAACCAGCTCCGACGACGGCTGGAGTTCTGTGGACGAGAGCTGGAGTGAGGCGTCAACCGAACCAAGTGATGCCCTGGAAGACGAAAACATCCTGAGCGTGTTCAAAGGCTATGGCGGAAGCTCCGAAAGCGAAGCATCCGCGGACAGCGAGACGGAGGAAACAGAGTCGGAAACAAGCAGTGGAAGTGAGCTTGGAGGGAACCCGTTCGCCCGCTTCTACAAAGGCTATCATGACGACTCGTCCGATGCCGACGAGGCCTACGTCGCATTCGGCGACAACGACAGCGACGAAGACCTGATCCACGCCTTCCTGTCCTACAGGCGGAGAAGGCGGCCCAAGAAGCAGACGGAGCGAGACCTCCAGGCCTCCATCCACGTCTTCAGCACATCCGAATCGGGAATGCAGCACCTCTTCCGCCTGCGCCAGCCGCTCCACCTACCTCTCTACGACTCCGCCCCCGCCTTGCACCCGTCCCTACCGCTAGTCGTGTGGCCCCTCGGCCCGAGCACCATCCTCCTCCTCGACTACGAAAGGAAGCAGTACTTCACCCGCAAGCTCCGGCCCACGACCTCGCTCACCCGTCAAGTCTTCATCAAATGCCGCTTCTCCCCAGACGGCCAACACCTGCACATCGCGACGCTCGAAGCGCACCGCGACAATCTCACGGGCAGCCGACGCAAGCAGATCAAGAAACAGAAGAGGCGCAACAACAACAACAACAACAACGAAGACACCAACCCCACCACTGACCCGGACCCAGACCCGCTCCACCTCTCCCTCTTCCTCTCCACCTACCGCCTCCACCCCCACAAGCCCACCCGCACCCCACCCGCCCAAACCCACCGCGCCAAGCTCGCCCTCGGCGCCGTACACGCCCTCCCCGTCGCCCGCCTGCCCGTCGCCGTGACGTGGACCCCGCAGCACCTGTACGTGACGCAGAGCGCGCGGACGTTGCGCGTGCACCGCGTGCGCTTGTTTCCACCACCACCTCCTCCTTCTTCTCTGCCAAAAGACAAGACAACGACGACCACCACCACCACCATCACCGACGACGACAACAACGACGATAACGTCAACAACGTCAACATCAACAGCGACCACCTCACCCTCGCCGAGCCGCGCGAACCCATCTTCCTGCCCGCCACGGCCGCGAAGAGGAGCGTGCGCTTCTTTCCCGGGACGACGACGGCGGCGGCGGCGGCGGCAGCAGCAGCACGCGTGCTAATCGGCTCCGAGACGATGGCGCCCGCGCGGCCGCTCACGCGCGGTATAACTAATGGCGGCGGCAGCAACGACGACGAGCACGTCGAGGAGGCGGGGGCGGCGGCAGCGGCGGCGGCGTCGTCGGAGCCAAAGTTCGAAGGGGTGCAGGGGCTGGAGGGGCGGGCGTCGGCGCCGGTGGGCGTGTATCTGACGGAGGGGGAGGGGGAGGGGGGAGATCTGGGCGGGTGGGTGGCGTCGGCGAGCGGGGTGCGGTTGCCGGAGAATAGGGGCTTGGGCCGGCTGGACGACAAGGTGGAGCGGTTCGATGTGGATGACGATTGCGACTTGGAGCCGTATATTGTGTAGGGATTGGGTTGGGTTGGGTTGGGTTGAGTTGGTTGGGTACTTGTTCTGCGGTTTTTTGTTCTTTTCTTTTTTTTTTCTTTTTCTTAAAGTCGCGTCGTTTTGGACGATGATGCGTAAGTGATTCACCCGTTAATACCTTTTTTTTCGGCTTCCCAACGTAGCAACATGGCGTTGGATATCTGTGCCTAGAGTTCTTGTCAGAGTCTTGACACTACATTTGCTTGTTTGAAGTCCAGAAGGGCCCCTGCTTTCCCCGGACGTAAGATAAAGTAAAGTGTTCGCAAGTGATTTGTTGACTCCGACCAACTAACTCCTGCTCTTCCACCTCGATAAGCCGAAAAGCCATCCCGAAACAGCTGCTTTGCCTGCATGTCGGACATTGCAAGTTTCATGAGTTTGTGACATCTTTCAAGCCAAAGATGTATACCACTAGTAGAGCGGGGTTGAAAGAAAGCCCAATAAGTCAGCGCGGCAGAGGTGACTCGGCACCATTCGTTTACCACTTCTCCAACGACAAGTCTCAAATCCTCCATGGACGAATCCATCCTTCTTGTCCGTCGGCAGAGGTCTTCTCATTAGGTCACATCCTGGGCGGCTGCTGATTTCACCGTGGTGCCGCCCTCGTCCCAGACCTTCGGCGTATAGACGAACGTTCGCACCACTCCCTTATTTCATTCTCCAGCTGCTGATGGTAGAAGGAAAGGAGAATGGAAGCTGCCGCCCTACCGAAGACATTCAACACGCGTTGCTTGCGCACCAGCTTGAAGCCAGGAGGGCCAAAGCGCCAGAGGCATGACTATCATGACATCATCAAACCGAGTTCCCACACGTACCTGGCGAACCTCCATGTGCCTCCATGTCTCCGAAGCACATGTTGACCAACGCGTCAAAGAAAAGGATTTGTATGAATAATAACCCAGTCGCAAACACTCTAATTGCAGCACTCGTTAATAAAGGACAATGATTTCGCCTTTCCTTCAGCAAGGCTCCTCGCCGCTGTTTGTCATGAAAAGGAAAGGCCACCACACTCCTCATCCCATCCGCCGCCATTCCGAGATCCAAGCCCGTCTTCCTTGCCCCTCCCCTTTCACCTTCCCTGAGCAATAACCCGCTTGGATCTCCGCACCGTCTTGCTACGCTCTCCCCCAAAACACATCCCAGCCTTCCATATGTCGTTGGCGCATCCCGCTTGATGAATTGACCATTCTCCGAAAAACGTCGACTTCTCGTGCCAAGCCGTGTTCTATGTCCAGAGTCTCGTGCCGTTTCGTTTCGCTCATCGAATCCGACGCTCACCGCCAACTTAGACGTACTGCGACCTGCAAAACAAAAACAGCGACCGTCAGCACTCCACCAAAACAAGTCACCCATCCAGCGATTCACGTACAGCCAGCGGATGCCCTCTCCGTAACCTTGCCTCATGACGACGGAGCACATGAAGACCTCGATGGGGCGGATGCCCTCGAGCGGGACCTTGCCCTTGCCCGTGGTCTGGTACAGGCCGAGCTCGTGCCTCAGCTGGTCCTCGGAGACGGCGTTGGGGTGGTCGATCTTGTTGCCGAGGATGAGGAACGGCGTCTTCTGCAGCTCCTCCATCGACAGGAGCGCGTCCAGCTCGACCTTGGACTCGGCGAAGCGCTCCGGGTCCTTGGCGTCGACGAGGAAGACGATGCCCGACACCTCGGGGAAGTAGTCCTTCCACAGACGGCGCGCCTGCAAGTGACCTGTTTTTTTGTCGTCGACCGCGCGGGTCGCGGATGCTTAGTAATGGCTCGGGAAGGGCTGGCGCCCGTCGGCTGTGGGCGGCAGGGAGAAGGGGGGGACGGGCAGGGCCGACGGCCATGGGAGACGTACCACCGAGATCGAAGGTAGTGAAGCGGCAGGAACCGATGCTCAGCTCCTCAGAGGCTGTGGCCTTTGTTAGCTGATGCCCAGAAGCGACTGCGATAACGAGCCCGGGGTTTGAAACGTACTGGGGTGGAGAGTGGGCTGAAGGATGGCACTGGAGCCAACGGTCAGCGATCCGCTTCGGAACTGTATTGTCTAGTCCGCCATGTGGAATACATACACGCGATCGTTCTATCAGAGGCAAACCGTCGTCAGCTTCATTGACCGGGCAGCGCCGAGTGAGGCCGGAGATGATGGGTGAACGTACCTTCAACATGTGCAGGAGAGTGGTCTTGCCGGCATTGTCGAGACCGAGGAAGAGCAGCTTCTGTTACCATCCGAGCCGTCAGCAACCGCTTTTTCATGCATATTCCATGCGCCCGTGGCCAAATGCTTCCCAGAGGGCTGTTCGGGATCGGGGCCACGCACCGCATGCTTGTTCAGTAGGCCCAAGCTCGAGAGGACATCCCAGACTGTTGCACACTCGAATCAGCAGACCATTCCGCAGGCACGTCTCCAGCTACAGGCGCAGCGCGCGGGCGCGACGGGGCAAGAGACGACGGCACTGATGGGAGGCTGGGCGATGGGCGGGGCGGGCGGACGTACACCAGTCGATAATCCACATGGCGACGGAGGTAGTTGGTCGTGCGAGGAGTACAGAGGGCGAGTTAAGCTGGTGTCGGGAGGTTGTTAGTCGCGGCGTTGGGAGCTGGAGAGTCGGAGATGGAATTCTGTGGCCAGACCATGATGAGAGCCAACGTCAATCTGGCTCTTGGCGGCCGCCCCTCGGCTCCGCCCACGCGCCGCCCCGCCACTCACCCACGCTGCTTCGAGCCCTAGGTACCGCTCCCACCTCCGCAAAAACCCTAGCATCAAATAGGCACCAACATCTCACTCACGTTCATAACACGTTGTCAGAATAATGTTCCGAAACCAATGTGTCTCAATTCACCTACGACACCATCGTTTGTAAACGTCGTGGACCCGCACCAGCACCCAATCCACCCAACCCGTCCTGTGCAAATGCTATGCTATCCCATCCCCGAACAGCTCTCCCTGAGCGATCGATACGAATAACTCCTCGCTGCCCAATGTGTTCCCGGAAAGAAAGAACCCTCATTCGCAACGAAAGCAGAGATAACAAGAAAACGCCTGGGTGTAATGCTTGGTCATCAAGTCGTGGGGTATCCTGCCCTTATTGCGTGTTGAAAGGCCGTGTGCCTGGCTGCTGCGAGTCCGACGCAAAGCCGCAGGCATCGTCAAAATAGGGTAATATGCAGGAAGATTAAGACCTTGATATAAACAAATCGCTAGAGTACCTGCTACGTCCAGCGAAAACGCCGAAAACGGGAAGCGTGGGTATTTACAGTAACGGAAATATGCAACGTGAAATGTGCGCGAGAGCAGCGACCAGCAAGCCCGAAGGCTCGTAAAGGTGCTGACAAGTCAGCGGCGCTCCTCTCAGTACGAAAGCACATGCACGGGCGTGGCCTTCTTGCCTCTGTACGCGGCAAGACCCATGCCGACCTCGCGCATGCGCTCCGCGCCCTTGCCCGGCGCAGGGCGGCGCTCTTCTTTCTTGCACGCCTTGCGGCAGTGCTTCTGGTAGAGTTTTTCTTTGCGGCGCTGCCGCTTGAGGGCAGTTCCGGCTTTGATGTCCATCGGCCCACGCTTGAGCGTGTCGTTGGCCGTCTCACCCTCCTCGTCGTCATCGTAATAGGAGCTTTGGTGAAAGAGGGTAGGAGGGCGAGGAAGAGATGCCACGAGCGTCGGCCGAGGCCCCTGATCCATGCCTGCAAACTGAATCACCTTTGGCTGTCTATATGTGACAGCTAGGGACGTACGACGCGTATGCGGCGGGGGGGAACGGACGCGACCGGCAGGCGGCGGAGAACGGAGACGCTTGGGCGATTGTCCGAAAAGGCGACGGGGAGGTGGGGAGCGGTGGGCCTGTCCGCGCTTAACCGGCGGTGGTGGAGAACGAAGACGCTTGGGCGATGAGATCGGGGAGCGCTTTGGCCCTGCCCGACGGCGGCCGCGACCTTCGACGTCGTCGATCTGGTCAAGCTGACCATGCATCAACATGTGTTGGTCGCTATCTTCGGCAGCTGCGTCCACTTCGTCGTCCTCGTCCTCCTCATCCATCTCGGGATCTGAGGTGGGGAAGGTGGGATCGATGTCCTGAGGAGTCTGCTTGTGCTTGGCAGCCCTGCGTTGCTCGAGGGCCGAGTAGTAAGCATCCTCCAGAGGGCGGTCCTCGTCGAGGGTACCGCAGACGAAGTCCGTGCTGTCCGGAAGCTCGGGGCTGCGAGGACGAATGTTGACAGGCTTCCTTTTCTTGGCAGGAGAAGCCTTGGTGAACATTCCAGAGCCGGACGCAATTGAGCAGGTAGAGTCAGACAAACTGCGGTGACCAGATGGCCTGATGTGTTCAGGCTCACTGGAGTTGGGGGCGACTATGCGACTAGGTGCCCACCATTGGTAGTCAGACCCAGCGTCGCTTTCGTCATCAGAACCAGCGAAGCCTTGCTCGTCGTCGGTCTGGAAACCGCCGTCGGAAACGCTGCCGTCAGAGATGACAGATTCGTTATCATCGTGTTCCTCCTCCTCCTCCTCCTCCTCCTCCTCCTCCTCTCCTTCTACTTCCTCTTCCTCCTCGTCATCGTCCAGGTCGTCATCCAGGTCCAGGTCCTCGTCATCCTCATCAAGTAGTTCCTCATCTTCGTCATCGTCTTCCAATGCCTCCTCCTCAACCTCTTCACCGAGTTTCCTCAGCCCATTCTCGATTTTCAAGGTATCAGTGACGGTCAGGCGCGTCTTGTGACATGTCAGCTCCTGAGTCCACTCTTCGACCTCCTCTTCGGAGCTAGCAAACTCGTGAAAGCGCGTAGCCTCGCGGCGCCCGATATCCGAGTTCTCGCTGTACTTTCGAGAGTGGCGAATGACAGATGCGCTTTTGCGCAGACTCTTAGGAGAGTCGTTCCGCACAGTTGAGTCGGAGCCACGGTGCGAGCGTGGCGCACCCTTGCTTGGAACAGCAAGCCTGTTCGTAGGCGGAGGGGGGCTTGCCATGCGGGACTTCTTTGCAGGTGTCGTAACATTCGCGTCGCAGGCGAATTTGATAGTGCAACGGCGAGGAGTGGGTTCGGCAGGCTTGTCCTCTCCTTGGGGTGGGGATTGGAGCTTCGCGGGAGCAGCATTGGCGCTGTTTTCCTTCTTTCCGCAAGCAAAGGTGATGCACCTCCGGCGTCCGAGTCCTGCCTCAACCGAGGGTTCGTCGGAGATCTTGACGGTTTTGTTTTCAATCCTCTCCGCGATGTTCTCATCGTGGCGGATGGTAATAGCAAGGTCGGTTTCCTTCTTGATGGAGATGATGGGGAGACCTCGGATGGTGGGTGGGAGTGGCGGGCTTGGAGAGCTGGTCCGTGTGCCTGGGCTCGTAAAGCCTCCGTCGCTGGTGAGGTCGGTTGACGCTGTGCTGACATTGCTCCACGTCGAGGCAGTGGACATGCCTCGCTTAAGCTCGACATGGTGGTCGTCATCCGACTGCGAGTCGCTCTCGGAATGGAGGGCCTGGGTCAACAAGGATTCCTTGTGCTTGCGAGCGTCACACCGGCTCTTTGCGAAATCAGTCGCAATAATATCCAATGGAGCCGGCTTGCGCGGAGTGGGGCGAGGGGTCCGCAGCTGTTCGTCAGGCGGTTCGTCGGTATCTGCGAGGAGTTCCTCGCCGAGGCTCATGGAGCCCTCCTGCGCAGTTGGTTGGTTCTGGAGCGTCCTGGTCTGCATGTTTGCTGTGATTGTGTTCAAGTCTTTCTGATTCGAAGCCATGGTTGGGAGGCAATCAGGGAACGGCGGGTGATTTAGTTATGCTGGGGGGCTGATGAAGCCGCTATGGAGAATTATACAGGTCTCGAGGGTCGAAGGAAGAGGGTCCGCACGTCCAGGGCCTGTGGCCGGCGGGGAGGCGTGGGCGAGTGTGTGGCGGATGGTAGTCCGGGGCTGCTGTCGCTGTTGTAGTTGTCCCTAAGGACCGCAGGGCTATAATATCAAAACCAACATGGTGGGAGTTTGACGGCGGGTTTCAAAGATCAGGAAGCGGAAGGACAACGGCCCTGCAGGCTGACGGGTGAGCATTAGATGCAGGCGGGGAGCATGCTTGCTCGTACCTTGCGACGTTTGGAGCAAGTTGCGCAGCAGAGTTGTGGCGATGCGCAGGCTGGGTCGCTGGGCGCGTCAAAAGGGCCGGATCCGACGACAGCCAAGAAATTGCTGCTCCTAATTTCCCAATTTCGCGCGGGTGAGACTCGGACACGGCCTCGCTGGTGAGGGGCGCGCACGCAGGGAGCGGCGGCGCGGACAGGCGCGCGCGGGCGGACGGGTGCGGTGGTGCGGAGAGAGCGTGAGGAGGAGAGGGCGGCGTGTGTGGGCAGGCCTCGCTCTCAAGAAGGCGCTGTGGGCTGTGGGCTGCTAGCTTTTCGCTGCGGGAATTGCGCCTGGTTTTGCCGGCAATTTTCCACGGTGGGCGCGCGAAAAGACGACGGGCGGCGGGCCAGTGCTAAATGAGCTGTTGGGCGGGTGGGTCCGCCGCCGCGATGGCCGTGGGCGCGGTAGGGCAGCGCCTCGCCTGCATGCCTGCATGCCTGCATGCAACAGCACAGCACGGAGCCACGGTGGCATCGGCTTAGATCTGCTTTGCTGACCGTCACCGCCTCAGCCCTACTGCTTGGGGCATTCCGTCAGCGCCCGCAACGTGGATGGCCACCGCAACGCGCCTGCTCCTCCCTCCTGCTGCAAAACCTGCTCTCCACGCGCCAACCAGCTGTGTGCGTGAGCTGTGAGCTGAGCGAGCAGACCCTGATCGGCTGCCGTGCGGCCTGCCTGCCTGTGCCTGCCTGCCTGCCTGCCTGCTCCCGGCGCCGCCACCCACTCTTGCTGCCCGCATCTGACAGGCTCGGCTTGCTGTTACCGTCCTGCGCGCTTTTCCCCCTCGCTGGAATGGGATGCCTTGCAGCCCATGATGGCGGCTCTCCCCTCACCGCGCGGGCGTACGAGCTGTCGCACGTCCTCAACACATTTGCGCGGCACGCCGCGGCCGGGCGCTGCGAGCAATTGCCTGCGGCATGGGCTCGGTGGGCTCGTCGAGCCGTGGTTGCCGTCGCTGCTGCTTCACCAGCGGCAGCGCGCGACCGTTTCGGCTGCGAGCAATTTCTCACGCACGCCCCTACCACAGTCCTGCCGCGCCTCGCTGGGCAGTTCCGCGCTCCTCCTTCCCCTATCTCACCGCTCTTCTCGCCCTGCTGCCTCTCGTGCTGGAAACTTGGAGGCTGCCGCTGCACCCACGTCTCGCAAGGTCATCTGCCACGGCCGAACCACCCTGCCCGTTGCGGGTGTAGTCCGACTCGTCCTGTGCTTGCCGCCTCCTCATTCGCCTGCACCAGCCGCTTGTCCGCTTGTCCGCATGCACCGGCCGGGCTTTTGCTAGAGTCGCTGCAAGCGCAGCAGCCGCTTCGTGACGGTGACGGCGCGGGCGGTACCATCTCCGCCCGCCTCATCTGCGTTTCAACCCGCGCGTTGCCTCGTGCTGCGATATGGCAGCCGTGATCACTGCACGCCGGGCGGCCTTATCCGCGCGCGCGACTGCACTCCGCACGCGCTGCAAGGATGTCCCGCGCCGAACCACCAGCGTGGGGAACGTTCCGTGGTGCCCTGCCGAGTCTCGTCCGCTGAGGTCACTGTCACTGCCCAGGTGTTGCTGGCCAGCTGGTACCGACGTCATCCAGTGCCGGTGTCACGGTACTTTGTCAAACAACACGCATTCCTGATGCTCAGGCCGGCTTATGCGTTCGGCTACCGGCTCGTCAGCAGCACCGTACCTTGCGTCACCGTCAGCTTCAGCTTCGCGTCCTGCTCGGGCGTGGTCGGAGCTGCCCTGACGCTCCAACAATTCTTCTGGCGGACGGCGGTTGTCCGAGGCCGCAGCCCTGGTCGTTCCGTGGCAGTCCAGCGCCACTGTTCCAACCCAACCCGGCCGCGCTCCATGCGGTTCTGGACGTCCCGCTCCGCCCACCACCCGAATCAACCTGAATCAACCATTTCATCACAGATAAACGACGCCTGCAGGGGCGTGAACGTGCTCCGCTCTGCATTATTATCGATGAGCAACAGGGCCTGACAATAAGCAATGCCAAATCGTCAGCCTGTTGTGCAATGCTCAGCCGTCAGGGAGCCAGCCGATCCTTTGCTTCCGATGGGGCCGCATGGCAGCACAGCCTTCAACACCAAGGCATGGCATCACGAAGAGACTAACGCAAGATAGCTTCCTGCCGTGTATGGTCGTGGAACCGCCGGTAAAAGCTCGAGTCAGGACTATCCGTTTCCATCTTCGCGCGTCTCGACGCTGCGTCGTGCAAGCCCTCAGAGTCGTCCACGGCGCCCAAGGTAAAGTTTCGGCTTCTTGCCTCGGCTCTTCCGTCGTTCCCCACCACGTATGAACAACAACGTGGGATGAAGTCGTTGTTGTCATCATGTCCGAACGCTCCATCAACATGCAGCCTGTGGCGCCATGCTCCTTCGGACTAGGACCTTGCAAGGGCAATGTTGTATCGACCGGCCCAGCCAACGCCCCTTTCTTGTCCAGACACCAAGCTTTGTCGGCCGACTTCGCTGCACTTCTAACCCCGCAGGAGCGGGGTTGCCGTATGTTGTGGTATCAAGCTACTGCGGTGACACTAGGTCCGCAAATCTTGCATGACGCGGTACGCCCGCCCCCAGAGTCGAGCCCCGAACAGCCTCTTCACGTAGGTACCCAGCATCCTTTCCCAAGATCTTGACGGCCGGCATGAGCCTGTAAGAGGATCACCTGGATGTCGATGGCGTTGACGGGCCTCGGAGATTTTTGGTTACCGCTCCCTGCTGCCAGGCTTGCTGTTTTGCCTACCGCAGCGCAGGCATTAGGAGGGCAGACTAACCAATGCATCGTGCGATCGGTGCTTGTCGCTATAAATGCGCATGTTTAGGCACACTGCATGGCCGCTAATGCGAAGGCGTTCGATCATCTGTACGCATCATCTTCTCCCCCTTCCCGTGCAGACGTCTAGCCCTTCGAAGGCCTCGAAGAGCGGCTGTCAGACAGTCATGCTCATCTGATTTACCACAGCAGGCGTTGACAGGCTCGAGGCAAAAGAGCAATTCGACTGCTAGCCAACAAACAACAATGTGCAGTTCATAATAGAAACAGCTGCAACAGAACTTCATCGTGCAGTGAATCTTCAGTTCACTTCAAGATTGCCAAGATTGCCAAGCCTTGGTGAGGTGGCCGAGTTGGTTATGGCGCCAGGTTAAGGTGTTAGCTTAACAAGTTTCCTGGTGGGGCAACCCGCGCGAGTTCGAGTCTCGTCCTCATCATCATCTTTTTGTTGTTCTTTTGCTGTCCTGGTGTCCGGATACCTATCTGCTGCGTGGCGACTGATGTGAGCAGTGGGTGATTTTGGGCATCGGTCGGGTCGGGTGTGGCCGGCTCCCGGCGGTTCATTTTTGCCGGGGTTAGGCATATCGGGCTGGGGCAGCTTCAGAGCCACTGTGCCACCGCCCACGACGTCACCTTCAAGACCGGAGCAGTGAAGGCGGAGGCGGACGCTGACGCATATTCGCCTCTTGCCTGCTCTGCTCTGCCACCACCAACCGCGAAGGATGCAACCATCATTATTACCGAATCCCCCAAGCCTGACAGTCCGGCGCCTACGATGCGACGTCGGCTCATGTCGCCGCCGATCTGCTGGCGGCTAACGAGACCCGGGCGATACATAATTGACGTTTTGTCGCCGAATAATGGCGACAGCCTCACACAGCCGCCTCGCCACGGACAGTCTTGGCCTTGGCTATGTTGCCACTTTGGGCTACCGGCATGTCTTATCGGACAGCTACGCCTGCACTCCAGCTGATACGGACGACGGCACGTTTACAGCAAAAACTGGGGGCCATTCGTACCGCAGTGGCTTGCTCGAGGTCACGCTCCTCCACGCCTCCACCAGTCACGAGCACGGCCGACGCCTCCCGTTTTTGCAACTGCCTAGAGGGGCTCGACGGCGCCGTCGAAGAGATCTGGCCCTGCGCCAAAAGATGACTCTTCTCAGCCGCATGGCTACGGGCATCCATGATAGCACACGCTGGAGGCCCCAGGGCGGCCGCTCTTGCTATTTGTGAGTGACGGCGAGCGACTTCCCTTTGGATGCCGAACTTGAGCCTCGTTGAATGCCCTTCACCTCTGCTCTTTTTTGCAAGTGCTGTTTCCCTCCGTGACCCTGCGCCAACGAACTCATGCCATCCTATCGTCTACGACAACATGCCGCAACCTGACTTTGAGCAATGCGGCAAGGATTACATGAACAACACAACGGCCCAAGCACTCTATGGCTGGCATGGCAAAGTCATTGGTATCAGGCCGAGCAACCGCAGCCAAATCAGCACCGAGGGCTGTCGCGCTCTCTGCGGAACCGGCAGCGACTACTATCCCTGGAGCCTCGCGTCGAGTACCATCACCACGTGGATCTTGCCCGTTGTCGGTGTCCTGCTACAAGCTCCGTTCGAGAGCAATGCCTTTTGGCGCACCCTACTAGCCATCGCAAGATGGGTTGGCTCACCAATGGCGGGCCTAGCTTACATCCTGTGGAACATCAAGGTCTCCGCCAAGTGCGCGCTTATGGGTATGTTACACGCTTCTGGCATAGCCGTGTACCCGAATACGCGGCTCGTGCAGCTCAAACTGACGTGGGCGCCAACAGTCGACATGGCCACGCGTTGCGACGACGATATCGCCAATCAGGACAGCCATTTCGCCAGCATCCGCGACTCGTTTTACATCCTAACCACCATGAATCAGTACACCATGAGGCGCAGTGAGGCTTTGAACAAGGAGGCCGAGGGTCTGCTGCGCATAGTCCTTTTCAGTAAGGATATTCAACTACGTGGCAATGATGGCAAGGAAAACAGCCTCAACGAAGTCCGCCGGAATCTCGCCCGCAGGTTCCGCGCGGCTCGCAGGCGCGGCGTCGTACCCGTGTTTGTGTCCACCGGATGGTTCCTATTTTCCCTTGCCATCTCGATCCAGTCGTCCTTCGGGCAGTTGGGCCAAAATGCAACCGCCCATGATCTGGCTCTCGGCCTCCTCCTTGCCTGGCTTCCCGTGCTCATTCTCTGCAGCATCGTCGACCGCAATCCCGTGGCGGCAGAAGACGTGCGGAGAAAGCTGAACAAGCTCGTCGACACGGTGTGCAGGTCCCTGCAAGACGATGAGATCAGAGAAGCTTTCATCGACACGTTCGAGGGCCAGCCAGAGCACGACCGCCAGCGCATGGAGGCGTGGGTCAGAAACATCAGCCGTCAGAGCGAGTACATGCAAGACTTCTTCGTCCATTTTGCCGGCCAGGGCCGAGTCCGTTGGCACTATGGCGCAGCTCATCCCATCCTCTCTGATATCGAGAGGAGCTACGTCACCGCCCACGGACGCGGATGGCTTGCTAATGAAGCCGAAGCACGTACGCATCTCGTGCTCGGCGCCGTAGATGAAGGCTTGCTCTGGTTCGACTTCCGTGAAATGTGGCAAATCTGCAGTGCTGTACTGATCGTTGGAGGCACATGCCTGGGCGCCTTCATACTGTCCTACTACACTCCGACGGTTGGTCTCGGTTGCAGAAGTGGCGGATATGTCATTTTCTGCGTCACTTCTTTCGCATTGCTGGTATTCGAGCTTTTGGTATGGTGGTTTGCATCTCCAGTTCGGCCAGAGAAGCCACATTGGGTGAGGCGAAGCATCACGCATATCAATCAGCAGCACACAGTGATCCTGATTGAAGAGAGAGCACGCGATATGCTTGATCGTTTCGCCAACGTAACGAAAAACTTACTTGCCAGGTCATTCTCTCACTTTATTGACGCCCTTCCGCTCACTCTTCGGCCCCAAGCATCCATCAGGTCATTTCTAAACGGCCGATCTGAGGATTTTCGTGATTGGACTTTCCAGCAATGGACCGAGAATTGCTTCTTCCGACCGCTGGAGTTCATGAACTTCACCTGGCTCCTCTACATCGTACTGGCCCAAACATTCGGCTCGTACAGAACGTGCGATTGCCAGACCAGCACATGGGGCCGATCGGGCGGGTATCTCGACTTCCTCCAGAGCGACCAGACCAACAGCCCCTGGGTGCGATGGTATTGTAAGCACGCCCTTCTGCATCGTCGTCATTCTCTTCCCCCCCCC